AGCTATTTCTGTATTTTTATTAACCATAACTGATGGCTTTATATTTGAAGATGGGGAAATCAATGAAACAGGAAATAAAACCTTATCATTTTAACCTTCTTTGCTATATACAGAATATTAAATATTATTACACAGGGAAGTTGACTAAGGAATATATTGTTGATTAATGTTAGTTATCAACAAATTACTGTTAAGAAGAATTAGGTTGTTAATTGCCAAATGACTAATACTTATAAAAATAATTAAACCTTAATAGCTTATGCTTTTTACTCCTTTTACTACTTAATTGATTCTTAATAAAGGAATTGAGTTGGTTTCATTTTTTGCAGTTTTTTTTTATTTTAAATAAATCTCTAAATATTACATAATCATATGAGGATGGACTTTTTATAAATTCGAAATTCATTCTTTTTTTTTATTAAAATTTATTTTCAAGGATTTTTTAATGCCTCTTCTCTTGATAAAAGGATAAATATACTTGAATTCTTCTCTTTGGAATTAACGAAGCATTTATTTGTCATAAATTTAAATTCAGTTATTAATTGAAAGCATAAATTATTATATAAAATTGAGATAATTTTGTAGAGGAACATTACTCTATACCCACTAATTAAATGTAATTAAAGTAAATTATTAATAATCTATTCATCCATAAGAATTAATGGAAAAGCTGAAATAAGACAAAGTATTGTTTAATTTTTTAATGAGTTTTGCATTCAAAATAACGAAATTTTATTTTTAAATAATATTTTATATTTAAGGAACTTACTTCCATGATATGAAATATTTATCATATTCTAATAAGAAATTAATTAAATCAGTTAATTGTATAAAATTTATTAAAAAATTTTAAATAATTTTTTTCATTTTCTTTGTCAATTGTATTTCAGAATAACAAATTAGATTTGAAATGTTAGTATTTTTATTCTAATATATAATAATAGTATTATGATAATTTAGTTTATATTTTAATAAAAAAGAAATGATTCTATCATTCTTTATTAATAATATCCTTAATATCAATCGCAATGTGTTATTGTTTTATTAATACAAATTTAGGACCAATATGTATACTAGTTTTATATTAACAATATGAATAATAACACTTTAATATTAAAATAGAAATATCTAATAAAAATTGAAAGTATAATTATATTTAGATATTTATTTTATTAAATAAGAATTTATTTAATTTATTTTAAATTTCATTTATTTACTCATTAATCTAATATGCATATAAATTTAATAATATTCATCAGCCTTAATGTAAAAAATTATGAGTGAATTTTTTCTTTTTCAGACCATTTTCATAGGTCCCCTTTAAAACTTATAAGCTTCCGAATTATTCGTTTCCAAAATAATTATTCAAGTCAACCCAATAACCAATTTTCTGACCATTTTTATCATATTAACCCCCTCCTCTAACAAATAAGATTTATATCATTAATACATAATTGAAAAGTCCAATTTAGGATTATTTCTATATAAAGTATTCCACTAACCCAATTTCATACCAAATAAATACTCTCCTCTCATAATCACCTAGTTTTAACTACTTTAAATAACATAATATACATTCCAAAATTTTCTATCAATTCTATCCAATCTCCATTTTTAAGTCCTTGTTAATCAAACATTCCTCCACCACTCAATATATATAATTTAATACATAAATTAAAATTTTTCTTTTTCGTGATATCTCATCATAATATTCCATCTTCCTGTTTTGGTTCCATTTAAATAATCTCCAACTAAAGTCACTTAGGATGAACTATAAGAAATATAATGAAATATACTTTTAAAAGTTCTTAAATATTTCAATCCATTTTCCATTCTTCATTCCATTGTCATCATAAATGCCACCTCCACTAGAATTTTTAATTAAATATTTACATTTTATTAAAAGGATATTTGATTGTATATCTAAATTTTATAATCCATGATCCAATCTTATTTCCATTTTAATATTCTCCAGACTCAATAACTTAGCATTGTCTAATCGCAAACTATTAAAATATATCATTCTACTTCCAAAAATTATTATTCATTTCAATCCATCTACCATTTTTTATCCCTTAATGATCATAATTTCCACCACCACTAAATAATAATATAGATTATTACATTGTTTTAAATTTATGGTGTTGATTTAATCTAAATTAAGTATTCCATTTTCCTTATTTTATTCCTTTAACATATTCCCCTTCCAAAAGTATTTAACAAACACTTTATTAAATAATCTTATTTACTTTCTAAAATCTTCATATAACTCAATCCACTTACCTGTTTTTACTTCATTTTAATCATAAAAACCACCTCCTCTAAATGATATATTATAATTTTACATAAATGATTGTTAGTCTAGAAAATTAGGATCCTTAAATTATGTATTCCATTAACCATATTTTTTACCATCAATATATTCCCCCAAATATATAATTTGATATTCGCTAATTATAATTTAACATAACTTTACTAATAATCATAATCTTCGTGTATATCAATCCAAAATCCACTCTTAACTCCATTTTAATTATACTCACCTCCACCTCTATAAATATTTATTATTTAAATATACATCAGCTAAATTTCATCTTCAAAGCTCATCTGAAAATATGTATCCCATCTTCCAAATTTCAATCCATTTATATATTTACCTACAAAAGTAATAAAACGTTCACTAATTATAATTTATATCAATAAACTTGCTAAATTTATCATGAATCTCAACCCAAACACCATTTTTTTGGCCATTCTCATCATATATTCCACAAGCTCTAAGTTTTAATCTAAATTCCTTACATATCTTAATCTTTAAGACTTGTTGTCCACTCTCCATGTCTCTTACCTTATTTATAAACACCAGAACTAATGATTTAACTTGAACTAATTCAATTTTTTTTTTAATTTACTCAAAGAAATTTGTAAATAGTTCAATCCATTTTCCCTACTTTTATCCATTCTCATTATAAAGTCCTCCTACATTCAAATTATCTCCTCTCCAAAAAGCATTCCATTTACCAACTTTTTTTTAATTTCCTCCATATTCTCCTTACCATCGAAGGTATTTAATTTACTCTACATTTTTAATGACTTCTGTCTAATTATACCCTTCATACAGTTTTTCTCTAATTAAAATATTAATATTTTAAATTACATTCTAAGGATCTCACCATCCATAATATATTTTATTAATCCATCTTTTGTATATTCAACTACAAAATTAGTTTAACTTAAATTTCTAAATCTTTATTCTACTCCTTCTTCTAAAAATCTTCCTACTTACCAATTCTAATCATTTACTAAGTTATTATTGAACTTTTTACATCTAACACGTTTGCAAACTTCATTGCTTTCTGATGATCTCATAAATTAAAAATTAATTTAAATTTATCTCATATCTAAAAATTAAATATACTACAAAAATTATCATAAAAATATCAGAAATTAAGTAAATGATATTATTTCATATAATAATAATAAAATTTTACTAAATATTACAATTAAAATTTATTTTATTTTTTTTATTTTTTATTCATTCTTCATAGATAATATTTATTATACAATCTTTTCATGTTTAAATAGAATATGAAATATTTCTCAAATAAAATTGATATTTAATTTTCTAAACTTCTGAATAATTTTATTATTATATTAATATAAATAATTTATATATATATTAATAATAGCTATAAAAAATATATTAAAATATTAATATATAATTCAAGTACACATAATTAATCATTTAAATAATTCATTTTTTTTTTATTGATTTCTTTTTTATACCCTATTTTAAATCTTATTCGATGCTAATCCTGGATGATATTTATTTGAATTTCCTATAAAAGCTCTTCCAATTTCTCCCCCAGATCTAGCATCTCTATAATTTTCTTTTGTCCTTTAAATCGCTTCTCTGAAGGTAATGTTCCCATTGAAAATTAGAAATTCCTTTAAGCTCTTCTCTACTATTTGATTATGGAATCTATTTTATCTTTGAAATTGAATTGTTCGGCACTGTTTTGCATCCATTTTTTATTTATTTTATTATCAATTTTAAATAATCATGTTTGTATAAAATAACCTATTTCTGATCAATACAAATATAAATACAAAAAATATGCTATTTTAATAAAAATTCTAAAATTTAATTTTTAAAAAATTAAAACAATAACAAGTTATCTAAATTGAATTTCAAGGGATAAAGATTAATTGGAGAACTTCTCTGTAGTTATCTAACAGCATAAATAGCAAAACGATAATTTGATGTTGAAGATACTTATTTTCAATCATTTATAATATATATTAGTTTGTTCATAATTGATTTTAGAATTTACTGATATCAAAATATATTGATTATTGGTAATATATGCTATATAGTAAGATATTTCAATTATCAGTTGAAATTAATTAAGTACCATAAATGGGATATTGTTTGTTTTTAATGGGATATCAAAATTTATTATGCATTCTTAAAAAAAATGAGTAATTTTTATAAGTAACTGACGGATTTAATATGAGTATGTAATAATAATTATTGGCATAACTGAATATATTAATTTAAAATTAATAGATTCAGTTATTATATCAGATAATGATATTTTTATTTTTTAAAATACCAGTAATTTCGAAGAAATTATAATTTATTGGAAATTATAAGCTCATTTTATTCTCTATTAATTATACTAATAATTTTCAATATTTCTAAAAATTAATTTATTACAAATAATTAGAAGTTCATAAAAATTAGACATTAAAATATATATCTATATTTATAATATTTCTAACTTGAATTTCTAAATTTTGATTTAATTAAGGGTTAAATAAGATCAAGATCTTAACTAAAAAATAGAGTAATTTTTGTAGTTATCATAAGATAAAGACTTAAAAGAAATGTAAAATTGGAAATAGTAATTAAATAATAATTATATTTTTAAGTAGCAATATCTTATTTATTTTATTCATAATAATGTATATATTGTTAAATTAAATATTCTATTAATTCAAATCAAATACACTTTTCTGCCTTATTGATCAAGCCATAACAAATCTTATTCATGCATGTCCTAAATGCATTTAAGAAACTATTGAAAACTTATAACTTTTAATTCTTTTGATTATTGTAATTCAGACCATATAACATCAATCATAAACACATCCACACAATACTTAAATAATAATATCTATTAAAATACTTTATCATGTCGTTATCTTATTAATTTATGAATTTCTTTACATGATGTTCTACTTGGATTTTCATATGTAGCTTAATTAAGAAAATAATAAAATTTATTAATTTCATCAGACTCATCATTTTATTTAATACTACTTTATTAATCCTCGGCTTTTAGTGTCTATTAAATTCTTATAGTACTTACTTTTAATTAATTTGATTAACTCTTTTTATTATAATCTTTATTAATGTGATTATTCTCTTCAATTTTAACTTGATTCAAATCTTATGAATATTATTCCTCTAATTTTTCTATTTTTGAATTTATTCTTTAGATATCTTTAGAATTCTTTTTTTTTATTTAACAATTTTCAAGTTTTTCATAATCATTAGAGAAGAAACTATAACAAATAACTGAATCCAAATCACAAGATTCATCAGATTAAATTTTAAAGAGAGTATTGTTCTTTTATGATATCTCTTAATTCCATATATCATGATTCTTCCAATCTAATTCAAATCTTAATTCTGATCTAGCTTATAATGCAATCAAATTAAGTATAAAATTCTATTGTTCTGCATTCTAATATTGTTCTTTTGACTCTTCATTTTTTTATGATCCAGTTTAACTTTATATATTTTAAAATATTTTCTTATTCTCAAAATTGTCCATCTTTTAATTATCAATACTAATATGATTAAGAAAAAGTTCATCTTTTGTAAATTCATGTTATAAACAGGATTTTAATGCTTTTTTAGTTTTTCCTTTAACCACTTATTTGACCTCTTTATCATTCTTCTGAATCTCTGTTACTTTTTCTAAGAGATTATTCTTTTTTTTAATTTCTTATTTTAAAATGACTACCTATCTTCTAGTTCTCTAGGATACGTTATTTTGACTTCTAAATATTTAATTATCAAGGTCTAATCCAAATTTTTGATTAGTTTACCTTTTTCTTAAGTTTTATTTGATTTGGCTCATTTCAGTTTAATTTAATACATCAAGTTTCTAAAGTATTCAAAAATTTAGCAATAAGCATAATTAAATATGATAATGATTTCTTATTTAATTGATTTTAATTATTAAATTTTATTAATAAAATAAATAACGAAGTTAATGATAATAAAAGAAATTCTTATGCCTTCAAATCAAATTAAACCCACTCTCTTTATTTCCTATCAATTTAAGTCTTATATAAAAATTTTTCATATTTATGTTGAATTTAATTATATATCTATTCAAAACCATTAAAAATTGCAGAATCATTAAAAAATGTTAAGTATATATTTTTAACAAATCAATTCATATCATAATTTGATATTTCGAATAATTTAAACATTTCGAAATGCTATTTATGAAATTTTTAGTCCTCTCTTAGTTTTTTTAAACATTATATAATATTTATTTGTGATTTAATGAATTGATTAAATAAAAAAATAATCAATTAAGAAATGATTTATTTAGAACCAAAAGAATTGAATGATATTCTTATATGATGGAAAACAAAATATATTAGAGATGATTATGGTTATTTTAAAATAATTATATGATGACTGTTGTTTTAAATTATCAATAATGGAATATTAGTTTAACAAATGTTCATTAAATTATTAATATGTAATATGAGACTTTTTATTTTTAAAGGTGATTAATATCCAAACTTTGGTATTGATTATTGAAATAAATTTTAATTCTTAATGTCAATTATTTATTTATGATATTATTATATATTACAAAAATAAATACAATAAAATTAGAGTACAAAAATATTCAATTTTTTTGTTGATAGAATTCCATTTAGAAAATTAATAATCTGATTAATACATTTAATACTTTTTGTATATATTTGTCAATTTTAATTAGAAATTATTAAAATTTTAATATGAGTAAATTGATGAAATCAATAATGATAGAATAAGATGTTGACCTGTAATGTTCAAAGAAACACAAATCACCAATACAAATGGTTGTTTTTGATTAAAAATTGACCAATAATGAGAGGCTATTATGTTCTGATTGTTTAGAAGATTTTGAATCCAATGTCAAAATGGTAGGTTTAACAAAGGTTTTATAATTAATTGATGATAAATAGATTAAATAAATAGAATATAAGCAAAATTTAATAGAAAATAACATTGAATAAATTTAAATGATATAAAGAAGCTTTATTGAAATAAAATCTAATTTTATTTCAATTATTGACTCATTAATAGGAAATTCTGAAGAATGGATCAAAGTTCTTAATCAGATTGGAGAATAAACTGTAACTTATAGTTTCTTTGATGAAATAGAACTACTTATATAAAATTAACATAAAAATGAATAAAATTAAGAAATTTTAAAGGAAATTAAATAAATTAATCAATCTTGGATTACTAAAACTACTCAAAAAATTTTAAACTTTAATTCAAATTACAAATTGCTCATAACAGAACTAAAAAAATAATTGTAGATTCTTATTCATAACTAAGTTAAAGAAGAAACTTAAGAGATTAAATAATTAATCGATGATCCAGTTAATCTTAAATTAATTAATAATAAATCCTATTAATATGATGATTGCTTTGCAATTTCATTCAATAATATTGGAAATCTTATGATTTCTGGAAGTGGAAAAGATATTAAAGTTTGGGACTTTTAAAATGATAAAATTAAAGAAGTTTTGAAATTGAAAGGACATACTGATACAATTAGATGTCTTACATTCGCTAATTCGAATAATAGTTTCATTTCTGGTTCTGGAGATTTTTCTATTAGATGTTGGAAACAACTTAATTTTAAATAATGGAAATCATCTTAACCATATTAAGATCATACTGATTAAATTGAATGTATTTTATTAAGTAAAGATGAGAGGTAATTAATTTCAAGTAGTTAAGATAAATCAATTAAAATTTGGAATTTCGATATTAATAATAATGAACTCAAATTATAGTAATCATTAAATGAAAGTAAATGTTGTTTAAATAGTATAACATTGAATTTTTCTGAAACTAGTTTAGTTGCTTGTGGGGATGATAAATAAATTTTAATATGGTTAAAGAACAAGTCTAATTAATGGGAATATTTAAATGTTGTTANTAAGATGTTGACCTGTAATGTTCAAAGAAACACAAATCACCAATACAAATGGTTGTTTTTGATTAAAAATTGACCAATAATGAGAGGCTATTATGTTCTGATTGTTTAGAAGATTTTGAATCCAATGTCAAAATGGTAGGTTTAACAAAGGTTTTATAATTAATTGATGATAAATAGATTAAATAAATAGAATATAAGCAAAATTTAATAGAAAATAACATTGAATAAATTTAAATGATATAAAGAAGCTTTATTGAAATAAAATCTAATTTTATTTCAATTATTGACTCATTAATAGGAAATTCTGAAGAATGGATCAAAGTTCTTAATCAGATTGGAGAATAAACTGTAACTTATAGTTTCTTTGATGAAATAGAACTACTTATATAAAATTAACATAAAAATGAATAAAATTAAGAAATTTTAAAGGAAATTAAATAAATTAATCAATCTTGGATTACTAAAACTACTCAAAAAATTTTAAACTTTAATTCAAATTACAAATTGCTCATAACAGAACTAAAAAAATAATTGTAGATTCTTATTCATAACTAAGTTAAAGAAGAAACTTAAGAGATTAAATAATTAATCGATGATCCAGTTAATCTTAAATTAATTAATAATAAATCCTATTAATATGATGATTGCTTTGCAATTTCATTCAATAATATTGGAAATCTTATGATTTCTGGAAGTGGAAAAGATATTAAAGTTTGGGACTTTTAAAATGATAAAATTAAAGAAGTTTTGAAATTGAAAGGACATACTGATACAATTAGATGTCTTACATTCGCTAATTCGAATAATAGTTTCATTTCTGGTTCTGGAGATTTTTCTATTAGATGTTGGAAACAACTTAATTTTAAATAATGGAAATCATCTTAACCATATTAAGATCATACTGATTAAATTGAATGTATTTTATTAAGTAAAGATGAGAGGTAATTAATTTCAAGTAGTTAAGATAAATCAATTAAAATTTGGAATTTCGATATTAATAATAATGAACTCAAATTATAGTAATCATTAAATGAAAGTAAATGTTGTTTAAATAGTATAACATTGAATTTTTCTGAAACTAGTTTAGTTGCTTGTGGGGATGATAAATAAATTTTAATATGGTTAAAGAACAAGTCTAATTAATGGGAATATTTAAATGTTGTTACACAATCTTAGGATGAATATGGAACAAAAGTATGTTTCTTAAAGGACAATTTATTTATTTGGGTGAGTGGTGATATATCAAAGAAAAATTGTGTAAGAATCTTTGAACTATAAGAGGGAACCTTTATAGAAAATACAACTAAAACAATAGAATTAGAAAATGATGAAGAAGAAGTATTTGATTTGAATCTGTTTCCCATATTATACAATATAGAGTAAAACTTAATTCTTATTCGACATAAATTGTATATATATCTTTTAAGGGAATAAAGGGACGGTAAGTATAAAATAGTTAATAAATTGAAGTAACCAAGTAATTCAATTTAGGGTTCAATGACAAAAGATTCTAAATATTTAGCTTTTTGGGAATCTAGCTTAAAAACATATTCGATTTATGAAATAGAAACGAAATGATTTTTATTTTATGTATTTTTTATCAAACAAATATCATTCAAATTTATTAAAAGTAAGTGAATAAAAATATTATGAGTAAATAATTCTATTGGGATTTAAAATTGTTAAAAACCATAATAAATATTCTTAATTATTATTTCTTTTAATTTGTAAATTTCCATTTTGATTAGTTTTTTTGTCATAAAACAACAGAATGGAGTTATATAAATTCAGGAAAATTGGAAAAATGGTAAGGGAAATTTTCGAGAAAAGAACAAGAGGATTATTATACTAAAAGAATAAGAGTAAATTAAGGGATATGCCGATGGTGTAGCATGGTTAGTCAAAAAACTTTAATCTAATTGTTAGAAGTAAAGGAAAATTATATAAAGAAATTAGAAAATTTCAGAAATAGCACGTTATGACCATTTAAATGTATGATCATGGTTGGAAGAAATGAAAGATACATAATATGAGATTTGATATTTACAACATTAAGTATCTCTTATTTTGCTTTGTGTGATCTTGTTGGTAAAAATAGAGAAAATAGAAAATAATATTTAAGATGAGATGTAGAAATTTAATATCTAAATCATTTGAATAAAAATAATAATTAAATTATAAAACTATTGAAATATATTTACTTTGTTTATAATTTATAAATTATTTAAAATATATTAAATAATTGTTGCACTAAATTGTTTAAGCAAAAAGAAAAAGAGAGCAAGAAAGAAATAAGTATATCTTCCTATTATTTATCAATATCGGTACCTAGAAATAAAAATAGACAATAAAAGCCAACTTGAATTATAGGAAAAAATATAAGTTAGTGATAAATGATTTAATATATATTTAATTTTCAAAATTTAAAAAATTATTTTCTAACCCAACCAAAATATTTAATCAAAGAGATGAAAAATTTTAATTATTTCAGTTCTCATAATTTAACAGGTTTGATATACGATTAAGAATCACATTTGATCCTGATAATTTTGAAAAAACTTTCATTAAAATATTATATCAAAAATATTGTCTGAAAGAAAACCCGATAAAGAAATTCTAAATATATGACACTTTAACTTTAAGTTTGATAAACATGGAATTTAACCTGTCATAAAATTTATTAGGAATATATATTGCGTTATACTGAAATAATGGAAGAGTATGTAAAAAAATTTATAATCTTAGACATGCACAGAGATTTTAAAATATTATCATCAAAGAAAAGATTAGAAATATAAAAAGTAACATCTTTTAGTAAATGTTTAGTGAAAAAAAAGCTTAGCTAAGTTTTGCAGAATAAAAAATGGACAGTAGTATTTAAGTTAATGTTCAAAAACTATCAAAAAAGAAATATTGATGAAATTAATTTTGTCTTTTCAAAATAAATTTCTTAAAATTGTTAATATAATCACTTTTTTTAACTACACATTAATTTATTTATAATGAAAAACCCATAATATTAATTATTTTACATCAATATTTAATAAATTAAAAACAAAAAAAATATTTTATTACGAAAGTAATAAAAACCATTTAATTCAAAACTTTCCAAGTTTAAACCAATATAATTGGTTGTGGGGAAGAACCCTATTCCGGAACTTGACCCCATTTTAAATTAAACAAACGAAATACATATTTAAAAAAATAATGATATGAAATTCTATCAACTTTCTAAAATGTTTTATCCATCATTTCATAAGATCACTGCTGTTGATACCTTTATGAATTGAGTAGTCTTCACATTTTAGTAGATTATTATAATGCAATTTTAAAATTAAGCTTACCTTAAGTTATAATTAATAAATAAAAAATATTTTGAGTTGTTAAGCTAAAATTGGAAAACAATAAAATATCTAATCAAGTTTCATACTATTGATGAACTGTTTTTGTAGATTAGATCATAGTATTTATATTAAATAATAATGGTTAATAAATTTCTCAGAATCCAAATACTATTATAAAAATAAACAAAAATCAAATAATAATTCTTTTCCCTAAATTTTCTTAAATCAATTGGTCATATTGTAATTTTCTATCTAAAAGTGTTTAAGTATAGATAATTTTTCCTTCTTTGTGCTTCTTAGCTTCTTCGGATGATAACAAAATTATATTTTTTGGGGTTATATCTTTCGATTTATCAAATTAAATAAATTCAATAGGTCTAGCTTTTTTATCTACAATTAAAAAAAATAATTATACCTTTAACTAAGCATTAGCCATTATATGCTTTATAAATCACAACTAAATCTTCAATATCTATATTTAGATCTACATTGTTTTTTTTAGCTTACTAAGCTAGCAATTAAATTTATTATATAAAGTAAGGCATTTTAATATCATTTTAGCATAGAGTAGCAGGTGCACAACCGGCTATATCACATAAGACATATGCAGCTAATGCTTAGGCAAATAAGGCTGGCATACATCCAAATACTGGTACAATTCTTAACCGATAATTTGGCATGACTCTAAATTTGTCGGGATCACCTTTTTAATGTCTAATAACAATTAATAAGAATAATACTCTTATAATGGTAATAATTATCTATCTGTAACTTCAGTTGAATAGACAACATTAAATCCTGTTCTAATATCTAATTTTTTGAGTCTCATTCTTATTGCTCTTGCTAAATCATCATTTTATGATTCACTAATATCTCTTATTTGTATTCTTGTTGGATCACATTTCATTCCAGCCCCACAACAAACAATAATTTTTATTTGATTTTTAACACAATAAGTAATTAAAGCAATTTTTGCATCAATATTATCTATACAATCTATGACATAATCAGGTTTATCTTCTTCAAAAAAACTTCCAATATTTTCAGGTGTGATGTAGGATTCAATTGTTTTTAATTTAATGGTTGGATTTAATTGTGCAATAAAATCAGTGAATATTTCAACTTTAGATTTACCTACATCTTTCCTAGTAGCTATAGCATGTCTATTTAAAGAGGAAAGAGTAACTCTATCAAAATCAATAATTGTAATTCTTTTCACTCCTGAACGAGATATAGCAGAAACAACATGACTACCTACTCCACCAACACCAAAAACCATAATGTGAGATTTTTCAATTTTTGTTTGTGATTCACCAAAAAATTATATGTTTCTTACTAATTATTCTTTAAGAAGCTCTTATTCTTCTTCTTCTTAATAGTTTTACTTTAGAAACTCTTTATTTTTTTATTTTCTATGTTATATTAATTTTTATCCTAGTAAAGATAGACATACACCTCCTACTAACCCTGCTAGAAACTGGATTTTTTTGGAATCCATAATTAAATAATTAAATTCAATTTAATAATAACTCATTTGAATCTGATAAAAAGGATTGATAAGAATATTCATCTTAATCAAGATTTTGATCTTTGCAATATTTTTATAACTGTTTAGTTAAAGCTTTTCTTTCTGTTCTTCTTTTTACAAATTAATATAATTTTCTAAATTAAATAGTGTCTAATTTTTCTATATCAAATTGAAATTCTCCTTAATTTTTAACATTTAAATATTTTAGAATTTATCTTAATGAACTTGAAGATAACTTGTTTAATTTTTCATATAAATCTTTCTTTTCTTAATCGCTTTGAGGTTGTTTATGTTTAATAATTATTTTGTTTTTAATTTCTCCATTAAGTAATTGTTATAAATGTTTTTGCATTTACTCCTAACATTTTTTTTAAAGTGGTTCAAATAAAATTTTAAATTTTTATTCTAATTCATCAACTAATTTCATTGATTCAGAATGAGTTGATAATATTTTACTTCTTATAAATAATGAATTCAAATCTTTATAAAATCTAGCTATTATATTTGTCCTATTTTATGATAATTAAAATATACATTTTGATTAATTGTTCATTTTTCATTTTTTTATATTATTCATCATTTTTCATAAATTATCTAGTAAATTATTTATTGAATGTATTTATCATTTCTTTATTAGTCAACTATTTATATTAATCAGTTCTTTTTAAATCATCAAGGATTTTTATACATTTATTTCTCTCCTCCTCTTATATTGGATTGAGACCATCACTATCTTATCTTTATTCACCTTTCTTATTATTAAATTGATTATTACTCTCATTAAATAATAATCAAATGGTAATCTTGTTTTAATATAGGCTAACTATTCTTTTGTAAGTTCAATAATCATTCTTTAAATTTGTAATATTAATTTATTAAAAAATATTATACTCATTTTTATTTCATAATTGTAATAGCACTCATAAATATGGAATCTATTCTTCTTATTAAGACCTCAAAACTTACATCAGGTCCTAATGTTTCTGTATTTCCTATCATAATTTTATCTCTTTCTTATCTAAAGAGATTTCTTGATTTAATAGGAACTTCAAATACTGCAATAACTTAATCTTCACAAATGATAGGGTGAATTAATACAGGTAATATAGAATCAATATCAATTGTGTCATCAAATTCTGTGCATTTTCTTGTATTCATTACTATCAATTCCTAATAATATTAATATTAATACTTTTTTTCTATCACATACTAATTTAGCAATTCCTTTTTAATTTAAAAGGATTGGTTAATTAAGAACAGATCCTTTTGAGGATATTTTATTATGATTTGTGCCATCCCAACTATAATCTATTGTTTTATAGGTTAGAAATTAATTATTTTCAATAAAATAGAAAGCAATGAGTTAAACAGTTAATATGATTTCCATTTAATGTCTTATTGTTTTAAATAATTCAAATTTTGATTTACATTTTAAAAGTTCATTAAATGCTGATTAAATCATTGAATCAAACTTTTAAGTAATTTAAAATAAACTATTTTGTATATAATTTTAGATTACTAACTCACAAAACTTAGCTAATATTACACCAAAGTATTCTTCATCAAAAGAGAAGAAGTCACTAACTGCATTACTTATTTCTAATATTCCAATCAATTATTAATTTTGATTATATATTGGATACAATAAACATTAATTTGTGTATAGAGTAATGTTTTCATTTGTATGACATAACAAATTATATTCTCTTTTATGTATTGGCTTTAATAATCTTATTAATTCATTAAAAGATCCTTTATTAATAATAGCTCTTTAATTATTATTTGTATATAGGATTCCTATTTAGGCATCAAGTATCCAAAATCTTGTATTCTAACACATAAAAATATGTTTAAAGTTTTAAGCAATAAATTACAATTATGTTTATAAATTATCAATTTGGAATAATTAGATCAATTATTTCAACATCATATTCAATTTTCCAGAGAAATCTTTGAATGATAAATATTAAGAAGTAATTAATTAAATTTATTCTCTTAGTTATTTTTAAGAAGATTGCATCATTTTTTATGTAAATAAAGAAGTTCCTTATTCTTCTAATTCTTTAATAATATCTGCAAATTCAATTTTTAATGCATTAATTCTATAATCTAAATTATCACAAGGTTAATATCTAATTAATAATTAAGTTGGATCTTATTATAAATCATCAAATGAAATAGTTTCTGTTCTTTCAGAAGCTATGTTTTCCATATCTCTTACTGAAATCTTTTTTTTCATAATTTCTAATTTCTAATTTAATTTATTGATTCTTGATTGAGAAAATTTATTTTATTCCTACAATTTAATAATTTCTTAATTTTTAAGTTGTAATTCTCTTTTTTATTTTTCACATTCTTTAACTAAATCAATTAAAGATTTTCTAATAATTGCATTTTCAGTAGGATAATCACATTCTAATATAATATCTAATCTTTGTTCTAAATTTGATACTTTCTAATTTAAATCACCGCTTAACTTTGTTTAGATTTAATATTTATGATAATTTTATTAATTTTAATGTATTAATTCTTCTATCTTACTTTTAAGATTTTTATTTTAAATTTCTAAGTCTTCATTCTTCTTTTTTAAAACTTCATAACTTGTTTCTAATTAATTATACAACTATAATGTCTTCTATAATTAACGCTCTTTATATCCTAATTCTAATTCTCTTTAAGAAGCTTTTTCCAATTCTTTAGACATTAATTATATAGTTTCCATTATTTTTTGAATATCAGCATCTTTATTTTTGCATTCTATAATGTTTATAATTTATTTATGTAACTATTGTAAATGAAAATCAATACAACATTAAATTGTGTTATATCAGTACTTGAATTGCTTTTAGGAGACATCATTGGTTGCTTTTAATTAGACTTGGATAGTAAATTGGTTAATTTTCTATGCATAATTGATTGATTAGAATATAATATATGAAATTAATTTTAAAGAATTCTATAATATTCAAATCATAATATTTTTAATATTGTAAAAAGTTAGAATATGTTTAAATATGTTCTATTTAAGTCAATTTGAGTATTATTAAAAGGATTATCAATTAATTCTAATAATTAAATTTTTTCAATTAAGAATTAGAATTAACAAATGAATTCAATTTATTATATTTGAATATTAATATTAATTTATATAATTACACATGTCCATATCATTCATATACATATTCATATTCATATTCACCATCTCCTTCTTGATTTTGTTATTATTCTTACTCTAAAATAATATTTTCAAGATATTCTTTAAATTATTAACTTGATTATACGAAATCTTTAGCAAATTAATCATCTTCTATTGTAGCCATTTAATTTTAATAATTTATGATTACTTACTCACTCAATATTTAATGTTTATATGACAATTATAAAAATTAATTTAAATGATATTATTAGTTTTATCTACAAAAGGTTTCAATTGATTTAATATAACATACAACTTCAGTTTCACTAACAAATCTAATAATAAATTCCTCCCATAATGCATATGCATTTTTAAGAGAATCAACATCTGGTTAGAGTGTATCTAAAAATGCAGCCATAAATGCTATAACAATATTTTCAAAAGCAATATTTGAATTAACTTTAATTGTATCTACATTAGTTATTGCTTCTTTAACTTAACTCACAGTTTTGCAATTAGCTACTATATCTATCATATCTTCTTTTAATCCTTAATCATCATTTTCTTTTGGTTTCTTTTAATGTAATTCATGTGAATCAGATTCTTAATCAGAATTTTCAGATTGAAAAGCATTATCATCATATTTTTAAAAACTTAATAATTATTTAACATTTTTTTGATTCTCTATTGTAACAATTTATGATTGAATTGAATTTTTTATTTTACATCCTGAAGCAATAATACTATCTTTAATAATAATATTATCATCAACTTCAATATTGTCCCATAATATACTATTAATAATTTCACAACCAATTCCTAATTTACAATTTTTACCAATTATTGATTTTGTAATAGTAACTTTTTATTTAACATCTGTATTTTATCCAATAAAACATTAATCACTTATTTTAGATTTCTAATCTACTCTACCTGCAAAATATTTAAAAAAATCAACATAATATTATTATTATGGACAATAAGGAAAAAAGAATCTACTTAAATATTTAAGACAAGCATTATGATATGATTGAGCATGAAATATTCTTTAAGATACTTAGATTTTAGGTGAAATATATAAATGAATTTTTTCTTCTTAAATATCACTAGTTGTTGTCATATATTTAATAAAATCTTCTTTAATTTCTGCAAACATAAAATATTCTTGAAAACTTTTTAGTACATCTCTGTTACAAATGTAAATACCAGATTCAATAAGATTACTTCTAATAACATATTTACAAGGCATTCCTTTAGTAAGTGTAATATGTTCTTAATAATAATAATATATATAAATATACTTTTGTTTATTATGATTTATTTTTATTGTAAATCTGTTAATTAAAAGAGTTTATCATCACTTTCCAATACATAAAGATATCTTTCTTCATCATATTATTATATTCCTTAATGAACAACCATCAATAAGATATTCATTTTATCCTCTTTTCTTTAATCATGATATTTATTGATTACTTCTTTCAAAGAAATATTAGTTATTACATCACCAAATAATAATAAAAAATCTTATTAAATAATTCCATGACTATATAATTCTCTTAAAGCATCTCCTGAACTTTTACTATCTAATATATTAATTAATTAAATTTTTTATGTTTTTCTACCAGGTCTTCTTCTATTATTAAAATATTCAGCAATCTTTTCATTTCTATAAAGCACAATAATTTAATCAATTTCATTTTTTGATAACCAATTAATTTAATGTTCAATAATTAAATCATCTACAAATGGAAATAAACTCTATATGTTAATTTATCTATTACTTTTGGTATATTGTTAGTTAAATGATTAAATTAATTATCATAACTATCAGCAAGAATTACAGCGTAAAACTCAGACATTATTTTATTTATTAAAGAATTTAAATAAGACAAGAATAATTTATATATTAATATATATTAATTTAATTGATGAGTAAACAAGACGAAGAATCAAAATTACAATTAATAGAATCAGCCTTTGAATGCAATATTTGTTTAGAAATAGCTACAGAACCAATACTAACAAATTGTGGTCATCTATTTTGTTGGCCTTGTATTTATAGTGTATATAGATTATATTATTTAGTGGCTTAATTCAAATTAAGAATTTTTAACTTGTCCTGTTTGCAAGAATGGTTGTTCAAAGAATTCTTTAATTCCTTTATATTCAAAAGATGAAACCAAAACTACGTATTTATAATTAAATAAATTAGTAAACAACGAGATCCTAATATTCCTCCTAGACCTAAACCAGGTAGAAATGATCCTGTTAGAAATAACAATCAGGTTGGTTAAAATAATTTAGCAAATGGAGCTATGATTGCAGGTTATGGATTATTTCCATCACTTTTCAATTTAATATGTATAAAAGATGGAGATATAGAAAAAGATGAAAGACATGAGAGTAACCAATAACTTTGATATATTTTAGATGAAGCAACTGTTGAAATAGAAAATGTGAGAAAACTCAAAGCTATTTTATTTTTGTTGATTTTGTGCTTAATTATGATGATTGTATTCTACTTTTGATCAATCAAATCTATTAATATCATTTAAATATAACTATCTTTTTTTCAAAAGTTTAACTCATTTACAATTATTAAGTAATATAAACTCAAAGAATTCAAAATAAATGTTTTTTCAAAGAAAGATTATCTGAACTTTTTCTAGACCAACTGCAAAAAGTTTATAATCTCTAATTTTAGTATTATCTTGTATTTGAAACACATCGTGTTTAGCTAATTAACTTTATATAATTATTCGTATTATCATTTTCTAAATATTTTTCTTATGTTGTTATAAACCTCTTTCTCCTGGATTATTAATCAGGTTTACGCATTTATTTCACATTTAATTGTTTAATATTGATTATCAAAGGAGGATATTCTATTTTTAATTGATTCATATTTTTAGCAAATTTATCCTGCTTTGCCTTAAAATAATTCATTTTTGTGACATTACTATTAGTTATAGATCGTTGTTCTTATTCCATAAATTTTATTTATTGTGTCTTATTTAGATTTTATTATAAAATCAGCTCTTCAGTCTTATTAGACTCTATAAAATTAAATTAATTGAGCATATTTTGAATAGTATTATTAAGTTTTTATGGAGTAATTTATTTTTATCTTCTTGATTCAATCAATAATTTGCAATTTAATCGATATTTATTAACATTTTCCATCTTTATTTTGTTTATTTCAATATATTTTATTAAATTAACTTTTCTTTTTTAAATTAATCAAAATTCAAGTGAATTAATTTTAGATTCTTATATAAAAAAATATATTCTTTTATGTTTATAATTGGTTAATTATATAAGATCTTTAAATACTTAATCTAAAATATATTAAATAATGCATCTTAAATTAAATTAAATATCAATATATAATCTTAATTATTTTTATTGATTTTCTAGATTTAAAAGGAACAATCATTTAATCTTTAAATAATATAATAATTAAAAATAAATAGAATTATCATCATCTTTACAAAACAAATATACATTTAAATATTGATAAATAAATAATTATATATATTGATCAAAATTAATTATTGTAATTATTAGATTAGCTTAAGTAAGAATCTTATTTGCAATATCTATAAATATAATCATTTTTCAATGGATTATATCTTTATGAAAATATTATAATTGTTTTTTTTTCTTTATCTAATTTTGTATTTAAATGATCATAAATCATTTTCTTTTAATCATTAGGTTCTATTTTTCTGCATACTGATATTGATCTAGTATTATTTGTTATTCTAGCATTTATTTTGGCTTTATTTTATACAACTCTTCTATTTTTATCATTATTTATAGTTTAAATTTATTCTAAAAGCTATTTACGAATTATGAATGGGAATATTGATTCCTTATCTGTTGATTCACTATTTGACAATTCTTAATCATAAATTCTTTAATTCTAAACATTCTTGTTTATTCTATCATATATATTATTATATTGATTATTTTCCATTATCTTCTTTTTTCTTAGTTGATATAACAGTTACATTCTACAATAATTTTCACACATTTATATAATTATGTTTTTTTCTTGTTCAATATTATTTGTATAATAGTAAATATTTTTTAAAAATCAAAAAGGATTTAACAAAATAATTTTATACTAAGTTCTTGATTTTGTATATTAATACTCTTATAATTAGAATTGATGTTTCTTTAATCATATTATATTAAATTGATATTCAATATTATATAATCATCATTAAATAGAATCATTTTCCTTTACTTTTTTCTCTTAAATCTCACTATCATCTAGCAAACTGGATAAATCTTTCAATTAAGCAAAAGTTTCTAAATTATTTTACAAATTGATCAAAGCCTTCGTTAGACTTTCATTTTTATATTCTAATTGTTGCTTATGATAATATATAATATTACATTCTTTTACTTTTAATATTAAATCTATATCTCACCTTCTTAATATACTCTTTTCACTAACTATCTAAGATCTTAAATCTAAAATTATTAAAATTTCTTTACTTCATTTATTAATTCCTAATGTTTATTTTCTAATTTATTTAGCTATGATTAAAGTTCTGTATTTTCATTTTTTAGTTTTGTGTTCTCCATTTAAAGAGATTTCTCCTTTTGTTAAAATTATATTGGCATATTTGATAATGCTTAGAGAATCAATTGTTGCTGTAAATATTAACATAATACTTACATTAGCAAGCGATAATTCTTCGTGATTATTTGATGTTTCATGATTATAGGAGTAAGTTAACATTATTAAATTATTATTAAAGACTTTTTATATAAAAATCGATTAATTATAGTGAACTCAAGTTAATTCACAAATCTTATTCATTATTTTTTTAAACATTTATTTATTAAAACAAGAAACCTCTAAGAATAATAAATCAATTAAATTCATTAATCATATTAAATTTATTAGTATTCCATTTTATTTTTATTTCTTCAAAATTAAAGACATCAAATTTTATTATGAATGCCTACAATTTTAACATCTAAAAAATATAGTGTTTATAAATTATAATTTGTTAAAATGAAAGTTTAAAAGTATATGATTTATATATCATTTTTGTTAGGCTTCTTAAGTATTGAAAGAATTCAATTAAAAAATAGAAGCTAAATGAAAAAATAAAGAATTTATATCAGAAAGAATATCTAATTAGATATCTAATCAATTATAAATTAGCTGGAAACTATGAAATTTATTATTTAATTTATTTAACATATTATGTTAAAATCTATAATTAACAAATCCCACTTTAATATAATAATGAATAATATAAAACTAAATATTTATTTCCATACTAAAAATATTTTATTATTTCTTTAAACTAAGAGATCTAAATATGAAAAAAGTTAATATGATAAAATTAAGTAAAATCAAATAACTTTTTTCAGTTATTCTAATAATTATTTCAAGAAATTAATATAAATAATTAAAAGATTGAATGAATGAAATAAATTATATGTTATTTCAAATTTACAACTAGACTTTAAGAAAATTTAAGTTATGAAATACAATAAAACTTAAGTTTGATTTATAATCAGTTTATTGATGTTTTAAAAATGTCTAGTTATAATTTGATTTTTACAATACATTAATCCATCTAAGAAAGATGGAAAATGCAAATGAATTATCAATTTTCTATAAGAATAAACTTTATATCAAAAAGGTTTTTAACTTATAGTATTTCACTTCTTAAATGATTTGGTAATTAATAAGGTAAAACCTTATTTCTGAGAAATGAATTTTGTATCAGGACTTGTATGGCAATATTTGAAACTTTTAAATGAACTTTATCGAGGACTAATACTTGGAATATTCTATATAAGTTTTTCAACAGATCGGCTATCTTAAAAGTTTGAGCCTGTTCTGAATCTACTATAATATTATACATACCTGTAACTTTATAGATCATTTGTATTATGGAAAATATTCGAGTTATTAAAGAAATTTTATGTTTAATATAGTGTCATAGCTTCATCATTAATATCTTAAGTTTATAGCTAAAATTCATAAATTCATTACTATCTCTAGATTTTTACTTCTGATTTACTAGTTTCCATTTTCAATTTTCTTCTTTCTTTTATTGCAGCACAGCATTATTGATTTTTATAGTATATGCTTTAAATATAATTAATTATATTTTTATATATTAAATATTTATAAATAAATCACTTTACATACAAATAACATACTAGATCTTGTTATATAATGAATCAATAAATTTTTAGAAAATTCTATCAAAATAAATATTGACTTAAATGAAAAATCAATATTAAATTAATGTTAAAATAAATATTTTTATTCTAATAATCATTAATTCATATTCTCAAACATCACATAAGGAGTTGTTTTAATACATCTTTATTTTAAACAGACTAAAGGAGCATTTAATTATAATTTTTTAGACAATAATAAAACTAGAGAGTTTATAAGTTATAGTCATCTATCTTGGATTTTTGAAATTAAAAGATACTTTTTATTTTTTCTGCATTTTCATCTGATATGATTATATTATTTAAATTAATTGATTTTAACTTAATAATGACTTCAAATTTTATTAAGGGCTCATAGTTATTTCTACTTATTATTTAATTCATATATAAATTCTACAATATATTATTTTATGGTTGAAGAAACATATATTTAGTTTAAGGTTTCATTATTTTATGATGAATATTCAGTAATTAATCTATCCCTTTTAGTTTAAAAACCTTATTAATTTATTATTGAAGCCTATGATTAATTGGAAATACTAAATTTTTCATTTAAGTTGTACATTTAATTGAATTAATTCAAGCCATTTATTTGGCTGAGACGAAATAATTGACTGGAACCATTCATCTGACTGAGACCATTCATTTGACTGGAACCATTCATTTGACTAGAATCACTTGATTATACTTTATTTGGTTTTAAAAAATCATTTCCAAAAAAATTAGATTAATTATTGCTTTAAGTATTAAAGTTACTTAGATTTTAATTTAATTATTGTGTATTTTATCTAGAACGGAACTCAGTCAATTTATTTTGAACTTATTATCTTAACTAAGGGATAGAAATTCTTTTCATAAGATAGTACTAAATCATTTATTCAACTAATTGTGTCAATTATTTTTTGCGATTTATAATTTACATTTTGAATGGAGTGTCTTTAATTTGATTTACAAATTATTTTGCTTATGTTTGTTTAAATGGTAATTCCCCTGTCATCATTTAATGAGTATAATACCAAGCTAAAAGAATATCTGAAGTATTTTACAGAATAAACATCACGTTTGCTTTAAGGGAAATCATCATCTTGTTATTTAAGATTTACTATTTAATTGTAGTATTCTGGTGGGGCATAAAGGGGTGTACCAATATAAGTCATTTACAATGAATTTGGATCACAAACTTTACTTATCCCAAAATCAGTTAATTTATAAATCAATTTCCCAAGTTAATTATTGATTAAAATATTATCTGGTTTTATATCTCTATGTAGTATTTTATGAGTATATAAAATATAATAACCAGATAAAAACTATTCTAGAAAATCTTCAATTTCCTAATCAGAAAAGACTTGATTATTTTATTTTCTTTTTTCTAATTCACTTTTTAAAGTATAGTGACATTTTTCCATAATTATAATCATAGATTACTTTGATTCAAGATACTCAAAATATTTGATGTTGACTAAATTTTGTGAATTTCCATCATTCTATAATATTGAAAGGATATTTAATTATTTTTCAATTTGATCCTTTTTTATTTCTACAATCTAATTCAATAAATTAATTACTTTTGCACATAATTATTATTTTTCATTATTTTTATCAGTACATATACATAAAATACCTTCACTACCTTCTACAATTATTTATTTTGTATCTACATAATATTATTGAACCTACATTTTTATAAAACTTATTATTAATTACAAATACTTAAATAGCTTAATCTTTTTAATATATAAATAGATATCTAATTCTATTAATAAATCTAATATAATATTGTGTTCTATTTTAATATTACTCTCTATTAATATAATTAAATTGATAATAACAAAAATTTTATAAATTTATAATTAATTTTGAATACTTTAATAATCACTTTCATAAGATACATACTTCTATATATGTTATTTATGAATCAAAATAGATTAATAATTTGTAATTTAATCAATATTATTTAATATCTTATATCAAGCACACAAATACTAAATAAATATGATAATTGATTTGTATATATATAAAATAAAGATTTACTTAAAATCAATGTTTTATGAATAGATATAAATTTATTAATAAATTGTATTGTAAAACCTACTTTATAATTCATTTAAATATAAATTTATATATATTTCATTACAGATATTGGAATGGGTACATGTGGAGGTAAACCCAAAAAAACAAATTTGTATAATATACCACGGTCATTAGAGGAAAAATGTAAGCTTATTTAATTATGTAAGTTCTTCCAAAAGAAATTGATTTATTGTTCTTAATATATAGTGATCTAAATTCTCGTAATATTGAAAATTTAGTTAATAAAACAGCATTTACAGATTTTTTTACAATGATTGGATTATGGGGTGATTTAGTTTTTGATTATTTTAATAAAGATGATGAAAATGAAAATCTCATTAATTTTGAATAGTTTTTAAAAGGTGTAGCATATTTTATAAAATGTGATGAAGAATAAAAAATAGATCATCTATTTAAATTGTATGATTTAGAAAATATAGGAATAATAAAAAAGGCTGAGTTCCTACAAATGGTAATTTGCATTTATAAATTAAGCTTTAAAATTATCCAAGAGAAGATTTAATTAGATTATTAGATGATCCAATGTTCTTAGAAGATCTTAAGATTCTTAAATATTATGAAAAAAAAGAAAAAATTAACTAAAAAAAGGCTCAACCATTAAGAACAGATGAATAAGAATTTACTGAATCAGGTAATTTTTAAATTAAAAATGATAGTTCATGCATTATAAAGAAGAGGATCTTAATAAAGTGGTGAGATCAAATCACTTTCTAGATAATAATCAGTTGAATGTTAATCATTTTAATCTAGTCTTCCTAATTTTAATGAACAAAGTGTTGTTATGATGTTTCCAAATGAAAGTTTAGTTGGACCAAATGGTGTTCCTATGGGTTAGTTTGGTTAAAATATATCATTTTAAATAAATGGAAAATTAGTTGAATTAAAAAGAGTAAATGTGAATTATTTAGTACGTAAATATGTAGATATGATATACAAAAATAAAGGAAAACAAGAAGAAGAGTAATATAATTTATATATATATATATAGATTATCAATTGAAGAATTTAAATAGTTTGTCAAATTGCATCCAAAAATATTTGATGGACTTTATAAAGCATTTAATTATGATATTTGGGGTGTTAATAATAGTACTTTAGTACCTTTATTTGTAACTACTTAAAAAGATCTAGAAGGACATTTAAAAAAGGTTAGTAGAAAAAATCCAAAATAGATGAAAGATAGATATTTTAAACTTATATAGAGATTTTGTCTATCTTATAAAAAACTTGATTAGGTGATTCCTTCAAGTAATATATTTTTTATAATTCTTAATTTAGAGATATTTTGTTTAGATGGTTTGACAATCCAAGAGATTGTAAATAGTTAAGAATAATAATATGGTTTTGAAATTTCACATAAAGATAAGGTATATCCTTTAAGATTATACTATTGTAAAGATTTTGAGGAATTTAAGAAATGGACAACAAGTTTATAAATGTTTTAGAAGTATTTTATAACCTGAAATAGGGCATCAGTAAATGATTATTATTCTATATTATAAAAGATTGGAGAAGGTAAATTTTCTATTGTTTATCTTTGTGAAGACAAGAAAACTAAATAACAATTGGCAATGAAGATTATCGAAAAATTTAAATTATCAAAATAAGAAAAATTAATGTTAGCGTATAATTCAACATTTTATTATAAATAGACATGAAGTAGAAATAATGAAATTATTGAATCACTCTTGTATTATTAGATTTGTTGAGATAATAGAAACTAAAACTCATTTAAATATAATTACAGAAGTTGTTAGAGATGGAGATCTATTTGATTATATTACTAATAATGAAAATTTAAATGAATAGGAGTCTTCTTTAATAATGAGTTAATTGTTTGATACTATTAATTATGTTCATAGTGTTGGAATAGTTCATAGAGATTTAAAACCAGAAAACATAATGATTGTTCTTGATTAAATTACAAAAACAGTAAAGTAAGTTAAAATTATTGATTTTGGATTTGCAAACTTTTTAACAAATATATAGAATAAAGAAGGTGAAGCTTTATGTGGAACAACAAATTATTTAGCTCCAGAAACTTTATCTTAAAAAAGAATTGATTTTAAAGTAGATAACTTTGCTTTGGGTGTTATTCTTTATTTTTTATTATCTGGTATGATTATTTAATTTATTTTAAGGATTTTTACCTTTTGATGCTCCTTTTCCTGAAGATATAATTAAAAATATCTTAGATAGTACTTATGATTTAAATGACAGTTTTTGGTAACAAATATCTGCTGATGCAAAAGATTTGATAACAAAATTATTAAATAAAGATCCAGATGAGAGAATATCTTTGGATGAAGCATTAAATCATCCTTGGATTAAAGTATTAGATTATGTTGATTAATATAGAATCGCTCTACGTTGCAAACTAAAAAAGTTTAAAGATAGAGATAGAGGTTAGGATTATTTTGATAGCTATTAATTATTAAGATTGAAACATTATATAATAATAATAAATTACTTAATATATCAAATTAGAAATTTGTTTTTAATTTTTTATTTATTTGATGTTCTATATACATTAAATTTAATCATTTATGAGCTTATAAAAGACTGGAAGAGCTATTCATAGTCCAACGATTAAGAGAGCTTCTTGATTCATTCATTTCGATACACTTTTCAATTTTTGGTAAACGAAAGGGAATTTTAAATTGAGCCTTTTTTTCAGATTCAATTAATGAATTATCTTTGCATTTCTATGGTTTTGATTAACTAAAATATTTTTTATTGCTTCTTTAAGTGGAAGGCAAAACAAGAGTAGTTGGTTAGAGAAATTATGTATAATCATTAACTTATAATTATGGCATTGCTTTATAATCTATACTTGAGGAAAGCTTGGCTTTTTGTATTGCCATTTTTTAGACTTTAATTTTATTTAAGAATAGAGCAGTATAATTCTAATTTGAAATAGGAGATAGTTTTCTTTCTATTTTTATTCTTGTTTGCTTAATTGGTTAAGTATTTATATTTAAAGGTTCAAAATGTAATAGCCTCATCTTAAACTCAATGTTTTCAGTTTGAATGTTAGAATTTCTATTTATAAAGGGTGAGAAACTGCAGAGTACGTTGTTCATTACGTAATTATTGTTAAATTATTTTATACTGAATTTGGACTGTTTAATAAATAGATTCTTAATTTGTAATTGAATATTGATGGATTTTATGAAGTTTATATTTATATCATTTCTGATACATGTAGTATAATGTAATTATTGAGTATGAGGAGGTGAGATTCAAGAATTAAATAATAAATATAAATATATGAGACATGATTTTTTCATGGAAAAGGATATAAGAATACTTGAAAAGATTGGGGAAGGAGCCTTTGGTTAAGTATATAAGGGATTATATAAGAATGAGGAAGTAGCAATCAAGGTAAAATTAATTTGATTAATTAGTTCTTGTAAGGTGCTTAAATTTAGGAAACATCAATCATGAAAAATCTGAGACACAAAAATATCATAAAATTTTATTAGGTTGTATCATATTGATATAGTTTAAGTATTTTAAATAAGGAAATTACTAATATTTAGTAATGGAATATGCAGCTGGAGGTTCATTGAAAGAATTAATGAGAAAAAGTTTAGATGAGTCAATCATCAGTTAGATTATGTATTCTATATTTACAGGCATTGAATATCTTCATTCTAAATAGATTATACATCGTGATATCAAACCTGGTATTTTAACATAACACATTTAGATAATATCTTAATAAAAAACACAGAAGATCTTTCAAGCATAAAGATTGCTGACTTTGGTTTAAGTTATTAATACAAACCTGAAATTCGTTATTATTAGACTGTTTCAAAATAATGTGGAACATTTATATATATGGCACCAGAATAAATTTTAAATAAAACATATAACAAAGCTGTTGATATGTGGTCATGTGGCATCGTACTTTTTATGCTATTGAATCAAGGAAAACATCCATTTTATCCTAGGATTTTAACAAAAAAAGAATTTATCAACAGTTTTCCAGATTTGAAATATGAATAACCATTTCATTCATCTCCACTTGCACGAGATCTCTTATAAAGATTATTATAAAATGATCAAGATTCTCGATATACTGCTTCTTAAGCATTAGTTCATCCATGGATTACTCGAAAATTTAATGATCCTATTCCTATGAGTGTTAAACAATTTGGAATTTGTTAAGAATTAAAAAAAAAAGTATTATTTATAATCATTATAGACTTTTTAATAATTATAATCTATTTTGTTTATAATTTATTTGCAAAAAAATTCAATTAAGTAATCTCCAATTCAATCTAAAAAAGATCTAAATGAATTTAAACTTACTATTGCTGAATCTGATGAAGATAGATATGAATAAAAAAATCTAGATAATATCAGTCCCAGAAATTAATAATTCTTAAACTAATTATCAATAACTAGACCTACTAAAATATTCAAATCTTCTAAAACTTTTAATAGAATACCTTAAAAAGAAAAGCATTATCGTTTGAATGCAATTCTTAATCAAACAAATGAATCTAATCAAGAATTAAAAATGTTTAAGTTTCATCAATAATATAGTATTGATAATGAAAAAATAATCATTCCTATTGATCCAGAATCCCCTAAGAAAAATCTAAAACTTAATTAACCAAACAAAGTACTTCTTCCTGCATTATCAGAAATAACTTAAACTTCTTTAAGTCCTATAAAATAAACAAAGGTTTCAATTGTAAAACAGAATTCATTTAGAAAAACAGATTCTTCTTTTTTCTTAGGATTAAATAGAATAAATAATAATTCAGTATAAGAATCAGAAACTATAAGAAATAAAGAAGACATTTATCATAGAGGTTCAATTATAAATACTTAAAGATCAATTGCCAAAAATAATGTTATTAATTTAGTAGTATCTCCAAATTGTAAAATCATACAGTAGAATAATCTTCTTATCCAAAAAAAAATAATATGATAAAAGTATAATTTTGAATAAATTCAAACTTTATTCATTTTGTTTCTTCTATTAAACATTAAATCTATTTTTTGATTTTTCTTTAAATATCCAGAGTTTAAAAATGTTAAATTCTATAATTTTAATAGATATTATATTACTTAGTTATTAATATAACTTTCATAATTTTCATTTTCTATCATCTTTTTTATATTACTTTTATGTTATGATTTTGTTTAAATATTTACAGATTTAGATATATTATTTCTGTATGAACTTAACATTATTTCATATTAAAGTTTATTAGATTTTGCAGTTGCAGTTTTAAGTCTCCATTCTTAATTTTGTTATTTTTTTAACTATTACAATTGAATAGGAAATCTTTCAGTATTTAAATCAAAGCTATAATTCTTTTGTTACTTTTGTTCCAAATAATTAGGTCTCTTTATTAATTCTTATTACATATTTGGTTTTAGACAACCATAGAATTCTAATTTTAATTGTTAAAATATCATTAATATAATTTAGTTATCATAATATTTTTTATTTCTTCTTCATCCAATTAAAATTGCATTCTTATTTTTTGATTATCTAAAGCATCATTTTTTTTTACTCCCATTTTAGCCATTAATTCTTCATTTTTATCACATGTATCAAGTGCTTATTTTTTAATTACTTAAAATCTTTCTAAAGTAGTATTACATACCTTAAATTTATAATATCATTATACTTTCTCACATGTTAATTTCTTTATGGAATCATCATCTAATTTTAATAAATAATTCTAAAGTGGTTTAAAAATGTTGATACAAAAATTTGAAGGCTAATTTGGCATATCTCTATTTGTCATTCTAAATTTAGCTGGTATACCACTAAATGGTTCTAAATTTGATTAACATTCTATCTTTATCTATACTATAGCAATATCTATTAATTCTGATATTACTAATTTTATTTTATCTAATTATAAAACTATAATGTCTTATTATAATTATTATAAATTAATTTTTGATAGATTATTTATTAAAAATGGAATCTTTTCAATTTAAATTTAATTCTTATTTGTTTTTATGAAATTGCAAAATCTTGTTATAATTTATATAGCTAATGTATTAAATTTCTATTTTAATAAGGAAATATAAACTTTTTAAGAAAAACAATTCTCTATAATATTTTATAAAACTAAATGAAAATTGTATTCATTATTAGTTAATTAATTTTAAAGTTCTTATTCTAATTTTTTAATAATTTCTGCTTATCTCATTGAAAAATATGTTGATAAATTCCATTTTTCCATAAACTTTTTTTCAACCTCTGATCCCTTCTCAAAATTTACTTTAAGAGTTTATTTAACATTTTAAATATTCTAATAGTTTTATTAAAATAAATCTAAAACACCTAAAGAATATATATTAACACATTCTTTAGTAGATAAATATATATAGAGTAATTCTACTAATATATTTTTAAATGAAAATGTTTCAGTTTCTACTTTAGCTATTTCTATATTATTTTCATATATTTATAATACTGATTACAAAAACTACTCTAAATTTGATGTATCTTTTGTTAATAAATTTTTATTTAATTTAGAAAAGGCTAAATCAAATGCTGGTTTTAATAAAAATTATACAAGCAATTTCTCAGGTGTCTTATTTAATTACATTTTTTGAAATGATCTTAGAATACAAGCAAATTTGATTGAATTAAAATTTTATAAACAATTCACAAATTCCTTTTCTAATAAATTTTAAAATTAACATTAATTCTATTGAATTATTTACAATAAATCAAATTACTACATTAATTATCTACAATGAGGTGATTTATCTAATTCAGTGTATAATTATCTAGATTTTACAATTAATTCACTAGTTTCAAGTAGATTATAATTAGACATTCCTTTACTTAAATCTACACTCTCTAATATATTAATTAATTTCCTTAAATCTTTCATACTATATTAAAGATTTTATATTAATTTAAGATTTTCAACAATGACATTAATTTGATATATTCTTTATTACAAATTATCTTAAGTTAATACAATAATATCAGTTATATTGCTAAATTAGAGTGTTAAATTATCCAATTAAGATTACAATGATGTTAATTAAGTACTTATTTCAACATAATCTTCTAAATTATTATCTACAGAACTAGCAATATCTTCACATGTTTATGATTATATTTAAGCAATTTATGGCATTGATTATTCTATCTTTTTATAATTGATCTCAAAATTAGCTTAAACAAAATTCTTAAGTATGAATTCTCTTACATCAAATTCACTATTCATAAGCTCATCATATTAATTACTTATCATAAATAAAATTAAATATATAATTAATATGTTCTTCCTTCAACCCTAATAAGAGAAATAGTAAGCAACAAGAGAATTTAGAAGCAAGCAATTGAAAGAAGTGTTTAAAGCAGCCATTTTATTTGGAGTATTAAAATTAGCAGCAATTGCATTCAAACCTAAGAAGGCATGATCATACATTTATTTTTAAATAAAAATGAAAAAAATCACTCTTGAAAATCTAAACTCGTAGCACTTTTAGGTTTTGAATATTTAGATACATCTTGCGTATAATCTAATTTTAGAGATAACTTTGCACTTGCACCTGAAGTTTATTTCCCAATTTTCTTAACCAATTATTCATTAGAAGATCCAGATTTTTCAGATTTGTCATCTTTTACTTTATCTAATAATTCTTATCTTCTTTTTCTTTCTTATAAATCTATATATAAATATATATTAATTTTAAATACCTGAACTTCCTGTTACCTATGACTATGATAACATTTACATTTATAATTCCTCTATCAATTAATCTTTTTTAGTTAATTCTTCTTAATTTTCACTTCTTAATTATTTAAGTTCCTCATTTTCATGCAATATTTAGTTTATCTTTTAATAGTATTCTTTATCTGAAGTTTATTCTAATTATTATTATAAATTCTAAATTATGGTTTCTTATTCTAAAAATTTTTACTCATAAAATGCTTTCATCTAATTAATATCTTAATTTTCAGTATAAGCATCTTTATTTATTTCATTCATTTATAATAATTAATCTTCAAGTTATTGTATCTAATATTAATTTTCTACTAATTGATTTTCTTTATCTAAAATAATTTTATTAAGATCTTCAACTTAAGTTATGAAATTTTATATTTAATCATAAGCTTCTATAATATAATATAATAATTTATGATACTTGAGTAATAATTATACATTTCTTCATATTACAATTAAATTTTGTTTTTCTATTCAGTTAATTCTCCTATTTATTATTGTAAATTAGTTTAATTCTCTTCATATTCCCCTAATTCTTCATTCAAAGTTTGAATCTTTTCTTTGAGATCATTAATGAATTTTTCATCTGCATTTTTTTTTGTTTTTACTTCATCTTCAAATGATTCTTCTTTTTTAATTGATCTTCTTAATGCATTTTTAATATTTCCAGAATTAAATGAATTTTATATTTCTAACAAATGTTATTAAGATTATTTGGATAATTATTAATTTTTATCAATTTCTTATTATAAATCATTTTACACTAAAAATAAAAATAATATAAATACATTTTTAGTTTAAATTTTATGTTTAAGACAATTAATCATTTAATTCAATAATTTATGTATTTAATTCATTAATTTATTCTTATTACTCTTCTTCTTAAATATTCTACCATTATTATTTCATATGATTTTCTGTTTCTAATTTTTCAAATTAAGTTTTTAAATTTAAATATTTCTTTTAAAAGTCTTCATCATTTTATTTTAAATTTATTTCTTTAATTTATTACTTTAATTCATCAATTTCAATATTTTTATTGTTAACTATAAGTTCATATTATTATAAATTTTCCTTAAGTTCAATAATCTTTTAATTATAATCTTCTGGATTATTTTTGTTTAATTGATTTAATTATTCAACTAAATTTTATATTTTTTTTTCATATTCATTAATAGATTCTTCAAGTTCATTATTTTAAATTTCCATCCATTCTATTTTCATTTAAGATTCAGATTCTAATTTTTCATATTATGTCTATAATGATTTAATTTTGTCTTCATAATCATCATTTTTTAGATTACATTTTTATTTTGTTAATTCTAATTTTAATTTATGAATTTCTTCATTTTTATCAGAAACAATATGTTCATATGAATTAATTTAATCTTATAATTAACTAAATGATAATTTTGTTTCATCTTTTTATATTTCAATTTAACCAATTAAAACATTATTTAATTTTTATAATTCTTCAATTTTTTAATTTAATTAATCATTTTCTTATTTAAGATCTTCAAGTTAAGATTTTTATAAATTAAGCCATTCTTATTTCATAATATCTTAAGTTTATAGATCAGTATATTATAAATATAATTCATCATATTTTGATGTCATTTATTTAATATCTGATTCATTTGATTATGGATTAGTAGATTCTTATAGTTTTCCTTCTAATTCTTATATTACTTAAGCCAATTATTAAAGTTATTATTATTATTCATTATAAACAACTTAAAGTTAATTTAGATTTGATAGTTCTTTTTAATATTCCTATACTTTATTTTATAGTGATTAAATTTCTTATTATTTATCTTCCATTTATTTAGCATTTTATTTAGATATATCTTATTAATGTTATTATTATTTTTCTAAATCTTTAACCAATTTTTCTAATTGATTATTTTTTAATCCTAATTCTGTTACTTATAATTAAAATTAATTTTTTTATTATTAACCTTTATCATGTTCATGAATTAATTTTTTTAAATCATCATTAGTTTAATGCAATAATTAGTTTTCTTTAATTAATTTTTCAAGTTATTTTTCATAATTATTTTTATCATTTTTCATTTCATCAATAGTTTATATAAATTTTTATATATTGTCTTCATATTATAGCATTTATTAATCATTAAATTTATGATGTGATGTTTTTCTAATTTAATTTAATTATTCAGAATATTTTTTATTTTCAATTTCTAGTTTTTTATTATCAATTGAATGTTTTTCATTTTTATCACTTAAATCTTATATCTATTTTTTTTATTTAGCTATTTAATCATTAAGTTATTAAATTAAGATTTAATATTATTATTTTTCTGTATTTGGCAATAATGTAGTTTATTAATGTCCAGATGTTTTTGGTACTTAATTTAAAGTCTTAGTATCATTGAAATCTTATTTTATTTTTGCATCTTATTTCTCTTTTAATTAATTAAGAGTATCCCATCTTTTTTATAGAGTTTCGTATTTATCTTTCCATATTTCAAGTTCTTTAGATGATGCTTCTTTCTCAAATTTGAACCTTAAACAGATTTCTTCATACATTTTCTTATATTGTTTTAATACAAGAGTACTAATATCACTAACAGGATTTTTAGGTAGCATATTGGAAAAATAGATTATAAAAATGAATTAAATTTTATTTTGATTATAATTCATTTTTTGATAGGAATTTATTTGATAGTAATATGAAAATTGTAGAATGGAGAGATTTAATGATTAAATATAAAAAAATAAATGTACAATTGGTTTTGAATTGAATATAATTTATTTTAACAGAAAATAATTTAAACATATGAATACTCAAAGATTTGATATAGTTAGATAAGGATTGAATATTACATCAGGAATGAAGACTGATATTGTAGATCTATATAAGAGAGCTTTAAGTTAGAAGCAATATTAAAATAAAGCAGATTATATACGCTATCATTTAGAATAAAAATATGGTAAAGATAATCAAATTAAATTTACAGGACGTTGTTGGTGTGTTTTATTGAGTAGTTTACATAGTGAATAAGAGTATGATTTTGCAGATCCTGAACATTTCTTATTTGAATTAAAATCATCAGAACATCATATTCTTGTTTATTTGATTCCTGAATATAATTATTAAATATGAAAAAATTACCCAGAAGTTATCTTGAACCTAAAATTTTTGATAATAAATATATAATCAAGAATCAACTTAGCTCAGGATCTTTTGGTGTTGTTTATTTGGCAATACATAAAATAACTAGAGAAGAAGTGGCAGTCAAATTAGAAAAAGGAGAACATGAAACATTGGATAGAGAAGTTTATTTACTGACTAAATTATAAGGAATATAAGGAATAACAAAATTGTATTGGTTTGGAGCAGAATAAAATTATAATGTAATGGTTGTTGAATTGTTGGGAAAAGATCTAGGATATTATAGTAGAACATATAAATAATTATCATTAAAAACAGGATTGTAATTATTGGATTAATTATTGACTATATTTAAATAAGTACATTCAAGAGGAATAGTACATAGAGATTTGAAACCAGAAAATATAATGATGGGCAAATAAAATACATCTATAATTTATTTAGTTGATTTTGGTGTTTCAAAATCAATTCTAGATAAAGGAAGACATATGTAAGTTTATGATATCATAAGAGTCCGTTTAAAGATAAAAAATCATTTATTGGAACTACTAGATATGCTTCAATTGCAGCTCATAAAGGATTTGAAATTAGTAGAAAGGATGATCTAGAATCAATGATGTATGTCATTATCTACTTAATTTTAGGGTAATTTGTTATTATAATTTTAAGTAAATTACCATGGTAGAATCTATAAAATATAGGTGATAAAGATAGAACTATTGCAGTTGGAGAAGTTAAAATGAGTACAACTATTGATACTTTATGTAAAGAATTACCAATACAATTTGCTGACTATCTCAAGTATTCTTATGTAATTAAAATAAATTAGATATTTAAAAATCTTAAAATTTGAAGATTAACCTGATTATGATATGCTTAGGACTTTAATGAAAAAATGTAGCAATTCAAATACATATGATAATCTATTTGAATGGTCTAATAAATAATAAAATAAAGAATCTCAATTAGAAGTTAAAATTTAAGGTTCATTCTTGCTTGTGCCTGGAAATGATGGAGTTTAAAGATCCCATACTAAAAAATAATCTAATGTTTCAAATCTTGGTATTTTATATTTATTATTAATTTAAGGATCTTCTTCTTCAAACATAGTTAAATATGTACCTTCTTTTCAGGATGCTGTATAATTCAAATAATCATCTTAAACTCAAATCAAAATTGCTGCAAGTTAACCTCAAATAGATTTTAATAAATTATACCAAACTGTTGATTTTGATGATATTGAAGAAAATATGAATGATCATCCAACTTTGGAATAAAAATACTTAAATTTGTAAGGATTTGATGCTAAATTTAAAGATGAAAAAATTCAATTTTCTCGTTCTGCAATTAATGTTTTTGAATAATGAATGTATTTTTAACTTTTAAAAAATATTATGATAAATTAATAGATCTAGAAATTAATAATTCATTTAATCAACTATTTATGAAATATTTAACAAGAATTTCATATTCTTAACAATACTGAACCAGCAGTTTAATTTTTTTTATGTTTATTAGTTGCTACTATTTTAACATGTTAACTTTATGATCTAAAAATAGAAATTTCATTACTTCAAGATTGCTGGTTATGACTTTTCTAATTTAATAAGTTTTATACTTTTAGATGTCTTTTGAGCATCCAAATAATTACTATGAATCATATAAATTGGTAACGGTTATTAATCAAATATTAATGGTAAGATTTTATGACTGTTACCTATTTAAGATGTATATCTATACTAATTTTAATTAAATTTTAAATAGCTTTTCTTTCAGTAAGTTAGGCCTATTCAACCAAATTAGCAAAACTTCTTTTATTATATTTCAAGATTTATTTATATTATTCTTCTCTATTAGGTTTATGTTTAATTGGCATTTGTTGAACAGATTCTATTATAGATTCGTCTTCATCATAGTCTTCTTCTTATCTAATAGGTGGAACCAATAATTAATGTTTTAGAGGCAAAGGTTCCAACTTTTCATCAAAAACATTGATTCTTAATTTAAAATGAAAATCATCAAGAGTTCCTTACTGATGTTTTAAAATATATTATTAATAAATGACTTTGTTAATTCTAAAAACAAGATGAGAATCTAATGGAGTAGCAGGTAAGTAACATTTTTGATTATGACCAATAGTTTATTTATATTGAAACTTTATTGTAGTTTATCGTTTATCCCACATTTTTCTTTAAGGTACAACCGATAACAAATTACTGGATTAATTATTTTTAATCTCTTTTAAAGAACACATATTAATAGGAGGTAATTCTACATTTCTTTTTCTATTATTATTTGTAAATGTTTCTTAAAATGTAATTACATTGACAGCTTTCTTCAACATATCTTTATTATGATTATGTCTCTTATTTCTTAATCTTAATTATTTCTATTGTTGAATTTTAGTTTACTTTTCTTGATTCTTTCTTTCATTTTCAAACAATTTATATGCTAAATTGAAATATGGTTGAAATTATTAGATAATAGATCCAATATATTTCATTTTTTTGTTTATTAAACCACATTCTAAACATTCACAACTTCTTCTTTTAACTGGAGTTTTATCTATTTTTGGTATTTGAGCATTCATTTTAAATGATTATCCAAATTCATTTCTATTTCTCATTTTTTATTTATATAATTTCTAATTAAATATTATAAAATCAATAATCATATCATTTTCTTATATAGAACAATTTAACTACATTTAAATCATCATTTATATTATCTATCTTTTAGAATTTATTTTTTGTAAATCTATACCATTATTACTATTTCAGACAATAACATTAATATTCATTTTATGATACCTTTTCAATTATTCCTTATAACTAATATAGATCTGAAATATTATATAAGTACATACGTGAATCAAAATAATATTTAATATTATAAGGTTTTATTTATTCTTAATTTATGTTCAAAATTAAAATTTTATCTTTAGCCCAATCCACTTCAAAATATTCTCTCAAATAATAATTATCAAAATATTATGGTTAATAATTAGAAACAATATTTAGTATTTCGTCATATATAACATATATGTTTATCATTCTACTACCAAAATTTAAAGATTTATCATTAAAAGGTACTTAACAATTATTACATAATTTCTATTAACAAAATGTACATTTCTTTAATCCTTATTAATCTGTTTAGAAATATAGTTTATATTTCTTATTCAATCTAAATTCTTTATAATTCTCATAATTTATTTCTTCAAATAAATTAGCTATTAACATATGCAAATCTTAAAATTTAGCTTATTAACTTATAAAACATTTTAATATTGGAGCAAAAGGTTTATATTATTGATAACCTATGTTTTCATATGTACATTAATGTACTCTAATTTCTATTTTATCTTCATCATTAATATTATGTTCTTACTCCATTAACTTTCTCAATTAAAATTTATATCCCTCTTTTAAACTATATGCAGGTTTTGTAAAATCAATATATTCAGTATAATATTCATTACTACACTCAAACAAAACTGAATTAAAATCACATTGTAATTAAGGATGACTCAATAAAGATTCAACTAATTATCTAATATTCTTCTAATTATTTATAATGACTCTATTTTCATTGTTATAAATATATATTGCATCATATCTTGATTTAGTAATCACAACTTATTTTTCCTCTAAAAACTCATAATCCAACAAATCATAATAAATGTATTCATTAAATCCATAATATGATTCTTGAAGTATTTATTTTAAATTCTAATATTTCTATGTGGAATTATATAAGATTTCATTTCTAATTACATCTATCATTTCATAGCATTTAAGCATGCAACTTAATAAAGTTTATTAATCATCAAATATAGTTAAACCTTACCTACAATATTCAATATATTCTTAATTTAAAATAGTTTCACTTTTATCATGATTTATCTGTTAAGTTTTTTCAAAAAAGAAATCTTTTTTTAATTATTTAATATCCATTATGATATATTTTTTATCACGCATTTAGCTTAATTCTTCTATTTTTATTACTTCAATTTTTTTTTCTTTAATTTCTTATACAATTTAAACAAATTTCATTTAATTCTCATTTTTGAGAGTATATAATTATATGAAATTACTTTTTGGAATTTAAAATGATAATTAATTTTATAATGCATTTTCTAAATGTGAAATTATTTAGGAAATATTCCAAGAGGAATCAAATTATTATATTCCTTCAATAAAATGTTATTAGGATTGATATACAGGAATGAAGTTATATATGATGAATTCATTAATTTAATTTGAATTTCTCAATTATCTTTTAATACAGTGTCCATCATAAAGAGTCTTTCAAATTATTAATAAGTTTACATTTAGATGTGACCATATTTATTGATTGATATAAATGTAATCAACATTTAGTTTTAAATTATCTTTTAAAAATGAATTGTATATTTCATCTTAATATCTAATAAATTTTGGATATATTACTAAAGAACATTAGATTTAGTTTCATCTACAATATCATGATTTATAGGCTTCATAGGTATGTTATTTTTGCAATTAAATTTAACAGAATCTTTAAATGTTTAAACCCAACTAATATATTAACTACAGAATGCTTACCTTTTAGATATAATGTATACAATGTCATGATAGTTTTATTCCTTTTAGAATTTTTCAATCAATTACACAATTTCGATTAGTTTCATTAAATAATTATATTATTATTTCTTTATATTATCATTAATGATTTTATTTGATGATTCCTATTCTTATCATTTCTTCTTCTATATTAATCAATTCTTCCTTATTATTGGCTTTAATGTGATTAATCTCAATTAGAATTAGATACTTCAATGACTCTAATGTAATGGCATCATCATTTTCAAAATCGCACTCAAGATTCCCTGTAAATGTTATCTCTTCGGCTTAATTTCTTATAGACTCAAAGAAGGGATGTTCTAAACACTTATGTAAGATAATGTAAACTTTTTAAGCAGTAATTCTATTTTTTGGATTCATTTCTAACATCTAATCCAATAAATCTCTGGCTTTAGCATCAGGAAATGGAACACTCTTTGAGGCTGGTTATTTTGGTTTATGTGGTAAAGTCTCTATGAAAGACAAAGCATTTTCATTAGTTACTAATTAATTGAGTTCTTCATCTGATGGTCTACCTAATATATCAAAAAACATCTTAATCATTTAAATATAATTAGGAGCATTGAATAATATTTTTCTTGTCATTAATTCTGCAAATGTGCATCCTAATGACCATATATCAACTGGTTTAGAGTATTATTAACTTGATAACATAATTTCAGGAGCTCTATAATGTCGAGTAACAACATATTCAGTCATATTTTCTTCTATTTGATCTTATATTTCATCTTTTTTTCTAGCAAATCCAAAATCACAATAACAAACTTCACAATTTTCATTTGCCAATATATTTCCAGGTTTTATATCTCTATGAATAGAACCTGAAGAATGCAAATAATAAAGTCCTTTGCATAATTGATACATAATAAATTAAACATGTTCAACTGATAAATCTTAATTGCTTTTTATTATTTTATGTAAATCTGCTGGAAAATAAGGACTTACAATATAAATATCACCAAAACATTCAGGTTTCTAATCATATATTATATCATAAATTTTGAGAATATTATGATGATTCATTGATCTTTATATTTTAATTTCTCTTAATATTCTCTTTGCATCAATAGCATCTTCTATTAAATTTAATTTTTTTATTGCTACCTAATTATAAATAACAATAAAATCAAACTTTATGATTTTTATTTTACAAGTCATATGCCAAGACCACTGAACCATAGGCACCTGTTCCTACTAATTTTATTAGTTTATAACGATCACCACAATTAAAAGAGATTCCCCCAAACATTATATTGTTCTTCATTCTTTATTTAATATTATTAATATATATATATATATTAAAAAAATGTCAAGATTGTATTCATAAATATGTAGAATAATGAACAGTGTTCCTAGAGGATTAAATCCATCAGCAATATATTCACCTTCTGTTTATATCTAGGCTCTTCGAATTCATAGATATTAGATACCTTAAAATGAGATCTTCAAACAAAAGACAAAAACAAATGAAATTAAACATGTTTGTGAATAATCAATTGCTGTACTAGATTGTTTAAGCAAAAAGAAAAAGAGAGCAAGAAAGAAATAAATAAGAAGAAAGGGAAATAAAATAATTAATGCAAGAAATAGATGATTATCATAAACATATTAATATATTAATGATTTAATGTAAATGTGCTAATTAATGTAATTAAAAAATAGAACTAATTATGGAAGCTAGTAGATGAATTGGAAAAAAGATGGATTTGGTGAAAAGATATGGCTAGATTAATCAACTTATGAAGTTATGAAGGATAATGAAACAAAATAAAAGATATCAAAAAGATTATAAATTTGGTAAAAATATAGTCATGGTATATTAACATTTAATGATGGTGCAAACTATCAAGGTTTTAAGTATTTTTTATAATTAGAAAATGTTGATGATTGGTACTTGTAATTATGTTAAATAAAATGTTTATGAATATATTATAAAAATTAGAATAATTTAACATATAAAAAGAAATTAAAATATATTTCATGGTTATTTATATTAAAACGCTTATTTTTTTCTCATTCTTCTCCTTTCCGTTCTTAAAGATATATATTTACTTTTTTCTTTATTTATGAAATTTTTATAATATTTGTTAAATTAATCAAATACATTTTGAGATATTTACTTTTATTTTTGGATTAATTGAGTTTCAATTAGTAATTCATTAAAAATCTTATTCAAATTCTATTCAACTTCCTTTTTAGTTCTATCATCAGACTTTTCAATTATTGAATGATAAGTAGCTATAATAAATAGTTCTTCAGGTAATTCTTCATTCAAAAAATATCTATAAATTGATTATAACATGTTTATATTGTATTTCTGTTCATTTAAAAATAAAGGCTGATTGAATTCCATCTTAAATAATAAAGTACTGAAGTCAATCTTAAAATTTGTTATTTTTTCGTCTATTGTTGTTTATCTCAAAATTTTTAAATTTTCTTTACTATCTAATTCCTCTTAAGTAAATTATTTTCAATAATTAATCTTTATATTATAATTTTAAACTAATCTTATTTGAATGTATTTTTCATCTAATTTAACATCAAAATAGTTTTTGATAAATCTTCACATTAGGTTCTTGTTGATAAATTTTCATCAGCCATAGTTCCAATAGGATTTTATTATAAATAGTTCATGTTTTATTTAGTTTTGCTTGAATCTACTTAAGCCAACCTAAAACTAGAATTAATCAATTCAATGATTTCATATTTCCATTAGCTTTCATTTTAACAAATCATATACAATAAAGTATTGCTTAATAATGCAGCATAAGCATTCTCAAAACAGTATCAGCATTTTCCATTAATAAAAAAGTCATCAAAGTATGGAATATGCTTGATCTTAGAAAAGGAATAAGAACTTCATTATCATATAATGGAACCAAAAATAAAATTTTTCCTTTTCATTATTTCCAATACTAAATTCAACCTCATGATTTGGAGAATCAATAATTGCTAATGAATCAATATATTTATTAATCCTCCCAATATTAAGTACTTCAACAGTATATGGATTGATTCTTGATTCATCTGATCTTTTTAAATATAAAGCATGTCCAACTCTCGGGAGAAATGATACAATCATATTATTGATTTCTTCAATTAATTCTGGATCTGTTAAAATATCAACTTAATTTTATAACTAAATTATTGAAACTCGGAAATTATTTAATATTTTCAATCATGGTTAGAAATTTTTATTTTGATTATTAAAATGCTTATATAGACACATTTCAAAGATTTACAATGATATTTTCCAATTTAAGTACCAATTTTAAGTCTTTATGCAGCTGTTGCTTCATCTAATTCTTATAACGTTTAAGAAGAAGTCAAAAACCTAAGTTCTTAAAGTATTTAATTAAGTGCTGATTACTATCCCTAAACTCTCTCTAAAAATGCTTACTTTTTCTTGAACATAAATTTTTATATCTCCTCCAAGGCTATTTAAGCTTCCTTTGCTACTTTTTTTTCTTAAAGACAATAATTATAAATTTTATAGCCAAAAGGCGACAATTAATTCAATTTATTCTCCTTTTACTTCTATTTTTTCTAATTTTCCATTTTCTGTTACCAACTCATCTGAATAACTTGAAACCCAAGAATTGGGCCGCACTATTTCTATCATCTAATCCCAAGGAAATTAATAGTAAAGCGAAATCTTTATTGGAGTTTGATGTTTCATAAATTGAGTTGCAGATCGCATTTCAATTTAAAATTTCATATCTAATAATTCATTTCTTCCATAAGAATCAACCAAAAATAATGGAGGAATAGACTTATCTCCATTATGGTACATTTCTCTTAAATTCATTGAAATAAATGTAGGAAATTAATTGGCAACAGCAATACAAATAAAATTTAAATTTTCTACGGATGGCCTTGTTTATTCAATTAGTTCTCTATAAAAGTCCCTTTGTCCATCAGAGATAAATAGAACAGTAACATTTTTTTTTAAGTTTTAGAATATGTAAAAATTTGTTTAACTTTAAGAAAGTTATTTTATGTTTATTCCTCCTCCATAATAATAAGTATTAATATTAAATGAATGATCAGTTTATGGAATTTTTTTTACTTTATATTATCAAATGTAATAATAAAATGCTGTTTTATATTTAGCCTTATTTAATTATAGTATATGGCAATATGTGGCCAATCTATAACATTAAATTGATATTTTACAGTTGTACATTGATCTTGAACAATCCAAGATTGCCAATAAATATGATTTTTCTAATTTAGATCTTGGTACTTTAAAATAGTTTAATGAGATCTCCTAAAAAATTTTTATTAAAAGACTATAATGAAGATATTAAAGAAAAGATTTAAATATAGATTTATTATCTCATTATTTATATCCTTATCTATTAATTTAATTCTACTTAGAAGAATATCAGATAATTATAGTTATAAATTAGATTTTACATCCCTTATTAATCATTTTCATAAAATAAATTAATTCTTAATGGAATGAAAGTACATAAATTTAGTATGTGTAATGCAAAATATATTATATTTATTTTTGAGAATAGTAAAGAAATGAATATTTAGTTTTAAATGATTTAGAATGAAACTTAACAAAATGGTATGGGTTAAAAATAATACAGGAATAAGAAAGAATGTTTATATATATATATATATTTTATATAATATACATAATTTATTTAAATCCGTTTTAAATTAAATGAGAGTTGCTGCTGTTTTGCTAGTTTGTTTAGTATTATGTTAGTGTATTCCAGTACATAAGAAATTTTTGTAACTTGACGGGTATTTGATTAAATGAATAGTAGTCAAGAGAATGATGTTTAATATACATCAGAGAATTTATAAGTTGTTGAGGAGAAGAGCCAAAGTAAGGATGTTCAAATTTTGGCAGCATAAGAGAGTGATTTGATGATTAATTAATTAGAGGCATCTGAGAAATAAGATGTACAATAATCTTTAGATGATGAAACACCATTGAATAGTNCCATCAGAGATAAATAGAACAGTAACATTTTTTTTTAAGTTTTAGAATATGTAAAAATTTGTTTAACTTTAAGAAAGTTATTTTATGTTTATTCCTCCTCCATAATAATAAGTATTAATATTAAATGAATGATCAGTTTATGGAATTTTTTTTACTTTATATTATCAAATGTAATAATAAAATGCTGTTTTATATTTAGCCTTATTTAATTATAGTATATGGCAATATGTGGCCAATCTATAACATTAAATTGATATTTTACAGTTGTACATTGATCTTGAACAATCCAAGATTGCCAATAAATATGATTTTTCTAATTTAGATCTTGGTACTTTAAAATAGTTTAATGAGATCTCCTAAAAAATTTTTATTAAAAGACTATAATGAAGATATTAAAGAAAAGATTTAAATATAGATTTATTATCTCATTATTTATATCCTTATCTATTAATTTAATTCTACTTAGAAGAATATCAGATAATTATAGTTATAAATTAGATTTTACATCCCTTATTAATCATTTTCATAAAATAAATTAATTCTTAATGGAATGAAAGTACATAAATTTAGTATGTGTAATGCAAAATATATTATATTTATTTTTGAGAATAGTAAAGAAATGAATATTTAGTTTTAAATGATTTAGAATGAAACTTAACAAAATGGTATGGGTTAAAAATAATACAGGAATAAGAAAGAATGTTTATATATATATATATATTTTATATAATATACATAATTTATTTAAATCCGTTTTAAATTAAATGAGAGTTGCTGCTGTTTTGCTAGTTTGTTTAGTATTATGTTAGTGTATTCCAGTACATAAGAAATTTTTGTAACTTGACGGGTATTTGATTAAATGAATAGTAGTCAAGAGAATGATGTTTAATATACATCAGAGAATTTATAAGTTGTTGAGGAGAAGAGCCAAAGTAAGGATGTTCAAATTTTGGCAGCATAAGAGAGTGATTTGATGATTAATTAATTAGAGGCATCTGAGAAATAAGATGTACAATAATCTTTAGATGATGAAACACCATTGAATAGTGCTTATGTATTAATATTGAATATAATAATAAAAGTTTGAAGATGAAGAAAATAATAATGAAATTATTGAAGATGCTAGTTAAAATATAGTAGAGGATTTGAAATTGATTGGCTAATTGGATAATAATAATATTATTGATGAAAATCATTAAGTAATAGATACTTAATAAAATATTAATGATGATAATGAAAATTATGCATCAGATACTATGAATGTGAATGATGAAATTTAATAAGAACTTTCAGATTAATAAAATATTCAAGAGACAATTAATAATGAAGATAATTATTATGATGATTCAATTGAGAATAATGATACATTACAAGTAAGTGATAATGTCTCTTAATAATTAATTGCCTAAACAAATGAAGTCCCAGATCTCACTAATATGGATTAAGATTAAATTACACAATAATTTACTTAACCTGAATATGAAGTGTAACCAAATCAAATAGAATAGACTAATTAATAAGATTAAACTATTATTGTAGATAATCAATTACAAAAAGATGAAAATCAACCAGAAGCTTAAATTATTGTTGTATAAGAATAAACTTAAATCTAATCAGATAATTAAGGTCCTAAATAAGTTAATATTTAATAAGAGATTACCTCTTCTGAAGATCCAAATAATATAAATGATATTAATGAAGAGTATTATATTTAATATACATTAGATAAACATCCTAATGTATTGAATTATATAGTTAATGTTATTACAAAGGAGAATCAATGAAAGCTTGTAATGATCTTGGATAAATGAAGTAATTTAATTTTATCATATTTTAGAGATTTCCCTTATGAAATTAAATCTTTGAAGATTCCTTTTGGAACAACCCTTACCATCTATGATCATCCAAATTATGAAGGAGATAGACACACCTTCTCTAAAAATGAAGAGTGTTTAGCAAATGTAATTGTTTTAACATAAATTACAATTTGAAATTTATCATATAAAAATTAATAACATAATATGGGAACAAGCAGTTCTACTTTTCAATTCAATTTCTCACAATATTAATATTTACAAGAAATCATAGATCCTAGATTTGGAGAAATTAAATTGTATTAGAAAAATGAGACAGGTGAATTAATATGTGTAATTGAAAAAATACAAACTTAACCTACTAAACCATTTAAGAAACTTGAACATCTTAATTTATTAAAAGTTTATTATTATTCTGCTTCAACATATAAAGTAAATTATTAATTTATTACAAGGAAGTATGTTCTACTTTTACAAAATTATACATTGTTTATGAATACATCAATAATAATCTTAAAACTATCATAACTAATAGATATAAGAAACATTAATATTTTACTGAATCCTAACTTTGGTCTCTTGCATATTAGATTATTGATGTCTTAAATTATTTAAAAACTAATGGTATTTTTCCTATGGAAATGAGAAATCTATATATTTCAAATTAAGGATATCTGAAATTCAATTCACTTTTTGATAATCATATGACATCATTCTAATAATTGTTTAGTTAATTTAATGAAGATTTTCATATTTCTCCAGAAGAATTAACACTTTTCAAAAATTAATCATCTATCAATAATCTTAATCCTGAATTATGCTAAATATTTTAATCTGGCTTAACTATTTTATGGGCAGCAACTCTGAATGATCCATCAACATTCTTCAATAAAATTGAATGGAAGTTAAATGAATAAGATCTATATTTAAGAATCTCAGAATTATAATACACTGATAACTTTAAAAATTTACTTATTTAAATGCTTTAAATTAATCCATCTCAAAGAGGTACTTTAGAAACCTTATTAATTATAATTTCAAAATATAAAAAAAATGATGATCTTTTAAAAATTTAATAACTTGATCCCACTCAAAATAATCATGAAAATGATGAGTATGAGTATTAATCATAATCATCATATAATTAATCAAATAGAAAACAAAAACTAAATATATAATAAAATAAATTTTCATAGTATTAAAAATAAATCTCGTTAATTGGTTCTATAACTTTAAAATCTGAAAATTATGAAATCAATAGAAATAATTAATTATTCAACAATAATAAAGTAATTAAATAAGAAAATAATATTAATCAGCAATAAAAATCAAAATCATTTTTATAATTTAAGACTCCTAATTCATCTCCTATTCAAACTTACAGAAAGCCTCCTTCAATATCAGCATCTAAAAATCAATTAAATAGTACTTCTAAACCTAAAATACCTAATTAATCTTAATTTAACAAAGATAAAATAAGTGATACTAGTTATTTTTCATAATAATCTTATTTAAGTAATAATAAAAGTTAAAGGAGTTTATTAGAAAATAGGATTGAAGAAGCTTTAATGAAAAGTAAATTAGCATTAGCAAAGTTTGATTAAACTATTAAATAAAATAATTATTATAAAAATTGATAAAGAAAATGATTAAAAAAAATAGTAAACTTTTCATATCAATTCTTACATTCTACACTTTAACAAATTAGAATTACTAATATAGGTAATATAAATACAATATTAGTATTCTAAGGATCTTAACTTTATTAAAATAATAGTTATATTTATAATTGCATCTCCCAGGTTTGCTTTATATAGTATAATCAAAAATAATTGAATTTTGAAAATTATGGTAAGGATGATTCAAGATCGCTTCGAGGTTTAATTATTATTTTATTTTTTGGCTTATTATAATGTTGTAATAAAATTAAAAAGTATAAGATTGGATATTTTGTAATTATATTCCAAATCAACAACTAATATTAGTAGCTGTTTACGGAATTCATAAATAAAAAGATCGCTTAGGGATTTTTTTTATAATGGATTCTGTATTTAATCGTTAATTTTGATTTATATTTAAAATTTCATATTATTATTTACATGATTTTAAATTACATAAATTTTATTAATAATCAGTATAATCAATTGTATTGCGAATTATATATAGAACAATTGGGATTGCATCTTGTTATCATTAATGTACAAGTTAAATAGTACTAATCAAAACCTTATTGATTCAAGATGCCTGTTTTGTAAATTATTAATGGATATAGATTAAATTAAAATAGACAGTTCCGTCAGATTTAATTAAAAATAAGTAATATATTGATATTAAATTATATCAATCTAAATTGACTTTTATATCACTAATTTCAACCACCCAAATTCATAGAGTTCACATTTAAATTTCAAATAATTTTTATTTATAATTAATGTTATTTTATGATCACAACACAATTATATAATTCATTTAATAAATCCAAATTATATAGCTCATTTACTAGCCTACTTAATATAAAGGACTTATTGGAGTAAAAGAAAGATTAAATAATATGTTTTAGAGAGAGGAATAGATAATTATATATTAATAAATATATTGTTTATAACAATGTCGACGTATTAACATATAATTAATGATTATTATTAAAATTTCTAATTTATCATCAAAAAAATTTATATTATTATTTAATACTTGTCTAGTGATAGATATTGATCATAAAATGTTTCCATCACGTTATTTTAAGAGAGACGCTTGATTTAAATATATTATTAAATATTATTACCAAAAGAAAGGTTGAATAAAAAGAATAAATTTTTATTGTATAATATTGTTTAATCACTGAACTAAAGAAACAATTATAAGCTTATATCGGCTTCTATTTTAAAAGTATAATGTGGTAAATACTGTACATTTCTTAATAAATTATCAATCCTTGTCGCTTCCAACATTAATTAAAGAGAAATTTGGATAAACATTTTCTTCCTTTAGTCTGGTCTTTGGAAGATTATTTACATAAGCCTATTTTTTCATTTTTCTAATACTGATATATCAAATTTAAGCTAATATAATTGTGACAGCATAAATAATGTGTAGATTTATGAATATGAAGAAGGTTTAAAAATAAATCATTAGATTCTCTTGATTTCATCGTAATACTCATAGTGTTTAATAGTTTGATCCGCTACTTTTATTTAAACCCAAAGCTTTGAATCTTCCTTAATCGAACCAACAGACACCCTTTTTACTTCAGGATCTGATTCAAAAGTCATTTTATTTTTCTTAAAACAATGAAGTATAGTTTTTGCAGTTGCATAGTTAATATTTAAATCCTTTGCTATCTATGATAAGAAAAGTATCTTACTTTTTTTATTTTACATTTTTGTTTCAGTACAGTTTGAATCAGTTAAGCTTTCTTTTCTTTAGTAATATGACAATAGTCTCTTTTTATTCTGGGTTGAAGTACTCTTTCACATACATTCATGGATCTGGTTTTTACACCGATCACACTTTCACTACTATTCATTTAAGATTTATATTTTATATTATAATGTTAATGGAATAATACGAGATTTATATGTATCAACATAATTTGCTCAAAACAGTATAATTATAATTATCATAATTTATATAGATAATTATCTACTGATATTAATATTGAAATGTTAATAATGCTTGCGAATAATTTGATTTCTTTATTGTAAACTTTCATATTATATCATTTCTCACATAATATATAGATCCTATCAATGTAAAATGATCTTAAATAATCATTGAATTTCTTCTCAATAATCAAATAACTTTTCATTATTTTATTATTTTCATCAATAACCTTAGGATGCAATCTAAAATTACAATTTCGTAAGGTTTATAGAAATTTACTACTGTAAACTATTTATATTTAGAAATTTTTGTTTATATTTTTGAAAATGGTATATTATATTATTCAATCAATAGATTAAATCATTTATTTTACTACATTACTATTTAATCATCATGAAAATTACTTTAAAAATATATTAATATGAATTTAAAATTGATAAATCAAAGTTTTTTGAGAACTAAAAATTTTTAACCAGCATTAATTTTATTGAAATAACTGATAAAAGTTTTATTGATTAATGTATAATTACAAAGAGAATTTTCTTTAAATGTATATTTATTAGTTTAAATATGCTTCATATTCAAGTTTAATGAGATTTTAATAATCCTTTAAGTTTTTTTTATGATTTCAGAATTATGAATTAGTAGTATTATTTTATATAAAATTAATCATTATCTGCTACTACACATACTTAGATACATTTTTAAGATCTTGTCAATATCTAATGATTATTGTGGCTCTTTCTTAAATCTAATTAATGATAAAACTTAATATTACCCTTTTACTCGATCTGTTTTTAAATTTAATCTATGTTCTTCTTCATATGTTTATTATTAATCTTCAATTGTAAAGGAAGGCATTGATTTAAATTAATCTAACAATTTAACAGGTCCATTCTCATCACAATTTTTTGATTTAGAACCATATTTACTAAATTATATTGATTTTGGTTGAGAACTTTTTATTTAATTAAATTAAGTATTTGAACTTTTAATTAAATTAGTCATACTAACTTGATTTCTTTTATGCATATTTGTAGCATCTTATAATGGACTAGTTTATTCATATATAATTTTCTTTTTTATATCATCAAATATATGTGATTATTTTTTAGAATCTACTGTTGTTTTAGAAATACTAGGAGATTTAATACTTAAAGAAGAAGAATTATTCATATTGTTATTTGTATTATTCTAATTTTATCTACAATTTGGTTATTATTTATGACTAATTAATGGTGATTGATATTTTTAAATTGAATTTTGATCCACAGATAAACTTTATTTAGGAGATATTGATATTTTCAATTCTATTATATTATTTATATAATATTACATGTTTATAATTAAGGAAAGCATCTCTAAACAAATGCAGATTAATAAATATCTTTAAAACAAAGTCTTTATTAAGGATCTTTTTGTAATATATTTTTGATTAATTCTTAAGCATCTTAATTAATTGAACTAGAATATCGAATTAAACCATTTTTAATATTCTATGATATATCTTTGTATTCTTTTCCTTTAAATGGAGCATATCCATGCAATAATTCATATAATAATACTCCAACTGACCAAATATCTATTTTATAGTCATAAGGCAAATCAGATACAATTTCTGGTGCCATGTATTCATAAGTACCACAAAATGTCTTTCTTTTTAAATGAATATTCTCAGCACACCAACCAAAATCACATAATTTGATATCATTATTATTATCAAGTAACAAATTCTCAGGCTTTAATCATTAAATTTTATATTATACTTTTATATCTCTATGAAAAACATTCATTTCATGTAAATATTACAATGCTTTACAAGTCTATACAAAATATTTACATGCTTCTTTCTCATCTAATCTCTTTCTTTTTTGTACATAATTATATAAATTTCCATTTTCTGCATACTCTAATACCATATATACATTTCCATGTTCAATAAAACTGTCATATAGATTAACTATATTTGGATGTCTACACTTTAAATGAACTTTTATTTCTCTTTCCACTCCTTCTTATTCATATGGAGTTTGTATATTGCATTATTAAATGGATTTTATTGCATATAATTATTGTGATTTTATATTCTAAACTAAATTGACTGTTCCAAAAGATCCAGTTCCTAAACTAGTCTTACCATTGGATCTTTATTTAGGTTCAAATTATAACATGGAATTAAATAGTCCTTTATTATAGCATTCTATTTTTCTTTGCATTTGTATTGATTAACTGACAAATTTTTATAAATATAATCAATAAAATTTATAAACAAGTGACTAAAATACTGTTCCTTATTATATCTTTATATATACCAATCTTCGTAAATCATTCAATCTTTTTCTATTTATATTATATCAAATGAAGGATTTAAGTTAATTTTTTTGTATTTTTTTAGACTATAAAAATCTATACATTGAAAAAAATAAGAATATTTTATTGATGATATCATAATATATGAAAATTAATATATATATTAAACTATTTAATTTATAAATCTAATATAATATAAACAATTTTCAATTAAATGTAAGAAACTATTATATAAATAAATAAAATCAGGCAATTCAAATAATAATGTGTTTTTTTATTAAATTAAGTGAAATTTAGATTTCGTAATGAGTTGATCAATTATTTTACATTAAATGCTTATTAATATTTTTTATTTGTTAAATAAAACATAAATTTTGATGGATAAATTGCCAAGATAAATCAATGAAATGAATATAGATTCTAAAACTTTGAATTCTCAAATAAGATCAACAAATACAAAATAAATTCTTAATTTCTTTTCATCATAAGAATTTACCCCAGAATTATTGATATATTATTATATGGCAACATTTAACGAACCAGGTCCTCATTAATATTTAACACAAAAATTATTATAGATGCCTCATACATTCATTGAAAATTTTATTCCTTAATTCAGGTAATTGATGATTTTAAGTGTTTTTAGTTACTTAGCGATTAAAAAAGGAAGTAAAAGCATGGAAACATTTTTGGAAACCTTATGTTAAACAAGTATAGCAAATTTCCTTAAAATCAGCTGGTGTATTAATGCTTATTCTGAAAATGAAAAGTAGAATGAGATTACTTGTTAACAAATCGAATTCTTTTAAAGAGTAACAAATTATAGTTGATATTCTTTATAGAAACTAGAAAAATCAATGGTAAATGGAGCTATTAAATATAGTAAGGAAGAAATACTAAAAAACATGAATAATGTAGAATTTCAAATATGTATTTATAAATAAAAATAAAATTTATAGAATTGTAAAACTAATTCTCAGAAAAAGAATTGAGATCCAGTTATATTGGATTAGTAGAAAAGTTAGTAATGAATTTGATCAAGTTATCTTTAACTCTAAAATTAATTGACCCTTCTGAAAGGAAACAATTTCTATTTAAAGAAATTAAAAATACAAATAAAGCATTAAAAAGATTAAGAAACTAATATTCTGAAATACCATATTATTGGGGAACAATGCTACCTTTTTAAAGAAAATATGAAGGTTAAGACCCATCAAATCTAATTGTTAGGATTTGTGAAGAAGGTTATGCATGTTTCAATACAAAAACTAGAGTTCCTTATAGAATTTTAGTTGAAACAATAAGTGAAGAAGAAATTAAATAGAAATAAACAAGATTAAGCTAAGATGTTTCTACAGATGTAGATTAGGATGATTTATTACATAGAGAAATATCAGATGATCTAGAATCTCAATTAAGATATCATACTAAATGTAAAATGGAGGATTCTATTTTCAACTAACTTCCATATTATAAATATGATAAATCAACTAATTATGAAGATAGCTTACCAGATTCTCCAAACAAACTTGAATAGAATCTTATTTAAAAATCTTCATTTACTACCCCAAAGATTAAAAGAAGAAATTCTTGGTCAAGTTCTACTACTATAACTGATTTTTCTGTTACATTGAGTGAAGCAAAACAAAGTAAAGAATGTGATGATTTAAAGAGACATTAAAGATAAAGAACATCTATAAATTTACCTACTCCATCAAAAAATAATTAATTATTAAAAGAAATAAATTTAAAGGAAGAAGAATATTTATTAGAGTAAGAAAAAAAAAGTAAGGAAAGAAAGAAAATTCTTGTAAAAATGTAAGGACCATGGGGAGAAGATTGGGATCATAAATTAGAATTGATTAAAGAGTAATCCCCTTTTAAAGATTTTGAATCATATTAAATTAGAGCCATTATGGTTAAAGGAGGAGATGATTTAAGACAAGAACTTATGGCTATGCAAGTAATACAAAAATTGGACTCAATATTTAAAGCTAGTGGATTAAATTTGTATTTAAAGCCATATGAGATAATTGTAACATCTGAAAATTCTGGACTCTTAGAATTTGTTCCAAATACTATTTCTATGGATGCTATGAAAAAATATTTGAAATCTAACAAGTTTAAGTCTTTGAGAGAATTTTTTAAATTCTATTTTGGAGAGGACTTTCATTTTGCTTAGAGAAACTTTATTGAAAGCTTAGCAGGCTATTCATTATTAACATATATTATGTAAATAAAGGATAGACATAATGGAAATATATTAATTGATAATTAAGGTCACTTAATTCATATAGATTTTGGATTTATTTTGTCCATTTCTCCAGGAAATGCAGGTTTTGAAACAGCTCCTTTTAAAATGACATAAGATTATATTGAATTAATGGATGGAAGTAGTTCTAAAGCATTTCAATATTTTACAGAATTAATGATTTCTGGATTCTTAGAATTAAGAAAGAGCTGTGCTGCATTATTATAGATTATTGAATTGATGATGGAAAAAAGCAATTTTCATTGTTTTTCTAACTTTGATATTAAAGAATTTAAGGATAGATTCAAATTACAAGATAGTGTTGAAAAAGTATATATATATATTTATATTTTTAGTGTAAAAAGAATATTATAACATTGATTAATGACAGCCTCAATAATAAGAGAACATATTGTTATGATAAGTTCCAGTAACTTACAAATGGAATTAGTCCATGATAGTTCTACTAAATTAAATCAATAGATTTTATTATATTTTAATCAAATTCTATTAAAAATTTTATTATAAATATAAAAATGCTTAAAATTGGAAAAAACCAAGAATATGAGATCTAAACAGATTAGCAAATAGGAGAAGGTGCTTTTAGCAAAGTCTATCGCTGTTAAAAGAAAGTTGAAAACCAAAAGTATGAATTATGTGCCAAAGTACATTTACTAATAATCATAGATTATAAACATTACTTCTGATAATCAAGAAGATATTAACCGTGAATATGAGATTTGTTAATTGATTTAATAAAAATAAAATCCCAATCTAGTCACAATTCATTATTTAGAAATGAATAAACAAAAATCATCCTTATATATAGTTATGGAATAGTGCTTTTCTACCCTTCATGAAGATCAGTAGAAAAAAAAAATATATTCGGAACAAGAAATATTAGATTTTTTGTTATAATTTATAAATGGATATAAAGTTCTCTATGATTTGAATATTATTCATAGAGATATTAAACCAGATAATATTCTAATTTAATTTTATGACAATAAGAAATACTATAAATTGGCTGATTATGGAATAGCCAGAATTTGTAAATAAAATGATCTAAGGATAACCGAAAAAGGTTCTCCATTATTTGCATCTCCTGAATTAAATTCCCTGAATAAAGATGATGATCTAAAAAAAAATTTTGCTGAAATGAGATAATAGAATTAGAGAAGTGCTGTTGATATTTATTCTGTAATTATTTACTTATATAAAGCTTGGTATATTATTACATTTGATGGTCACTGGAAAGTATCCATTCAAAAGTAAATAATAAAGGATAATTGATTTTATGAATAAAATCTAAATAGAACCTTTTTAAATAAAAAAATCTATGAATGAAAAATTTAAACTTTTAATAGAAAAAATGATTGTCTATGATCCAAAATAAAGAATGACATTTTAAGATCTATTAGAAAAAATTAATCCCTAACTTAATGCGAATCTGATAAATAATTAGACAATTTTCTAAAATATCCTTCAATAAAATAGTAGAATAAATTAATTTAATGCTGCTAGATTATAAACAAGTTAATCTCTATTACTTAATTAATAAAATCCAGGTCAACAACAAACCCCAAGCTTTATAATAAATTAACAAAATCGTTTTCAATAACAAACCCCTCAATAAAATATATTACCTAATTAACAAAATCCTTTTCTATAACAAAACCCAAGTTTGATAATAAATTAATAAAACAATTCACAATAATAAACCACTCAATAAAATATATTATTTAATTAACAAAATCCAGGTCAATAACAAACCCCAAGTTTTCCAATAAATTAACAAAATACTGCTGAATAAAAAATCAGCCAATAAAATGTAATCCTAACTTCACTAAATGCTTCTAGATTTCAAACTAATTTAGGTGTTTTAAATTAACAAAATCCTTTTCAATAACAAAACCCAAGCTTGATAATAAATTAACAAAACAATTCACAATAACAATAACAAACCCCTCAATAAAATTTATTACTTAATTAATAAAATCGTTTTCAATAATAAACCCCTCAATAAAATTTATTACTTAATTAACAAAATCCTTTTCTATAACAAAACTCAAGCTTCACAATAAATCAAAAAAATGCTCAATAATAAAACTCTCTATAAAATAATCCACTCAATTAACAAAGTGTTCCTAAATAACTAAATCCTGAAAACACATCAATTAACATTTCAAAATTTCAAATAGCAAAACCCGAAACAAATAATTAAATAAAAACAATCAATATTAATACTGTATTGACTGGCTATTTAAAAAAATCTATGTAACTATTTTAAATATTAAAGGTACATTTATAAAAATATTTTGGATGAAGCTAAATTAAAAACTGTAGAAGATTACATTCAAGGAAATTGTAAATTAAATGAGATTCAAAAATTATTTGATAACTTTGACCAAAAAATAGATTATACAAAAGAGGACATATAATTTTATTACTGCTTGAAATATGGATTAAAGAATTAATCAGCTATCAATATAATATCAACAGAGGAATAATTTGAAGATTTAAAAAGTGAAAAAAATTGATAATTATAGCTTAATTTAGTAAATTGTTTAAAATAAAAATTTAATTTAATTTATAACAGAACAAATAGTTTAAAAATGTAACGACATCCAATGTCTATGGTTTAACCAAAATAATCAGAAGCAGAACTTTTAAATTAAATAAACTCATTAAAATCAGAACTTTCCTTCCAAGTAAATGCAAGTAATTTATAATTTAATATTTTAATAGATGGGAGATTATCTAAGGAACTTAATGAATGTTTAAAACGTTTGGGAATTACTCGAGTTGACGTGATTCATCAAGACATCAATCATCAAACTGATTTATCTTATTTAGCTCCCTTATTTATTGTATATGAAGAACATATTAAAAATTATGATGTAATACTTCAAAAGTTAATGGATGATCTAGGAGCAATGGATGCCAGAATATAGATGGTCAATGATGATAATACATTTCTTAGAAAATAATTACAGGAGAAGAATGAATAGTTTCTTCGTTTGTATTAATAAGGTGGAAGTGCTAGTAATATCAAAACTGTTTTTAATGAGTTGGAGAGGGAAGATTTAGAGGAGAGGATTAGGTTATTGAATGAAGAGAACAGCATATATGTCAATAAATTAAAATAATATGAAGGATAGATATATGATCTTTAATAAAAAAATGATTCATTCATTAGAAATGAATAATAATATTTAAATTAATTGCAGGAATTAAAATAATTGAATTAATAATTAGAAATTGGATAAGATGACTTAAAGATTAAACTTGATATATTAGAAAATAAATTCTAAAATTAAACATAATTAGTAGCTATTACTGAAGAGGAGAAAACAGAATATATTCAAAGATTCAGTAAAAGTGAAAATGAAAATAAAGTGTTGAAACATTAGAATTAGAATTTAAAACAAGAAATTGTAAATCTTTAAAATAAAGGTTAATTAAGTCAAACTGAATTATAAAAGGAATTAGAAGAATTGCAAAAGAAAGAAAGAGAATTATTTGATAAATAAGTTCATGATGAAAGAGAAATTGATTAATTAAGGGATGAAAATAGAGCATTAAAGAGAGAATTAGATTAAAATAAGAGTAATTTAGAATAAACAATTAAAATGATGGATAACTATGAAAATAAAATCTAAATCTTATTAAAGAAAGAAGACAATTATAAAATTTTAACTAAGCAATTAAAAGAAGAAAGGGAAAATGCTGTAATGGAAAAAGATAGATATTAATTAAAAGAATAATAATTTGATTAGACTTTATAAAATCAAATGACTAAACATAGAGAAGATATAATGTAATTAAAAGAAAACTTTGATAAACAATCAGATAGTCTAAAAAATAGATATAAAATAATTATTGAATAAAGAGAGGATGAAATTCATAGATTAAATGAAGAAGCAAATTAAATTACAACTTTAAATGATAGATTAACAAAAGAAATAAAGAGTTTAAAAATAGAAATTACTCGTATGGAAAATGGGTTAAAATAAGATATTGTAACTAATTATTAATAAACTGATGATTTACAAAGACAAATTAGTGAATTGACAGAAAAAAATACATTACTTGAGTAAAAATTAACTGATCAAGAAGCAGAATTTAATTTAGCAAAACAATCTCATGATTCTTATGTTAAAACGTTAACTAATAATAATGCAGACTTAAAATAAAATTTAGAACACACTAGATCTGAATTAACCAGTCGAACATAAGAACTTTCAACTTAGAAAGGCAAAATCAATTCATTAACTAGATAATGTTAAAATTAATTAGAAGAAATTGCAAAAACAAAAAGACATTATGAAACAAGATTAGAATAAATTTAAGATGATTATACTTATAAAATAAAGAATCTTTAATTATAGATGGAAGATGCTATTAATAGGGAACGATAAAGCAGAGAAAAATCAGTTAAATTATTATAAGATTATGATAAAATTGAAGAGAAACTTAAAGTAGAGTATAATTCAAGAATTTTAGAATTAGAAACAACAATTAATAATTTAAAGAGTATGAATCATCAATTAACTTTAAAGTAAGTTTTTCATTTATATTTTAGATTAAATGAAATAAGGAATGTTTCATATATGAACAAAGTAGAAAATTAAACACTAAGGAAATGATAAATTAGTTGAATTTTTCTTATATATTAAAATAGTTCTTTATTATGATAATTGCAAAAATAATAATTTCATAAATTTATTATAATAAAGAAACTTTCTAGTAAATCTTCAACAAATACTCTAAATAATAATAGGAATAAATCTTTTATTACAAATAATCCTTTGAGAAATTAGAAAAAAGTTCTCAATTTACAAATTTTAATTTCTACAATTAAACCTCAAAGAAAATATAGACTTTTTTTTAATAATAGCAAAATAATTTGAGTAAATTACCTTAGAATGTATCAAAAAAAAAACATAAGTAATTTATTAGTCCTAAAAAGTTGCCTGAAAGAAAAATAAAATTGGTAAAAAATATATTGAAATAAGATTTAATAAAATTAGAAAGAAGAATTAAAGTAATAACAAAATTTCATTTAAAATACCTTTTAATGTCAATCTAATTTATATGATTAGCATTACATATTAAGAATATTTGTTTTTAAAGTGAACTAACTTTAAATCTTAAAATAGTATGTATTAAAATTTTAATTAATGAGCAAATTCTTCATCTTAATTTTAATAAATAAAGCTATTATTATTCAGCATCATCATAAAATGATTTCTGCCTATTTATTTTACATAATAAGATTAACATTTTAATCTTCATTGATTGTTTCTATTAGTATGGAGATATATGTATTATGCTCCTTTTTTAGAGGCTGCTATGAATCACTTGTCTAGGTTCAATTATGTTTAGGCAACATAAATAACTGAAGCAGATTTTTGGCAATCACATAATAATTTAAGCCTCCTAATTATTTTGAATTTCTCTCAAAGTCCCTTTGAAGAATTTTTGGATTTAATGGATTTTTATTATAAATTTTTGAAATAATCTAAATATTATAATAATAATTCTACTCTTCACTATAAGTCTTTTGACAATTATATTTAAAAATTTACGATTAATCTAAAAACTCATATGCTGAAGTTTAACTAATCACTAATTTCAACAAATAATCAATATTTTTTATCTTTGGTTAAATAGTCATTCAAAATAATTAAAGGATTGGAGATGAAAAATATATGTATTTTTTAAATGAGGATACAAATAAACAAAATTTTTGAGTTATTTTACTATATTATAATTTATTTAAATCTAAAATTTCAATCTTATTATTATTCGTAAACCTTTGACTTGCTTAAGTTTTATTATTCTGTATATGTTAAGACAATATTTGAGAATAAGTCTAAAAATTAAAAATTAATTATTAAAAAATAAATAATTTTCCATTCAATATATTTTGATAATATTAAATTAATTCATTAATTTTAGTCTATAGACAACTTTAGTAATATTTCTAGTACAAAGTTATTGTTAATCAAATTAATTATATCAATAATTAAAAAAATTAATCCTCTAAAAACTTATTCAAAATTTGATATTTTATTGAAAAAGATAGAAGATTAGTATGTTTTCTTTAATAAGAATAAAAATAATAATATGAAAGATTAATAATTATCTTTATTATTAATTAAATGAAATATGTAAATATATACTTATTATTATATTCTATATTGTACTTTGAGTAATCTATATATATATTTTTTTTAAACCTGAAGGATATTCTCTAGTAATTTAAGTGATGGAGAACATATATCATGATTATGTTATTACATATATTATTAATATATGTTAATGTCAAAATTAAAAGTTAATAGCTTTCCATTAGGAAAGTAAATCAAATTAGATTGTAAAGAGTTGTAAAAGATTATAGGAGTTATTTACATCTTAAAGAGAGAATTTATGATTCTATAACTGTTGGTTAAGCCAAGCTCATGCAATATTATTTGAATGAACATAATACGTAATATAAAAGATGATTTAGCGATTAGTTGTTAAAATTGAGATTGTATTTAAGTCTCTTCTTGACAAGAAAGATATTTTCATTGAATAAATAATATTTTGAAAAAATGTAATTGATATTTCTATTCTTCTTGATTCAATGGATTAAATGTTGGAATGTTATAACTTCAAAAAAAATCATTGAATCAATTAAGAATGATTATTTGATTTTTGACGATGATTATTAGATTGTGGCTAATGGAAGCTACTCAATAAAATACGAAGGAGTGATAGGATATAGGAGATTAAATATTATGTTTGATGCTAAATCAAATTGTAGTTAAGTAGACATACTAATTAAGGTTAATGGAATTAAGAGAAATTTTCTTGTTGTAGAAAAAGATTTTAAGGAATATCATATAGAATTTGAGCATTAGACTTCTGATATAAAAATAGAATTCATCTTTGATGATTAGATATAATTATCAATGAGGAACTTTAACATATTTATTGAAGAATGTCCATAGAATTGCAAATTTTGTTTATCTGGATTTTGTGATCTTGAGATAATAGATTAATGTGAAAAATTACGATTTAAAGAATAATGCGTTGATGAATGTCCAAAAGGATATTTAAGTGAGTTTAGAGAATGCATAAAAACAAGTATATAATTTGAAATAAATGAGGTTTAAATTAGATAAGTTTAAATTAAAAGTCTGTAAAAAATGATTTTGGATCAATAAAGAGATTTGGAGACAATTAAGAATTAATTATTGATTTTGAATAGAATTTTTAAGGATGGTTAGAGATAGTGTTTAATTGTTATGGTAAATAGGAAGATCACTATAATTCTATTTTAAAGATTTCTAAAGAAAATACCTAATCTGAAACAATTCATCCTTTTCTACCAATTTATTATAATACATAATCATATAAATATTGTAAATAAAGGTTTGAATTAGATTGTATTTAAGTGAAAGGTTACTGTAAAATGGAATTTTAAGAAAAAAATAATATTATGATTTAGAGTTATACAAAAAATGTTGAGAATTCTGGATATTGGAATATTGATGAGATTAAACTATATGATAAAGAAATTAAATATTATGATTGTTCAATTAATGAATGTGAATAGTGTTCATTTAATAAATTATGTAGTAAATGCAAATAAAATTCATATTTATATTAGAATTAATGCATTAAATAATGTCCTTATTTTACAATCTAAAAAGATGCTAAGTGTATTAACATTGATGAATAATAACAAGGTACTTTCTTTAATGATTTTTTAAGATGTTAGTTTTCTCATAAAATTAGTTTCACCATTTTAGGATTTCTAGTAAATTTTTGGCCAGAAAACTTTTGATATGAAGGAACTAATTAGTTTTAGATATGAAAATGGGACTACTTTTATTGGTGGAGGTTTAAAAGATAATTGGCGTAGGACTACTTTTACTAAATAATTAAATCTTGGAAAACATTACTAGATTAGATTAATGTTTAATTTATCAATTGAGAATTCTACTTCAGATTCAGATTGCTTTACTTACACAATAGATGGTAAAACCTTTTTAGTGCATTAAAATGTATCTTACATTGATCGTACACTTTATCATAATAAGAACATCCTTAATATGAATTTAGGATGTAAAATCTCGAGTAATGGTAGATGTGTCATCTCTAATTATTATTTTATGACAATGAAGGTATTAATCTTATATAAGTTAGTGTTCTCCTCTTTGTCTCTAATGTGTGGGTTCACTTGCATCTGATTGCAGAGCATTTCAAAAAGATATTGATAATTTTGACTATTTAAAATTAAAATGTTTGGAAGGATATTATTTAGATAACTATGGATGTCAAAAATGTTCTGTTGGTTGTTAGATTTGTGAATCTTTAAATAAATGTTTAAAATGTAAAGATGATAAAGATGGACAGTTTCATTGTTTACCCTACATCTGATTTTTTAATGTTAATTGTTTAATTTAAATTCTTTATTATGATAATATTTTTTAGAGCTTTTGTATGTATATATAATTAGAAGTAATATAATAATAAATAAATAAAATTAATAAGACATTCATTTTTTATTATTACTAAATATTTTATTATTGATTCTTATATAATTTTGATATTTGATAGAGGATTACTTGCCAATTCTGTCTGTATTTTGAGGGGATTTATAAGATGGTAAGGATAAGGCTGAATTCTTATGGACATCACTTAAGTTTAATTTAAGTTACGATTAAATGATGGAAGGTGGATTTGAATTACCAACATAATGTTTATTTAAAGGTGGCAAGATTTTTCTATCACTTGTCATTTTTTTGTATGGCCTGGGTTGTAATTATTCATCACTCATTTATTAATCTTAGTTATATTGATGATTGAGCTATATCAATTGAGATACTAATTTTGATCTCTTTTCTACTGTTAATCTATGATTCTAAGTAATTGAAGATGACATACATTGATTTAGAATTACAGAGCATTTCTGTCTTAACAATAAGAGAGATATCTCAATAATCTAACAAAGTCAGTAGAATAATAATTAGATTCTTTGGCTTATTCTCTCATTTTTCTCATCATTTCTCTAAAAGCTATTTAAATAAGGTAATTTACATTATGTAGCCTATTCATCATACATAACATGTTTAAATTCTTCCAATTCAATAGATTCTAGAATAAATAAAGATTTATATACTGTTATTGTCTTTATCTGCTTTCTCAAAAAAGCCCCTAAGCAAATTGATGTTGATTGGATAACCATTCTTGAGAAACATGGAATATAACTCTTCTATTTCGAGGGTTTCTAATAAATAAATTTGAATAGAGTTACTTGATTAATCTTTATCTATTAAACGAAATGTGTTTGTAACAACATTATCATTCATAATTTCACGTGATGATTTCAAATACTGCAATTTAACTTTAGATTAACATCGAGAATTGAACCATTATTTGGATTGGACTGAATGAAGTATTTGATCTGATGGTGGTAATATCATTAAAATAATTATTGTAGGAAGTATATTTTTATATAAATTTAAAAAAAATTAATTGTCTAAATGATGACAAGAGAGTAGACAAACTTGATTTGTTGGTGGCTTTGATGATGACATTGATTATAATATTGATAACAGAATTTATCAATATAATTTTAGTATATCTATGTACATTTATGTAATATGGATTTATTTATATAAATAACATAATGAAACAGATGGAATTCCTACTTTTATCAGTCATTCTAATGAAAATTCATTGTGGTATTAGTTATCCTTTGATCTTTAGGTTGGGAACTTTACAAATCTGAATTGATGGATAGTTCAACATTTCATGAGTGGAAGAATTCTAATAACATTCCTTCATCGAATTTGTTGCGGTTTTGTGATTTATAACCAACACTCAATTCAAAAATCCTCTAAGGTGACGTTTCCTTAACTCGTAAAATTATAATGTCTACATCCAGAGGATTTAGTAAAATAAGAATAAGTTTTGATATCTACTATATTGGTTTATGGAATCATGCAGAAGCAATTACAGTATATGCCAATAGTTTGTTAGTGCATAATGAAACTCCAAATAATAGTTTGTTAGAAGACTATCCAATGAGATATTGTATATAAAGGCCTTTTGGGAAATCAAACTCTGAAAAAATATCAAGAATAGATCAAACAATATCATTTAATGATCCTCAATTAGATATAGAAATTGTTCATGAGTAAGTAACTAGTGGTTCAACCAGTGATTATGGAATAACAAATTTTGTATTATAAGTTTTTTATTGTGATGATCTTTGTGAAGAATGTGATGAATATCAATGTTTGACATGTAAATTAGGATATTAATTAATAAAATCATAATGTAGATGTGATCCAAATTCAAATTATTCATTTTTTAATCCAGATTTATAATGTCTTGATGAATGTTTAATAGGCTATGTGCCTGATGAGAATAGTGTTTGTCAATTAGCAACTATAAATAATATCTATATGGATTTGGAATAAGATAACTTTAATATTTACAAATTTTAATATATTCCTGATAAATATTATAGTTCTATTTAATTGATGACGCAAACAATTGGAAGTAAAAGTGTGGCTGGTATGTTTGGAAATACAGACAAAATTGTATATAATGATATTTCTTTACCTGCAAATGGATAATATGAATTGAAATTTACATTATATATGACTGGTAGAGTTACTAGTTTAATGCCAGAAGAAATAATAATTAAATTCAATTAGTTTGTAGTGGCAAAAATAGATGATTTTTAATCAGTTTTCTTTTTTTCATACTTTAAACAAAGTAATAGAGTTTAATTTAAAGAAATTTGTAATTCCCCTTAATATTAATAATGTAAGTCATACTCAATTTACATGAAATTTTATTTAACAGAAACAGTTAATGAAATCGAATTCAATTCTAAATTTACTTTAATTAAGCCATCACGTAAATGGGGAATCAGAGATTTCATGATTAATTAATATTCAATATCTAGTACTCAAATAAGTTGTTTAAATAATTGTTTAACTTGTTAATTTAATTCATTAGATATATGCTTGTCTTGTGGAATCAATAAATATCTATTTAAAGGAATGTGTATAGATTAATGTCCAGATTATACAAGTGCAATCAGTAATGTTTGTGTTGATTCTCAAATTGTAAATAATAATTAAGAATATTTAATTAATATGTTTCATGATTTAAATCATTAATACTTGGAATCATATTCTAATAAATTAAGTTTAAAATAATATTCATATTTTATGAATAAGATAATTTTAGGAGGTCTTAATTTTTGGAGTAATTAATAGGTTATTCATAAATTAAGAAATAAGAAACCATTTTATAAAATATAATTGGATTTTATGTTAGTATTCATTGATTCTAAGAATAATCAAATTTAATTTAGAACAAGTATAAATTCTGAAACTCCAATATATTCAATGTTTGGTAGTGGAATATCAGTTGGTAATTAAGTTGGATAATCTGATATTGAAGTAATATAGAGTGTAAGTTATGTAAAATCATTCTAATCCATTAATGAATTATCAATATAATTACACTGTATGAGAAATATTGATAGTGAAGCATATTGTGGAATATATGATTATAGAATTATCATTTGGACTTGTTAAGATTATTGCTTAGAATGTGATGATAATGGAAATTGTTTAAATTAATTAGATACAGTAAGTACTGATATTAATGGATGTAAATAAGGATATTATATGGGAGAGAATGGAAATTGTAATATTTGTAATATTGGATGCAGTAGTTGTAATGGAGGATCAGATTGTATTACATGTAAAGATGGATATGAATTGAGAAATAATATTTGTTATTGTTCAATTCTCAAAGATGTGATTGAATATTGTTCACAAAGTAATTGCTTTCATAATTGTCAAACATGCTTAAATGATAAAATAGATGTTGGTGTTATACGTCCAAAACATCCAAAAAATTGTTTATCTTGTGATGAATCCAAAAACTTATGGTTAGATATTAATTAATGCACATGTCTAGATGGATATTATATGGAGAATTTTAGTTGTTATTTATGTTATCCAACTTGTAGAAAGTGTTAAGATAGAGCTAGAGATTGTTTAGCTTGTATTCCAGGATAACATAGAATATTAATATCATCATCATGCGAATGTTAAACTGGCTATTTTCAAGAAGATAATGATTTGGTTTGTTCTAAATGTTCTGATCTATGTTAAGAATGCAAATTTACAAAAGAATAATGCAGCTCTTGTTATCCATTTCACAATAGAATTCCTCAAAATGATACTTGTATATGTATGGATGGATATTTTGAGGTTGGTTAATTGATTTGTTAAAGTAATTATTATTTAATAATTTATTAGAATGTCCTTCTTTATGTAAGACTTGTCAAGATGCTAATACTTGTACTTCATGTTATGAAGATTAATTTAGAATTATGAGTATTAACAATAAATCTTGTATATGTTAAACAGGATACTTTCAACAATCCTCTGATGTTTGTGGATGTACTATTATTTATATAATTCATAGAGTGTCATATATCATGTCTAGAATGTTCCAATAATACAAATTAATCTTGTACTAGATGTCCTAGTACTAGAGAACCTTTGATTACAAATAATACTCTTCAGTTCTCTTGTAAATGTAGAAGGGGATATTATGAATCCAATGATAAGTAATGCTTAAGTTGTAATGATTATATTAATCCTCCAATAAGTCATTATTGCTATTCAAAATGTGGAGATGGTATTCTATAATGGAATGAAGATTGTGATGATGGCAATGATAATTATAGAGATAATTGCTATAAGTGTTTATATGGTAATTCTTTTTGTTTAGATTACACATGCACAGCTTGTGATGCTGGTCAATGTACAGCCTGTATAGATGGATTTTATTTAACACAAGAATCTATATGTCTACCTTGTGATCCAAGTTGTAAGAAATGTATAAATAAATCTGATACTTGTACTGATTGTATGGTATATTAAAATGATGGATCTGGTTGTGTAATGTGTAATTAAGATCAAGGATATTAAGTTTAAGGAGATTAATGTGTCAATATTTGTGGAGATGGTATCAAGGTTTAAAATGAATAATGTGATGATGGAAATTTAGATAATAATGATGGTTGTAATTTATTATGTTAAATTGAAGAAGGCTATTAATGTTAGACTTTATGTGAAAAGATAATTTATCCATCTATTGTATTTGAATTAAATCCATATGATTAAAAATATGATTCATTAAGAATTGTAAGAATTAAGACAGATTAAAAAGTATCAATATCAGGTAATATCAATTCTATTATGAAATTCAAAATTAATAATTTAAATTAATATGAAATCACTTATGTAGATTTAACATAATACTCTGATCAATATAGTTATTTGTTTCTAGAATTGAATATTCAATTTTAATCAGTAGTTTCTAACCCTTAATTAATTTGTTAAATAATAAATCAAGATGCTATACTTAATGAATAAGGTAATACTTTCAAAGATAAAAATTATGTTACTTCATTATTGGAATTTCAGGCTCCTTCAAATTCAACAGAGAGTGCTACTGATGGATTAATGAAATTAAGTAAATATGTTTTATACTTGCTCTTTGGATTTGCTATTTTAGCATTTCTTTTTGGAGGTCTAAATATATTTTGGAATCTTTTAGATGTTCTCCAATTAGTATCTTACTTATAATTTTTTAATGTTGAATACCCATATAATGTTAAAAATTACTTCACTATATTTGGATTTGCATAATTCGATTACATTAAGCAATATGTTAATTTAGAATCATATATTAGTGAATATGTAAATACACCAGATGCAGATCCTAAGTTTCGAGATGAAGGATATTCAACTGTCTTTTATGTAAACATAATAACTGTTTTGACTGTATTCATAACAACATTGATCACTTTCATTGCATGTAAAATGCTTTTTTAAACTTTGACAAAGATTTCCCATTCTTTTATTTATGCTCCTTTAGATTCATAGGAACAAAGTGTATGTACATTTTTCATATACAGAATCACAAGAAATTTATAACAATCTCTATTAAAAATCAATTAAGAGTTTATGTCAGGAGTTATTCGTACATTTATGGCTGTAGCTTTTGATTATAATCTTGCTTTGTTTCTATAATTAAAAGATGTATATTTCAAAGATCCGGTATTATTTTCAAGTTTTTTGTTTTGCATAATTGCTCTTTTATTGGAAGTGGCATTTATTTATTCAGCAATACTGTTAATGTCATAACCAGCTTATGTTTTCAAATAGAAAGTTATTCAAAATAATTTTTAAGCAATTTATGAAGGTGTAAAATTGGAGAAGAATCCTTTCACATATTATTTCAACATACTCTTATTGATAAAGAAAATGTTATTTATGATGTTTTTAGTGTTTTTTTACTCAATTCCTTGTATATAAATTGGATTGGTATCCTTATTAAACATGATAATGGCTGTTTATTTGATCAAAGTTAAACCTCTTTAGGATAAAGATGAATTAATTAAACAAATAGGATCTGAAATAATAATTTGGTTAGCAGAATTATTTATAATGGGTTTTGCTATAAATGAACAATCCAATCAATTAGAGGATAATGGAAAATTAAAGTTGGGATGGATTGTTATTGCATCAACATCATTCCTTATATTGTTTTAATTATTCATTGATATTAAATAGCATATTAACTTCTTAATTCATGAATATGCTATAATTAAAAAGTTGATAGATAGAATTAAATTGCTTATTAGTAAATAAGAACCAGAAGAGGAACAAAATATTTTCCTATAGGGAAGAAGAAGATTAGGATTTGAGAACAACACTTCATTGAATAATCTAAATAGCACTAAGAATAATAGATCTACATGTCACTTTAAATAAGGAAGAGTTGTAACATTTACAGTCAGCTCAAATGGTAGCTGAAATCCATCCTCTTATCTTTTGCTGTGTATATTATTTCATGTTTATAGATTTAATTAATAGTATTCAATCTTTCTCAATATATATATCCTTTAGGACCTTAACTAAGTAAAGTCGAATTATCTACTTCATTCAATTTATCTCCATTCTTTATCTTATCTACTAAATCAGGATCTATATAAATTATCAATAATTTATACTTGATGTAAACAATCTTCCAAAACTTATAGCATCACAAAAATGCTTCTTTATTAATTCATCACCTATTTCAGGAGTGACTTTTCCATTTCCAATTATACAACCTTTAAATAAAGGTCTACAAAATTCAAAAACATTTGCAATATCTGATTTAGATGATGGATAACCAAAATCTAACCAATTTTCTGGATAATCATCATCTCGAATTTCTATAAATCCTATATTTCTCACATTTAATTATTCAAGCAAATATTTGTATAACTCTTTAGGATTTGGATCATAGGAATCATATTGTCTTGTTATAGGTGAGATTTTGACACCCAACTTCTATGGTTCAAACACTGTTTATAATTGATCAATTATTTCTAATATTATTCTACATCTATTCTCAACACTACCACCATAATTGTCTTTTCTTTTGTTTGATGAAGACTTAAGAAAGGAATCTAATAAGTAACCACTACTGGCTTAAATTTCAATTCCATCAAAACCAGCATATTATATTAATTTAGAACATTCTAAATATTACTTAATAACCTATTGAATATCATCAATACTCATTTCTTTAGGTTAATTGTACTTACTATTCTTAATTTTAATTGCAGATGGAGCCAATGGATTATTTATTTAATTTGTAACTCTACCACAATGCCATAATTATGCTATTATTTTACACCCTTTTGTATGTAATTCCTATACTATTTGAGCCCATGCATCAGCTTATTTTATATTAAAAATAGCAGATGATCCATCTTATGCAATCGAATCTAAACTTAATGGCAAACCTTCAGTAATTATAAATCCTGCAGTGCATCTTTACATATAATATTACTTCATCATTGATGTAGGTATCATTTCTTTGTTATCACATCGTTATCTACTCATTGCTGCCATTCCTATTCGATTTTGGCATTAAATTGATCCTAATGTAAATGGAGTGAATAAGTTCATATTTTTTATGATAAATTAGTTAGATAGAGGTTTTTAAAAGAATATTTTGAAAAAATAAATAAAATCTTTTTATTTATAATCATGGGTGTCGGAAAACCAAGAGGTATGAGAGCAGGAAGAAAGCTCAAAGATCATAGAAGAGTTAATAGATGGGCTGATAAGGAATATAATAAGGCTATGATTGGATCAAGATATAAAAATCCATTTATGGGTGCATCACATGCTAAGGGATTGGTTGTTGAAAAAATCGGAGTGTAATTATACTAATCTATTTTAGTGAATCCAAATAACCAAACTCTGCTGTCAGAAAGTGTGTCAGAGTATTGCTTAAGAAAAATGGTAAAAAAATATCAGCCTTCGTTCCAAAGGATGGTTGCTTGAACTTTTTAAATGAGAATGATGAAGTTACAGTAGCTGGATTCGGAAGAAAGGGACATGCAGTCGGTGATATTCCAGGGGTCAGATTCAAGATTATTGCTGTTAAAGGCAAATCATTACTTGCTTTGTGGTTAGGCAAGGTCGAAAAATGACAGTACAATAACAATCCATTAAATATATTTATCTAAACCTCATAATTATTTTTTTATTAAAATCCGTTCTCCTTCATCTTCAAACTCCTTCTTTAATATCCACATACTTTTGAATGAGGCCAAATGAGATAAAATTGATCCTCCTTACCAACTTAATGTAATTCGTTCAGGTGGGGCCCAAATTTTAACCTTTAATATTAACTATATATTTATACCTTAGCCTCTTTTGGCACTAATCGCTTTACTTCTCCTATTAATCTTTCTGGAAATCCTTACATCATCGATGTACCTCCTGTTAAAACAATTTCACTATATAATGGTTTTCTCAAATCTAAATCAACTTTCTATATTGAATTTGCCAAAATCTCAGGAATTGCTAAACTTACTTTCTTTATATATTACAATTCAATTCTAATCCATATTTTTCAGGACACATCAAAATCTCAGGTGCTCTTTATTTCTCAAAACTTAATTCAATTGTACTATTATCAGGTAACATATATTAATCTTTGATCTTTCTCTCCTCTTAAAATTTATCTTCTCCTATCATAGCTGGACTCAAAAAACATCTTTTCTCTTTCACTTTTTTTATTATTTCATATTCAGCCTTTTATGATAATTAACATTGAATACTGTAGTAGTAAATGTATATCCTGCTCTTCTCAATAAATTATTGAGATTTTCTGTAACATCTCTTCCTGCCAAATCGACTCTTTATGCACTGTGTTAAATGTAGAATCCTTCATAAATTGGAATACTTTATGAAACTGTGTCTCCAACATCCAAAATTACTCCTGTTGTTTTACCACTTGCAAATAAACTGATAACTCCAGATACTGCAAAAAACAAAGCTGGACAATTATAACTTTCAAAAAATTGTTTTGCAATCTCCACTTTTTATGATTATGATGCATAAGGAGGTTCTGTCAATAAAATTGGACACTAACATAAATCTGATTATTAATAATTACTTCTTTTGGATTTCCATGCAATTCTTAGAATGTATATTTCCATAATTAATCCATTTCATTCATGTCTTTAATTACACCTCTTTGATAAGGATATTTAATCTTCATCATTCCTCTTGTACTATCTGTAATTTAATTTCCTACATAAAATTCTTGACTATTTGCTACAGGTAAGGCTTTATATTTGGGGCGTCCAATACTTAATTATTTTTCAATTTATTTACTATGAATTGAAAATCAGTTTTGGTTTATCATCCCCACCAAATCCAGCCTTCATCTGACTTGATCCCTATTAATTCGTATTTATGTTAAGTTTACCATATCAATAACAATCGAGTTATTAGCAAATATGTCATTATCCATCTTATAAATTAAATATAATTTATAGCTTTATTTATATTCATACTTCATAATAATAAGTACATTATATAATATATCAAATTTCATCTTATAATTATTATTATCAAATGCTTGCTCTATTATTTTAATATTATAAGCTTTTATTTATAAATCAAACTATGATAAGGAATCTTTATTTGTCATATATTTAATAATTTGCATTTTCTATATATTTATATTATTACTCAATTTTTAAATGTAATATGATTGGTTTATGTGATTAAAATAATTAATCTTTTACTATTTCACGACAGTTTTTAATCAATAAAAGATGCCAAATCATGTGACTATTCATTATTTAAAGGATGGATTTTCATCTTCTTTTTTTGACACTATATTGAATCTTTGTTTTTCAATTTTGAATCATTTAAATAGAGATTTAAAATTTTTACATATATTTTATTTAGAACTTTAAAATTATTTATATTACAAAATCAAAAATAATACTCTTTTAAAATATCGTTTAATTCTTGATCTCTGATAGGTTTTACGAGATAATTCAATACACCTATTTTCTTACATTCTTCTTTCTCCTTTTGATCTGTATATCCTGAACAAGCAATGATAATTTAATTTGGATTAATCTTAAGTGCTTCCTTAGAAGCATTAAAACCATTCAATATAGGCATTTCTAAATCCATAAAAATTAATTTATAACCACTACAAGTTTAAGAACATTTTTTATTTTTCATCTTTTCAATGCATTCACTACCATTTGATGCTGAATCAATGTCTAAAATTTTTCTAATTATCAAATCAATATTTACTTTTTATTCAGTAATTTAGTGAATGTGAAAACATTGAAAATTTCATCATCAACTATTAAAATATGTGAACATCTAATAAGGGCTGGTTCTTAATCGATTGATTTTTGAGGTTCTAACAAAAATGCCTGCCCTTCATCAACTTCTTAGGACTAACCTAAATTTTCTTTGATGCGACAACTTGATACTTTCCTCAGTCTAGTTGATTAGATTTACATGTTAAAGAAAAAGTATGTACCTTAATTTAACTTTGAATCTATCTATAAACCTCCACAGCCTATCGAACTTGCTATCTGATTACTGATAACCAATCCTAATCCCACTCCATTCTCATTCCTTTTTCTACTCTCTTCAGAATTAACTTTCGAAAATTATTTGAATAACTTCTTTTAATCTTCATCAGAAATACCAATACCATTATCTTGAACACCTATTCTGATTGTTTTATTATCTATATAAGATACGAGAATAGTTATTTGACTAGATGTAAATTTAAAGCTATTGCTCAATAAATTAACCAGAATTTATTTGATTCTGTTCCTATCACTCAAAACTATAGAGGGAGCTGCATTATCATATATATATGATATGTTTAATTTTAATATCTTAGCCTTCAATGCAAACAACTTCAAACATTCTTTGATTAATTATTCCAAATTAAATTTAGTTTGTTATATTGCAAATTTGCCATTCTTTATTTAAGCTAAGTCTAATAAATCATTTGATAAATTTAAAATATAATATGAATTATCCAAAGCAGCTTAAAGCATTTCAGTGTTATCCATTGTTAATTAATTAGTGTGCAGTACATTTTCTATCATTTAAATAATGCAATTAAGAGGAGATCTGTATTCATGACTAACATAGGATAACATTTTTGATTTTTATAAATCATATTCTCTCAAATATTTGATTTTTTATTTATGAGTTATATCTCTAATTAATATAAAGAATAAGTTGTTCTCCTTTTTTGTTATAGTAAGTTCCAACATTTTCTCAGCCTTTTTTTCACTGGAAGATATTGTCATTCCATTATTAGGGTAAAATGTATGCAAAGTAAAAAATTCATTCTAAGGACTATTTTATTTAAACTTACTAAAAATTTCTTTAAATTATTTTACTATATTATTTTCTTGATTGAATTCTAATAAACCTTAAAAATTAGGATTAATGGATTAATTTATCAAATCATTCTTTAAAAAAGCCATGCTTTTACATAATTATTTTTATTGGTTTATTATTAATAAATTATCCTCTTATGAATCATGTTATTAATATTTGATGTTGTTTAAAGAATTAAAAATGTCAATTATTTCTTTTGCTGAGTTAGCTGAAAACAATGTCTTTGATGCTACGTTTGAAAATACTATCTCCATTTCTTAATTCAATTAATTTAATCTTAAAACTACTAACCCTTCATGTGTAAATTCCATCATAACATCCAATATATTTGTGTTTAAAACATGTTTTGGAAATTAATAATCTGGCATTAGAAAATTATAGAAAGGGTATTCTTTACTTTTTGGAGACATCTTATCTGTATCTAACTATGAAGATGCTCGATCTTTCCTAGTTATTATTTAATCTATATTCTAATTATGTTACTAATCACTTTATTTGTTTTTTGGAATGAAGAATTTTTTCATTCCATTGGCAAAATTGATGACCAAGGAGAACAACAAATAAATTATACATTAATAAAAGGATATGTCCATTTATTAAGTTTAATATATATAGAGAATCTACAAACAACTTGATTAAAGTAATAGAACAAGCCAAAATAATCTACATCTAAACAACTATTTTTGAAATCTTATAAAATCCTTAAATAAATGCGTTGTGATAAAATGTACAATGATAACATATGCTGTACTTTGATTTTAAGAGTTTCTTTCATTTTGAATTAGAAATAAGCATAAGCTTAATTGAATCAATATTAGACTTCCTATGAATAAGGTTGTTTTATTTTTAGTCTAAAGAAAAAATAATAAAAAAGACAAAAGAGCCTAGATGATCAGATATACCAAATTCGTATTTTCCAATGATTTTAAATAGTAATAAATTGAAAACCCTAATCCATTGATTTAAAATAGGATTAATATCAATCTCCAAACAGGTTTCATTTATCAAATAATAAATTATACAAAACCTTCATATTATATAGCTTAAATTTTATAAACAAAAGGGCAGCCTTATTATATTTATTAAAAAAATGGTACATCTTTAGAGAATATAATCACATGAAATACAATAATTTGCTCAGAATTTTATTATGAAATATAAAAATAATATTAAAGGTTACTTAGAAAACTTTAATATATTTGAACAAAATTTGAACTTAAATTTTAAGAAATAAAAAGCACATTAAAGGATAGTTATGTTAAATTTGAAGTATTTTATATTTTTTAATTTGATTGCTATGTTGAGTTAGGTTAAAATATGTTTCTACTTCTAATAAAATATGTATAAATTAGATTAATTAGATAAGAAGTTATAAACAAACAAATTCTGCATTAAATTTTTATATTTAATTTCTGACAAATCAAGATACTGGATTCATGTATAAAAAAAATATTTTATAATTCAAAGTTTTAATAGGACTTTCTTTACTATTGCCTTGTGCTTGATGTGACTTGTTTTTTACCTTATTTTAGAATTATAAATATAACATGTACTTTCTTTCCTTAAAAAGTTATTACTAATATTATTGATATTATATACCCTAAAATTCTTATGACTTTAAGATATTCTTCATCTTATGTGTATTTCACTAAATGAAATAGATTTCTGAGCTGATTTACAAGTTCACTCATGAACAAAAGAAATTGATTTCCTTTTTCTTCTCCAAGAATTTGAAAAACAGTTTTTTTTTGTCTCAAAGCATATTAGACAATGGCTTTGGAAAAATTTTTTTGTATATTTGTTGAGTCGACCAACAAATTAGGTTTTAAATTATTCCCTTTCTCGTCAGATTAGATTTAAACTGAAGGTGTTTAAATTTGTTCTGAAGTTTTCTCGAAATCAACAAAAGCAACAGACTTTTTAGGTATAGTTTCAAGGATTTTCTCTTCTTGTTTTATTTGATCCACTTTCTTCTTTATCACAAGAGCTGGCACAGCCTACATGATTTGATATTGTTAATTATATGGATTTTAAACAGGATAATAGTACTAAGGATAGTATTATGGGTAATATTGTCCTTAGGGAGTGGTCATGAAGTTCTAATATAAGTTCTGGTACATTAAATAATTATTGTTTTTTGCAATATTTTGTGTCATATTAAAACCCGATACAGATTAAAACTTATATTTAGAATGATTATAATATCAGCAGATTAAATTAAAATGTTATTAGTGGTTTCAGAAATGAATGCGATACAAAATTTTATCAAATTATCGCTTCATGTCGATATAGATTAATAAGCAAAGAATTTTTTTTGAATTAATATCTAATTAATAAATTATTTTAAACCTTATTTTTACAAAATATAGTTATAAAATATTATTTTTATTTATCTAATAAACTCAAAGTCACATTTTAAAATACTTTTCAAAATCCTTATCAGTCTATGGACATACTGTATTACTTTTTATACATGTATGATGTGCAATAACAGCATTAGGATAAACAACAAATACCTAAAAAGATCTAAAAAATATATTTTTACTTTTTCACCTATTGATCTACTACAAACAGCACATTTCTTTTCAGATGTAATTCTTACATTTGCCTATTTAGTACTAGCATTTAAACATTCAACATTCAATAAATCCATGTCAGATAAATGAAATGCTGCTTTTGTTGATCTTTTTTAATGTAATGTATGGCCTATAAATAAATTATATTATTACTTATTACACTATTTAAAAATTAAAATAAACCATCATCTTCACCTTAATCAGCAAGAATCCAATTCTCTGGTATCATTTCTAATACTTCCAAAGCATTTAATTAAGAATGTGTTGCATATTTTTTCATGAAATTGTTAATTGTTATCTAAATTTTGAATGTAAATTTGAATTACTTTAACTTAATTAAATGCTAAAAATGTTTACTGATCTGTTGGTCTTTCTTTTTATTTTCCTTCCAAAAAGAAATATAACTCTTTATACTTTAGATTAAATAATATTTTTACCTTTTTAAATAATTTTGTTAATAAATTATCTGTGTATTCACAACAATATTTTTCAGCCCAATCGTAATATCCAAGATTTAATAATTAACTTAATGCCTCTTCATGTCTTTTCTCTCTTCCATACAATAAAATAACTTCTCCAATCATCCAAGAATCCTTAACTTTTTTTTCTAAAATACTTGAAGAATTATATTTAGAATTAGGATTTTTCAAAAACTTTTTTAATGATTAATATATTTCTGATGCAATTTAATTTTTCTTCATATCAATTTAAAATGGTTACATATCTTTAGGATATATGTTAAATAAAGAATCTATATATGAATATGCTAATTGAGTATGGAATCTTTCTTCTTCTGTTTATTTTTCTAATACTAATACTTCTAAATATTTCTCTTTTAATTTCCTTTTCAGATCTTATTCCATTTCTTATTCATCCAAAAATTTTAACATTTAATCAGGTGATATTATACTTTCACTTATATAAAAGATTTAAATTCCAGTTTTGAATTACTTTTTTAAAACCCATAATATGAATTTGAATATTCTATTTTTATCTGGATTCTATTTAAGAATTCTTGTTGTTTCTTCACAAGCCTCTTATTGTACTTATTAATTTAAAGAATCACCACCAATTGTCCTCCAAACTTCTAATGATAAATCAATTTTATTAAATGATTCATAAAATCTTGCTAAAATACCTTATTATTATTCAATAGCTTTATTATTTTAAAATATGGCTTATAATTCAGCATACATAGATAAACAATATATTTGATTACATGATAAAAAGCTTTTTAATTTTGGTAATTATAAAGCTTCTAAATAGGCCTTTATTAATGCAAAATCTATGAGTTCCAAAAGTTATTCACATGGTATAGCATGCCATTAATTTTAATTATATATTTAACTACTAGTTAATAGAGTCAATTTATCCTTCATAGAATATGCATATTATGCTGTAGTTAATCCTGCTCTTTTCTTTTCTAAAATTTCAATTAAAAAATCTCTTGCTTATACTTTCAATTCTTAACTTTTCTTTGGATCACCTTTATTATATTCTTATACATATTTGTTAATAATTAATGATATAGTATTTTAAGATGGATTTGGATTAACTGATTCTAACTTCTCTACAGCATAATAATAATCTGGAAATAAACAAATAAAATCTCTTGGTTCAAAGTTTGTCTATAATATATAATTCAATGAATTCTAAAACTACATTTATCTTATCAAAGCCCAACCACAATCTAATTTTAACTATTCCAATTATTAATTCTTTGATGCATCTGAATTTTAATTGTATTATTAAAATACTTAAAGTGCATCTTCCACTCTACCTTACTTAAGTAAATCCTAAATCTATTATTCAGGAGGTGTTTAATATAAGTATATAATCTAATAATATTGATACTCTTACTTCAGTAGAACTTCCATAAAATAAATGATTTGATGTTTAAGTAATACATTTTGCTGATGATTACAATTATATGTCACTCATTGGTTTAGAATCTAATAAATTGAACACTTGAATTAAATTATCAAAGAGTACTATTAAATATTACTTAAAAATAGTTATTATTTATATTGATTTGTTTTGTATTTAGATAGTACTTTTCTATTTCATTTAACCATCTTTACCAATAAAAATACCTATATTATTTGTTGTTATTATTAATATTTCATCTTTATCAGTAGCCTTTAAATATGGATTATTACCAATATCCATTATTAAATTTGCTACTTGTAACTATTTATCATCAAGATTTATCACAGAATAATTTTTCTTTGATATTCCAAAATAAAATAGATTTCCTATAAATGCAATTGTAACAGGTATATCTGGTAATAAGAATCTCTCTCTCAAACATTCAAATTTACCTGCTTTCTAGTTATATTACAATATAAAGCCTTCTTTCTTCTTTGTCACTATTACAATCTCAAATTAATTTATTTTAGAAAATTCATTCAAAGCAAATAATGATACCTTTTCTTTTGATATTTAATCACCTTTTAAAGTCTTTTCCTCAACGAAAAATAATGTCTGATCTGATAAAACCAAAAGATTAGAATTTGCTTAAGGGAAAACTTTTATTTAATCAATCCTTGATTTAGTTAAAGATTTAGATTATGCTTAATTAGCTTGTATAATCATGGCTTAATCAGGCTATAATTGATATCTAATTCAATTAATCATTTACCTATATAATGTGCCTTTCTCATCTCCAGTATATAAGACATTTTAATAAGCATCCATAGATGAAATTTTGTAGTTTATTTCAAGGACACCTCTTGGATTAAATACACTTCCAAATTTCATTAATTTATATAATAATATATAGATTAATTTATTTTAATATATATGAAAACTCAATTATCAATAATAATACAAATAACTTTTACATTCATAAAATAATTTCGATTAATAATTTAAATATTAAAATACTTTATCCAAATTATAAGAATTCTTCTATTTCTTAAATTCATTTATTTATTTCAAAGATAATAAAATATTTTTGAAATGTATTTGAATGAATGAATATCTTTTAGAGATATCATTTTAATTAATAATTAAAAAATGAAAAATAATAAACTGAAATATTTATTTATAATGATTATATTTCATATTTGATATATTCTAACTGTGTGATCATCACTACAGGAAGCAAGCAAATTATTATTAAATTTAATTCTATTAATTGTTTTAGAATGTTAATGATATTTATCTACACTAGATAATAATTTTAATTCCATAGTTTATGTAAATTCAAATATTTCGAGTTATCCTTAACCATATGCTACTGCAACAATTTATTTTTCATTATATTAAATACAATCTATAGCTGTTATTTCATCTGGGAAATCAATTTCTTAAATTGGTAATGAAACTTCAGTAGTATTATAAATTCTAAACTTTTTATCTCTGCTTCCAGTAAAGATCAGAGATTCATCATTATTGAATGAGCAAGTGTATACAATTCTGGAAGAAGGTTATGATTTGGATAATAATTAATAATTATTATCATCTTATTTAACAAATACTCCTAAGCATCTATCCTTACTGACACTTATTAAATATTTGCCACTCTTAGAAAATACTAATTATACAACAGTGTAATTATGACATGGTAATTATTATTTAATTTTGAATGTATTTGTATCCCAAATGATTATTTCAGCAGCTTTAGATGTAATAGCAACAGAGGATGATGCAGCAATATTTTAATGTACAGCTATTGCTTAGATTGCATATCCATGACCATATAATTTATTAGTTTCAGGCCATAATGATTTCTTTGCAAGTAAGGCATCATTTGGAGGTCTCCCATATCTTACTTCTAAATTGATTTCTTCTTCATTATTTTTGACACTATTGAATATCAAAATATACTTTACTTTTCATCTTCTTCATCTTCAAATTACATTTATACATTCATTAATCCAAGTGCCTATTGAATTCCTTCAGTTGCTAATTTAAATTCATTAAATTATCTATTATTATAATTAACAATTTATGAAGGGATATTTTAATTTAGAAAAACAGATGAGTCAATATTCTATTCATTCAAATAATTAAGTTAATTAATAGTAAAAGGAGATGGATTAAACATTCTTAATATTTTCTCATCTCCTCCACTTATAATTTGATTTCCAATTTATTTAATAGCATTCAAATCATAACCATGAATTTATGGTCTAGATATTTCATGATATGTATCATTTTAAATCCATTTTGCAAATATTCTACTAGTTTAATCTATACTACATGTTAATAAATAATCTTTAAAATCTAGATCTGTTACTTCTGCATAATGACCTGTTATTACAGGTTATTCTATCCAATTATCTTATTCTTATTTCCAAATATAAATTGCACCTGTCAATGTATAACATATAATATATTTTTTATTAAATGATGTTTACAATCCAAATATCTGATTTTTATTCCCACTTGTCTATCCTAATCTTGAAATACTTAACCATAATCCAGTATCTTTATCTTGTTTCCAAATAATCACATTGTAATCAAATGAACCACTCAAAATTGTATTCTCATCCAACCAATTTACTGATGAAACCTCTTCAATATGTCCTTAAAGTATTGTTTCCAATTTGAAACTATATAATTATTAATCGATTCTGAATGATTTTATTTTAGCTTCAACTTCATTTACTTTATAGATACTCCAAATTCTAGTATATGTATCCTTAGATGCACTTGCCAATTATAAATAATCTTAATTTTTTAATTAAAATTGCAAATGATTTAAACTTCTTTGATGACCTTTCACAGATGTTTTGTATTATAATTAATTGTTTTCTAAAATGTATAAATGAATTTGAGTGTCCACACCACTTAGAGCAACAAAAATATAATTATCAAATGATATTGCATCAATATTCTCCATCACATTATTACCAAACTCAAGTTTTGATAATTCTTTTAATTATTAATCCAACACTGTAACCAAACCATCAATTGATAAGGTAATTATGTATTTATCAATAACTTTGAACAATTATATTGATTCATTTAATTTTGTTTCATGTAAAACTTAGGAATCGTTAAATATTGCTATTCTACCTTCTCCATCAGAAGCTATCAATGTATTTGCATTTAAAAATCTTACGTAATTAACTCTTTTATTAAAAGTTGAATAAGAATAGATTATTTTTAATTTCTCAATGTCATAAACTAATATCTAAGATAAAAATTTGTTTACTTGATTACTACAAGGGAATGCTATTAAATGTTAATTTGGTTCAAATTAACAAACATCTAAACCATTATAAACAGAATTACAGCCACCTGAAATGAATACATTTTTCATTCTTAATTAATTATTTTAATTAAAGAAAGAATAATGGATTATCAATTATAATTATTATTGGAAGTTCCTTTATCAAAATTATTTGAAATTAAAAATTAATAACCAAAATAAGTTGATGCTGGCATTCTTTAAGTATTATTTAATCACAATTATTATTAGATTTATTAATCAGATCAACCTAAACTATCATTCTTAAAATTTGGCTAGTTTTAATACACATTACAAAAAAATATCCCTGTTATGGTTGCTTAAATAGTTAATGGTAACAAAATGTACATTTTCCCTGGTCTTAATGACATCTTTTATGGAATCATTGTAGAAAAGTAAGATTAGGTATCTGATACATTTGAACATATTCTCTCAATTAATGTTCGACTTGTGATTAATTCTCAAAAGCAACACTAAAATGTTATGTCTAAGTCTATATATCAAGGAAGGAATGATATGAAGTAATTAAATGAATAACAAAAATTGACTCAACAGGAATTAATGGTTAGAACTGGAATTATGTAAGTTAATTTATGGGATCATGTTGGATAAGGTGAGAAACCTCCAGGAGTTAGTGATTATATAAAATAAGGAGGAAATGCTATTAGATAAGGCTTAATATCTGTAGCTGGTTTTATTGGAGAAGGAATTAAGAAAGGAGGAGAATTGATTTCTGAGAAAATCACTGATAAAGAATAAAAAGAGATATCTGAAGATACATTAAATAAAGTTAAATTAGTTAATAAAGGATCTAAAGCAATACTTTAATTTACAAAGGCTTAAGTTGATGCTTTGATTAATTTGGGAAAGATGATAGCAGAAGAAGCAGAGAAATAATTTGAGAATAGTGAAACTGGTAAGAAAATGTAAGAACATAAATATTATGATGATGCTAAAAATGTTGGAGGAGCTGCCGTTGTTGCCGTTGTTAGCATATATGATGGATTAACAGAAGCTTTAAGTGTTTTATTAGATTGTACAGGATAAGCAACTACAGAAGTAATTTAAATATTAATTAATTTAGATTATTAAAAATAAATATGGAGATTAAGCTAGTGAACTGAGTAAAGAAGGATTTTAAGTTGCAGGAAATGTTCTTGCATTTGATAAAATATACGTATAAGCAGCAGCAAAAGCAGTATTAGAATAATAATAATAATAATAATAATAACAAAAATAATGAGCATTTTAGATTATTTTTATTTATTTTAAGAATATATATCTTTTATAATATTTAGATATTTAGGTAGGATATTTATATAAAATTTTAGACTGTCATTAATCTCTTCTACTAAATTCCCTTCTAAGCAATTTTGTATTTTTATTTTTATATTTTTCTTTATAGAGTTATTTTATTACATTATTAAAATTGTTATGAGGAAGATATTCTGTAAAATTATGAATTTTATCAAATCCTTCTTATTCTGAATGATGAAAGTATCCTTGAAATTGATCTAATTATTAAAAAATTAATGTTTCTTTTATTTAAGTTTTCCTTTTTTCATTTTCTATTAAAGATGGCTTTTTCTTTGTAAATATTTAAGATTTATTGTGTTTTTCACTTTCAATTTTTTTAGGAAAAAGAGACTCTCTTCTATTTTCTGGAAGCATATATTTATTTTACTCTTATTTTGAAATTGATTTGTTTGATATTTATTTTTAATCTATTACTTATTGAGACTCTTAAAGATAACTCAAAGAGTTTGAAACTTAATATGTAAGCATATTATCTGTATTAAAGGAATCTGCATAGTCTTCTTAGATTTCTTTTATGGCTTATTAAATTGTATTAAAAATCAAGGTAGATTTAGTTTTCTAACCAGATCTACTTTAATAAAACCTATAATTAGTTTATGATTAATTCAACTTTAAAATTTTAATATATAAATTTGGTTAATAAGTTATAAATGGACATTCAAGATGAATATGAGTAAATTAGCCACAAAATTGACATTTTATTTAAATAGCTGAGAATGATTTTGTATATAAAATATTGTCCTTTATTCTATGAAATCTTTCAAAATCTTTAGAGTTTTATTTTATGATAGTTATAAATTAATCTCTATCTATTTTAAATAATTAAGTGAATCCAACACTCATAATAGATTCTTTAGTATTTTAACCTGTAAAGAATTAATATTCTCCAAATGTTTCTCCAGCCTTGAAAACCTTGATGATTTTTTAACTTTATTCTTCTACAATTTAAACTTCTCCTTCTTTAATGAAATATCTAAATGAATATGTAATTTTACAAACATTTATCTTTATTATCATTTCTATGATAAATGAAATCATTAGGAGTTGACTTTACTTCATTTAAGATATTTTTTAGTTTATTTTAAGTTGAAGTTGAGAAATTATCAGTAAACACTTTAATTTTTAAGATTGCTCTATATTAAATATCTTATTCAATTTATTTTTTTAGATTAACTGGTAAATCATTAATAATTTTAATTGTATCCTCTTAATTTTCAAGTATGTCATTTTCAATATTATATTTGATATAATTTTTTACTCTTCTTTATATTTATGAATCAACTTCATTCTTAGACATAAACTAATTCATTAAGATTAATGTTCGTCTTATAATTATAAATTAAAATTTACTTGAATTTTGTTTATTAATCATAAATAGTTTTTACAATTACTCCAATAGAATTCATTGTATAAGCAAACATGCAACTTGAAAATAACATCATTATTGTTGCAAATGTCACTTCAAACTAATTTTTAGGTGTTATATCACCATAACCGACTGTTACCATTGTCATTGTTGCCCAATAAAATGAGTAATTATATCTCGCCCATAAGGTTTCATCAATTATATTATAATATGTCAACCATGATCCATATTATTATGTTAGATCTCCTACATGATGCCATAAACATGCCATTGTATGAGCAAAAAAACAAATTATGATTACTAAAGTGACTATATTAAGAAGATTACTATTAAACCCTTTTAAATATAATTGCTCTATTAATATATTAAATTTTCGATCTATCTTTCTAATAGTAATTACAAATTATATAACTACCATTATTTCATTTAAGAAAATTTGTTTATCAAAATCAAAGTACACTAAAAACCATATAGTAAAACTGATCACATCTTCTAACAGTTAAGTTTTCAAATAATTTTTCCATATTTATGAAATTTCAAAAACAACTTCACCATTCAAAATGATTGGTCGATAAAGTGAAAACAAAATTTCCACAATTATATATATATTTATCATAATTTCTGTAGGCTTAAATGTATTCAAATGTTAACCAAAAGAAGCAATTAATGTACATAAAAATAGACTCAGAAATAAGACTAACAATGAAATTAAATCCCAAACTAAAGTGAAGTTTCTATCTGGCATTAATAGGTTAATTAATTTTTGATTTTTTTATTGCAGTTTCTAATTTTACTGCCTCATATAATAAAATATATTATTACATTTCAATGACACAATTCGTTGATTTTACTTTGTCTTTTTATTCTTATAAATATCCATCATTTTCTAATATTTTTTTCATACCATATGGTAAGACATAAGAGGAAGAAAGCAAGTTATGTTTAAATTTATTAATCAAGTTCGATTTTATTATTGTTTTAATAAAATTAAATGTGTCTGGTTTGTTTGTCTTTTCAATTTTATCAACTTATTAGATCTTACCTTCAAATAAATTTCTTCTACTACCCTTTATAAAATTACTTTAAGATGGCTAAAGGTTTTAATTTTTCTTAGTGAATTATTACTTTGCTTTCAAGATTTAATAATTTAAAGATGCTATGCCAACTTTTTTTAAACTTTCTTTTTCTTTTTCTTTTTCATTTTCTTTTTAACTTGTTTCTGAAGTAATTGAATTTCTTGAGGATGAATTTTTTTTATACACATTCACTTCAGATTATTCTATTGAAGGTCCAAAATAACAATCTTATAATAGACCCTTCTCAGTCCTATTAGTACTCATTTTGATTAAATGAAATATAATTGATGAAATTAAATTATTATTCAAAGAGTTTAAGCATTTTTTATAATAATATTTTTTAAATAATGTAAAGGCATCAATAATCTCTATAGTTTTCAGTTTCTGGACTAAATTTTAATAATCATATGTACATTTTATAAAGTAAATGATCATTTGATAATTTTCATAGTGATTATTTAAACTATTTTAAATGAGGTTACTTATTAAAAGTATCATATAGAATTAATTTATTTTATCATAAAAATAACATTTTCAATAAAATTGTCATAAATGTATTATATATCAAAAAATAAAGAATATTAATTAAAAAGTTTATTAAGTATTTTTCATTAAATTTATTTCTTTTATTTATCTTTTTTGATTAAAGCTCTTAATTCTTGGGAAGAACATTTCCAATTTTTCTAAGTGTACCTTTATACTGAATCTATTTTCTTTTTAAATGATTCCTCTTATTCCTATTTAATAATTTATTCTTTTTGTTTATTTAATTCTTAGATTCTTTAAAGTTCTAATAAGCTATCTTAAATATCCTTAAACTAGGATTACATAGTAATTTGACTTTTAGATTGTTAAATAGCTGAATCATATTTTTGAGGTTTAATTGAGTTCAAATTCCTACACAGAATAAAATTTGAGTTTTATTTGGAATCTTATATTTCTTCCATCTATTATTCTATTTTTTGTTATTTCAATTACATTTCTTGTTTTATCTCTTTTTATAATCTCTCTCTTAAAATTATCCTTTATTATAATGCTTGTAATTTCCTTATATCAGCATGTTAATTTTTAATTGCTCTTTCAACTAAATCAGCATTATCTTAATCTACTGTGACTTATTCATTTTGCTAGTTATTTGGGGCATGATAATAATATGATATTTATGGTCTCAATTCTTCAGAATTAATCATTCTCATATAATTATGATTTGGTGGATTTATAACTTCAAAAAATGGTTTATCCATTTGTATTTCTTTAGGAATAATATCATCTATTTTTCTTTATAGAATTTAGTTGGGTCGTCCTTTTGCTTTTAATAATTTAAGAGAAAAAGGTTTAACTTAAGGAAGATCAAAAAACTAATCTCCAAACTTACCAGTTGCTTTAAGTGGAATAATTGATTATTATCCAAATTGAGCAAAACGATTCTGCATTATTTATTGAAAATATTTATATATATTATTTTATTTTATTTAAAGCTAACATTCAAAAATGGGAAATTGCTCATCTTAGAAAAATCATAAGAATAATACAACAACTACTATTAAATTAGAAGAATTTATAAAAACTGTAGATCAAAACAATGTTCATGATTAAGCATTAGTTATATTATATCATAGTAGAAATTAACGTTTAAATCATTTAAATGAACCTGTATTGAGTGGTTTTAGCAAACAGTTTTCCAGAACATCAGATTAATCGCAATAAAGAAATTCTACTTGATCTTTTCTATTATTTATAATAAATTACTATTTAAATAAATATTAAGATGTATTAAATTATAGTATATACTAAAATATGTTTATAACTATCAAACAAATAATAATTTTATTGATATTGATCATTAAATATATATTTATGTATAGATTGATTGAAATATCAAACAAATCAAATTTATATTAGATTTAATTTATATGTTTTTTAATATTATTGACGATTTTCTAAAATAAGATAATATTGGTTTGCAAGAGGCCAATTTCAGTACTACAAGATACATAGCTTAATTGTTGATTTCAAAAAAGAATGTAATTAATTATCTATTATATTTTTAGATTGAATAAGTTTATTAAGAGATGTCAACCAAAGAAAATTAATGTGAAGAAATCATTACATAAATTATAGATAAGAAATATAATGAATTTAATCCAATGGTTAATAAACCTTCAATTTATGGAGTAAAATAATAATATTATGTAGAAAGCATATGATGAATTATCCTAAAATGTAAAGAAAAATAGAAAAAGATTATAAAATAGCAAAGAATTGTTAAGTTCTAAATCTGCAGAATTGAAGCATTTTTATTACTAAAATATATATTATAAGGAGATCATTTCTACTTTAAATAAATTGAAAATTATAAGGTCATCAATTAAATTGATACAAACTTAAGCATTAAGTTAACCTTATGAAGGTAGTTTGGAATGTAGAAAAATTAAGTCTTTAATAAGTAATTTCCCAAAATAAGATTCCTTTTAAATTCAATACATTAACAAAGGATTTAATTTAGGACTTTCATAGATTTTGGGTGAATTTTAAAATTAGTTAAAAGAGTTTTTCTTTTTATAAAGGGGTTCTATCTTAAAAAATACAGATGCTTAAAAGTATTATGATTTAGAGAGAAAAGTAAGAGATTTAAAATCGTTGAGTGAAATCTTATAATTTATTAAGTCAAATCTTCCAGAAGTGACATTATAAAATGATGATGAATTAGAATTGTGTTTGATTGATTAATAACTTAATAGTAATGAATTGATAATATCTTATAATCAATTAAAAAGATTTATACAAATGAGTTTTTAATTTAATGATTTTGACACTGTAAAATAGTATGTAGATAACAATACATTAAAGACAGGAGATATAAATTTAAATATCAACAATTAATAAATTAGTTTATTAAATATATTTCTATGTATTAAAGGATGTACAATAATTAAAAAAACAAATGAATTATTAAATAAACATTTTGAAGATTTCAAATACAATTTATAAGATTTATTTACTAAATCATTAACAATATTTATTAAAAGATAAAATCCTAATGACAATATAAAAATTTCATTATTTGGAGAATTAAATTTTAGTAGTTTTACAACTTATAAGATTATAAGTTAATTTTTTAAGAAACTTATAGCATATGCAATGATTATTTTAAGAAAATAAGTGTTATTTGGAAAAACATTACATAGTTTAAATGTTGATGTTGATGAAAACACTCTTCTACTTTCTTTATCTGAATTATGTAGATAATTATTTTGGTAAATCAATGTAGTTTTGAGTATGTTCTATAAATCTTCTAAAATTAGTGAATAAAATAAGAGTAGAGATGTATTTGATGTCAGAAATGAATATCATTTATTCATTCAAACAACTCTTTAATAATTAATTAAACCTAGTCCTCTATATTATTTATTATAAAGACATTTATTAGATGAAGTCTTATAATAATGTATAGAATCTTTGAAGGTATTTATGAGAGTTGAACCCATATTCAAAGAACCTATTGATAATGAGATTTAATTATAATAGGAATTAAGTAAAAGTATTTATTTGGATTGCATTAAATAATTAAATGAAGGAGTCAAAAATGTAGTAAAAAATATTGTTTCATTACCAAAACGATAGAATAAATCTTTTATTCCCTAAATAAATTATTAATTAATATAAGATGTTTAAGATCAATAATTAAAACAAATGCTTAGTGATTTTCAATTGATTAATCTAAAAATGCAAATTCCTGAATCAATACAATTTTGTTATTTAATACATGAACTCAATGTTATTGATTAGATCACCAATCTTTAAATAGATTTCATTTAAATATTAAATTGGATTTTGAATGTATATCTTTAAGAAATACGAATAAAGTTAAAAACATTGATTTAAGGTTCCTAATCAGAGATTTTGATGTATAATTAAGATAAATAAGCATTATAAAAAAAACTATTGTCTTTTATGGAATGGAAATGCAAATTTTAATAATCAAATCCACTTTTAAATGATGGAATAAATACTCAATAAAGATTATAGAAGGCCAAAGGTGATAAATAATTTAGATTTTAATTGAAATAACCTATATATTAAGGATATATGGAATATCTAGTGAATTAGATTGATGAATCAAAAACAAGTCCTTTAATTAGATCAAAAGAAGTTTTACATACTTTAGGTGCATTACATGATAACATTCATGCTTTTTTAAGTTTTACCTTATAATCAATAGAAAGATATTTAGATAAGATGTAATGATATTAATATTGATAGTGATCAATAATATTTGATAAAATAATTGGATATCTAATAAAAAGATGTTCCAATAGAATAAAAGAATATAAAAGTACAATTGTTGAAGATTTTTTAATTAAGATGTGAATAACAAAGTTTTTAGATTGAGTAATTTAAAAATAAGAGTGCAATAGAGTAAATAATTTTAAATATAGAATAGTATTACATTCAATGACAATGTATAATAATCTTTTTATAGATTCTTAAAACTATGTAATGATATATTTTTGGTGTAATTTGATGTCTATCTGGTTTTGAGATTTGAATTTCATATGAGACATTTATTGATGACCAATATTTAAGAATTCAATTTTGAATACATTAACTTTTCTTAAACTCTTAAAGAAAGTCTATAAGATGATACAGTAATTTTGATTTTCATTATTATTAGTTCAATATTATTACATCAGATTTTTGGACAATCTTTAAGGCAAGTTTAAAGGCTTAATTCATAAGATAAAAGGATTTTAATCCAAAGAAAATCTAAATGATTTTAAAGGATCTTAATGTAATGAAAGACGAAATGAATAATCAAGGAAAAAGGATTTCACATTTACGAAGATACTTTAAATTGTATTTGGTAAATGGATAGGATATTGAAAAGTTCCTAAAAATAAATGCTTATAAATACAAATTTGAATTAATATAGGAATATGGTAAATTAATGAAAGTAGAGAATTTAGAATAATTAAGAAAATATTGTTTATGAGCAAAAGTATTATCTGTTATGATTTTATTATAAATAGTATATGGATCTGTTATACCGTTTTTATTTAATAATTATATTATTTACAAAATGAATAGATTGATAGTGTTATCCTTGATATGTCTAATTAGTATCAGAGGATTTGAAATTGATTTTTCATTACTCTTACAAGTATGAATTATTGTAATAATTAATCAAAAGACAGGATCTGAATCAAATGATGCAGTCTAAGCTGTTTATGATTTATTAAATGATTTAAAGACAAGCAATATAGAAGCTTAGGGAGTTGCAGATGAGAAGAACATTTCAGATGAAGAAATAGGATAAGCTAGAATAGCTGCTTTATCAAAAGTTAATGAATTGAATCAAAAGGCATGGGCAAGTGCTAAGGCTAGAAGAGAATAAATAGGAATTGAATACAGAGTAAAATTTAGAGTAATATGAATATATAGGAAGCTACAGATTATATTGCCTGGGCTACATAAAGATTAGCTGATATTGATAGAAGATCTGTTGAATTATAAGAGTTAAGATGTTTTTCTAATGGTTTATTTGTGAGAGCAATTAAATAACATAATGATGCTTTAGGAGTTATTAGAATTTTAAAGAATGATTTAAGTGGATATTTAACAGGACAACCATCTTCATTAGTTGAAGTTAATGTATAAAATGTATCAGACAAATTGAAATAATACAGTCAATTATTTAATCAAGATGCAATGACAAAATTTGCATAATTAGCAGCTGAATAAGCATCAGGAAATGCAGAATTACATGCACTTGGTTAAGATGAAGGATCATCAACTGATAGATAACCAGGACATAATATTGGTTAATTGGTTTATAATGCTCTTTCAGATCTTGAGGATTAATTGAAAGGATCATTAGCCAATTTAGAGGCCAATGAAATTGCTGCTTATTATCAATTAGCTGATTGGTTAGCAGATACAGAATCTGAAGTTGTTCATCTAAATGATGAAATTTAGAGAAAGACTTAATTATAAGATAAATTGGTTGTGGTATGTTAGATTTTTAATAATTGTAAAGTAAGAATAAGCTGCCCTTGCTGTATAAGCCAAAGCTAACAGTGTATTGAAGGATTCTCAAAATGCTATTAATGCAGCTACAGCATCGTTGTAAGAATTGAGAGAATTATATGAGACTGAATTGAATAGAAGAAATGGTAAGTATATCAAGATTATTTTATAGAGGAGAATGCTATAATAGATGAAGTTATTCATATTTTCAAATAATAAGTATTGGAAATGGCTAATTAAACTTCTTTTGGAAAGAAATGAATAATATAAATATTATATATTAATATTAAAAAATAAGAGAAAAATATTAAAAGACATTTTACATAATCATTGCATTAATTTGGGTTAATTGCAAACTCAATCAATGGCCTGTTTAGTATAATAAAATTATTTTATTATATGCCTAAACATAATCCTATATACACACCAAGGGTATAGATAAATATTAACATTAGTTTGATGAAGTATTGACTGAATTGGTTGGTACACTTGGAGAAGCAAAATGGGCTGAGATAACTAGATAAATGAAAACAATTTATGGTTTATCTATTCCTCATAAACCTATGGTATAAGCAAGATGGAGAGCAATAGATCCAAAAATTAATAGATAAATATTTTCAGCAGAAGAAACAGTTACTCATTGGCATATTTGTGTAAAATATAAATGTCATTGGGATGCAGTTAAGGCTGAATATGAAGCAATAGGTTAAATNTTTAACAGGACAACCATCTTCATTAGTTGAAGTTAATGTATAAAATGTATCAGACAAATTGAAATAATACAGTCAATTATTTAATCAAGATGCAATGACAAAATTTGCATAATTAGCAGCTGAATAAGCATCAGGAAATGCAGAATTACATGCACTTGGTTAAGATGAAGGATCATCAACTGATAGATAACCAGGACATAATATTGGTTAATTGGTTTATAATGCTCTTTCAGATCTTGAGGATTAATTGAAAGGATCATTAGCCAATTTAGAGGCCAATGAAATTGCTGCTTATTATCAATTAGCTGATTGGTTAGCAGATACAGAATCTGAAGTTGTTCATCTAAATGATGAAATTTAGAGAAAGACTTAATTATAAGATAAATTGGTTGTGGTATGTTAGATTTTTAATAATTGTAAAGTAAGAATAAGCTGCCCTTGCTGTATAAGCCAAAGCTAACAGTGTATTGAAGGATTCTCAAAATGCTATTAATGCAGCTACAGCATCGTTGTAAGAATTGAGAGAATTATATGAGACTGAATTGAATAGAAGAAATGGTAAGTATATCAAGATTATTTTATAGAGGAGAATGCTATAATAGATGAAGTTATTCATATTTTCAAATAATAAGTATTGGAAATGGCTAATTAAACTTCTTTTGGAAAGAAATGAATAATATAAATATTATATATTAATATTAAAAAATAAGAGAAAAATATTAAAAGACATTTTACATAATCATTGCATTAATTTGGGTTAATTGCAAACTCAATCAATGGCCTGTTTAGTATAATAAAATTATTTTATTATATGCCTAAACATAATCCTATATACACACCAAGGGTATAGATAAATATTAACATTAGTTTGATGAAGTATTGACTGAATTGGTTGGTACACTTGGAGAAGCAAAATGGGCTGAGATAACTAGATAAATGAAAACAATTTATGGTTTATCTATTCCTCATAAACCTATGGTATAAGCAAGATGGAGAGCAATAGATCCAAAAATTAATAGATAAATATTTTCAGCAGAAGAAACAGTTACTCATTGGCATATTTGTGTAAAATATAAATGTCATTGGGATGCAGTTAAGGCTGAATATGAAGCAATAGGTTAAATTAGAGATAAATGTTTTTTAAGTTAAAAATTCTATGCTCATTTTTAATTTAAATTAGTTGATTTAAATAGAATGATGGGTAAAATGGTTGCTTATAATCAACCTAAGATTGAAAATATGAGAGATACTACAAAAAAAAGAATATTGGAAATAAATGCAAGAGAACCATAAAGTGTTAAAGATTAATCTGCAAGAGAAATAATATAAAGTTGTTAAATGCTTATTAAATTATTAACTTATGTTGTAGATAATCATAAAGAAGATTATAAAGTAATAACAGAAGAATTAAAAAAGATGATTACACCAGAAAAGTTTGCTAGAGTTTTATAAAATATATTTATTATTGATTTAATTGTATTAATAGCTTGTAATGAATTAAAACCATCTGATGAAACTCCAGATTTTATTAAAATGGATGAAAGAAAAAAAATAAAATATAAAAAACCAACTAAAGTTAAAAGATGGGATGAAGCACTATTATTAAGTTCAAGTCCAGAAAATACAGAAGATGAAGATGTATTAAGAACTGAATAAGAGATTAATAAAGTTACAGGTGGAACTAATTTTACAAAAGCTGATATTGAAGAAATTAAATAAAGTCCAATATATTGTGTTTGTAATACAGATTAAAATTAAACATTTTATGATTGGTATAATGAAGCTAAAATTTAGAAAGCAACTTTAAAAACAGATTTATTAGTTGATGTAATGGATATTATGAATAATAATAAAGATAAATAGAAATCTGAGAAAACAAAACCTGTTTAAAAAAGAACAGCTTTATTAGCAAAGAAATAAATGAAATTAATAGAAAAAAAGAAAAATGAGCTTATGAAATAAGATAAAGATGATAAAATTAAAACTGTGAGAGGAAAAATAAAAATTGATAAAGAAGTATTCCCAGGATGTTATACTAAATTCTTTGATAAAGAGGATGAAGATGATTATGAAGATAGTCAAGATAATCCAATTTATTCAGCTATTGATGCAGATCAAATATATTAAATTATAATGTAGCAGAAATAGGCTCAAGATAATTGAAAGATTTTTTATATTATTATTATTCATTATAATAAAGATTTATTATTATAATATAATTATTATTAGATGATGTCACACAAAAATTTATATTCTAAGATTTAAAATAATATGAAAAGTAAGATAATCACTTATTTTGTCTTAATTACTCTTGCTATGTCTTAGATGACTCTTGTACGTGAAGATCAAATGAATTTCTCTGTTTCTGATAGTAATTGGAATTATAGTACAACATGTGATTGGATCTAAAGCACAACAATAGTATCACAAATTGGTAGTTGTGCTACAAATAGTTTCTAATACTCTTTTGTGGGATCAACTACTCGTAGATCAATGTATACAGTTGGCAATTTGCCACCTCATTTTTAAGTTAAAATCGTAATGGATGCATATTTTATTGATTCAGGAAATGGTATGAGTACTATAGAATATGATTGCAATCCTTCCACCACAACTACAAAGTCTTTTTAATATAAAGACAATGGTGCTGGAGGGAACAACATCAAAAACTACTAAAATGTTTGCAATACAGGTTGGGGAAATTTTCAGATTTAGACCTAAATTCTAACATTTGTGCACAATGATAATGATTCATTATAATTTAGAGTTTGTGCAACATTAAATGCTGGAAAAACGTTTGGAATGAGAAGTTTATAAATATATGTTGATCGTTGTCATTGGTCTTGTCTAAAATGTGAAACAAGCTCTGCCATTGATAAATGCAAAGTCTGTTTTAATAATCCTACAGTGACTTTGGCAACAGCTGGCACTTGTACATAATGTCCCACAAATTACCTTTATATAGAATATCTGAATAGCTCAAAAGGATGTTTTACTGAATGTTAATATTATAGAGTACCAGATTCAAATAATGTATGTTAATTCAATGAGAGTAAGAAGATCTTTATTTATTATAGATATGTTACCATTTAAAACCTACTTAGATACAACTACATTTACTACAGCATCTCCTTGGGTTTTTATTCCTGATCCTATCAATTTTAATATTGTCAATGTTGAAAGAATATCTTAAATTCCTTGTCAAACAACCAGAAATTATGTAGGCCCATTTTATTCAAATGAGGGATATAAATTATAACTATCATTACCTTATAATATCACTTATATTAGATTTCGTGTAACACTTTTGAAATTTGGAACTTGGGTAGATTATTCAACCATAAGAATACTTTTAGATACTGATGAATAAGCTTCAATCTATACTATTAGCAATGCCATTTTGAATAGAAATGGATAAATGTTATTAACAGAAACAAATTGCACAAGTCCTACAGTTACTTATTACAGATTGGAAGCAAAATTAAGAAGTAGTGCCATATCTCCAGTTCTAATAATATAGGGAAATATGGAGTATGATATTTAATCTATTTAGTAATATTGGTGCTTAATCTTGGGGATTTAGAAATGTCGTTTTAGATATAATGAAATGTTAATCATCATGTTCTTGGTGTGATTATGATTTAAAATGCTATGCTTGTTCTGCTGGATTTTTGTATAAGAATAGATGTGTACCTTCATGTCCTCCTTATTCAATTGAAAGCCCTGGTATATGTACAGATTTTGATGATCCTATTCCAAGTTATAATTCTATTTAATTTAGACACTAAATATCTAATTAAGGCCTTTTATGATTCTACTAATACTACAGATACAGATATACCTGCAATTGTAGGAACTTCTTCATCAGATTCAACTGATTTTTCTACCACCGATACATTCTCTGGAACGGCAGGATCCAAAATATATTTTAGTTATTACTTAGGCAAAAGAGTTTTGGGAGGCCCTTTAGTTTGGAACAAAGCTGTCTTTACATAGAATTTCGTACTGAATCCTCACTATAAATTCAGAATCAGATTTACTCTAGTTTTGGGAGATGATTTTGCTTCTTAGGGAGATTTTCGTTATACTGTTGGAGGATATCCTGAAACTACAATTACTTATGCATAAGGAACAACTACTTTAAATAATGTTGGTGCTTTAACTAGTGATAAATATATATAAGTAGATAGAACAGAGAATCACTTTACTAATAGTTTTTAAATAATTTTAAAATGCAATACACATTCATCTCAAGCTATTAACTAAGCCTTCTGTTTAATATATGATTACTATATTCTTATCTTAGAAGTAATATAATATAATTATTATAGTGTACTCAATATTGTACTGCATGTACTGGTCCTACATGGTTAGAATGCACTAGCTAATCTGGATTACCAACAGGAATGCTTACACCATCATCTTGTGTCGACTCTACTTATTATCTAGATAATTCAGTTACTCCTGCTGTATGCAGAAAATGCTCACCTACATATTGTTTAGAATGTACAAATCAATATATATGCACTAAATGTGCAACCAATTTTTATTTATCAAATGGTATTTGTTTATGTTATTCATGGACCTATTTAACAACATCTAACACTTGTGCTAATTGTCATGATTAATGTTCTAGTTGTTATGGTCCAGCAAAAAATGAATGTTTATCATGTAAAGATTCACAACATAGATTTATTAATAATAATGTATGTCAATGTAAAAATAACTATTATGATGATGGGATAAATAATAAATGTTAATCTGTATGTGGTGATATGGTTGTGACTGATGGTGAAGATTGTGATGATGGTAATACAACAAGATTTGATGGATGCAATAATTGTAAATATGAGTGTCAAAAGGAATGCTCAATTTGTGTAAATGGAGGATGTTCAGTATGTTCTACTGGATATGTCTTGAATTCAGCTATGAAATGGTGTATTCCTTTATGTGGAGATAATATAATAACAGGTTCTGAATAATGTGACAATACTTACAATTATCCAACCAGTTATTGTGATAATTGTTAATTACAATGTTAAACTCAATGTCTAGATTGTTAATAAGGATTGTGTTATGATTGTGATACTACTTTAGGATATTATGTGAATTTGAGTAATTTAAGATGTGAAACTTAATGTGGAGATGGAATTTAAGCAGGAGTTGAACTATGTGATGATGGCAATATTACTCCTTTTGATGGGTGTTATAATTGTTAATTCTAATGCGATTAATTTTGTAATATTTGTTTGTTATCTACCTGTATTAAATGTTAAACAGGTTATCAATTATATAGTAAAACTAATCAATGTTTACCAATATGTGGAGACAAATATGTAACATTATTTGAATCTTGTGATGATGGTAATTTGATTACAACTGATGGTTGTAATTAGTGTTAATTCTAATGTTAGGATGAATGCACAAATTGTGTATTAGGTTAATGTTATGAATGCAATACACCAGGTTTTATATTAAACTAAAAATTATTAAAATGTGTTCCTATTTGTGGAGATGGAATCATAACATAATTTTAAGAATAATGTGATGATCTAAATTCTGTATTTGAAGATGGTTGTTATCAATGTAGATATGAATGTTAGATTGAATGTGCAGTTTGTGCTACAGGAATGTGTTATTCATGTTAAACAAATTATTATTTAGATTCAAATAATTATTGTGTTCCTCTTTGTGGAAATGGAATTGTTACAAAAAATGAATAATGTGATGACAATAATACACTTGCAGATGATGGATGTGATTCATGTATTTTCAAATGTGATATAAATTGTGATTAATGTATCTTTGGAGTTTGCAAAAAATGTATAACTGGTTACAATTTAAATTATAATTAAAAAAAATGTACTTCAATATGTGGTGATGGAATTATCACAAAAGATGAATAATGTGATAATATCTAGACTGAAGAATTTGATACTGAAATAGAATGTATAAACTGTTAATTATAATGTCAATAAGAATGTGAATTTTGTGTATTAGGATAATGTTAGAGATGTAAAGAATCTAACGGATATTATTTAGATTCAGAAACTGGCATTTGTGTTAGTATTTGTGGGGATGCTATCGTAAGTTAAAATGAATAATGTGAAGATTAGAACTCACAATTATTTGATGGTTGTCAATAGTGTTTATAAGTTTGTGATGAAGAATGTATTGATTGCAGATTTGGAATTTGCTTCAGTTGTAATAATGGTTATTAATTAATCAACTAAAAATGTATCTCAATATGTGGAGATGGAATTGTAACCAAAGATGAAGAATGTGATAATGGTGTAGATAAATTTAAAATGGATGGATGTATCAATTGTAAATTTGAATGTTATGAGGGTTGTAATTAATGTGTTAAAGGGTAGTGTTTAGAATGTAAAAATGATAAGGGATGGTATATGAATTAACTAGATTAATAATGTAATTCAGAGTGTGGAGATCTGATTGTAACTAATTTGGAAATGTGTGATGAGAATTCAAATTTCTGTGATTCATGTTTATTAGTTTGTGATGAAAATTGTATCTAATGTACATTAGGTAAATGTTCAAAGTGTTAAAATGGATATTATCTTGATTAGAATATATGTACAAGTAAGTGTGGAGATCTAATTTAAAGTAAAAATGAATAATGTGATACTGATGATCTTATTCCATTTGATGGTTGTTATTAATGTGAATACTCATGTTAAATTTAATGTATCACTTGCTTTAATGGAGGATGTATAGAATGTGATGAGTTAAATGGTTGGTATTTAGAGAATGAATAATGTAAAACTATATGTGGAGATGGAATCAAAACTGGCGATGAAGAATGTGATATAGATATAAATATAGATTAAGGGAACATATCATTAAATAAATGTTTTGATTGTAAGATACTTTGTGTAGAATATTGCAAAGTTTGTGATAAAGGTAAATGTACTTAATGTATTGATGGTTATGAATTAAATGATTAGAATGAATGCATTTTATTATGTGATAATTAATAATCACATTTAAAATAATGTGATGATGATAATTTAGATCCTTTTGATGGATGTTTTTAATGTAATTATGAATGTGAGGATTTATGTTAAAGTTGTGTTAAAGGAGTTTGTTTATATTGTAAAACCGGCTATAAAATCAACAAAAATGGATAGTGTGAATCAATATGCGGAGATGGTTAAATAACTGAGGTAGAATTTTGTGATGATGCTAATAATATTGAATTTGATGGATGTTATTAATGTAAATATTCATGTCCTTAATATTGTAAGACTTGTGAGAAAGGACAATGCAAGGTTTGTGAAAAAGGATACCATTTAGAATATTTAAATTGTATTACTGATTGTACAGACTTAATTCTTTAGTAAAGTGAACCAAAATGTCAAATTTTATAATGTTAAAATGAATGTGAAGTTTGTGTAAATGGATAGTGTTATAAATGTAAGTAAGGATGGTATTGGAATAAAATGAAATTAAATTGTGAAAGTTTATGTGGTGATAATTAAATAATTGGTGAAGAATAATGTGATTATACATCTAAATTAGGTTAAATTAATCCTAAATGTAATAATTATTGTAAATTTGAATGTCCTGATGATTGTTTATAATGTGAATTTGGAGTTTGTAAGAAATGTTAAGTAGGATACTTTCTAAGAGGTAACATATGTTATAGTTAATGTGGAGATTTGCTGATTAATTAAAATGAATAATGTGAAGATAATAATTTATCACCCTTTGATGGATGTTATTAATGTTCTTTAGATTGTTAGGTTTCATGTCAAATATGCATTTAAGGAACATGTGAAAAATGTTAGATTGGTTATGAATTAATAGAAAATAATTGTTTATCAATATGTGGAGATGGAATAGTGACTTAAGATGAATATTGTGATGATAAATTTGATAGTTCATTGAGTTGTGAATAATGTAAATTTTCATGTGATAAAAATTGTTAATTTTGTTAATATGGAAGATGTATATTCTGTAAAAAAGGATTTGAATTAAAGAATAACTTTTGTTAACCTATTTGTGGAGATGGGTTGATTTCTGGTTATGAATAATGCGATGATGAAAACTTATTAGCAGAAGATGGATGTTTTGAATGTAGATATTCATGTTAACATTAATGTTTAAATTGTTATAATGGATATTGTTTGGAATGTGATATAGAAAATGGTTGGTAACTTACTCCATAAGGATAATGTATATCAGTTTGTGGAGATTTAAAAGTAACAGGTAATGAATAATGTGATGATGGTAATGAAATTAATTTTGATGGATGTTTTAATTGTTCATATATTTGTTAAGTAGCATGTACAAAGTGTTTATCAGGATCTTGTTATGAATGTAATACACCTGGTTGGAGATTGGAGAATTTTTTCTGTTGGGAAATCTGTGGAGATGGATTACAAGTTGGAATTGAAGAATGTGATGATGGTAATGATATACCTTATGATGGATGTTTTGAATGCAAATCTTAATGTGAAGAAGCATGTGTTTTATGTGAAGCTGGAAAATGTTTAGACTGTGCTTTTGGTTGGAAATTGAATGCCTAAAATAGATGTGAAACATATTGTGGAGATGGTTATGTTATACCTTAATATGAAGATTGTGATGATGGTAACCTCATACCTTATGATGGTTGTTATGAATGCAATTATTAATGTGTATAATTTTGTACAAACTGTCAAAAAGGCATTTGTTATGAATGTAATGTTCCTGGATGGTAGATTTTAGAATTTTAATGTATTCCAATTTGTGGAGATGGAGTAATCAATGGTAATGAACAATGTGATGATGGTAATTTAATTGAAGCAGATGGATGCAATAATAAATGTGAATTTTAATGTCATGCAGCTTGTTTGTTATGTGAAAAGGGTATTTGTTTGGAATGTGATGCATATTAAGGATTCTCTGAATATCTAAATTAATGTGCTTCTAAATGTGGTGATGGATTATGGGAACCATTAACAGAATAATGTGATGATGCTAATAATATTGATTTTGATGGATGTTCTAAAGATTGTAAAATTGAAATAGATTGGTTTTGTTAAAATCTTTAATTACTTGTTAGTAATTGTTTTTATGAAAAATAACCTACTATATAACTAGATCTTATTGATTAATAAGATAATATATCAACTATTTAAATTTCATTTTCTACTAAAATGATGCTCAGTACTAATAATGAATCATCTAAAATATTCTTGGAAAATTAAATTGAAGATGAAATTGCTAATACTAAAAATATCAATGTCAATTTAATTGATTTAAAAATAGAAGATTTAAGTGAAAATTACTATTCATACACTATTAATTCAATTACACCTATAAATTATGAACCAACTCTTGTTATTTATCTTGCCTAAATTGAACTCAAAACTACTATTCCATCTGATAAAATTAATGTAATATTTATAGTCAATAATAAAATTATTGTTTCTGAAAATAAAACAAAATTAATTAAAAATGTAGAATCAATCTAAATACCTACATAAATTTATATCAGCTAATCTACTGAAAAAGTTATAAAAACATTCTCAGAATTTTAAACTTTTTAATCATATTCATTTTTAACCATATCATTAATTAGTGTATTTACAAGTGGTTATTCAAATTTTTATATGGCATGTGATACATTATAGTATCTCTACTATTCTAGATATATTAACTTACCTTTCCCTGATAATTTATAATAATATCTGAATAGTCTCAAAGAATCCCAACTATCTAATATTGCAACTAAAAAATTGGGTATATCTGTAATGAATTTTGATGATAATTAAAACACTAATACAGAGAATGATTAAATGCCTCAAAGTTTTTCAAAGGATTATCTAACTTATGATTTTTTAAACAATGCATCCACCAGTTTAACAATCTTTTCCATTAGTTTTGCTGTCTATTATTCATCACTTATTGTTTCTAAGATATTACATCACATTACTCCATCTACACTTAATAGTTTAGGCTCTATTGTAGGAGGGTCAATCCTTACTGTTAGATAGAAATGTACAAAATTTGTTAATAATTTTGCATTTTCTGGAATCATCAGAGTATTAACAATTAATTTTTACGAACTTGCATTTTCATCATTACTCCAATTATCTCACATTAATTTTAATGATACTAAAAGTGTAATCAATAATATAGGAGCTATAGTTACATTACTATCATAGTTTGCATTTATTGGTGTTCTATTTCATAAAATTCAATAGATTTAAACTAAAAAAACAACTGATTTCAAATCTTCGATAAAAACGTTATTTTAATAACAAGAGGGGTTACAACATCAAAAAATGTGGGTTATGCAATATAATACAGTATTATTAGTAAAAAAAATGTTCTATATTTATGTAATTGTAGGTATGTAATAATCAGGCCTTTATCAAACAATTGCTGTTGCTTTATAAGCATCAATTTTTTGTTCATACTTACTAGTATAATAGCCTTTTTCTAAAATTGATGATTTAAGAAAAGCTTTAGTAACAGAATCTGGTATGTTTTTAAATAGTTTATCCTTTATTCTTTATTCAGTTTACTAATAATTTTAATTTAATCAAGAAACATTATTTTATTTAGGATGGATAAATATAGGAACATACACTATTATCGTAAGTTCTAATACATTGATAGATTGTTTTGCTTAATTTAAAATAGTTTATTCAAAGATTAAGAAGGCATTCAATAATTTTATATAATCATAACTACCCTCATAATCAAGAATTTAGCCCATTTTTATATGATGTTTGCTCTATTTTTATTTATATATTATTTACTTAAGTTTTATATATCAAAATATAATAATAGATTTTATACAAATATTACAATCACAAGTACATAAAGAATTTTTTCATAATGAAAATTCAAATGACAGATTAGTTAAACCATTATTTAGTTTAATTTTGATATTACACTCTCTCCATGCATTCCATAATAAAAATTTAGTTAAATAAATTGATATTATTTAAGCTTTCTTTTAATTTTCAATGGTTTTCTCATCAATTGTTTTTTTCAAATTTTATAAAACGATTTTATAATTTTATTCAGAATTTAGACAAAAATTTAAATTTTATTTAAGAATTTTAGAATTAGATAGAGTATCTATCATAAATCCTTCTAAAGTTACTTTTAATCTATCTTAATTCAATTCATTTCTCTTTTTTATTGTAATTTTTTATAATTTATCAAAAAGTTAAGCAAAACTTATTAATATGCTAAAAAAGTAGATTTAATTAGTAATAAATCCTGATAATGAGTTATTGAAATTAAATTCAATTTTCTTTTGTAATAATAAATTCATTTAATTTTATATTTAATTAATTTGAATCCAACCTTTTCTATTTCGTATATCTTAATAATTAAAAAATAATCTAATTTATTAGATGTTTATAACCAAAAGAATAATTTAAAGTCTAGTTTTGATAGTTTTTAACTATGTAGTCAATTATTATAATATGAATAAGATGAATGTTTCTTTATACTTAATTACTTATTAGAAATCACGAATTTAATTCTTTTAATTTTATTCAAAAATCAAAATTACACAATCTTCCTCTTACATAATTGATTGAATTAATTTAACTTTTAATTCTTTATTTTGTTATTATGATCTTACTTCTAATTAATATTATGTTAATTTCTATTTCTAATTTTTAATAATATCTCTTATTTCCTCTTCCAAATTACCTTTTTTAGCTTCAATATTTCTATTCTTTTCTTATATTATAAGCATCTTTAAAATTATATAAAATTTAATACATCTCTTAAGACTATTCTCAACTCTTTATTATTTGATATTTTCAATCTCTATTTAGATAAATCATTAATTGAAGATAATATTAATTGATCTTATTTCTCATCAAATTTAATTACTAATACTGATTACTCTAGAATTTAATCAATTATTTTTATCCAATTGTTTTGTTCTCTACTATTTCTGAATTACATACGCCTTGTTTTTTCATTTGTATATTTCATCATTATTAATCCAATGAAAACCAAAAATATTGTTAAACACATAGCATAATATTCCAAAGTTTTCGAAGGATAATATGTCACATACTAAAAATAGATAATCAATAAAGCAACTCCTTAAGGCCATATCTAATATCCTAATTACATAATGGCTACGATTATATTACCATTTACCAAAATGAAAATAAAATGCTTACATTCCATAATACCAATTGTAGTCATAAGTAAATGAATAGTAAGAAGAGTCATCTGTTACTTCAATTGGAAAAAAGTTATCAAGATTCCAAATGTAAGCAAAATAAATTTGTAGAAGTGGTAAAATATATTTATTACAATTAGGATACTTATCAATTATGCATTTCAATAAGAGTATTAAAACCATAAAGACTATGATATTCGTTACAACAATCAAATTAAAGGTGTTTTCTTAAAAGTAATATAAAATGTAGGCCACAAAAAATAACTAAATAAGTTCTTATTATACAATTGTCTATATTGAAAATAGTGTAAATTCTGATTTTAAATGGACATGCTATTCTTATCTATATTCATTTTCTATTTAATTCGATTTAAATTTGAGAGTGAATCTAGAAATCATAAGAGTTTTTATTTAATTTATAAGTCTTGCATTTAATTTATTTCAATAATCTCATTACTTTTTTGAAATATTTGATTTAATTTGAAATCGTTCATAACATAGACAATATAAATATATATTTAAAGTAATAGATAACAATTTATGTATATAATTAAATTGATTATAGATTTTAATATGATTATGTTCTATGTAAAGATTATAATACAATATATTTATAGATAGTTTTTAATTAAATTGAATAGAAAGTCTTAGATTGATATCAATATATTTAATTAATTTAGTATTATACTTGATTATCAAAAACAAAGTACTTTGTTTAGATTAAAAAGATTGAGGAAATATTGAGTTGCTACATCATATTCTGGATATAATATGATTTCTATTTGTTATTACTAATATTTTGCATTCTATTTTTGTTCCCCTTAAATGTACATTCCTTTAATATATAGTTCTAGAGTACAAAAGTGATTTTAAATTAATTATATTCTTTTTTCAACATCAACATCATAATATTATGATATTGATTAATTATTCAATGTAGCCAATAATATTAAACTACTCTCAGCACTTGATAATAAGTGTAGCTTTTTCATAAAATTATCAAATAAGGTATGTAAATCAGATTAAATATTTTTATAAATCTCATCTAAAGTTAATACAATATTTTTATATTATTAAATACTATTCTCTTTTAGAGTTTAATCTGTAATATTATAATATGAACAAAGCCAAAATTATTAAGTATTTAAGGGTTAATAAGATGTCTTGATTCCATTAATGTAGTTATATACAGATTTAATTTTCACTCTCCCTATTGCCTCTACAAGTACTTAGTATCCTTTATTAATTTTTTTTATATTTTTAATTTTAACTAAATCTCCATTGATAAAATCTCCTGAAACAATAAAATTACATGACCCAGAACAAACTCTTTTTATCATCTCCTAATATCTGAGTTCAAAAAATGTGAACTGTGTTTCCATATGAATTATGACTGTTTATTCAAAATTAAAGATAGGTAATCCATTAACAAAATCTGATTATATGATTTCTTCAGTTTATTGTACTTCTTCAATCTAAAATTACTTCAAATACCAATTGATAAGATCTTTATATTTCTAATTTATGCTAACTTTTAGCACAAAACTAAACTCTGAGCATACTGGGCAAAGTAATTCTTCTTGAAGACTCTCTTAAATACATTTCTAACAAAACATATGTTAACAAGGTAGAACAATTGGATTTATAGGTGTCAACCCACAACAAAGACAGATAATTAATGAAGGAAATTCATTTAAAAGTCCTGATATTATAGAAATCTATTACCTTCTGTTCCATCTTTTTCATATATCTATTACACAATAGATAACAATTCATCAGATTTATACTATGAGATCAACATAGACTAACGACACAAGGGACAAGCACTTTACTCTTGATTGTCTAATGTATTATTAATACAATTGAGACAAAAAGTGTGCCCACAATTTAGAGACATAGGATTGCATAAACTTTATAAGCATATAGAACATTGCAGTATGAATTTCATTAATAAAAATATCAAATAAATTCTTGAATAATCATGTATTTTTTATTAGAATTTTTAAGAATTCAAATAATCAATTATCAAAATCTTTTGAATCATTTTTTGAGATTTGAATTTCAGATCATGATTAATCAATGTATTTTTATTATATTCTCGTTATTTTTTCTAATTTTATTAAATTAATTACTTTAATTCTAATCAGATTATCCCACAAGTAATTTAAGAAAATATAGATATAAAAAAGTTTTAGTTGCCTTAAATTTCATTATACTCAAGATGAGATTATATAAAACTCATATTAACTAAAGAAAGATTATGTATTAAATGGTAACATTTTAACTTTAATTGGTTTTCTATTTTTTCTTTAAACTATTATGTAACATATTTTAGAAAACAATATTTTTAAGGGTGATTCTGAAAATCTAATAATGTAAATCTAAATATGAAATTATATTTAATTCATATGAGTTTCAGATTATCTTATCTTTTTATAAGGATTTATTACAATTAAGTGCATTTATAAATTATATTAATTATATTTTATAATTCTTAATTTAGAAATTATTTTCTATAATTTATTTATCAATATCCTTATAAACTTTTATTACAAATCTTATAACTCATCATTAAATTACAATAATTCATTATTTTATATTCAATATTATTCATTAAAATTATTTATTTAAAAAAATCAATTAAATTACTCTCAATGCTAAAGGACTTAATACTTTTATTCTAAGTTTATTTATAATTATATAGATTCTCTTGAATAATTTATTTGCATTTAGGAAATCTTTTCTATATTGATTTTCTTCACATTCATATGATTTTACTTGTTCTTCTCATAAATTTTATTGAATTGCCAGAATTGTTTCATATCGAATTAAAGTTTTGTTGCGTAGGGTTTCTTAATATTTACTTTAATACAGATCATTAATATTATCTATATAAATTTCTTAATTAATAAGATTGTCATCCGAATTAGTAATATGAAAATATAGGCAGAAATATAATGATATATATAAAGTTAAGACTGAATTTGATATCTATATAGCCATTTATTTGTACATTGAAATTATAATTTTAATAGAAATACAATAATGCCATTTCAATATTTGTATTTTTCGTAAAAATCTATAATCTTAGCTCGTCTTTCCTTTGCTTCACGCACAACATTATTCAACTGCTCTACTAATTCCATCTTTTAATTATTATCTTAATTCTTAATAGGCTAAATTGGATTTTGCTATCTTAAATGATTTGGGTTTACCAATTATAGGTTTGCTATAGTACCCATAACATTTGGGGTTCCTATCATATTGTGGTTTCCTATCATATTTTGGTTTTGGTTAGGGAAAGAACCCTTGTTTAATGTCGATGTTGTAGGAAGTGGTTGGAAGGTTGGGGCTGGGTTTTGGGTTTATCTGGTGTTGGGATTGGGTTGATTAAAAGCTGCTGTATTCATAAGAAATTATAATAAATTAATATTTTTCAATATATAAAATTATATTAGGTATATGGTAATTCTATTAAGTTGTCTGGAAAGATCTTAAAATTAATACATACAAAAATAATTTCATTCTAAATTTACAAGAAGTGCAATAAATTCTTCTTCTTCTATTAGACCATCCTTATTGTTGTCACATGATGCCAAAATATCTTACCAAGCAGAATTATCAATTTGAATACCTCCAAAGATTTCCTCAATTTCAATTCTTGAGATAGTTCCATTACCATCAAGATCAAATAAACGAAAGGCCTTCTTTAAACTTTCTTTTAAGAATTATTGTTCTTATATTATAGAAGCAGTGAGAAATTCTGTAAAATCAACTCTCCCAGAATGATTTGTATCAATTTTATCCATAATTTCTTTAACCATAAGTTATGATTCAATTTTATCCATTTTTACACTAATCATTCCTTAAAGGATTTCCTCTTAACTTAATAAACCATCACCATTTTTATCTAAAGATTTAAATATTGATAGGAATTTTTATTTTTCTTCTCTTTTAGAAATTTAAACAGTAACAAATTAATTAATAGCTACTCTTAAATTATTATATCCTTTAAATTTAGTAATTTCTTTAAAGAATTCTTGATCAAATTAAATACTTTTAGGTGATTAATTTGAAATCCATATATGATTCAATGCATCTTTCATAGAAATTCTTTTATGTGGATCTTTTTAAATCATAAGTTTAATTAAATCTATTGCTTCTGGACTTATTTTATTCCAATGTTTACCTTTAATTAATTAATATAAATTACCACTGAAATTTAAATTAGCTTTTTATGCTAATTACAAGGTTTCTAATTAATTTTTACCTCTAAATGGTGCCTTTCCAATTAATAATATATAGAGTATTATTCCACAAGACCAAACATCTACTTTTTCATCATAACCATTAGGTCTTAAAATTTCAGGTGCTAGAAAATAAGGTGTACCAATTTTAGTTGTTAATTTTTTTGATATCATTTTCTCACTTGCACCAAAATCTATTATTTTTAAATTAGAATTAATATCATTGTCATCAAATAAAATGTTTTCAGGCTGATATTAATTTAATTTATACTTTCAAATCTCTATGCACAATTTTTCTATTATGACAATAAACCATAGCAGATAATATTTATTACATATATTATTTTGCAATTTCTTCATTATAATTTGTGATTGTTCTTACTCTCTCAATCAATTCACCTCCACATAAACATTCTGTGATAATATAAATATTTTAAACATCACTAAATATTTCGAGTATCTTAACTATGTTAGGATGATCTAAATCCTTTAAAATCTCACTTTCAGATATTAATAATTACTCATCATCAATAGCTTATTTCTAAATTACCTTTGCTGCTCTTATTAAATTGGTTTTCAAATGTCTTACCTAATAAACTGAACCAAATCCTCCTTATCCTAATTTTCTTATGATTTCATAATGAACTAAAAACATTTCTCCTTCTTTTTAATTTCTTACCAAAATATCAGGAGAGAGTTATAAATCCTACTGATATTTTATCTTTGGATTTGATGTTTAAGAACTAAATATATTAGGTGTTTGACTATCAGAACTCTCTTGTATAATTTCATAATTTTAGGTATAAATTTTTTTGGGTTCGATCAAAGGTGGAGGTTGTATGACTTCATCTTTGATAGCCTATTCAACAATATTCTAATCAATTTAATTATGACTCTAAGCTTTATGAAGTTTAGTAAAATCATACCTTATTGGTCAATTTATATCTTATAAATACAATTTCCCATGGCTAATTTGAAATATTGGGTAAATAATTTATTTTTTTTAATTTATCTTAAAATACCTTATAATCAACTATTTTTAATTTGTTGTTTATTAATATTATTGTTACATAGTTAGAACATCAGCTTTTATTAAGCTTGGAATTTTAAGGAGTCTAAAATTTAATAAATTTATTTGATATGTATTAATAACAAAGAACCATAAATAAAATAATTGATTAATTTAAAAACATAATATATTAATTATTCATACTAATATTTTTTATTATAATTTATCACAATTTCTTAAATAACTTTTCTTTTTTTGCATCTTATTTAGATTATAAGATTCTTTATTTTTTTTATTCAATCTTTTAATATATGTTTGAATTACCAACCTCTTATTATACAGAGTCAGTAATTTATTAAAATGTGTATTTATAAAAGAATAACAAATTATTATAATTTTAATTTATGTTCATAGCCTTACTATATTCTTAATAACAGTAATATATTGCTTCTATTGTAGCTAAACATTTCAAGCTATGATGCTAATATCTCCAAAAGTATGTTTAATAATCCTCTAATTTTATGAATTTTTATTGAGGATATTTATTTGAGATTTTCTCTAAAATTGCTCCTGTTTAATGCCACGTACAATCTATTGCTACAAATTTTTTAATGTTTTGAAGCTCTTCCTATGATAATTCTTTTATATATTTAGCATTTTAATGAGGATAGAGAACATAAGTATGTTCATCAAATTCGAATTCATTAGGAAAATCCTTAACTTCTACTTAATCACTTAAGAATTTAGCAGGTATAGCTGAACTTTTTTAATGCTTCTCTTTATTATGATGTAGAATTAATAAATTTACAGGTAATTCAACTTTTGGTATTAGTTCTTTATTCACAAGCAATTCTCCACATTTTAGACAATAAACCTTATGAAGTAAATTGCATTTTGGACATCTTACTTTTTCAGCCTAAAGATCGATTTTAGGAAATTAAGAAAAAAATTCATTAGCTCTTTTATATTATTCTTCACTAAAAAGAGATAATCTCATAATCTTACTTGCTTATCTGATCTGACTCTTTGTAATTTTATCTATCAATATACTTATCACGAATATGCATATAATTAAATTTATTGAATTGATTTAAAATATAAACAAATATCCCCAACCCTTTATAATTATTAAATATAAATTAATATAAAAATATAATACTTTAAAAGTGTATAAAATTTATAAATATCTGATTAAAATCTGTACTAAATTTCATTCAATTACATTTGTATCTGTATTTGCATAAAAACGATTTTAATCATATCTACATAATTGCTACATTCTTAAAATCCATTAATAAAATTTAAATGGTGCTTTATTTTCTATGTATTTCTTAAAGGAATTACTATTATATCTACTCATTATTACACCAAATAACTAAATAATTTTATTTAAATACTTCAAAATCTGCTTCATCTGGTTTTTAGCCACCATGAAATTATTATCCATTTAATCTTTAAATCCATTCATTTAAACCTTATAGGAGTTCTGCTTAAGCTTTGAAATATGCTTCCTTTTATCTGATCATATGGTATATATTTCTTGAACTTTATGTAAATGCCCTATATCCAACTTTTAACATATAATTAATTAGTAAATAATTCTTAGAATCTTTGGCATATGAATCTGGACTTGATTTAAAAAGATTTTGCCATGTTAATATTGGATTTAAGAAGATTAAATCTAAGGGTTTTTTAATCTTTTATAATATGCATTCAATTCCTTATTATGCAAAAAGTGTATTAGTCATATGAGTTTGATTCAAGATTAATTCTTTATTAATTAGAAATGAAACTATGTTTTCAGGTCCTGTTATAAATTATGTTGAATCTAATGAGACATTTACTTTTAAGACTGGCCATTACCATTATTCAAGAGTAATTATCTTTGCTTTCTTTGCAAAATCTAAAAACAAAATATTATCGACTTTATCAAAACTTATATTGTAATAGTTCAAAAGAGAGAAAGCCTTTTAACAAATATGACAATCATGTCTAATTAAATTTACAATATACCTCATATAGAGTACTAAATGAATAACTATATCAGTTTATGGACTTTGCCAAAATATTTATAAATCTCTACTTTACAATTCTTCTTTAGATAATTAACGATTAATTGATCTTCTTTATTCAATGATTCCATCAATTGAACTTTTATTTTGAATCTTTGAGAAACGAAATAGTTACCGCAATTTAATCATTAATTATTTTATAATAGTTATTTGAAATAAAAAAAGAAAAATAATAAGAATTTTAGAAAAGTATTGACTTAAATGATTGTTCTGTATATAGATTACAAAATTTATTTCACTTTTAACATTTCAGACAATTAATGGCCTAATTTGTTGGATACATAACCAAATAAATTTCAAGACATTTCATACAATATCTATAACTTGGAACTTAAATTCTAGGAGGATGAGCAGCAAATCCATGACATTATGAACAAGGATATGCCTTATTACAACATTAAAAAATAGGTATTGTGTTGCATTTAGTTCTATGTGAACAATCTTCAGTATATAATTTATAAGGAAATGTTTTAAGTAATTTATCTCTTTCACTTTATCTTTCAGAATTCTTTTAACTTTCTTTTTATTTAATAATTTATTCTTATATTTATTTTTATCTTTCTTTTTCTTTTTTAATCTCCTCTTCCTTCTTTCTCTATTCTATTTATTATTGTATTCTAATTTCTTCTTATTTCTTCTCTTCTGCTTTTCTTTCTTCTTCTTTAAACATTTCTAATTATTATTGAAATGGTTAACTCAATTCATTTACTTTCAATTACTTTTATTAGAAAAATTGCATCTTATATTCTGCAAATTCTTTGCTTTATGGATCCACAAACATTACCTTATTATAATCATTAAGTTAATTTGTTATATCTGTTTCTAATTAAATTTTATAATCATTCCAAATATGTTCAACTAAGGATATTTTTTAACTTAAATAATTATTTGTCTCTTATTTTATATATTCCAATTCTTTGAAATGTTTACCCTAAATAAATTCTAAACTTTCCTTCAATTCTTCATATGTCATATCAAAAACTAGTTTGGAACTTAGAATCTCTACTCTATTTATAATCTCCTTTTATAATGGTTTCCATGCCAATTATTCCTATATTGATTGCAAAATATTTCTTTCTATTTATTTCAATCTATCAAATATTTAATCTCTTAGCTATTCAAAGAATTGACTTACTTAAGCAGTCTTATCTGGTACTTAAAGTATTGTATCGCTCATATTTTTAAACTAAAATATCAATTTTGTAAATACTTGTTTCTTTCTATCATCAAATATCTTACAAAAAGTTTAAACTTCCATTATTTATGATGAATGATCATTATGAGATTCTACTAAACAATATGAACATCCTAATCTACTGTCTGCCTTACAATCTCCATATTAACAAATGTAGAGCATCTTATTTTTTTCATGATTCTTTTTTGGACATACTGCCTCCATACTCATTCCAAGAACTTTGATTATAGAACGTTCATGCATGTTTTATAATTACTGTTTTGATATTATTTGTGATGGTCTTTTCTATGAATTTCTAACAGGAGATGTTACTGATTGTGTCACTTTAGAACTACTACAATAACATTTCAGTTTACCTTATTGATGGAGTCTATCCTTATGGACCAGTTGAGCTACGAAAAGATTATTGAGTTTTTAAGAGTTCTTAATTTACTATACTTTGAGTAAGCAGATCCTCAGGTTTTGGATTTCCATTAGGATTTGTAGGCGATTTATTTGATCTTCTTGCAGATGGCTCTGTTTTTGAATATTTGGCCGATTACTTTTTCATATATATTTTAATTTTTTGATTCAACCCACATTATTACTTATTTCTTCTTATAGTATTGCAGTACTTATTTAAGATTTTTACACTTATAGAAGACACAATAATACAATAAAACCAAAACAACATCAATTTAACAGTTAAACATAATAATACTCATAAAGAAATAATGACCTATAAATTTTATTAGTATAATAATTTATAACAGAAAAGTATGTAACTAGTACTAATTTTTGATAATTTATATACTGAAATATATTATATAATCTTAAATTGTATTCTGAAACAAACTATTATATATATCCTTATAATTGTTTTATACTTAAAATACAATAAAAATATGGATTTAAATTATATAAATTTCTGTTCAATTAATAAAATGAAAATAACATCTTTCTTTATTTATTTATATCATCATTGATACTTAATTTTATATTATTATAGGACTAATATATAAAATTAATTTTATGTTCTTTTATTTAATTGAATTCAATTAAAAATAATCTAATCTGATAATTTTATATATATATATATACAATTGTATATAAAATCTCTTGATTTATTGTATATTTATAATTTTATTATTATTAATATGTATATATTGTAAAATCATTCATATTTTAACATAGATTTAAGTACTTTTATTGTCTCTTTAATTAAATAATAATAATTATATTATAGAATCCTAAATAAAGTTATGTATGTAAATAAAATCTATTCTCATTAAATAAATAAAAAATGAAGACATCCCCTCAATCATTTTAAATAGAAAATGAAGAAACTGTATGGCATACTCGTAAATTACGTTAAGAGACTGAGAAAGATATCTTATTGATGAAAAATAGACTCAAATTATTAAAAAGAGGTGATGCATAATTATCTAAGAGAATTGATGAAACTAAGAAGAAAACTAAATCAATGATAGAACTGAAAAAGAATCATCATGCATAAATTGAATAAGTAACTAACCTTATTTATCCAAATCCTTTAGAAAAAATTAAGTCAGAAGAATGATGAAGAAATATTGAAAGATAAATAGAAATTAAATTATAGCCTCAAAAAATAACAAGAAGAATAATTAGAAATGATTAAAAGAGCAATGGAATAAATCAAATTAGAAGAATATAAAAGAATTAAGTATTCTTACAATATATCATCTAATCTAGAGAATTATCAATAAAAAATTCTGAAGCAATTAGTAAATAGAAATAAGATTTTCTTAAAAAAAACAGAGAGAAAAGAGAACATATAAAGGAAATTATGTCCTAATCAAAAACTAATATATCACTTTATTGGAATGAAAAATTATCTCAAATCTAAAAGGAAAACGAAAAGTATTTATTAATAAAAATCTTCTTAGAGCTAAACTAGAAAATAAGAGAGCTTGCTCATACAATAAGGCATAATAAGAAAAAATGGAAATGGAAGAATCATATATGATGCAAAAATTAATGAGATCATAAGAAGTTTAGAAAAAATTAATAACAAGATTAGAAAAAGCTAAAAACTTGCCTCATGACGAATTTAATAATTTAATTAAAGAAGAAGAAGAACATTCAAATCATCATAAAACTAATAAAAGTGTTGAAATACCTCGTTGGTTACCTACTCCAGAAAAAGATATTGTAGTCTCTCAAAAATTAGATACAGAACCTTAATAAGATTAAGATTAATAAAAAAAAGATGATAATCCTGAAGAATAGTAAGATTGATCTATTTATAATAATAAATTAAAATTTATAAGAATTATTTATTAAACATAAATAATAAAAATAAAATTACTTATTTTATCATATTTATTAACAATAATACATTCATATTTATAAATTCATACTTAAATATATTATATTAATGTTTGCATCAATTAATTATCATTTATATTATCGATAATTAGTGTTTAATTATTTGTGATCATAAGCATTTCGAATTCATCATAAATTAATTAATTTATACTGTATAAAATTATCAAGTTATCTTTTCTGAATTTAGACAATTTAGAAAAAAGTTTGAAGCTATTATAACAATAAGGAATTAATCTTATTAATAAAATATTTTATTATAGAGGTTTTTATAAAATTAGATCTAGTAATGTGATACTATGTATCTTATTTTAGATCTCTGTTTAGATCTTTTATTAACTTAGTGTTAAGTATGGTATTTATTGTAAATATTGATTTAAATTAAATAACTGAGATTGAAACTCATTTCTTATGTATTATTACAACCATTAAGATACATAATAATTATTCCACTCTTTATTGAAAATATTAAATTTGAATTGATTAAATTCTAAATAAATAAGGAAAGGTCCATCTTTAATATTTTTATATAAAAAACGTTATAACAGTATTTTAGCCATAAAGATTGGTTCAGTTATGATAAATACAACATTTTTATTTGAGTTTGATTATCTATAAATATCAGATTGTCTTTAGATAATTAGTTTCTATTCTTTATATTAATAAAGATTAAGAGAAATATATAGAAATGCTCTTGAATTTTTATTTTATTTTAGATATGCAATATGCTTCATTGTAAAGTATTATTATTAATAAGGTTTTGAATATTTCTCTAAAAAGGGTTTAATTTAATTCAAACTCTAAATAAGTAAAAGATGATCATAATTATCCTATCTTCTTCTAATTATAAGGTAATCCTAATGAACTGAGTAGTTTTAAATAAAGAATTCTTAATTAATCTTATGATTATGAGGATTTGCATAATAAAACATATATAATGGATAGTCATAAGTGAGGTTAAGAATGTATGTATAATATGATTAATTTAATCCATAAAAAATTAGTAGATTCTCTTAAATTTAATTTAGTTAATTAACAGGCATATTGAGGATTGGAAATTATTGATAGAAATAGATGTTTAGCCAATATTTGATATCTAATTCAAATACATCCCATTGATATTAAATAATTGAATTAGAATTATTAAGTAAAATGATTGATTATTCTTCTGATGGGATATTGAGGATTGAAAGGTTTAATTAATTGGCTACTTTGATAAATGTAAATCTATATTGAGCACAAAATTGAGGATAGTGGATGATAATTTGTTCTGGTTGAGAATTTTGTATAAAAAATAAAAATATAAAAAACATATAAATATTAATTAGATTGGTCATTCCTGTTTTTCTTTTGATTGTATTTGATCATCAACTTTTTGTTATTTTTTTAAATATTGTTGCTATTAATATTCCAAGAATGACAATATCTGCTGAAACAATTTTGAGTGCTTGACTTAATTCTGTTATTTCAAAGTCATCTAAGATCTTAATGTGCAAAAAAAAGACAAGAAATTATAGAATTGCTAGAGCATAATTAATATATGAGATGCCAAATAAAATGGAAAATGCAATTACATTAAAGATTATAATCCAATCTGTATTATCAATATATTGAAATCCTGTTATGTTGGCAACAATGTTCAAGATAGATATGATATGAGTTTCATTTCTGTGAATTTGAATTGACAAATAAATAACATAGCTAATTATAGGCATTAGTAGGAATTTTTTATCATAATTAATAATATCTTAATTTATATATATTTAATCCAATGTTCAGAATTACAACTTAGGCCTTATACAATCAATAAGCTACAAAGTTAGTTAATCGATTCTGTGTAGTGTCAAAAAATAAACCAGGAGTTGGTCCTTCTTAAGTAAAATGGATGCATAATTTTGATAGGGCCATCTGACAGACAAATATACAGTGATAGATCACACATATGATGCAGTTGTTGTAGGAGCAGGTGGTGCAGGTTTAAGAGCAGCATTTGGTTTGGTTGAGCTTGGGTTCAAGACTGCTTGTATTTCAAAGTTGTTTCCAACTAGATCACATACAGTAGCAGCTCAAGGAGGCATTAATGCAGCTTTAGGAAACATGACAGAAGATGATTGGAGATGGTAGTGATTAAGACATATCTAGGCATGCATATGATACAATAAAGGGATCTGATTGGCTGGGAGACTAAGATGCTATTACTTATATGTGTAAGGAGGCACCAAAGGCAGTTTATGAATTGGAAAGTTATGGTTTACCATTTTCAAGAACTCCAGAAGGGAAGATTTATTAAAGAGCATTTGGAGGATAGAGTTTGAAATTTGGAACAGGTGGACAAGCATATAGATGTTGTGCTGTAGCAGACAGGACTGGACATGCTATGTTACATACGTTATTTGGAAGAGCTTTAGGATATGATTGTATATTTTTTGTGGAGTATTTCGCTCTTGATTTAATGATGGACGATTAAGGGTAATTTAATGTTGTTGATTAATAATAATAGAGCTTGTAGAGGAGTTGTTTGTATGTCAATGGCTGATGGATCAATCCACAGAATTAGAGCAGGTTATACTGTTATAGCCACTGGTGGATATGGAAGAGCATTTTAATCATGCACATCTGCTCATACTTGTACAGGTGATGGAGGAGGTATGACAATTAGAGCAGGTTTACCTATGGAGGATTTGGAATTCGTTCAATTTCATCCTACTGGTATTTATGGTTCTGGATGTTTGATGACTGAAGGATGCAGAGGAGAAGGTGGCATTCTCAGAAATTCATTAGGTGAAAGATTTATGGAAAGATATGCTCCTACTGCAAAAGATTTAGCTAGTAGAGATGTTGTTTCTCGAGCAATGACAAAAGAAATTTTAGAAGGAAGAGGGTAATTATTATATTATTATTATTTATAGAGTTGGACCAGAAAAAGATCACATCTATTTACATCTTAATCATTTACCTGCTGAACTTTTACATGAAAGATTACCAGGAATCAGTGAAGCTGCTAAAATATTTGCTGGTGTTGATGTTACTAAAGAACCTGCACCAGTCTTACCTACTGTTCATTATAATATGGGTGGAATACCTACTAACTTTAAAACTGAAGTTCTTAATCAAGTTGGAGGAAAAGATTAGGTTGTTCCTGGACTTTTAGCAGCAGGTGAAGCTGCTTGTGCATCAGTTCATGGTGCCAATAGATTAGGAGCCAATTCCTTATTAGATATAGTAGTTTTTGGTAGATAAGCTGCTAATCTTGTTGGTGAAAAGTGGAAACCTGGATAGAAACAACCAGATTTACCTAAAAATGCTGGTGAAGCTGCTATTGCTAGAATTGACAGATTAAGACATCATGAAGGATCTTAAACAGTTGCTTAAGTCAGAAAAGATCTTTAAAGAACTATGCAGAAACATGCAGCTGTTTTTAGAATAGAAAAAACATTGTAAGAGGGTGTTGAAAAAGTTAAAGAAATCTATTAAAGGAAAGATGATATCAGAATTAAAGATAAAGGACTTGTATGGAATTCTGATTTGATTGAAGGATTAGAATTAGATAATTTATTATGTATTTCTATATTTAAATATCATTTTAGTGTAAGGCAAAATGACCATAGAAGGTGCTTTAAATAGAAAGGAATCTAGAGGAGCACATGCTCGTGATGATTATCCAGATAGAGATGATAAGAATTGGATGAAACATACTTTAGCCAGAATCAAAGATACTAAATGTGGAGATATTGAATTAACTTATAGAGATGTATTAGATAATTATAATATTATTTTAGGTTATTACTAAGACCTAAGATCCAAAAGAATTTGATACCGTTCCTCCAAAAAAGAGAGTGTATTGAATAAATATTAAATAATATTAATATATACAATATTATGTAAATAAATTTAATTTCTCCTCCAATTAATTTCATATTTATTTGTTGATATGTTCTGATTATATTTAATGTTTAAAAACTAAATCTTTTGTCTTGTTTAAATCATCATAAGAGCTTTCAATCACTTATATCAAATAAAATAAAGTAAGAATGTTACCACAAAATTTAAACATAAAATCTAATTAACTTTCAATTTAAATAAAAAAAAGAAGAAGAAATAGTTTCACTAAGTAGTTTAAGAACTTCAATAAAATGAAAATTCTATTTTAATATTCAACTATTAAAAATTATTAGTTTTAATCACTTGATGATATTCTAAATATGTCTCAGTAAATTAATTATTTTCTAATTGAAACTTCCCACAAAATCTACAATAATTATTATATTTTCAAAAAGTTATATGTATACATCAATTCTTTGGTATCTTTCCTTTGTTGAATTTTATAATTTCTTATAACTAGCAATATGTATTCATCATTTAGTAATGATTATATATTCTTATAGATGGAACATGAAATTTACTAATTTAAAGGAATAATCATAAAAAGGTTTAAATAATAAATAAATCAAATCTTCATACTTATTCAATCTAGATTAATTAATATATTTTATGGCTTCAAAACTCTATTATAATTTAGAATCATTTGTTAAGTCATCGCATAAATAATATTTATGATTTTTCAAATAACTGCTATAACTTATTCTTAAATCAAATATTCTAATTTTAACAAATCTTAACCTAGATATCCTTATCTAAAATATTTAATTATGATGTATTTTTAGTTTTTTTATAGAACTATAATATATTAATCATATAATTTTCTCTTAATTAGCTAAGATACAATGAATATCCTTTATAATCGCTAAATTCTTTTATTAAATATATTTATGCCTTTGTATACAATAACACAAATCATTTTTCAATAATATAACAAGTATTAAAAGAATAATTCATAATTACTCTTATTTAATAATTGATATTTTATTTATTATTTTTTATATTTTGATTAATTAATTTAATTGCTTAATCTTGACTTATTGCTATTATAATGATTTAACAAATAAATTAACATGAGTTTAATTATTTTTATACAGTTTAATGTATAAAATCCTGCATTAAGTGATTAATATGGTTATTCCAAAATATTATAAATTTATGATTAAAAGTTATAGCTTACAGTATGTGTCTCAAGAGATAGAGCAGTTGTATCGCTAATCAATGCTTACTGGTCTCAAATATAGAAGGGAATATTTATACGCAGTAGTTAGCACCTATCTAATACTAATTATAATCAAGTATTAGAATTCGATGCCCATAATATTTGCTAGTATTGGTTTGGCATTAATAATTACTTCTTATATTGCCATGAAGAAATATCAATAATACAAAGAGATTTTTGTTGTTACTAATATACTTTTTATTAGTGCAGTAATTGAAAGCTTAAGGCTATATGGATAAGAATCTAATTAATGGTATTATGGCTATCACTCATCTGTTCTAAAAATTTGTAATAACTTATCATTTATCATAGTAATTTATTTAACTGGCTCCTCATTCATCTTTTAAACTTTTTTTTTTCTCTTAACATAAATTGGAAGCTTTTATAACTTCTAAACATTTGATATATAAGCTATTGTCTCATAGTGTATAATTTCTATTCTACTTGTTTTACTAAGATATCAATATGAAATGATAAACAGAAAGCTTTTTCTAATCAACTTATCAAAAGTACAATATGAAAACATTTTAGAAGATTTATTACCCTCATGGGTAGTTATTGTAAAGTATAATAAATTAGCTGGCTTATTGGATATTGAAAAGATCAATAAACATTTGAAAGAAAAGTTCAATTTATATAACAACGAAGCGTTACGCGATTTTTTGAGAAAATTAGTATTTTTTGATACTGAAAATTAAAATGCTTAATAATTTATAAAAATTGAACATTAGATAATTAAAGATCTCAAATTAAAAAATGAAGATCATCCTGTTTAAAAATATTTTGCTGTTTTAGAAGATCCAAATAATTCTAGAATATGGAAATTCCGAGTTACTTAAGTTTATTTCAATTCATTTTAACCTTAAGTATTATTGTTTTTTGAAGAAATTCAAGAGGATAAATATGATTATTATGTAAATGCAATAGAACAAAGAGATAGATAATTATATGTAATAAATTAATATATATTTTAAGTACAATGCAAAAGTAAGTTTAAAATAAATAAATTATCAACTTGAAATCATTTAATAATTTTATCATGAAATTTCAAAACATGAATGCTTAACACCAGTTTAACAAAACTTAAAATAATAATTGCAATTAAATTATTTTCTTTACAATTTAAATAGCAATCTATTTAATTAATATCAGATATCATATAGATAAATTTAGAGTGATATAAGTAACTTTAAATTGAATTAATTTATAACTGATTTATGTCTTAACCTTTAAATAGAACAAAACTAAGATAAAAATGATGATTAAAATTTGAATCCAAAGAATATATTTTTGAAGACTGATAAATAAAAACTTATTTCTATTATTATGAACTTAGTTTAATTTATTAAACTACTACTTTCTATTATTCATTGTGATAACAGTATTATAAATTAAGCATAACCTTTAAAATAATCAATTAAACTTTCCATAAAATAACCCAAGAATCTTGAAGACTCCTTATAATTCACTTTGAGTCATCCTAGTTTAAATATTAACAATTCAATTATTACATAATTATAAGATATTCAACCTTTCTCATTGGATGATGATAAAAGAAATTGGGAATATAAAAATTATTTTGATAAAATCATAAGTATAAATCAAACTTTGTAATAGATGTTGAATATGTATAAGAAAGAAATATCATCATACTAATGTATTTCAATTGATAATTCGAAATAAATCAATCCTTAATATTAAAAGGTCAATGATTAAATTAAATAGTAAGAGTATAATACTGTTGGATTTATTATAGCTCAATATTTTGTAAGTAGATTAGGCCCATATAATAAATTTACTTTCAAATAGTCATGCTATGATTTAGAAGGATATAATACATCTTAATACATAGGATTACAATAAACAAAAATACAATTCTCTATCTATAAAAATTATTTAAGTTTTTAAAAAGAAATGTTAAATGATAAATTGAATTATTTTGAAAATGATGTGTAAATCTAATCTGGAAAAATGACAAATTAAGAAATCTTTTAGAAACTATATTAATTAACTCGCAAAACAAAATGAAAAATTATCTTATTTTGCTATTTCTTTTATTAAAAAAATATACAATTACTTAAAAGGAAATATTATATTAATATCTTTGAAATACTAAATAGATTTATAAAGATTCCATGTTTTTTTTTAAAATAAAATTATAATATTAAATAAATTCTTAAAATCTGTGTTTCCTATCAAAGTATTATAATTATTCATAGTAATAAAAGTAAGTAAGTATAGGGACAAATTAATTTAATTGTCTTAATAGGTTAGCTAATTTTAATAATATTCATAGATTTAATCAAAAAAAAACAAGCTTGAAAATATAATTGAATAGTTAGGATTATTAGTAGAGAGATGTATTAAATATAATAAAATATAAAAAATAAATATTAAGTACTATTTGATTAGTATAACATATTTTATATTCTACCTATTCTATCTTGTTTTTATTTATTTATAAATATTTTTAACAGATAATGAGTGGATAAATTTCTTCTTCTGAATCAGAAGAAAGTTCTTTTATATAAACTGAATAAGAACGAATTCTAAAGAGTTCCAATATTTTCAAATAGAAAGAATAATGCAACAATATTTGTGCAAAGCATCCGAACAAAAAAGTAAAATCTTTTTATTAAATCAGGCAAAATATTATGTTCAATATGATAATAGTAGATTATTTTGTTCAAAATGTGCTTTGAATTTAGCTCTAAAGGGATTAAAAATAGAAGAAACATAAGAGAAATAACCAGAAATTTAAAGATAATAAAGAATATAGAGATTTTAAGAATAGTTAAATGAGGTTTTAAAATAATGTTCAAATAAACTTATTTAGTTACAAAATATAGAAATGAATTCTTCAAAGTAATTAATGGAATAAAAAGAAAACTGTCATAAATTCTTTGAATCTGTTATCAATACAGCAAATTAATTGAAACTTACATATTTATCTAAATTTGAAACTGATCACATAACTTAATTGAATTAAATCAAAGAGAAAATAAGTCTAGTTTAATAAATTGACATTTAATTAAAATAATATGAAATTGATATATCAAAAAATCATGAGAATATAGTGAAAAATATGGAAATGAAACCATTTGAAGACATAATGAATAGATATGAAAAAAGAGTATCTTAAACAAAAGAATAACTTCAAGAATTCAATTAAGAATATTTTCAAAAATCAATAAAATTTGAACATAATTAAATATTAGCTGACATGAATAAGATGTGTTATAATTTATTGTTGAAAAGTGAAGATTCTTCTGAATAAGTACCTAAACAAATTAAACATGAAACTAGTACCAAATAATTATAAAAAACTACTAATTCTCCAATAGATATGAGAGTATTTGAATTATTGGAAGGTGAAGATATTTATTAGAGTACTTGTTCAAATCCAATTAAAGATCATATATAATCACCAATTAAAATATCAACTCAATTATAATAATAGTAAAAACTAAAAGTGAATACATATTCTAATCCAGGATCAACAATATAAAATTCAAGAAGAGAGAGTAACACTAATACTCCAGAAAGCTGGTAATTTAAGGCCTGCCTAGATAAAAAAACTCATTAAGTAACTCCAAATGATAGAGATAGTTTTAAACATAACATTAGTGTAGGAGATTAAACAAGTAATATATAATTTAATAATAACTAATTTGAATTAAATGAAAGATATTTTAATTAATAAAATGAAAAGTAAAAAACTATTATTGAAGGTGATAGATTAGATGAAAAGTCAAATTAATTATTAATCAATAATATTAATTAGTTATATATCTAAAAATAAACAAAGGATACTGAAAGAAAAAGTGTGGAAGATAAAGAATTTACACCTAAACATTAGAAGAACTTAACAAATGCAATTCCATAAACTTTTAAATTGTTAACCAATCATGCAAATCAAAAATGTAATTATTTTTCATTTATTTAAGCTTAATATCAATATCCATTAGTGAATAATAATATATTAGAATAAAAGAGTTAAAAAGATTTCAGTAAAACTAATTATGATTCGTAACCACAATAAAAATCATTGACTCCTCTTCATTAAGAACCTTAGTCAAGGATAAATAATCAATAGAATAATAAATAAGATAATCGAAGATCAAATTCAAAATAACCTAAATAGCCTTCATTAGATTAAATAGATGGAAAGAGATAATTTATACTTGCTAATATGAATATATAATAATAATACACTTCTTAACCTACTACAAGTGAAGATACTTTAAAAGAAAGAATTCTTAAGGAATTGTGTAGTCATCCTGGAGAATCAGTTTATAATCAAGTTTTAAAATTGAATTGTTAATAAAAATTAAAGAATTAAAAATAAATATCTAAAGAAAATTTTGAATAATCAACAACAGTAAGAATGAAAAATATGAATGGATACTTATGCATTAAAAAATAATCATATTAATAATGAATGATAATTTTATTAATAGAATACTATATATTATAATTAATATATAATTTGAAATTCATACTTCAGTTTAACAAATTGGACATTTCTTTTCATTCAATAACCATTTCTTAATACATTTTGAATGATAATAATGTTTACATTTAAGTTCTCTAATTTTTTCTAATTTTTATATTTCATTATAACATATTGAACATCTAAATATATTAATTTAATTTAATACGCATCCTTTTATTTGAGATATACTGTTCTTTTTGGTATTTTCTTTATTTATTCTTTAGTTAATCCACGTGATACATGACCTATTTAATTTTATAACTCTAATAATTCTTCATAGGTCAATCCATCTGTTTAAAACTATTTTTATGGCATCATTGCTTCTTGCATAAATTCATAATATTATTAATGTCTCATTTGTCTCTACATTTCAAGAATTAACATATCTTCAGATGGCTACCTAACTTAATTTTATAATTAGGTATATCTCTATTATAGTTTTTAATAATCTTCTGTAACATTTTTAAGTTATTCTTTAGTAATAAATAATTCAGATTTAAGTAGTTCATTTTCCTAGAATCATATACAATCTTATACTTTTTTTATTTTCTCAAGTTCATTCAGTGACATCACTTTTGATAATGGTTACGTTTATTAATAGGATTATTGTTATTGTTATTATTATTATTACAAATTATTTTTATATGAATCTTCTCTATTAGAGTTGAATTAAGGATTGTTTGTTCTTTAATATTATCCATTTGTTTTACTAAACTTGTTTTTCTAATCATTTTTAGAATCCATAAACAGAAAATTAAATAATTGATAAAATATCAAATGAATTATTCAACTGTTTTAAGGAAGAAATCCTTTTCTGGTTAAAAACACAATCAAGCCATTAATTTATTAGTTTATGGATGTGAAATTTAAAAAATAGCATCTGGAAATAAATTTGAGAAATTATTCATTTACTTGTCTCATGAAATTAGTTATCACCTTGTTTATATCATAAATCAATATACAAATTATATTGATTTAAGGAAAATTAGATTTATAACTGATGATATTCGAGATACTAAAAAATTCACAGATGATAAATCAGTGTTATTATAAATATTTGTCAATGAAGAATGTTGGTATTTAAAATTTGCAAATTAAACATTAAAAGAATTGTGGTGGCAAGGATTATAATATTTTTATACAAAAGCAAAAGAAGATTTGAAAGAGTATTATTTAATTTTTTTCTATTTAGAAAATTATAAATCCAATTGATGGCTTGGGAAATATTTACTAAATTTGATGAAGATAGAGATGGATTCTTAAATAAGGAAGAATAATAAGTCTTTCTTAATTGGATTAAATTTGTTTATCCTGATAAAAATTTAATAGAAACTAAATGTATCTAATCAAGTTTTTAAAATAAATTAGAATATAAGTAATTTGAAGTAACATTTCTTAAATTATCTAGGAAATAATTAAATTACTATACGAATAATCTATTTTAATTAATTTGAATAAGATGTATCTAAATTCTGAAAATTTATTAACTGAATAGGATTTTAAAAAGTTTATAAATACTGCATAAAGAAAATAATAGACAGATGGATTTTTTGGATTTCCTATGACAGCTGATAAATTTTATGATTTTCTATTCAGTTAATAGAATTCTATTTTTGAAATTGGTAATTCAGATGAGATGACAAAACCTCTATCTCATTATTATATCAATAGTTCCCACAATACCTACCTTACAAAAGATCAATTATCAGGTGATAGTAGTGTAGGTTAATATGTAATTGCACTATTAAATGGATGTAGATGTTTTGAATTAGATTGTTGGGATAGCTATTTTGACAAGAATCCAGTTATATATCATGGATTTACTTTAACATCTAAAATTTTATTTGAAGATGTAATTATGGCCTTAGAAAAATTTGGTTTTATGTTTTCTTCCTATCCAATCATATTATCTTTAGAGTTGCATTGTAATATTGATCAATAGGAAGTATTAGGATAGATTATGAGAACATAATTTAAAGATGAATTATATATATATGAATAGGGTCTTACTGTTTTACCTTCTCCAGAGAAATTAAAAAGAAAATTTTTAATAAAAAGTTCAGGTATATTAGAGGAATCTTATAATCTACATTAAAACAATTAAGTGATCCGTAAAAATATGATGAATTTAGAAAATACTAAACTACAAAATACTATATAACTAATATAAATAGATTAAGATCCAGAACCTGGTTTAATAAAAGAAATTGCATAAAAATAAAGAATTAATAATAAAGCTTTAAAAAATCTTAATTATGAAAATAAATAAAAATAATATATGAGACATGATGCTATTTGTGATTTTAAAATGACAGGTGATTAAGTTGATATGGTAATACATTGTAGTATGAATGTCAAACATCATCCTTAATTTTTAAGTTGTATAAGTTTATTTAATTCCCCTTTTGAATTTAATAAGAAAAGAACAATTTGGAATATATCTTCTTTAAGTGAAGATAAAGTGGATTAAATCTTTAAGGGAGGAAAAGTAAAAGAAATTTAAAATCATTTAAATAATTCATTAGTGAGGATTTATCCTTCAGGATTAAGAATGAATTCAAGTAATTTTGATCCAATGCCTAGTTTCATTTTAGGTGCTTAAATTATTGCTCTTAATTTCCAAACCAAAGATGAACCTATGTTAATTAATTAAGCAAGGTTTTAATAAAATCTTGGTTGTGGTTATGTACTTAAACCAAAATATTTGATTGAAGGATTAGATGATATAAATAATTTTGAATTTCAAAAAAAATTAATAACAATTCAAATAATCTCTTGTTAATTATTTTTATTAAACACTAAAAATACTGTAAATTCATTTGTAACAGTAAAAGTTAAAGGAAATAAAATGGATGAAAATGGATAAGAATTATAAACTAATATTCAATATAATAATGGATTAAATCCATAATTTGATTCTAATTATTCAAAAATAAATTTTGAGATAAAAGATGTAGATTAAGCTATATTCATATTTAAAGTATTTAATAAATAAGATGATAACAAATGCACTATTATAGGATAATATGCAGTACCATATAAAAATATGAGATAAGGATATAGAGCAATACCATTAAAAGATGAAAACTTATTAGTTATGGAATATTGTTATATTTTTGCTCAAGTAACCATTTAATGAATATAATAAAATAAAAGGAGTTTATAATCATAATTATTTTTATTTAGAAAAATAAATCTAGACTTTATTGTCTATCCAATCATAAAATTCTTGATTTTCTACATATTTAGGATACCATGGACTTTTAACAAAATTTTATGTAATTTTTTACATTTTCTCAAATAAAGTACTAGCCATCTAAAATATAATATATTTATATTATTATATACTTTTCTAGCAACCAAAGCTACTAATGCTTTTGGTATATATCTACATTAAGGATCTGAATTAGTAACAGCTCTTACTCTACATTTATTTTCACTGATAGGTGTTAATTCAAATACATAATAATTTAATATCAAATTTACAAATTTTCCTTTATCTTTTGATATGTCTATATTATGTATTTTTAAAAATTCAGGATCATTATCAATAGATTTACAAATAAATACTATAGTACCATTTATATTAAGTCTATCAATTCCTTCTCCAACAAATACAGCTTTTCTGTCAGAAATTAAAGGAAAATAAACCTGTATATCACAGATTTTACAACATTTACCAATTCTTTTTGGCATTGATGATCTTACACAAAATGGTACATAGTTTTGATATAATTCAATTTCATTAATTAAAGCCATTAATTTAGTTACATTTGCTTCAAATACAGAATCCATAAAAAGAGTAACTGTTGAGTTTTTTGAATCAATTTTATATTTAATGATAAGTGTTTTAGTATTTTTCTCTATAATCCATCCACTAGATTCCAATTCATTAAGATTAATTTACATAGTATTCATTTTATCTTAAATCATGTTAACATAATCTCCATATGTTTCATAGAACCAATTCAATAGTAATTCATTATCTTAAAGTTCTATCTTTGCTTATTATATCACATAATAGGCCTATGTATTATAAATAGATCTACATCATCTAATTATGCTTCATTATAATAATAATTTTTTGATTAAGTCAATCTTTATTCGGTGACAGCTTTAAGATCAGATAATGGATTCCTTTCGAAATTAATTTATGAAAAGTAACTCTTTTCATCAAATTCTTTTATAACATTGAGTTTATGATCATCTAATTCAGAAAAGCTTTAAATTTTATCTTTATTATGATGTATTAAGACTGATTAGGATCCAACTTATAAATATTCTTGTTTATCACAATTTTCATTCAAGATGCAACTAACAGCTTTCTTTTATTTTTAAGGTTGTTTTTGTTTTTAATTGATTAATTTAGGTAATGCTTATATTTGAATAGGATGGATGACTAATTAAATAAGAGATAAAATATACATTCATCATATTCAAATAGCATTTCTTATATTATTAAATCATCTGCTGCCTTTTTTTGAAGATCTTTAAGATTTTAGTAAGTCTAATTTATTGCTATATCTCCAATATTTGATTGTTCTAAAGTTCTGAGTTATTAATTCAACTGAACTAAAAACGTTTGATAAAGGGGATATACAATTTAAGCATGATTAAATGCAGTATATTCAGAAATAATTGTTTCAAACTAGATAATAATAATTAAATATTACATAGAACTAAAGCATTTCAAGTGTTTATTAAGATGATAATTATTGATTATCTGCAGGAATTTCAATCATAGATATTTTATAAAATAATAATTATTTAAAATTAAATTATCAAATTCCTTTAAATTCTTATATTATTTTAATTACTTCAAAAAAATACATGATTTACATTATATTTATAAATGAATCATTATTTTAATATACAAAGAATAGGATGTTCACTTGGTTCTATAATATCTTATTTTTTATCGCATAATAAATAAGTTCCAATTTTAATTTGATATTTACAAATTTCCTCTTCTGTAACAGAGATAAATCTCATTAAATCCCCTGGATGACATTAAATCTTAATTTAACTATATCTAGTGGAATTAATAGGATTACAGAAACTACCAAATCTATAACTTTCTTCAAAGACTCCATTTATTTAACCTGTATAATTTAATGGATGATAGTATCCAGTTGAGAATGTTGTAGTGAATAATCCAAAATTGATTAATGGTAGTATCATAATATCATAGATCTTCAAACCAATAGATTTCTTATCAAATTCAAATATAATTGATGAACTTATATTTCTTTTTCTTTACATTTAAAATTCAATTAGTTTGTTTGCTAATCTGATTTCATTACCTTTTCCAATATATAATATATCAATTTGGGTATCTACTATAATCCAATATAATTGATTTATAAGACTACTATTTTAAAATCTAGATTCCATTTAAGTATAATTTCCATTTAGTGTTTTAATAAAAATATTTTGTTATGGTGTTGTAAGTATAGAAATAAAAGTTGTTAAATACATTTCACTTATTATATTGAGAAATAATGAGCAAGATGTCTCATTATTTAATTAATAAATAGAAAATGTAATTCCCATATATTTTTAATATTTTTATTTTATTTTGTATCCTTAAGTTGAATCATTAAATACATGAACTTAAACTAGATCAAATTCTAATTTAGTCAAAGAAATTAATTCAACTTCATCAAATTCATATGTATCAACTTAGGGTTGTATAATATCTAATATTTAATTAAATTAACTATTCCTTCTAATAAAACCTATTCCTTCATAATTTAAACCCTTGGTTAATTATTTATCCAAAAATGCAATTCCATTATGATATTGATTAATTCTAAAAGTTTCAACATAACTAAATGATGAAGTAGTATTATCAAAAATAGTAATTGAATCATTAATATTAAACTTATTATCAGAATGAAAAAATAATATATTCTCATGAATTAGTACAGATCCTTTTAATTCTTCATAAATAGCATTAGTATCCATTATAATTAAATTTTTTATTTAAAAGGGATATTTTTAGTCTTTAATATTTGGTAAGAATCCTTATACTTAAATAGCACAAAAATCAATGATTTTATTTACTTAAACTATAAATATTTTATCTGTTAAAATTAATCCAATACTCTATTGAGAATGAAACATATTCTGAGCTTAGAGAGTCAATCCAAAAATAATATTCTTATATTGATAATATTGATTCTATTTAATAACAGATTTAGATTTTTTTATTTAAATTATCTCAAAATAATCTGAAATGATAACAATATCTGAACATTAAGATAATAATAGCAATTCATTATAAATGACTTGAATTACACGAAATGTATATACTTTTTCAGATGTTGAAACATTGAGTTAATATTCAAATTTCTCTGATATTTATAAATTTCTCAATTTGGCCAAACATCCTTCAATAATGATTAATCGATCTATCTATTATCGTATTTAATGATAATTAGTATCTAAATAATAGAAAGAATTATGAGGTTCAAACTATGTATAGGAATAATTCTAAGATATAAATTAATTCGAATAACCCAAACTAAAGTCCTCTTTTAACTTAGAATATTAATATAAGTCTTACAATCTTTTACATATTCAACATTGTATTTAAATCATCATACTATCTAACATGTTTTCTGAAACAATATTCATATAAAAATTCTTTTGTTGTATGATGTACACATTAACCTATTAATGGAAATAAAATTTTATTAGCATCATCTTCTGTCAAATTTCTTATAATTGATAATTCATCCACTATAATTGATTTAGGTATTTGAGGTATTGGTATTTGACATAAGACTTTTCTTCCATCTATTATAATTATAAATGCAATACCTTTTAGAGTTATTTCTTTACTAATGGAATCTAAAATGTTTTATATAGCATAAAGTTCAGGGTAATCTTTATACTTATCTTGTACATCCCTCTCTATTGTATGTATTGCATAGGTATTATCTGCATTAAAAGCTTAAGCAATAGTAAATATTAGAAAAATTAACATATTAATGAGTATGGGATAGGTTCATCCAAGTTGCTCATCTCCAATTGATACAAAAGAATATAAAACAGGATTAGAGTATAATATCTTTTTTACTTGAATAGTTCACTCAAACTATTTAATACAATAAGGTAAAGTAGGCATACATCAAAAGAAACCACTCTCATTATTTCACCTAAACAGTATAGCTAGATTTTATTCAAGTGCAATAAGCAATCGAGCATTTTTAACTCCTAAACGTAGTTAGTTTACTAGTTAAGATTAAATTGTTGAGGAAGATGATTATTTTAGAGATAAAAGAACAAAAAGAAAATTTGATATTGCATCTAGAAGATTAATGATTCTATTGTCCTTTTTTAAGCATATTAATCAAACAAAAGAAACAGATAAAACATCATAACTTAAATAAATTCATAAGAAAAGAAAAAAGCTACCGTTCTATCCAAATTAATTGCAAATTTGGAAATAATTTATGTCAGTGTAAACATTAATTACTTTGATGTTGTATCCAATATACATTAGTCTGTCAGATTATAGTAGTTTAGTATTCATATTAATCATTTTAGGATATTTTGACCATTCTTATTTTAATATTGGATAGTTTATATTTTATTGATATCATTCTAAAATAAATAACATGTCAAATAGATAAAAATTATAACTTAATTGATACATTCTAAGCCATTTTCTTATTTAATTTATAGAGATGGCTAATATTTGATATACTCAGTATTATCCCATATAAATTATTTGTTAATAATTTTATTGATTAATTATGCTTAAATCTATTAAAATTACTTAGATTTGTTAAATATTTCAGTTACAATGAAAGATAAATATATTAAGAAACCTAAACATCTAAAGATTAATCATAATATTTTGAAAAAATATTTTAACTTGATGGAAAATTATTAAGTATTATTAAAATATTCAAAAATATGCTCATTTTAATAAGTCTTTTTGGATGTTTATTTCATTCTGTATTATAATATGATGGAATCTCATAATAAGAAAATAGTTTAAAAATCTATGTTTAAGGTTTATATTGGGCTATTCAAACAGTTACTGTTATTGGATATGGAGATGTACCAATCACAACATCAACATAATATAATTTAACAATTATTTGGATTTTTGTAGGAGTAGGATTTTATTCATTAACAATTGGTAATTTAGCAGCAATATTGGAATAACAATCTTCAAATGAAGGTTTTGATGAAGATTTAGAAGCACTTGAAACTCTTATGTCTTAAATTCTTATTCCAGAAGAGTTAAGTGCTTAATTATTTTCCTATTATTATTATAATATTGAAAACAATCCATTTTGGAATTATAAGAAGTATTTAATTTATATAATAAAGATGATAGAATCATTGAAACCTTGCCTTCTCAACTTAAAGTATTTGCTATAGCATTTTGTCAAAAATAATTAATCGAAAATGTAAACATCTTTTCTTTTGATATTAATTTTGCAGCTGCCATTTTACCTCACTTTACTATTTATTGTTTTAAATAATATGAAACAATATATTTTAATGGTTCTCCTAGTCTTGAAGTATTTTTCTTAGTGGCTGGAGAAATCCGTTTATGTGATAAGGATGGTAATACTCTTCTTAACATCCAAGAAGGATATATTTTTGGTGAAATTGAAATATTAGAAGATAGTTATAGAAAATAATCTGCAATAGCTGGTAAGGATTCTGTAGTTATAATGTGTCCTGTATTATAATTCTTATAATTAGTATAAGATGATGAAAAATTATTATTTGAAATTGAATAATTAGGATTAAGAAGAAGACTTTTATTACAAGAAAACATATCTAGAATTAAAAGTATTTAATTATTATTTATATATTAATAGAAAATGCTAAATAAATAAAAAGAATAAGTGCATTAGATGGTTAATTAATGAATTAATATGTTTCAAAAAAATAATTTTTAGAGAGATAATTTAAAAGAAACATTGTTAAGGATTCTTATTAATAAATACATAAAAAATTAATTAGATTCATTTTTGGATAAAAGTAAGAAAAAAAATGGAAATATCAAGCAATATTTAAAATGGCTGTTAGGAAAATTATTGATCATAGAAAATAAGCATTATTATTATCAAGAAAACCTAGTATGGTATTAGGAAAATAAATGCTATAAAATTTTGCTTAAGTAAGAGAGGATGAAAAGAATCTTTAAAAAAAAATATTGAATAATAAAAAGAGTGGAAAATATTAAAAAAGAGTGAAAATTAAAGATATTTTAAATCATCATAGATAAAGTCGAATTGCACCTATGTTAATCACTCCTTCTCCTTATTATGAAGAAATTATCAGTGAAGTTAAAGAAGAAAAATAATTATTTAAACAAAAATAAAATTTAATTGCCGAGTTATCTAACAAACTTATTAAAATAAATTTAACTGGATAATTAAAAATATTTAATACTTTATATGAAGAACTAATTTAAAGTATTGATATCTTAAATGATATTAAGTATTAAACTATTTAATCTGTAGAAGAAATGGAATCAATATATTATTAAATATCTTTATTGATTACATCTATTTTTTGAAAACTTAATCTATATTTTAGTTAAAATTGATAATTTAATTACTTTTTAAATTCATTTCTTATCATATGTATTCAATTATCCATTCAATCTCAAATTTGATATCTATATCACCCTCTTTACCCATTCTTCAATTCCACAAAATCCTCCTTACAATTATCCAACTAAATATTCTGTTAATTTTGATAAAGCAAATCCTTCTGATAAGATCTCTGTCATGATTAATTATTCTGCTAATAAAGTCTCCTTTATTTTTTAATAACACTCCTTTTTATTTTTTACAATTGAATCTTTTTTATACAAAATAAATTCTAATAATACATTTGATTAATATAATAATCTTGCTTAAGTTTTAGTTTCAAATTCAATATTTTTATGTATTTTAAATTTATATAGCATTGCCACTAACCATTCATTAAGCTAAAATATTAAAAATATCAATACTAAATTTAATCCTGATTTTAATATTAGAGATTAAATAGGATCTTAACCAAATATTCTTAAGTAAATTAATTGATCACTTTAAATTTGGAATTTTTTGTAAAAATCACTATTTTATTCTAAAAAACAAATAAGTTCATTTGTAATAGCTATAATTTTTTAATATTTTGTATCTCTTGATTACTAGTTTTATATTTATTTGACAAAAATTTATAACTAAATTAAAGCATCATTTTTTTAAGACTCTTTTTCATTTTCCTTAATATTTTTGGATTCTTAATTAGTATATGTTAATGTTCTTTAGATATTATTATTAGTTAAAACATTTATATCATAGCATTCTGAATAAATTTCAAAAAGATCCAATCCTTTATCAAATTGAGTTGTGTTTAATTTATCATAAATATCTATGTCTTTATTTATTATTTAAATTGCTTTTTCAAAGAGTTCTTGATTAGTTTTTGACATATATTTTGAAGTCTATTGTTTAATAATTATTGTAATTATAAAAATTGAAGTTCAAATATATTAATTATTAAAAGATGATTAAGAAATTAATTATATCATAATTTTTAATTAAATTTTTCAGTGTATTATCCATTAATACGACAAAAAATACTTATTATTCAAATTATAGAAGTCAAATTTGATTAATTAAATATTTTTGATTTTATATAGATGAAACCTCAAAATTTATTAAGAGTCTTATTTTATCAAATTTGAATTCCTTAAACAATAACTATACTCTACATTTTGATTATTAGATATTTAAAGATAGATATATGTAGATCTTGTGATTTTATTTATTTTTAATACTTTTTTTATATAATTAAGTTGAAGAATTCAGTTATTCATTTTTTATCCTTTTATGTATATGTTTTAAAAATAGAACGAAAATAGGTTTAATGATATATAATTCTTTATAAGTAATAATTTAATATAATTTAAGGTTGGAATTATCAACTATGTTTTTCTCATTTTTAAAATAATATTAATTCATAAATATAATTTATGTAAGAAGAGTTGAATTCAAGCCTTGATTCTTTGGAATTGGAATTATATCATAAACCAAATAAAAAAATTAAATCGATTCTAACCTATCTAAGATAATAAAAGATTTAATTTTGCACAGATCCCAAAAAGAAAGAAGATGATTACTATTCAAAAAATGATAAGGAAAGTGATTGCAAAGATTTTGGTCTGTTTAAAAACAAATTTTATAAAAACAAATCCATTACTCCTATCAATTGATTGTGAAATTGAATATCATGATTATGTTTATGCTCACCTTATAATTAAACAACATATTTTTTTATTTGATGTTATTTAGAATCTTATTGAATAATGTTTAAAAAATCTTATCCTAAATATTTATAAATATTCAATAAAATTCTTTATATTAAAAATTATTGATACTGATTATAAAACATTAAGCGACATCAGTAATTGAAAGAAAAAAAAACCTAAAAAAAGGATGGATTAGTTAAATTGTGACTAATTTCTACAATATAATCCTATTAATATCTATAACTTAAATATTTTTAAAGTATTAATGATTATTTATATATAAAAATTTAATTTAATAATAATATATACTAAAATGAAAAAAGAGAATTGATGAATGGATGAACATATAAATCTCTTCTCTTAAATAATGTTATAATAAATTAAATAATTAGAATAAATTATAAATTATTATTATTTTTGCTCTCAACCTATTTCTATAAAATTTTAAGGCTCTTAATATTACAAAGTATCCCTTTTGCATTTCTTTAATATCTTAATTTAGTTAATTATAAACTTTTTTGCCTAAAATATCTTTTCTATTTCTGATTATGTATCTTTAGTATTTTATTCTTAAATCAAAAATATATCATATAATTTAACATACATATTATTGTATTCTTTATTTTCATTCAAAATTTAATACTATTAATTTCGTTTAAGAAAATAATCAATTTAACATAAAGCATCTTTTAACAATTAAGGGTCTTCAAATTATTTCTAATTTTCTATTAATGCTAAACAAATTTAATATCCCCTTATATCGAATTGTTTAGGCAATAATTCAAGTAATTCAATAAGCTCTTTCCACTTCTTACTTAAAATATATATTCTCATAACAAGTTTAATTATCTTTTATTTTAAGTATTAAAATACAAGATCATGATGATAATAATATCTTAAGACTTAATCTTATTCACAAAATTCATCACCATACCTTTTTTAATATTTTATTAAATCTTTATGTTAAGTGGAAAATATTAATGAAATGATTTAATATAAATTTTCAAGCTTTTCTTTTGTTAAATTCTTATTGTTTAATTGTATATGACAAAAATAATATATACCTTCTATCACATATCTTTAAGGAGCAGCACGATCAATTCTCATTTTGATTTTTTCAAAAAATGAGCACAAGTTCATCATCACAATATTTATTTTTTGTTGAAAGTCTTTGGATATCAAATATTAATTGAGTGCCTCATTTTATTTCTCTTATGATTATGTTTTATAAAATCTTAATTCGGGTGATAATTAATATTAGAATTCATCATTATCTTTTATGTTTTCCATTAACAATGGTATTTTACTTCCTATTATTTCCAGTAATTTGTTTAAACCACTTACATTATTACTCTAAATAAATCTTCTAAGATATTTATAAACATTTATTTATAAATCTGATATACTTTCTACTTCCCCTTCTGAAGAATTATAAAAATAATTTATCTATTTTTCTTTCATTTGTATAATAAGTTTATTAATACATGAATAATTGGAAATTGATTAAATAATCCTCTCTATTGGAATACTCCTTAGTTTTCTTAATATTTTTTTTTCAATTAATAAAATTGCTCTGAAATTGTGCTATAATTGATAAATATCAGATGGTATTGTAATTTAATTCTATTATAGTAAATATTAATATGCTTGCTAAACTTTTTAATAATTTTTTTCATTTGGTTAACTTTCATATTCTAATTACCTTTGCTATGCTTTAAGTAAATCCATAATGAACCTATATTCAAAAAGATGAGCTAAACTTTAATATTTTTAAATATGAACTTATATCTTTTTTTAGCATATAAACCAGTCAACATCTTAAGTTTATACTTTTTAATTTAATTAATTGTATGCTAAATTAAAAATTTTCATATAAAAATAATTCCAAAAAAAAGAAATCTCATTCAATGCAATTGCTATACAAATATAAATATGATTTTTTTCATCTTCTCTTGATAATTAAAGCAAATAATAAATATTTGCCATATATTCATTTTATAACTTTTATGATACTATAAGATCTCTCATTTCATTAAATTTAGGAGGTTACTATTAAGGTGACTTTGAAAAAATTTATTAATTTAATGCATTTGCATATTAATAAACTTATGTATCTATTTTTTTTGGAATATTTTTTAAAATAACATTATTTGCAAAATTATGTACTAATTTTTTATCTGGAAACTTATTATAGCATATTGGTAAAAAATAACCAATAAATTTAATTTCATTTTCTTGTAATTCTTTTTGAATATAATTTGGACTGAAATAATAGTTTTCAAAGAAATAAACAATAAATGTTTTTTTAATCTCTTTAGTGGAAATAAAATATTATTATTTAATGATTTCTTTTGAAACCCTTTTTATTTAACCAGATATCTTAGGATCACCCAAATTTACAGTAAATTTATGATTTAATAAATATTTTTATTTTTCAATGCTAAATTAATATTAATTCTATCCAATTTTAAAAGGATCAGTTAATTATTCATTGATCAATTTAATCTCTTTGAAATTTATTTAATAAGGAAAATTATAATTATAATCATCCTCAGATTCACTTGAATATGATTCAGGTGGAGCTACATTTTTGCCTGTTTCAACAGGTTAAGTCTCAATTTACATTTGATTTTTTTTAACAATACAATGACCATAAATACCTGGTTTCTCATTAATTTAATTTAGTAAATAATACTAAACATCATATTAATCTTAAAATGTTTCTGTAAAATTTCTTAAAGCTTTCTGATAATCTTGTTTCATTTTTTATCTTAAATTTAGCAAGTCAATAATTACTTGATTCAAATTAAATAGTTCTAAAAATTTACACAGCGAAATTTATTTTAATTATAGTGTTGTAATTAACAAGAGTTCCTTTTATGGAAAATCTAACTTCTTATAATAGAATGATAAAAATAAGTATAATGGATAACTTGCTTCTTCATCTAAAGCTCCATAAATAAATGACAATTTTAAGAAGCATAAAGCAATTATTGAATTAAATTATGGTATTTTATAGAATTATTCAAAAATTGGTTTAATTATTTGGAATACTTATTTGCATTATTCTTTTGTTTTTCTAAAATATAATTGCTTAATACAAGCATTTAATATTTTTAAATAGGTTTCTTTTGGGTCTAATATTCTATTTTCATCTTTTAAGAAATTCTTTATTTTAGCCACTTAGGAAGATATTTGATCCCCTTTTTCAATTAAATAATTTGGTTCTTCCCAAAATTCTAAAATTTCTGGTAATGAAAATTCTAAAAGTTTATTTAATTATTGATTTTTATTAAGTTAATTTTAATTGGAATTCATAATTGAAAAATTCTTTAATATATTGAATTCATTATGAATTTGAGACATAATCATTTTAAAATCTTTGGTTTATGATATTTATTGTTCTTTTTAACATTTTTTGAAACTAATTTGAAATAATAATTTATCATTTAGTTTAAATATTAATTTTGAATAATTTTTTAGTTTGATTATTTACCTTTTTGTTTTATTTTTTTCATTTTTTATTCTTAATTTAAATTCATTGAACAATTAGGATAATATCTTTAGATCAATTTTAGGATCATTAGTTAATTCATTCATAAAATATTATGCCCATATATAACATTTAATTAATTAATTTTATGCTTAATCAATTGTTTCTTAATCTATATTTAATTCTTCAGGTATCTTATATATTAGTTCTGTAAGTTAATTTAATAATGTTAAAAAATAAAATTTTTAAGTTGAAAGTTTTTATATTAAATATTAACCCATTTAATTATTATTTATAGTTTTATTTTAGTTTTATTCTGGATCTGGAATTTGTTCATTATTTATAATTGTATTTTTTCCAAAGATTGAAATTAATTCAAAATTAATACCACATTTTTTCATTGTTTCAATTGATTGAGAATTATCTTTCTACAAACTAGATTATAATGAAAATTTCTCTTAATAATTTTATTCATTAGTAAGGTTTAATTTCTATTTTAAACGCTATTTAACATTTTTTTCATGCTATTATTTCAATTTATTTATTTGAACAAGCTTTTATTTTTTAGATTTGATAATGAAAAAAGTTTTGAGAAGAATTGAAATATCTTTTTAGTGTACATCTTCTGAATTATCATCTATGTGTAAATTATTTATTAATAGTCTTTTAAGTTTTTTAAAAAACTTATTAATATCCTATTCATCCAAAAAAATATCACATTCATATTCTTAATAAAAGTAATCTAGAATTAAATATTCTTTTGGTATTTATGCTATTTTTTTAGAAATTTAATTTCTTTCTTCTAGCAGTTCATTTACAAATTGAGATATTTTTTATTCCTTGATATACTAATCCAATTCTAAGAGTTATTATTTTAATTTATTTTCATCAGGAATCCTTTCCAAATACTAATTAAAGTAATCGACTTCATTAATTAAGAAAGCTAAACAGCAAACTTAATAATACAATATTAGTTTTCCTTAAGCTTATTAACAAGATTCTAAACTAAATTCTAAAGATAAATAAATACGCTTTTAAAGTTAAATGCAAGGCTCTAGAAATAAGTCCTATTTATCTAAAGATGATGGCCATTTTTCTATTTGTTTCCCAGCAATCTTCAATGATGGCATTACTTTCATGATAGTATTTTAGAGCTTCACATTTCTCATGAATTTAATTGCTTCTTCCACATACTTCAGCTAATGATATTAAAGTAGCATAATGAATAGTTTTATTGTCTTAACTCTATACAATCTTGTGATGTAGCAAGTTTTTCAGTTAGACCTTCCCATCATCAATTCTCCCCTACTCTAAGTTATTTATAGCTTATTAATAGTAAAAGAATATTTCAACTTCTTAAGGTGATTTATTTGCTGGAATCATAAAGTTAATTATAAGAATAAATACATTAATTTAAGGAAGAAAAATCAATCATTTTAACTTTACTCTACATCACTAGGTTATACATAGTAAGTAGATATGGTTATATTTTTTGAGGGAAGATAAACATCTTTGGCATAATCAAATTAGAATCCTTCATATTCACTTTCAACTATATTCTTTGTAATTTCACTAACTAACATTCTCCCTTCCTTAAAACATAAACTTATTTATTACTTATCCTGATGATTCCATCAAATTTGCTATTGTAACATCTTCCCCATAAATATCATATCTAACAACATCTGTCCCTACAACACCTCCTAAAACTCTGCCTGTATGGACTCCAATCCTCATATTTAAATGTTAATATTAAGGGTCTTTCTTATAATGATTGATGATTTCAATCATACTAAAACCAAATGCCAATACTTTTTAGGCCTATTTTTAAATTAAGATTTACTTCTCCTGCAGGGTCTCTCTTTTTACAATCCAATACACCCATACATACATAACAATCTCCTATTGTAAATAACTTATAGATTTCAGCCTTCTAACAATACTAATCAAAATTAGAGAATAGATTTCTAAGCATATCAACTACTGTTTCTGGTTCAACAGAACTTGAATATTTTGTAAAACCAGCAATATCTGCAAATAATACTGTGGTGTTTTCCAATACATCCATAAATGTATCTGTATTCTCTTAATCAGGATTCAGCAATCTTCTTAAAGCATGAGGAGGCATTAAATATTGGAGCATATTTTCATATTTTGCAATTTGTGTTGATAATTACAAACTTATTAAATAGTTTTTGAATAATAATTCTTTTTCTTGAAATTAACAAAAAAATGTTAATCCTGCAATTCCCAATAAATAAATTATTATTTCTAAAATATAAACTTCATAAACTATCATGATTGTAATTATTATTATAAACATAGCAATAAATCTTTATCTATCTTCATAGTTTAAGATTTATGAAAGATAAATATTTATATACAAAACAGTTATTGATATAGTTTGTAATACTACTTCAAATTCTACTTGTTTTTCATAATTAATAATTAATAAAGAAAGACTACTAGAACTCAAAAAGTAAATCCAAATGATTATCTTCAGTATTTCTAGATTCATTCTATCCTATATCATTTAGTAACTAATTGTAAAAATTAAACATATGCCAAACTAACATATTTATACAATTAATAGTTCAGTTTATGTATCATAAAATTATTAGCTTATTATGAATAATAAGAAACCCTTAAATAAATTCAAGGTTGTTAAAAATACTAAAACATTTCTCATCTATATTTTTTCTTATTCTTTGTATTCCTCATAAATAGAATGGTATAATTATTGATCATTATTTTTGAATTAACTATTATCAATTTCAAAAGTGGAATTTTCATCATAGTCAAGTTTAAATTTCTTAATTTTCTCTAATGTCTAATAATCAAATTTTTATTCAGGTGTAATTATCATCTTTTTTTTCACTATTTCTATCTCTTCTAATCTTTCATTTATAGACTCTGGACTCTTCTTTAAAGCAGAATTAGAATCTTATAGTTGTTATAATTTCAAAGATCTTTAGTTTCTGATTTATTTTATTTATTCCATTTAAGAATCACCATCCATTCCTACTCCTGAAATTTTCACTATTTAATTTTTTTCTCTTTCTTCTGGAAGTATTATCTTTGTACTTGATTTTATGATTCCTCCTTTCTTCTAAATTAGTTCTCCTAAAATTATTGTTCCTCTCTTTTTTATTTATGGTCTATGAATAAAATTAAAACCTTCCTATTTATTATTATCAATTTATTAATCAGACACTTTTAGTAATTAATCAGCTGTATTTAAAAATTATTATTGATTTGGTTAATGAGATAAATTAACACCAGATTAAAATATTTACTATCCACATGATTGCGATACAACTTAAACTTAAGGCTTAGGATCTATCTAAAATTAAATTTAAGTTATTGAATCTTATTAATTATTGGGTTGAGTTTAAGCATTAGGTAAGAGATTATCTAATGCACTTTTACGTTTTTAAATCCAATTTTTTTAAAACCCAGGAGTCTTTGCATTACTAGAATGGTTGATATCTTTCATTTAAATTTCATCATTCTTAAAATTAGTAAAATTATGGTACTTAATTAAATGATTTAGATTTTATTGTATTTAAACGTTTGCTATCTTAATCAATTTCTATTGATGGTTTTTTTTTCAAAATCATATTTGCCATAATAGAAGATTGAGTTTCTCTATGTAACTATCGAATGACAACTTTTGGTGATTTTGTATGATCATTCAGATTCAATGCTCCAATTTAGGCTGGTTAAATTGATGGTCTTTTAAATTAATTCTTTTTATCTGTAGAAGATTTAAAATTCAGAATCTTTTTATTTTCTTTTTATTAAATTGAATTCTTATCTTGATTTTCTGATGTAGATACTTTTGGATTCAAATTTCTTGTAGATTCTTTTTATTATAAAATCAATTTAAAAGTTTCAATCATCCCTTTACCTTTAGCAGCAACTGATCTTTTTTCAAATTAATATTTAGTATTGTCCTTGATATTTATATATGCAGCCTCACTTAAAGTGATAAATCCAGCTTCCCCTGTACTACATACTCTACTTGTTGTATTAACTGTATCTCCAATTAAAGAGAACTAAGGTTTATGAACACCAATAACTCCAGCTATCACTCTTCCATAATGAATTCCTATTTTTAATTATACATCTTAATTATCCCCGTATTTCATAGTTTTAACTGTTTCCATCATTTATATTGCTGTTTCAAGAGCTCTAGATGTACTATTGATATTCTTTTAATCTAAAATAATTAGATTTGAATTTACTTATAACAACATCATAATCCTTAAGTCCTCCTGCTGCCATATATGTTTTTCCTACTGTTTCAATTTTTTATAAGTCATAATTTTGACATAATTAATCAAAGGCTCTATAAATTGTATCTAAAAATTCTATAATTTTTTCTTATTAATCTTTGATTACTTTATCAAACTAATAAATGTCACAAAATAACACACTTACATCTCCTTAATCTTACGAAATTTAAATTTAACCTTTATTCATTCTTTCTTATATAAATCGTGGCATTAATAAACCCAAAACACTATTAATCTTTTTCTATTCCTTACTTAATCTATTTTAGTAAACATATGATGATCTTTATAGAAATTATATTTTTTGTATATAATTAAAGATAGGGTATGATATTGCAATTATTATGAAAAAGAATTTAAAAGAACAAAATATAGCTTCATTAATATTATCAAATTTAATTGTAAATCCATCCAATACTAAATTAAAAAGATACATTAGCATTTGCAAAGCAATATATAAGTAAATGTTAATTTTTGGTTGTGTTGTGAGGGCAAAAGATATACTAAATAAAGTATGATATAGAAAAGCAGTAAATTCTTTTCTCTAATCCAAATAAAGTAGATCTATTAGGATTTTAAAAATGAATCTCAATCCAAATGATAAAATTTATAAGTTTTATTGTGAAGTACTATTATTTATGAATTTGAATTAGAAAATTACAATAAGTAATTATATAATTAATTAGATGATGATTATTATTAGTATTGATGTTGAAAAAACATTCATCATAATTTCATATAAATGAGAAATAAATATTGTTACTTCATAGAATATAAATACATAAGATAAATTATATTTTTACCAATTCTATTATCTAAAGAAATCCATAAAATCATTTTCTGTCCTTCTATCATAAAATCCATGATTTTTATCCATATAATCTATTGTTGTTTAATCTACTTTAATAAATTTTGTTATCTATTCATCAACAATATCTTTATTTTCAAATAATGTTTCTATCATTTTTTTTATGTTTTGAAATTACCCTTTTTCATTACTTTCAAAATTAAGGTTTTGTTTAATATTATTGATCTCTTTCATATAAATCTCTAATTTTGAATTATCAATAGGAAATGAAAATTAAATATTAATAAATTAAAGTATTTAATTGAGCACAAAAGATAAGCCTACTAAGAATAAAGCCATAAATATAAAAACTAATAATCCAGTGTTATTGAATTGTAATGAAATTTATTAATTATCTTAAATTGATTATACTATCAAATAACTAATCGCCAAAATTAATGTTAAAGATATAATAATAAGTATTTGTTTCAACTTATATAATATATCATTAAATGTATCAAAAATAATAAATAATAATTTACTTTTCTCTAAAAGCTCAATTCCTGTATACAACAAAACTATTTAATTTGTTTAATTTATTTTTCCATCTACATATATTAAATTTATAAGTGCCCTTTCTAATAAAATCAAAAAAGATGAATCAAATATTGCAATTATTATTATTTTACTTAATTATTTTAAAATACTTTCATTTTTTAGAATAGTCAATCTTTTAGTAAAAAAATTAAAATATTTCTAATCATAATCTACTTAATTGATGAGCAAATATTATTAAAAAATGGAAGTTAATAAATTACTGGGAATAAGGAAAAATATCATCAAAATAAATATATTTATATCATTTTAATATATGTTAATACCAAAAACTGATAATCCTATTAAAGTACTTCTATATATTTGCATTTCTAATAAGGAAATATAATTCTATAAATACTGAGTGCAATAAAAGTAAAAAAGTTAGAATATTTGTTTTATATTTTTAACTACAAAATTTGGTTAAGTGATACAAAAAAATGGATTATTTTATGTTAAAGTAAAACTAATATCTGATTTATTAAATAAATAATTGTTTTATAAAGAATTGCCAATAGAGATTATTTTTTTTTTATTTAATTTTAGCAATTTTATTAATTATCCATTACATTTACCAGTAAATTCATAAGCTCCCAAACCACTTGCAAATTAAGTCATAAATACAAAATGATATTTTAGATAATCATCTTACAATATTATTTTGAATGATTATTTACTGATAATAATATATTTCTCTAAGTGTTTTTAAACATCACATCCCATAATATCTTATTAATCTAACATATATTAAATATGTTATCTAAATCTATATTATAATTACTACACATCTCTTTCATAAAAATGAACAATTTATTCTTTTTATACCACTTAATGAGATCTAAGAAAAATAATCAACTCTTCATATGACTCTGATGTAGTTAAACAAATTTTAATATTTTGCATTTACAATGTTTAAAATAGTTTCTCTTCTCTTAAAGAGTCTTACTAAAATTCATTTTATGAAATTTATATTGAGTTATGATGATGACCTGATCTAATACCTATACAAAATAAAATTTCATTTTATAATTCTAATTTCTAGTATTCCATTTCTATTTCTTAAGATCTATTTCCATAAGCATCATGCAATTAGGATAATTTTTACAAAAACTCTTATGTTTAGTCTTGGCTCAACTATCTTTTACTATAAATAAAAGTTGATTGTCCATCCCATAATAATTCTTATAATTATTCATTATAGTAATTATAATATTCTGGTTATTTTGTATGAATATCATTTTTTTCTTTATATATATTTTTTAACTCATTAGTTTAAATTCTTGTATATAGTATTGAACCTTCTTCTAATAGAAATGATTCAGGATCTCTCACCAAAACAGACAAGATATTTTTTCTATTTTCAGTTGGTTCTAAAAAAGCCAAAACCTCAAAGACTTTCACTTAATTTTCTATAGAGATAACCTTTTTTATATAACTTTTTAATTTATAATCTAATCTCGAGTTTTCAATTTCAGTACTGCATAATAATTAATAATTAAAGACTTTTGTAAATTCCAATAATGATTCATCAAATTTATTACCAAAATTAAATTATAGTTCCCTAGTTTGATCATCAAAAACACTTAAAATATTATTTGTAATCAGAATCATCAATAAAATTTCATTGTGAAGAGTGTCCTCCTTTTTATAAAGGAAATCAATAAAATCTTATTCATTATAATAATCTCCAATCAATCTATCTGCCCCTTAATCTTCCTTCTATTTTGTTGGAGACACTTAAAGAGATGAATTATTATTAAATTATTTGATCAGAGTTCCTCCTCTACCAAAAAATTAACTTCTTTATTTTTATAAAGAACCAGGTGTTATATTACTATTTGAAGTACTATTATTTAATTTATTAAGGTCTTTCATTGAGTCCACTCTATCAAGTGATTTTTTTGCAAAAGATTAATCAAATATATATCTTGTACTTTTCTTTTTAGGTAATTATTGTTTTTATGTGCCTAATAATGTTGTATTTACAAGTTCTTCCCTTGATGCTAATTAAAGTTTTTTTATTTAATAAAGACCTTCATTAGAATTTCTTAAATTAGGTACTATTTTTTCTGCCAATAATACTTCTAAATCTTATGTCTTTTATTCATCATTAGTCTATTATCTATTTGTATCTAGTAATAATTTTTCATAATTAGTTTTTAAAGTTGGAGATGCTTTTGTTACTAATTCTTACAATTTTAAATAATTAAAAATATATTATTTTTAATCTTTTGTAATAATCTACATTATTTATGGTTTATTTTTAAATATTTCTTAAGGATTATCTAGTAAAATCATATCCCCTTAAATCATATCAAGTATATTCATTTAAGATAATGTTAAAAATCCATTGAAATTTTTCTTCTTATTTTTCAACATTTATATTTCTGTTTATTAAATAGGTAGAAGATTTATCTTAAATTACTTTTATATTGGTAATAGGACCTTTTTCTCATTTTCAGAAATAATAACAACTTGATTTTCATTTCTTTCACTTAATAATCTATTCAAAGGATTTTACTGGACACTTTATTTATTTTAATTGTTATTAAAAGTAATATTATTTCTTATCATATTAATTAGATGCCATAATTAATTTAACCATAATAAATTTTAGGGTATTATTAATAAACAATAATTTATACTGCTATAGAAGTACTTTTCATATGATTAAAATGAATAAAATATGATGTTTGGAACAAATAAAATTAAAAACAAAACAATACAAATAAGTATAATCTCCTAATAAATATTATGTATCCAACTAGAGGATTTAAAATTCTCATTATAAAAATTTGATTGAGCTATGCAATCATTCCCTACTCTAATTACCATTCCAAATATCCAATCAACTGTTTCCAATCTTTCCCCTCTTTGAATCATATTCTTTTTTGTAAAAGGAGTTAATTTTGGGTCATTTTTCAATTTAATAGTTCCTTGTACTGCAAGATCTGTTACAGTGAATTAAATCGTTCCACTTAATTTTGTTTTGAAATCTAAAATATTTCCTTTAATAGTTTAATTTAAACTAACAAAAGTGCAAGAACAAGGAGTTCTTTAATCAAAGTTTATTAAGACTTGTTCTTTACTTGAATCAAGGATCAATAAATCAGCAGGACTTTATTCATTTTATTATAAACAAATAATATGACCAACAGTTAATTAACTCCAGGTGATTGTTTCATATGAATGCAATCTATTAAATCATAATTATTTAATTTACTCAATATTTTAATTTAAATGTTTTTTTGATGAAACATCTGGAAATTTAGCTATGATGGTGCAATCCTAAGAATTAATTGAATTTTATTATGTCATTCTCTAAAATGCAATTATTAATATGTTCATTAGAGATAATAAAAGATTTAAGAGATAACAAAAAAGAGTATAATATACAATGATTTCTTCGTTTTTATCATAACAATAAGTTTATCCAGAAATTACTATAATCAGAATTCCAAGTATTATAATATTCTCAATGCTAATAATCTTTTCTATAAATATCACTATAATAGTTTTAATCTAAACAAATAAGACATTTCCATACACTAATTAATTTGATATTATTCGTTGCATTTTCAAAATTGGTGATCTTTTGTACTTCTCCATTAGAGAACTCAATCTAATTTAAGTTTGAAATTTTACTTTTTGTATTTAGTCAATTCCCTGTTGTAACAATAAAGATTTTTAAACAGACTTCTAAATTTTACGAGGTAACCACAAATAACACCTTGAGATTAACCAGAATAATATTTTCATAACTAATAATTTATACAAAATTTTATTATATACTAACACTTAAAATAAATATATTAATATTTATTTATAAATTGAAAAACATTCAAATTCTGAGAAAAATATCAAATATAAAAATAAATTACTTTAATATAGTTTTTAAAACTAATATTATTATCAAACAAAAATTGGTTAAACTCTTGATTAAGTAGGCATCTAGCCTTATATAAATTTACTGAAAATCTTCTTTGCTTTTTTGTAAAATATTCTAATTTAAGAAGTAAGATCAATTGCTAAATTTGAAGTTAATACTGTTGTAAAAATGCCTATATTAAACCATCCTATTTAATTTAAACTTTCTTTTGATATTGAAAAGTATTCTTATGTATAGTACATAATAAAGCTAAGAGTATTTGTAACCATTCCTAATTCTGTGATCATCTGCTTAATTTGATCCTCATAATTTGAAAATGGTGAAGATACAGCCAAATAAGTTGCAAATGCTGCAGCTTATGTAGCAACACCAATTGTTTAATAAAGACCTTAACTTTAGAAACAAACTATTGTTAACATATAAAATGATTTTTTCACAAGCAATATTGTATTATATTATATTTACCATGTTGACTTTGAATGACTCTTCTCATCTGATTAGAATAATGTTATAATATAATGTTTCATTGCTAGAGATTATTTAGTTTAGATCTATCTTATTTTATGAATAAGTAAACTAGTAAAAATAAAAGTGAAGGCTAGAGTGGCAGCAGCCCCACTATTATTTGCTATATCATTATATGAATTAAAACTAACATTTGATAGTTATAATAATGATGCAAATTGCATCTCATAAAAATTTATCGTTATTAATCTTATAGCACCAGAATAAACAAAGTCATTAGATATCTTAGTGCATTTTTATCTAACTTTTAAGATTCCCCCACCAATTATCGAACCTAAACCATTTAGTTTATGAGGGGGAATCAAATGAAGTAGTTTAGATAGAGATAAAGTTGTTAAGAAGATGCTCAGACCTGCTGATAAGGAGACAGCAGTTGTTTTTATATTTGAAGTAAATTGATACTGTAGATTATCTTATTTAAATTTATTTGGCATTCCTTCATCTTTTTAATTATTTTCTTGAGATTGGGCAGTAATCTTTTTGGATAAACCTGTTTCAGAAAGTTTATTATTAACGATTGAATTCAAGGAAGACTTCTTTAGATTGTCCATATTCTTTTGTAAATTTGAAGGAAACTCTAGATTAATATATCTTGTGTAATAAAGATATTAAATTGTATCAAGTGTCATGTAAAGATTTGAATAACCTGTAGAAAATACACTTAATAAAGAAACACTCATAGCTGCATACATAGATATTTCATTTGCATTCGAAAACAGTTCAACTACTTTTTTAGAAAGTTCACTTTCAATAAAAGGTACTGCTATTTTAATCTAACCTGAATTTTATTCTAAATTGACAAAATCTTCAGTAATAATCAATTTTTTATCAACAATTACCATTACATTTATTTAATCAATTGAAACATTCTTTAATATTTTTAAATCTATGATATATTTAACTTCTTAAGGAAATTCTTAAATGGCAACCACAGGTTCTATAACATATTCAAAATCTGATTCATTTAATTCATCAACTCTGACTAAGAAAAGCTACATGTCAGTCATTGTGGGATTATTTTCATTTTCAATCATGATATTGTTTTATTAATACATCATTTAAGTTGAGAATGTCACTTCTATTTTAGATAATCCCTCTTCTTATGATTGTAACTTTAATTCAACACAAGGTTATCTTTTGAAGATACAAATACTAATTTGTAATGGTTCATTTTTACAATACCAATCCACTTCAATCTTACAGTTTTTATCACAACCATCCTAATTAATAAGGTTGCCATCATCACATTACTCAGTATATTCTTCCCATAAACCATCTCCACATTTTGATGCACATTAATTATTCAATTCAAAAAATCCCAAATATCGATCACATTCTAAACATCTACCTTTATCACAATTAAGACAAGCAAAATGACATTAATATTCACAAGAATTACTACAACCATCAAGTTCAATTTTATTCCCATCATCACATTATTCTTATCCATTGATTTCTCCATCCCCACATATAGGAATGCATTGTTAAGTTTTATTCTCATAAGTCCACCCAGTAGTATTACATTCGTAGCATATATCCTTTCTACAATCAGTACAATGTTAAACACATTAATAATTACATTCATAGCATCCATCATAAGGTAAGAGATTGCCATCATCACAATCTTCAAAAATAGGTACTATATATTTATCTCCACAAATTGTTTCACATCTATGATTTTCATTTAAAAGCCAACCAAATATACATTCCTAACATTATCCATCTGCACAAATCTTGCAAGCTTCTTCACATTAAGTCTTACACTCAAAGCATCCATCATAAGGGATATCATTACCATCATCACATTCTTCAATACCAACTTTAAGTGCATCTCCGCATATTTCCCAACAAAAATAATTTTCTAATCTCCAACCTGGTGTATTACATTCATAACATTAACCATTTACACATTTTGTACAAGCATCTTGGCAAATATATTTACATAAGTAACAACCATCATAATTCATTTCATTGCCATCATCGCATTATTCTAGCCCAGCAGCTTTATTATCTCCGCAAACGGTTTAGCAATCTCCTTAAGAAGTTAAATGCCAACCTTCTTCTACATTACATAAGATACATGATCCATATAAACAAGTTTAACATTATTATTAGCAAGAATATTGGCATTCAAAACATCCATCTTCATCAATTATATTACCATCATCACATTTCTCATTTCCAACAATTAAACCATCTCCACAAACTGGATTACATTTTTAACCTTATAATTAAAAGCCATTGGAACAAAATATACATTTACCAAATTCACAAAAATAACAATTTTAATCACATTAAAATTTACATTGATCACAACCATCATGTTTAATAGAATTCTAATCATCACAATCTTCATGAACAGTAATTATACCATCTCCACAAATAGAATAACAACTTCCATCTATTATTTCATATCCGGTTAAACACATTTCACATATTCCATCAATACATATAGAACATTGTTCTTCACAATCTATTCGACATTAGAAACAACCATCAAATGGTTATATATTATCATCATCACATTGCTCTTACTTTGTAATTTAATAATCACCACAATAATTATGACATTCATTTTCTATCAAATGATATCCTTATTAACATTGTTAACAAATACCAAATGAACAACTATAACAATTGTAAGGACATTCAAATTAACATTAATTATTACATTAAGAATCATCTCTTGTATAACTTAAGAAATTTTCACATTATTCTTAACCAACTATAATTTAATCTCCACACATACTTTCACAAATATATTCTACTTAATTTAAATACCATCCATTTTAGCATTAATAACAATCTCCTTTTATACAAATTATACATTCACTTTAACATTCTTTTAAGTTACATTAATCATAATTTTAAATTTAAATTATATCTTTACAATCAGGAATACATTTGGGAAAAGCAAGTAAAAAACCTTATTAACAGCTTTAACAAACACCTTCTACACAATTATCGCAGTTTTCAGTACAAGAATACTTACAATTATGACATCCATCATATGGTATATCATTACCATCATCACACTCTTCATATTAAGTTAATTTCATATCTCCACATATAGATTAACATGTTAAAGAATCTTAGTCGAATAGAAATCCATCTTCACATAAAATGCATTATCCATTTACACATACTTAACAATGAGATTAACAATCATATTAACATGAGAAACAACCATCAAAACCATTGAGATTATCATCATCACATACTTCAAAGTCTTCAATAGTTTAATTACCACAAATATTTTCACATTCATTTAAATTATTTAAAAAGTATCCATTTTAACATAATGTACAAATTCCTCTATCACAATTTAAACAATGTTAAACACAGGATAATTTACAATTAAAACATTAATTAAATGAAATATCTCCATTATCAAAATTCAAATTGATATCACATTCTTCTAATCCAGCAATAATACCATCTCCACATTTTGTCACACATCTTTTGTTTTATAAATACCATCCATAAGTTTCATTGCATGATATACATTCTCCATTTACACATTATTAACATTCATCTTAACATTAAAATTTACATAAGTAACATCCATCAAAAGGGATAATATCATCATTTTCACAATCTTCATTATTTGTTTATATTTAATCTCCACAAATACTAATACATTTATTTAATAGTAATTTATAACCTAGAATACAACTTTAACAAATTCCAAATTAACATTAATTACAATTATCATCACAAACAAAATTACAATTTTCACAATTTTCTGAATTCTCATCACAATTCTCTTAATTATTGATAATTAAATCTCCACATTTTGATTCACATTAATTATTTAAATTTAAATACCATCCATAATTATTTTTACATTCTAAACATAATCCATAAACACAATTATTGCATCCTTCCGAACATTTAAATTTACAATTAACACATTCATATCCATCAAAATATATTAATCCTGTATCACATTCCTCATTACCAGCAATTATACCATCACCACAAACAGGAATACACACTCCATTTAATAATTAATATCCAATGGAACAAAATATACATTTACCAAATTCACAAAAATAACAATTTTAATCACATTAAAATTTACATTGATCACAACCATCATTTTTAATAGAATTTAAATCATCACAATCCTCATGAACAGTAATTATACCATCTCCACAAATAGAATAACAACTTCCATCTATTATTTCATATCCGGTTAAACACATTTCACATATTCCATCAATACATATAGAACATTGTTCTTCACAATCTATTCGACATTAGAAACAACCATCAAATGGTTATTTATTATCATCATCACATTACTCTTATTTTGTAATTTAATAATCACCACAATAATTATGACATTCATTTTCTATCAAATAATATCCTTATTAACATTGTTAACAAATACCAAATGAACAACTATAACAATTGTAAGGACATTCAAATTAACATTAATTATTACATTAAGAATCATCTCTTGTATAACTTAAGAAATTTTCACATTATTCTTAACCAACTATAATTTAATCTCCACACATACTTTCACAAATATATTCTACTTAATTTAAATACCATCCATTTTAGCATTAATAACAATCTCCTTTTATACAAATTATACATTCACTTTAACATTCTTTTAAGTTACATTAATCATAATTTTAAATTTAAATTATATCTTTACAATCAGGAATACATTTGGGAAAAGCAAGTAAAAAACCTTATTAACAGCTTTAACAAACACCTTCTACACAATTATCGCAGTTTTCAGTACAAGAATACTTACAATTATGACATCCATCATATGGTATATCATTACCATCATCACACTCTTCATATTAAGTTAATTTCATATCTCCACATATAGATTAACATGTTAAAGAATCTTAGTCGAATAGAAATCCATCTTCACATAAAATGCATTATCCATTTACACATACTTAACAATGAGATTAACAATCATATTAACATGAGAAACAACCATCAAAACCATTGAGATTATCATCATCACATACTTCAAAGTCTTCAATAGTTTAATTACCACAAATATTTTCACATTCATTTAAATTATTTAAAAAGTATCCATTTTAACATAATGTACAAATTCCTCTATCACAATTTAAACAATGTTAAACACAGGATAATTTACAATTAAAACATTAATTAAATGAAATATCTCCATTATCAAAATTCAAATTGATATCACATTCTTCTAATCCAGCAATAATACCATCTCCACATTTTGTCACACATCTTTTGTTTTATAAATACCATCCATAAGTTTCATTGCATGATATACATTCTCCATTTACACATTATTAACATTCATCTTAACATTAAAATTTACATAAGTAACATCCATCAAAAGGGATAATATCATCATTTTCACAATCTTCATTATTTGTTTATATTTAATCTCCACAAATACTAATACATTTATTTAATAGTAATTTATAACCTAGAATACAACTTTAACAAATTCCAAATTAACATTAATTACAATTATCATCACAAACAAAATTACAATTTTCACAATTTTCTGAATTCTCATCACAATTCTCTTAATTATTGATAATTAAATCTCCACATTTTGATTCACATTAATTATTTAAATTTAAATACCATCCATAATTATTTTTACATTCTAAACATAATCCATAAACACAATTATTGCATCCTTCCGAACATTTAAATTTACAATTAACACATTCATATCCATCAAAATATATTAATCCTGTATCACATTCCTCATTACCAGCAATTATACCATCACCACAAACAGGAATACACACTCCATTTAATAATTAATATCCAATGGAACAAAATATACATTTACCAAATTCACAAAAATAACAATTTTAATCACATTAAAATTTACATTGATCACAACCATCATTTTTAATAGAATTTAAATCATCACAATCCTCATGAACAGTAATTATACCATCTCCACAAATAGAATAACAACTTCCATCTATTATTTCATATCCGGTTAAACACATTTCACATATTCCATCAATACATATAGAACATTGTTCTTCACAATCTATTCGACATTAGAAACAACCATCAAATGGTTATTTATTATCATCATCACATTACTCTTATTTTGTAATTTAATAATCACCACAATAATTATGACATTCATTTTCTATCAAATAATATCCTTATTAACATTGTTAACAAATACCAAATGAACAACTATAACAATTGTAAGGACATTCAAATTAACATTAATTATTACATTAAGAATCATCTCTTGTATAACTTAAGAAATTTTCACATTATTCTTAACCAACTATAATTTAATCTCCACACATACTTTCACAAATATATTCTACTTAATTTAAATACCATCCATTTTAGCATTAATAACAATCTCCTTTTATACAAATTATACATTCACTTTAACATTCTTTTAAGTTACATTAATCATAATTTTAAATTTAAATTATATCTTTACAATCAGGAATACATTTGGGAAAAGCAAGTAAAAAACCTTATTAACAGCTTTAACAAACACCTTCTACACAATTATCGCAGTTTTCAGTACAAGAATACTTACAATTATGACATCCATCATATGGTATATCATTACCATCATCACACTCTTCATATTAAGTTAATTTCATATCTCCACATATAGATTAACATGTTAAAGAATCTTAGTCGAATAGAAATCCATCTTCACATAAAATGCATTATCCATTTACACATACTTAACAATGAGATTAACAATCATATTAACATGAGAAACAACCATCAAAACCATTGAGATTATCATCATCACATACTTCAAAGTCTTCAATAGTTTAATTACCACAAATATTTTCACATTCATTTAAATTATTTAAAAAGTATCCATTTTAACATAATGTACAAATTCCTCTATCACAATTTAAACAATGTTAAACACAGGATAATTTACAATTAAAACATTAATTAAATGAAATATCTCCATTATCAAAATTCAAATTGATATCACATTCTTCTAATCCAGCAATAATACCATCTCCACATTTTGTCACACATCTTTTGTTTTATAAATACCATCCATAAGTTTCATTGCATGATATACATTCTCCATTTACACATTATTAACATTCATCTTAACATTAAAATTTACATAAGTAACATCCATCAAAAGGGATAATATCATCATTTTCACAATCTTCATTATTTGTTTATATTTAATCTCCACAAATACTAATACATTTATTTAATAGTAATTTATAACCTAGAATACAACTTTAACAAATTCCAAATTAACATTAATTACAATTATCATCACAAACAAAATTACAATTTTCACAATTTTCTGAATTCTCATCACAATTCTCTTAATTATTGATAATTAAATCTCCACATTTTGATTCACATTAATTATTTAAATTTAAATACCATCCATAATTATTTTTACATTCTAAACATAATCCATAAACACAATTATTACATCCTTCTGAACATTTAAATTTACAATTCACACATTCTTATCCATCAAAATTTATTAATCCTGTATCACATTCCTCATTACCAGCAATTATACCGTCACCACAAACAGGTAGACATTTTTAATTAATTAATGTATAACCTGATTTACATTGATAGCATAATCCAAAAATACATATTGAGCATTCTTGTGAACATTTAAACATACATTGACTGCATCCATCATTTAATTAAGAATTAGAATCCTCACATTCTTCATAATCACTAATAATTGAATCTCCACATAAACTATAGCAAGAAGATGTTTAATGATCTAAATACCATCCTAAAGATTCCTTACATTTTAAACATTAGCCTTAAATGCAAATTTCACATTAGGGTGAACATTATAGCTTGCAATTTATGCATCCTGTATTATTTCTAATATTATCATCAAAAGAAATGATTCCAATATCACATTACTCATCTCCTTATATGATTTTATCACCACAAATAGGAAAACATTACTAAACCGATTTATCTAAATAATATCCAGATTGACATGATTTACAGATGCCAAAATAGCATTGAGTACAAGTTTTTTCACATTAGAAAGTACATAAAGAACATCCATCCTCTATAACATAGTTTTTATCATCACATGATTCAAATTTAGTAATAATGCCATCACCACAAACAGGAAGACAAATATTTTCTGAACTAAGATAAAAATTTGATTTGCAATTATAGCAGATTCCAGCTGCACATGTTTGACATTCAGCTTAACATTCATATTTACATTAATAACATCCATCTTCAAATATATTATTGCCATCATCACATTATTCATTTAATGTGGATAAAACATAATCTCCACATAAAGGAGTACATTTATTAAGTTTTTGATTTAATTAATATCCAGGTGTATTGCAATCATAACATTTTCCTAATATGCAAGATGTACACTATTCTTAACAAGTGAGTAAACATTAATCACATCCATCATAATTAATTATGTTACCATCGTCACATCCTTCGTAATATGTAACAATTTTATCTCCACAAATTGGAGCACATTACCCATTTTTGTTTAATAATTAGAACCCTTATTTGCATTTTGTACAAATTCCTAAGATGCATAAATCACAAAAGGAATCGCAAGAATAAGCACAACTATTACATCCATCAAAAGGGATATTATTACCATCATCACACATTTCTCCTCCAGCAACTATTAAATCCCCACATAAAGTAACACATTTAAAAGTAGCTAAATTTATATAATAACCAATTGAATTATCACATTAGTAACATTTTCCATAAATGCAATTTGTGCATTAGAGTTAACATTAAAATTAGCAGTTATAACAACCATCATAAGGAGTCAAATTATTATCCTCACATTATTCTTAACTAACAATAGAAATATTTCCACATGTAGGAAAGCATCTTTTCATAGTTTTTTAAAGAGTGTAACCTACAGCACAAACTGAACATTATCCATTAACACAAGTTTGGCATTCTTTCTAACATTCAAATTTGCAATTATTACAACCATCAAATCTAGTTGTATTACCATCATCACAATCCTCTCCTTCAGTTACTATCATATCACCACAAATTGATTAACAATTATAATTTACACCATCATCATAATAATTACTTAAACAAAGACAAATATTATTATTCAAATATCGATGTTAATAATTATTGCAAGATAAACACTAATTACTGTTGGGACCATAACAAGATCCGCATAAAGGATGACAGTTTGCACAAGTATTAGAAGCTGTTAAATATGTCCATGGATAACATTAACAATTTCCATTTTATAAATAAAAGTTAGTAGCACATTTAGTACAAATATAAGAATTTTTGCATTCTAAGCAGTAAGATGGAGTGCAAGTTCGACAAACAGCAGGAGTAACTGTCTAATCTAAATAATAAGTATTATCAACACATGTTGATGGTGATGACATTCCAACTGGTAATGTTTATTTTCCAGTACACTATGCCCAAGTAGGACCAGTGCAAGCAGTGCATCTTTCAATACACTAATATGTATTAATTATTTACTTCATAAATGAGAATAAAATAATCGTAAACTATACAGAAACCATCCTCAATTGATTCGTCTGAATGGCATCTCATTAAAACAGAAAAACTTGCAGTATTATGATTTAATGTCCTATCAATTGTAATGTATTTATCTTATCTATCCCTTCCTATTTCTGAGGCTGTATGTGGACATTCGCTATAATCTATAGTATCAGAATATCCTCCAATTGTGTATTGAAAATCTCCATCTAATTCATCTCCTAAAATTAATGTAAATTTCAATCTAAATTTATAATGTGGATTTAAAGTGTATGCTTTAGTAAATGTAGCTTCATGCCAAACTAACGGACCTCCAAATACCCTTTTTCCCATATAATAACTAAAGTAAACATCAATATTTGTGTTTAAAAAGTGATCTGATGTCGAAAAATCATCATCTATTGTTGATATTGACCCTACAATATTGTTCAGATCAATATCTGTTGTATTTGATGAATCATAAAACTCTTTAATTAAATATTTTGTATCTAGTATTAGTATAAAATTCATACAATCTACTGGCTCATCAAAATCTGTACAAACCCCAGTAGTTTGGACTGAGTGAACTGGACAACTGGGTACACACCTATTCTTATAAAGAAATCCTGTTGAACAAGCATAACATTTCAAATCAAAATCACACCAACTACATGATGATTAACATCGCATAATATCCATAACAACATCTCGAAAGCCCCATGATTATAAGCCAAACTAACTTTAGAATATACATTTATATATACTCCATAGACCCTTACAAGGATAATACAGGATTGGTGATGTTTGATTTTAATTTAGCTTCCAATCTAAAATATCCAACAGTTGGAGGTGTACAAATTAATTCAGAATATAATTAATCAGCATCTCTACCTGTAAGTACTTGACTTATTGTGTAAACAGAAGCAAATTCTATATTATCTAATAGCACATGAACTGCTGAATAATCAGCCCAATCATTTAGCTTTACAATTGTTGCTCTAAATCTTATATAGGATATATTATAAGGGATAGATAGGGTTACACTAAATGCTTCATTAGAGAAGAATGGTCCTACGTAGTTTTTGCTAGTTTCACAAGGGATTAAGCTAATTTTTTAGGAATAAACTAAGTTATAATTAATTGGGTCAGGAACAAAAACCCAAGGAGATGTAGAACTAAAAGTTGTAGTATCAAAGTATGTTATATAAGGAAGCATATCTGGGTCAATTTAAATAAATACTTTCGTTAAATTAGCAGACTTTATTAGAATCTGGAACTCGATAGTAATGGCATTCAGTTACACAACTTTTTGTATCATCTATATATTCGATAAAAGCTTTATTAGGTAGACAACTACTACAAGTGGAAGGGGAACCTAAAGTAGTAGATGGATTTGTAAAGCAAGCTAAGCAATTACTAGCTGAATTGCTGCTACATTTTAAACATGACCAATGACATGGATTAACGTAAATCTATAAACTTCTTACACCATAATTTCTACTACTACTAAAATTTGTTCCACACACTCTGAATCGAATCTCACTATTATCATTATGATCAAATGTCATAATAAATGTTTGTATTTCAAACTTATTGAAAGATGATCTACAAGCTTTATCATATGATTATAATTTATTATCCCTATATTCTAATGAATAAATAGTTGAAGATCCTTAGACTTCATATTTAACTGTGAAAGTGGTACTCGAAGTTGAATCTAAGAAATAGCCATCTACAATAACTTTGACCTCATAATGTGGAGGCAAATTCAAAACAGAGTAATAAGCTCTAACTTTATAACTTCCAACTTAAATATATTGAATAATATTTTAAGAAGAGCATTAATCAACTGATCCACTTCCACCTATAGTTCCACTGTCCCAATCACAAGAGTCCCTATAATTCCATTTATTACTTGACACAGAGAAACCCATCAAATCTTCGCTTACAAGTTCCCACTATGACCATGAGACTATAAAAATCGTAAATAGTATTCGGATCGTTTACATTTTATCTTTTATTTTTAATTTATCAAATTAATTATGACATCATCAAATTAAATTCCTTCTAGATTATGTATATAACCTTATGAAATATAGCAAAATTCATTCTTACTGAAGAAATGGAAAGATTTTTCACTTTTTTAATATATAAATATTAAATTGTAATATAAATCAATAATATTTACAAAACAATATTTAGAATATTTGGTCTATTGAATTAATTAGTTTATATCATCATGCAATTTTCTTTTATTTTTACAAAAGCTTTAAAAAGTTAAATCTAACTTAATTATTAATTTTAAAAAATGTTCTAAATATTTTTTTAGATTGTTTAAAATTAAACAATTAAAATTTTCTTATAAATTATTTTTATTTATTTAAAAATATTTTAATATACTTAATGGATAAAATTATCCTAATTGAATAAATCATCTCTTTAATAACTGATTTTTAATTATCAATAAATGAGAATTTTATAAAATAATTTATTATACATAAATGGATATAAATAATTTAGTCATCAATCTTAAATATTCATATCCTTAATTAGATTTTTTAAAAATCTTCTAATGGTCTTATTATCCTTAATTACATCTATTGGTATCATATTAAGCATTTGTATATTTTAATTAATCTATAATATTTTAGTTGAATTTACCTATGAGTTAGTACTCGTTAGAAAAGGAAGCCAATATATAACAAAAATTAATAGTAACACCAAAATGAAAATAATAACAAGTATAAGTTAAATATTTAATGTGTCGTCCATCTAGTCAGTCATCATTGATAATTAATAACTTTATACTTAATCTACTGCTTTTCTGATATAATTATACAAAGATTAATCTATCTAATAAATATATGGATCATATGCAATCTAATAGTTTTAATTTATTGATAATTAATATCTAAAATATTATAAATAATATTATTCGACATTAAAAATCCCAAGTTCTAGATTTCCTTCTATAATTTAATAACACAAATCTTTTCTATCAAATCCTAATTCATTACAAATATCTCCATAATATATTCCAAAATACATTTCCCTTAATGTTGGTAATTAATTCAATAAAGCAGAAGCAAAACCTTAAGAACTTAATTGGTTACCCGTAAAAGTATCAATACCAGTAAAAGCTGACTAATAAGATGTTTAATTAATCAACTAATATTAATTATCCAATATTGCTAATTTAAAAATGTTGAGATAATTTCCATATTCAGAAATATCCATTGAACCTGAAAAGTATTGGGGAAGTATATATCTAATTTGCCCTCTTTCACTAGCTGAACTAATTATATTATATACAGCAAATATTAAAGTACAAAGTGCTATAAATATAAATTAAATGATAATTGCTTGATTACCTTTAAACTTATTTTTTCTGTATTTTTCAATAATTTTCTTTCTTTTTAATTGTAATTAAATAAAGTTTTCTTCTTCCTCTGGATTTTTTTAAATTTTAATCTAATCTTCCTATATTTATTCTTCTTCACTTGAATCATAGCCTTCTAGTTCATTTTTTCTTTTTAATTCCTCAATACTGATATAATTTTTTATAAAATATTCAACTTTCTTATAGAGGATAGATATATGTTTTTATGGAATATCTAAAAATAAGAATAAGATGTTTTCTCTATCCATTTTAATACTTAACATCAAAGTAATAAATTTTGTCATAGCTAGAGATGTGACTAAAATTAGTATCCCCAAAGTAATTAATAGATTTACATCATATTAATTCATCTAGGTTTCAACATTTGAGTACAATTCATATGCAATATTAATAATCTATTAATGAACAACATTAAAATGATTATAAACTATATTTTAAATCGCATTGCTTTTATAGTTGAATGTTTAATTATTATAAAGAGATGTGTTTAAGGCTAAAGATTCAATTAACAATAGTGCACTCTCCAATTTTATATCTATCTCTGTGTATTGATCATCATCATAAAATCTTAATGTTATTATACGATCTTCAAAATAATGATCTAATAATGCAGAGTTTATGTATTTATTGAAATCAGTTGCATTACTGGCAGCTAATTAAAGTTCTTCATACAATTAAGTGATATTAAATTGTTGAGGTAGACATAGATCTAATACTCTAGAAATTACTTAATTTTATTGATTTATTTCATTATTCACCAAATAAATTGATTTAATACTATCCTTGTAAGAAATAAAATATGATTAACAGAATAAATACTAAAGAATTGTAATAAAAAAGATAAAAAATATCCAAAGATTTGAATATACTTTAAACTCTGTAATCTTTTAATGTTTATGGTCTTAATTAAGAACTCGTCGTATTAGATCTTATGAGTTTCTATGAGCAAATATTTTATAGTCATCCTCATCTTCATATTAATTTTAATTAAATCTAAATATTGAATTTTCTTCTTCTTCCTCTTCTAATTACAATAGAAATTCTTATTCTTTTTCTTCATCTATATTTAATATTTAATTCTTGATTAATCTTCTTATAACAATATTACTTGAATAATCCACAATTGGATTAACATCACTTTCAACTTATTAATTTAAAAGCATTTTATAATCATCATATCTAGGCTCCGAATATAATTCAGATAAAAAAACTGCATATTATTGATCAAACTCTAAATTCGTCTCAAATTTAGGTATTTGTCCATCAATCGATTGGTTAACCTAAATTTTAGAAGTCTAAAGATATTTTTATGAGTTTGGATTGCTGTTTGTATTTGTATTTGTTGCTGTTATTAATTATCGAGTGCTTACAGCAAAATTTTTATTTTTCTTTTATTATCCTCCTAGATTGACCTCATTCTTTTCTAATTTCTCTAATCTAACCAGCCATTTTCCAGTTTTTATATTATTAGTATCATCCTATTAGTTTCCCTTATCATGATTACTTTCATCCATTTTTTAAGGGAGCTTAATCTCTTTAATCATACACTAAAAATAGAATGTCTCTAATATAATATATCTATTTTACATTCAACTCCATCTTTGCTTTGCTAATTATATTAAATATGTTTTTCATTTTATAATAAAATATTTGGGATAAAATTGTTTAGATAAATATCTTTTTCTATTTATTTTAATTCCAAATCAAAAAAAATGATTGCTCCAGATGACATTTCTATTATTTTTGAAGAATTATCAACAATAAAAATGACTTAACTTTTGATAGTATTCTCACTTTTAAATATTGTCAGATATTTCATGGTTTCTAAATTAAGAGTAACATGATATATAAATGGAACTATATAACCATTTTTATGTTTAAAAATTTATGTTTAATCTGTATCTAAATATTAACTATCAATTTCTCCTTCCAATTTTAGATTTAAAACAATATTATCAAAAAATTCAATTAAATAATTATCATGTTTTTCAGCATATAATTTAGGCATTAAAATATTAATTGATTTATTTAATAATTCTTCCTTTTAATAACCAAAAAATGTTGTAAATAATGTATTGACATTTACTATCTTACCTACTTCTGCCTTTTTAGCACTCACCTATATAAATGGAATAGGTTAATTATCAATATTTAAAAATTCATTTCTTCCCCCATATTCTTTTTAAAATTCTTCTTTTATATTTTATGCAATTTTTCTTAATTCTCCTCCTAATTTTTAATCATTTAAAACATACAAAATAAAATTACTATATATTTTAACGCTCTAATATACATTTTAGGATATCTTTTACATTTCTTCATAATTCTGTCTAGCTGTTTTAGTAACATATGTAATATCTGCACCTAATTTCATTAATTTACCTAAATCAGGTTAATCCTCTTTTAATTCTCCCCAAAAATCTTTTTACAATTTAGCTGACTATTGCATACTCTTTTCACACATTGTTTAATGATTATTATATTTAATAGCCTCTACAATATCGTCATCTTTATTTTCTTTCTTATTTTCTTTAATACTTTTCCTATAAATTAATAAATAATATATCTTACATATATCTATATTTTATAAATTATTAATATAAAGCTGGTTTACATTTATCATCTATAAGTTCGAATTATTTATATGCTCCTTCTTTATTTTTCTTTCTTTCCATAATAAACAATGCATAAAAGATCCTCAATTCAGCACTTTTTGGAAATTTCTTTATACCATCTTTAAACATCTTTTCCAGTTCTTAAATTAATCCTCTAATCATATCATTCATATCCAATTCTGTACTTCTTCTTCTACTAAATTTAAAATAGCAATCATTATATTTACAAGTTTCTTTATGTTTCTCAATATATCCAATCAAAAGCATATAGGAATTTCTATCCTTTTCTTATTATTATATAAGCTACAAAACATAACGAATATGAGCCCAGATCTCCTTACCACTTCTAATTTTCTTTTACACTTTAATCAAGGTATCAATTTTAGACTTTTTTGTCATTAACATTATTGAAACAATAAAAGGCAATCCTATTATCCAAGCAATAAATCCTCCATTAAAATTTTGATTTTCAAATATCTTACATATCAATAATAAAATGTTTGCCCATAAATAATAACTTGAAATTATTGAATAGAATCTTCCTACTTCTAAGTCATAATAAGGATCTTCAAAATTATATTCCCAAAATAACCATACAGCCATTAAGAATGTTGCCAATACTAAGATCCAAGATTGATTCTCTCCCAAAAAACAATATAAAACCTAACATGTTACTTTATTAATAATGAATGTCACTTCTCCTTTACTATCTTATCTTGCTGTTTTATCATCACTCATCATTCCTGGTTCAAAAAATGCATATGCTACTATAGCACAAATTGCTACAAACATGAACATAAATAACAATGTTAATAATGCATGGAATGTATGCCATCCTTACCAACAAACAACATAAATTTCACTATAACCAGATATTATATATTCACCAGTTGTAGGATCTGTTTAACATTATAATATAGAAAATAAAGTTTCAGTTATTGGCAAAAACAATACAGTAACTACAAGTGAAGTAACTGATCTCAAAACAACTAATGGCCATGTTGCAGCAAATTGATTTTTAGAAAATGAGTAACTAACATAAATTATATCCAAAATGATAAGTAAAATAATTACTAATAGTATATATACAGATGACAATAGAGCAAAATATGAAATGTTAGGTATGTAAGTACTTAATTAAAAGAGGTTGACAAAATTTAGAACAAACCCAATCACATTGTCTGCCTTCCATAAATAGTAAATAGTATCGTTAAAGGGAAAAGTATGCATTTAAAAGTAATCCAACCCAGTTTATATATAAAATGATAATTAAGACTCTTCTGATTCTTCATCTTTCCTTAAAACGAAAAGAACTTGAAAAATAATTTGCTTCACTTTCTCAAAGAATCCTATCGATTCAGATTAAATTAAGGTTTGCCCACTCTCTCCTTAAATATCTCCCATTGATTATAAATATTTGAATTAAATTATTATCATTTTTTAAAACAAATAGAAGACTAATTCAATAATTATAAGAAAGGAGTATTATCCTAATTTCATTATATGAATAGAGCAATTTTATTTTTAGTTCATTCTTGTTTTTTAATCTTTCATATATATATATAAATGAACTCCTTAATAATCAAATTGAATTAATACTTTCAGCTCAATCAAAAAATTTTATGAAAACAAATATTTTAACTTCATCATTTCTTTTTTTCAAACTAGCTCTAAGATTTAGTAGAAATTTTTTGATGGTTTTTATGATTTTTAAATTAAGAAATATATATGTTGTTCCAATTAAAAAAGAAATCTTATTTTTTTCAATCAGCATATATCAATGAATTAATAACTTTCCTCTAAGTTAAACCAAATGATATGCAATATAGATTAATATTCTAAAACTCAACATTTTAATTTCATTAAATTATGTTAAATAACTATTTTCACCATTATATTTTCTTTTTTCAATTTATATCTCTAAAATCTTTCAGCTTTATTATTATCATTTGCCTTTATTTTGTATTTAAACTTATTTTAGTATAAAAATAATCATCAGGTTTAATTATATTTTTAATTTTAACAACAAAATAATTGTTATATTTTAGTATAAACAAAGGATAACTACTTATAAATTAAGCAGAGGAGGTATTCTAAGTGAAAGTTATGGAAAATTGATAAATTTCTACAGATTAATAAATAATTGTATTAATATTTGTAGAATAAAAGCACAACTTAATAAAAAGACCATATATATTTGCTAAAGAATCAAACCAAGAAATTCAATCCTTATGAATATTTATAATTCAAAGTTGAGTTATAAATTAATCTAAAAAAAATAATAAAAATGAAGAAACAATATAAATAAATCATAATTTCCTAAAAAAATTAAGTAAGTTAGATGAAAGATAAAAATATTTTGATAAGAGAGATCTTTTTTGTTTTTTATAATTAGAAAACTAAAAATTGTTTGAATTTTATTTGCAACTCAAAACATTTTAACAATAACCAATTTAAAATACGATTAAAAATTGTTAGTTGAATTAAATAAATATAAAATAAAAAAATTATTTTAGGATATTTTTGTAAATTATTAATTTAATGGAGTACTTTCTTGCAAAAATTTAAACGAAAAAGTTGCTAAAATAAGACTAAACAAAGAAAGAAAAATAAAATAGTTTCTATCAAACACATCTAATGTTGGAGTAATTTTGCTCAAATAATGGGATTTAAAATATAATTAAATAATTATAGTTTTATTAGATAAGGTTATATATAATAAAAATTCAATTTAAAATGTTCTTTCAATAAATATAAAAAATTTTAAATTATTATTCTTTATTTATTTTGAGTTTGATGTCTTTATATTCTTATTAAAAAAGTTAAATTAACAATATTTGAAATTAAACTTAATTTTTCAACTTGCTTTGATGATATGATAATTTTATACAGAACTAAATTGACTCAAAATATCATTCTTTTTTTTATTTTCTAAACTTTTTTATCTTTCTCACTTTAAATTCTATTCAATTTGTATTTCTTTATTGTTGTCATAATATTAAAGGAATATTTTATAATTTAAATGAGGAGGAATTAATTATTTGCCAAGATAAAAAGTACTTCAAAATTAAACTTAATTGTTAAATTTATTTAATTAAAAAAGGCTTAAAGTTTAATTATTTATAATCACAAAAAAGTTACATGATTTATAAAAACTTTTATGATTAAAATGAAGNTAATTTTAACAACAAAATAATTGTTATATTTTAGTATAAACAAAGGATAACTACTTATAAATTAAGCAGAGGAGGTATTCTAAGTGAAAGTTATGGAAAATTGATAAATTTCTACAGATTAATAAATAATTGTATTAATATTTGTAGAATAAAAGCACAACTTAATAAAAAGACCATATATATTTGCTAAAGAATCAAACCAAGAAATTCAATCCTTATGAATATTTATAATTCAAAGTTGAGTTATAAATTAATCTAAAAAAAATAATAAAAATGAAGAAACAATATAAATAAATCATAATTTCCTAAAAAAATTAAGTAAGTTAGATGAAAGATAAAAATATTTTGATAAGAGAGATCTTTTTTGTTTTTTATAATTAGAAAACTAAAAATTGTTTGAATTTTATTTGCAACTCAAAACATTTTAACAATAACCAATTTAAAATACGATTAAAAATTGTTAGTTGAATTAAATAAATATAAAATAAAAAAATTATTTTAGGATATTTTTGTAAATTATTAATTTAATGGAGTACTTTCTTGCAAAAATTTAAACGAAAAAGTTGCTAAAATAAGACTAAACAAAGAAAGAAAAATAAAATAGTTTCTATCAAACACATCTAATGTTGGAGTAATTTTGCTCAAATAATGGGATTTAAAATATAATTAAATAATTATAGTTTTATTAGATAAGGTTATATATAATAAAAATTCAATTTAAAATGTTCTTTCAATAAATATAAAAAATTTTAAATTATTATTCTTTATTTATTTTGAGTTTGATGTCTTTATATTCTTATTAAAAAAGTTAAATTAACAATATTTGAAATTAAACTTAATTTTTCAACTTGCTTTGATGATATGATAATTTTATACAGAACTAAATTGACTCAAAATATCATTCTTTTTTTTATTTTCTAAACTTTTTTATCTTTCTCACTTTAAATTCTATTCAATTTGTATTTCTTTATTGTTGTCATAATATTAAAGGAATATTTTATAATTTAAATGAGGAGGAATTAATTATTTGCCAAGATAAAAAGTACTTCAAAATTAAACTTAATTGTTAAATTTATTTAATTAAAAAAGGCTTAAAGTTTAATTATTTATAATCACAAAAAAGTTACATGATTTATAAAAACTTTTATGATTAAAATGAAGTAAGCCTAATAAGAATAATTAATAATTTTTTTTTTCTTATTCTAATTAATTTATATATATATTTTTTAATACAATTCAAAATCCATCGATATTTTCCAATAAAGGAATATGATTAATTAATTATTATTTTTGAAATATAAGCTAATCTAAGATCTTTTATATGTATAATAAAAATAAATAATGGGTTGCTTCTAACCAAAAAGTATAATTAAAATTGTCGCTATGAAAACAACTAACAAAGATTACATCTTTACGTCAACTGCTGACATTCACAAAATATTTTCTTTCGGAAAAGTGCTAGGAATAGGAGTATTCGGTAAAGTTCTAACTGCAAGAAGGCGAAATAATAATGAAAAACAGTATGCTATAAAAATGATTGACAAGAAAAAAGTTAAGGGAATGGAAACCATGTTAGCCAATGAAATTTATATATTACAAAGGTTAGATCACCCTAATATTATCAAATTCCATGAAGTATATCAAAGTGAACTATAATTTTACATCTGTATGGACAAATGTGCTGGAGCAGAAATTATGGAGAGCGTACCAAAAAATTAAAAATCATACACTGAAGGTTAGGCAAGAGATATCATGATTAAAGTAATTATTAGTACTATTTGTAGATTATTTCAGCAGTTGCTTACATTCATGAATAAGGAATTATACATAGAGATATTAAACCAGAAAATATTATGTTTACAGAAAGAGACATCAGATCAGAACCTAAACTTATTGACTTTGGGCTATCAGTGAAATACGATGCTTTCAGTTACAAGTAAAGAAATATCCATAATAATTTAGTAAACTCAAAGCTGGAGTAGGCACACCTGTCTATTTAGCTCCAGAAGTAATTGAAGGAACTTATAATGAAAAATGTGATATTTGGAGTCTTGGAGTGTTATTGTTTAATATGCTTGTAGGTTATCCTCCTTTCTATGGTAGAAATCGATAAGACCTTTATGAAAATATAAAATATCAAAATGTATTAATTTTGAATAATACTTTAGTTGATTTTTGATCGAAGACATTGGAGAAGTACTAGTGACGAAGCAAAAGATCTCTTGAAGATAATGCTTAACAAAAATTAAAATTTAAGATATTCTGCCAAGGAATGCCTTAAACATCCATGGTTTTAACTTTTATTTAAGGATGGAGTTTATAGGCCTCCAAGAAGGAGTACTGGATTTTCAGGAACTTAATCTGAAGATGATTAAAGAACTTTATATTAAATGCTTAAAACTTATCGTATTGGGGCTAAATTTAAGAAGGAAGTCATGAAAGTCTTGGTGAATCAGATGAATGAAAAAGATTTAGGAAGATTGTAATAGATATTTAAAAATATTGATGTTGATAATTCTGGCACAATTACAGTGTAAGAGTTACATCAAGCACTTTAGCAAGAAGTAAAAATGAAAATAATTGTAAGGGTTCCTTAACCACAATTGAGGAGATTGAATAAATCATGGAAAAAATTGGGTATGACATTGATGAATTAGATGATATAACAGTATCTCAATCTAACAAATCTTCAACAAAACCTTTAATTATTAAATACAGTGATTTTTTAACTGCCTGCATTGATGAAAGACGTGTTTTCACAAGAGAGAAATTATGGTCTATTTTCAAATATTTTGATACATAGAATGAAAATCATTTATCAAGAGAAGCAATTAGAGAATCATTTGCAAGACATGGACGCTCAGTTCCGATTGAAAAAATTAATTAAATGCTATCTGAAATTGATCCTAATAATTAGAATAAAATTGGATTTGATGCTTTTTGTTAGATGATGGGAATTGCTGGAATCCAATAGACTCTAGAATTTAAAGATGATACTAAAGATCCTTAATCAATAGCTCCTTCTATAATTGTATGACATCCATTCTTATGATATAAAAAAGTTATGTATCTTGTTATTAATATATTATAATACTAACATCTCAAATTTTTTATGAAATAGTTATAATACTTTAAAAAATTTAAGATTTTATCAATTAATCAAATTTCAATTATATTAATAAAAGGATGTATTTATATTATTAATTTTCTCTGATCAATAGAAAATTGTAGAATTTACATTATTAAATTCATTTGATAATTTAGATTATTTCTTTATATCTAAAGTATTCATATGTTATTTATTTTTAACTAATTTTTCAATTTCCTAAAAGTATTTTTTAATTCAAATAATTGCAATTATCTGAAAAATATATTAAAGGAATAATTAATTAATTAAAGTATTTAACATTTAATTGTTTATTAACAATAAAATAATTTATAATGTGACATTTGTTATTAAATAATTAAATTTTTTGATAATGATTCTAGATTTCCTTTCAAATGTGGTCATATTTGGGATAATAGCTTTAGTTGGATTTGCTGTAATTGGTTCGTTTGCAAGGAAACAAGGTTTTAGATCATGAATTAATTTTTTATGTGAATATAAATCTAAATTGATACTATTATTGTGAGTTTTTAAATTTGATAAAGGATTAATGATTAGAGAATCTAATAGTTCTCCAGACATTAAATTTAATTGTCAGAATGCATTAAATTGTTTTTTTGTATAGGATGTTGATTCAAGTTTAAATTAGCATATTAAATGTATTTTAATAAATATCAACTCATAAACTATCGTACTTTTTTAACCTTCCTAGTAGAAAGGCAGGATTTAGCTATTAGAGCAGAGGAGGAATAATTAATTGCATAATAGGTTAAGGATAGAGGGTTTTGTTTAGGAAATTGGGATATTGAAGAATTGGAGCAGGTCTTCCAGGGTAGCGAGAGTCATGGATGAAATTGCAATTATCTCCTCTTGTACATCCTATAGAGGAATGAAAATTGTGACAATTTTTGGTTTTGTATGCTCTTAATCTTTGAGCCTGAACTGGATTAATGCTTTATAATTATTCAATTCGAATTCTCTATTATTCTTATTGAGATTTAATGCGTTCTTATTCAGTTATAATTGATTGTTTGTCATTCAACTTAGTTTCAAGGAATGATTTAAAATTTTTTATATATTATTCCTCACCAATTTCCTTTAATTTTTATATAATATCATGTAATAAAGTGACTTAAATAAATTAATATTCTTACGAATACTTTCTTGGCTATGGTTTTATTTCTACTCAACCATTTGAACCAATTGCTACATTTTAGGTTAGAGATCTTGCTTTGCTTAATTCAACATGACATCCTTTTAATTGGATTGTTCCTCTTTTGGTTTCTTCAAAATGCCTTTGACTTATTTTTTATTTGCATTCTTATGTTTTTCTTCTAATTCTGAGAATCCTCGATTGCATATGATTTGAACCATAAACATAAGATCTTCTTTCTTTGGAGGATCAAGATATATGATTTTTGGTTATATTCCAATTTAAGTATTAGATATTTCATTATACCCTGGTTGATCAGGAATCTACTAGAGATTAAAATTTATAGAAATATTTACATCTCTGGTATAGAATGCTGACATTTTGGATTCAGTTCTCATTTATTATTTTTGAGTTTCTTAGAAATTGGTATCAAAAGATGAAAAGAAGGTTGAGCATAATTCTAATAATTTTTAATAACTTACTCAAAGGTTTAATAAACTAAATTTATTCAATCATTTATTAGATATTATCTAATTATAATTTATGTTCTTATCCTTCCATCATAGATTCTCTATGCTTTATATCATAACCATTAATTTAATATTATCTTCTTAATTCACCTGCATATTATTTTTGAAAAGCGATTACTTCCTCTAGAGTCATTCCTCTTAGATTAGGTTCATCATCTCTTTTAAAATATTTATAATTCATTAGAATGTCATCTCTTGCAAAACTAATAATTTCAATACTTAAAACATACCGAACATTTTTCTTTTTATTTTTTTTCTTTTTGTTTTATGATTCATTTGAACTTGATGATTAATTTCTTTTCACTTTTTTTTTGCGTTCCTCATATTTATCCTTTTAATTATTGTTTTTTTTTAACTCTTCAAGAGTATTTCTATATCTTGTCTTAATTTTCAACCATTTTTATAGTATTTAATCATTTATATTTACTCTTTAATCATCTAATAATTTTTTATCTTTTATTTTGATTAACAAATATCCCATATCAGATTCCTTAAGCATTTCATCATTTAAATTCATTTTCAACAACAACATAAATATTTTATCTACAAGCTCTTCATTAGCTTAAATACATTTCAAAGCTTCTTTCAAATATTAAGTAATCATCTTCATTGAACTTGTCTATCCAAACCTAAAATTAGCCTCCTTTTTTACATGTCTATAAACTCAGAAGTTGAATTGAGTAAATAATTTACTATTTGAATTTTTGCATAAACTGTAACTGCTGATTTTAATTGTATATTGATCTTTTTCAAAAGTTCCTTATTACTTATTTGATCCATCAATAAAATCTTATATTAATTTATATTATCATTATAATCTATAATTCAACTAAATCAATTACAAATTCTTCAATTCTAATATGTTTTTGATTTAAATTTAACATTCTCCTTAATCATATTAAGAGAATTTTTAAGTTGTATATAGAATTCATCTAATTAAAATAATTATTGATTAATGGAAGAATAATAACAAAACTATAGTGATTTAGTAAATCAAGAAATTAAATAATAAAACAAACCAATCAAATGGGAAGTAGATGGAATGCCTTAAACAAAGGTAGGACAAATGAAAAAAGAAACTGTCTATATTTTCTGGTTTGAATTCTTAGGTACATTCATGTTAACATTTTCAATATATGCTAGCAAGTAAAATAATTAAAATAATTTAAGTAATAATCTCTTTGTTTTCAGTTGTGCTTATGGTATGTTGATATTGGTTGCTCAAAATCAGAAATGTTCATTTAATCCTGCAATTACTACAGTTTTATCTGGTAATGATAAAGGTTTGTGGGTATCAGTTGCTATTGCTAGTTAATTTGGAGGAGCATTTTTGGCTAGTATGCTTGGTTTCTTATGCTTTAAGAATTAGTAAAATATTTATAGATTATTTAATAGTGTCAATGAAGTTCCATATTTGTCATAAACTACATTTGAAGAATATTTTGCAGTTATTATTGGAGAAATCTTAGGTACACTTATTCTTACTGCTGGTTTTCTTTTTTAATATGATGATTTAATGGATTTCACAAGTGATAGATTAGAACATAGTATTATAATTAGTGGATTATATGGAGTTGGTAGAACTCTAAGTTATGTAGCTAAGAGCAGTCTGAATCCAGCTATTGCTATGGGGTAAATATAATGATTAAGCAAAAAGATTAGTATTTTTTGAATGTTGTAAAGATGGTCATTGGGCTAGATTTTGGAATTTATGGATTTATGCTGGTTTACCTTTTGTTGGAGCTTTTGTTTCATTAACATTGATTAGAATATTATACAAGGATTGTTATGAAAAATAAATAAAGGCTGGTTTGAAATATTGAATGACAATAAACTAATTTTAGACATATAAATACAAATTTATTTTGTTTATAATTTTATTTATTTGATAATATGGAACTTGATAAAACTAATATGTAATTGAATTTACAAGCATATCTATCATACATTATTTAAAAATTATCATTATTTAAAGATATTTATAAAAAAATAAGATAGATATAAATATTGAATTCATAAATTTAAATTAATCAATTCAATGATTATTTAGAAAAGACTGGAAAGTTTTTTATGTTTCAATTCCAAATTTATATAAAAATTAAAATTTCATTATTAAAAATATTAAAATATATATTAAACATGTCTTCAAAAGAATCACGTAGACGCTCAAACAGACGTTCAAATCGCAAATAAAAATAGTAAGAATCTAAAATTAACATATTTATAGTTCTACTACCACTTCTTCTATTGTGACTGATAATGAATCTAATGGAAGCTCTTCAAGTGATGATGATTAACATTACAAATATAGAAGAGGCGAATATATTCGAGAATATAAGGTAAAGAGACATATTTTTGATGGTACATTTGGAAGAGTCTTGAAAGTCAAAAGAAGAAATTCAAAAACATATGCTTTGAAAATTGTCAGACGTAATCATGTTGAGAGTGCTCAATCAGAAGCAGATGTTTTGTTTCATTTAAAAAGAAAAGGACTTAATAGATACTTTGTTGAATTGTATGAATGTTTTCATCATAGAGGATATTATTGTATGGTATTTGAGAGGGTAATTATATACCATCATTTAATTTTAGTTAGGACCAAGTCTATATGAATTGATGAAATTAAATAAAAATCATGGAATTCCAATGACTTTAATAAAAAGCATTAGTAAATAATTATTAAAGTATATTGGTTAATTACATGATTTAAAAATTGTTCATACTGATTTAAAACCAGAGAACATACTTTTTAGTAAAAATTATAAATTGAAAAAAGGATAATCAGATTTGTATATATATAATATTTATATTCTTAATTAGATATCTACCACAGGATGACAGAATTAAGATCATAGACCTTGGTGGAGCAGTATTTGATAATGAAGGACATGATTGTATTATTAATACACGTCAATATAGAGCTCCTGAGGTATAGTTGTAATGTAGTGAATGGAATCATAAAAGTGATGTTTGGGGGATTGCCTGTATCATCGCTGAAATGTATTTAGGTAAGAAAGAAGAATTTAAAATCTTTTAGGACACTTACTATTTTAAACAAGAAAAAATGAGTATGAACATATGGCTTTGGTTGAAAAAATCACTGATCAAAACTTCCCTTATTGGATGGCCAGCAATGTTAAAGGATCATTGAAATAATGTTTCACAAAAAATTCTACAAATGGGAAATACTACATTTGGCCTTAAGAACATACAACCAAAGAGAGCATTGCTAAAGTCGAAAATCAAAAACCATTAAGGGAATTGATACTTGATCCATTATTAAGAGATTTATTATAAAAAATGCTTGAAATTGATCCCGATAAAAGAATCAGTTGTCACGAAGCTTTGCATCACAAATTCTTTTGTCATTGATAATGAACAATTCATTTTATAAAATTTTAATTTTATTCCTTATAGTAACATATCACTCTCAGCTCATCCATTTACGTTCAATAGATATACAATTATGTACATTAATCAAAAGTAATCTTTAAATAACAATATTAGATCAAATTCTAAAAATATTAATATACTTCTACTATTCTTAATATTCTTATTTCTATGATATTATTTAACTAGAACTTAATAATAAGAGAATGTTAAATTTGTATTTGAGAATATACAATATTAACAGATTTATGTAATACTATTGTATAATATAATTCTGATATAATATATTGAATAATTTCTTAAATTAAACTATTAATTATTTGTTTTTACTTCTAAAACTTCACAATTACAAGGGTTCTTTTAATATAAATATTTATATATAATTTTGCTGCTAAATTTAATTTTATGTATGATTAAAGATATAAGTATTGTTTATCCTTGATATTATTTTGGTGTCTAATTTAAAATTATTAAGAATAATGATTACCCATAATAATTATATCTTAAACATTTAGATATATAACATAAATAGAAATAACCTACAAATTTTAATTCTAAAAATTGAGATTTAATAATATTTATGTTAATACTCAAAATAATGTTTTATGCTAATATAGTATTAAATTAATTCATTCATTATCATCTTCAATAATATTTTTTGATAAAATCTTCATAATAGATCTCCATTCTTCTATAATTGCTTTTAATTATTGTTTCATTTCTGTGATGAAACTCAATAATTCATCCTACATAATAATAGACATTTTATCGCTTCTATCTTTGTTTTTTTAATATTTAGTTTTGAGTACATCCATTTCTAAATCTCTCTATGAATAATAATAATAAATACTCTGCTAGAATTATCTGTATATTACATTTTAAGTTATTCTATTCTTTATTAATCAATCAATAATTATTATTATAAATTTCTTCTTCTTTTACAAGCAGTTAATGCCCACTCAATTTCAAATAAACAATTTTATAATTTAGGTATAAATTTTCTATCAATATCTTCAATTTCTCTATTAATTTTTCTTTATCTGATTTCATTATTATACTTCAACTATTTAAATTATGAAATATCATCTTCACTTGCAGATCCTAAACCATCTAATAATTTAATATATTTTTAATACTCCAAGAATACAAAGCTTCATTTTAATCATTTAATGTTTTAGCTTCTTCTCTCAATGTTATAACATGTTCCTCAACAACAGTTTTTAACTTGGTACCTTTCATAGATAATGATAAAAGTAATGTTTCATCATAAGTTAAATCTTTTTCACTTCCATCAAACATTTTTGCTGGATCTTACCCTTTGGTTGTTAATGTACTACTATTCCATAAAGTCTTGACTGATTATAATAAATTATCACATTTTTATTCAATAGTTTTATTTTATTCTAATTCACCTTTTAAAAGAGAAATAAACTAATATATTATTTTTATAAATACTTTTTCTTTATCTTCAATAAATATTCTTAATTCTGGTACATATCGTAGATGATGATGATGAAGTATTCTTTAAAGAAATTGTTAAAGGTCTTTCCTTCTCTTTTCGGAGAACTAATTTTTTAAATTTTAAATCTCATAAATTTACTTCATAACTAGCTAAATTGACTTTAGTAAGTAAATGTTTTTCAGGAATAGCAGGAATTATGTATCCTCCATATTTATTAATCAATTCCTAATATAACCACTCAAAATCACTAAATCTCCTTGATACTTCAGTTTCCCATTCTCCTCCTTACTTTTTTGTTCTTACTAGATATAATTTGTATTTAGTTATGTATCCCTCTTTAACTACTTCTCCATCTTTAACTTCTACAATACGATTATTCATAAATTCATTAACCACAATTGCATTATAAAAATCAACATTAGGTATTACATTAGCTTAATGACTAATAATAAATTTATATCATACTCAAAATTTAATAAATCCATTTGTTAAGTCCCATTATTTTCTAAATCCTCTAATAAATTCATTTGTTTTTATATTATAAAATTAATTATATACAAAAATGAACACAAAGTCTACTTCTCTATATATAGGTAGTAAATAATTGAATCAAAAGAGAATACGTTCACCACTCAAGAAATAATCCATGATTTTTAAATAAAATTCAGATGAAGAAGATAATCAATCAGAAGATGAAAAAATGGAAGTTATTAATCTTAATTACTTTAAAGCAAAAAAACATTAAAAAAAGTTTAATTTATAATAAATGTTACAATAAGGTAAATTGGCTGAGGATGAAGTAGATCATAATCCACATTTCCCAAGTCCAACTATTAATTCAAAATTAATACATAATATATTCTAAATTTATCATTCAGATAGAAAGGAAACTTTTATTGAAGATAAAATTCATGGGACTGCTGAAAAAATATCAAAACAAACTAATTAAAAACTTGTTAATCAAATATTATTTAATAAAATGAGATAAAAAAGAGTTGTCTCATAACATGAATTAAATAATTCAACTTCAAATGTATTATAAAGTTTTAAGAATCTTTCTTCAATTTTTAAAAGTGTTAATTAGATTGTTGATTATCATGCTGTTGCTAATTAAATTAGATAATCTTAAGCATAAATTACAATCAATAAAGAAGAACATAAAAATTTGGAAAGATAATAATTCAATTTTAATTATATTATAGAAGGCAGATTAAATTAAATTAAATTACATAGCTCAGAAATATATTAATATCAAATGAGCTTATAAAAATTAAGAATGGAAAATTGTAAATTAAGAGATCATGTTTCTAAATTAGGTGAAGAAATTGATTAAATTAAATCAAAATATAATAAATAAAGATAAGTAGCATTACATCAAGAAGATAAATTACATCCTAATAAAAAATGGGATAGACATTAATATTTTTAAACTATTGATTAAAATGAATAAATGGAATTATCTAGAATTAAAACATTTTATATGGAATATTAACAATAACTATAATTTAATTAAACCTAATTAAAAAGAGAAGAAGATATGCTACAAGATATTAAATATACTAAGAAATAAATCAAATAAGATTTAGCAGAGTTCTTAAAATAAGTATTGCAGAGTGAAGAAATTTAGTAACTTATATACTTATAATACATAGAATATCAGGATCTATAATAATAATAGTAAAACTATTAATGTAAATTAATGAAAGTGTGACATAAGCTGATTTCCCATGTTATCTTGATAATCAATCAAGAATCTTCCTTATATCAAAGGCTAAATTAGAAATTAACAATGATAATTTGAAATTATAAATCAAAGAAAATTAAATTAAATAATAATAATAATAAGGAAATAGAGTTAATTATGAAAAGAAACTATTTTAAGTTATGAATTCTATATCAAATATGAGAAAATAAAAATATACCTTAAAATCATTTGAATTACAACAATAAATTGATTCAAAATAAGATAATGTAAGTTAAAAATTATCTAATTAATCACTCTAAATTAATAATTTGGATAATTAAATACTTGAATTGGAAGAATAAGAAATCTAAAGACTTTAAATACTTTATTAAGGAAAACAATTACCTAATAGTTCATTATAAAAACTTATTAAAACTGTCTAAGCTGAATTTGGTTATAAATAGATGAATTAAAAATTAAGTATAATTATTTAGAATTATGACACAATTAAGAGTTAAGTCAATAAATCAATTAAGTGAAACAAATATCAATATAAATCTTACTGTTATGAATTTTAACATATTATTTCAATTAAAAATAACTAATCTACTATTTTATATAAATCATTATATTCTTTATTTATTCAGTATTTATTGTATTGTTTTATATCTAGATAAGTCAAAAATAGTAAGACTTATTATTTATTAATTTATTAAATAATAAAAGAAAGATCTTATTTATTTCTTTAATATCAGAGATATCTTTAAATAAATTAGAATTAAATAAAGATAATTACAAAAATTAAGAAATTCAATTTATATAATAAATTATAAATTAATCAAGATATGAATTTAACTTGAATAAATTTCATATACAAAATACATATGCAAAATGAAATCATAATAAAATTGAGGAATCCAAAAATGTTATAACTTTATTTAAAATTTTAAATATTTCTTTTTTCAAAAATAGAGAATATAATGAAAATAATTATTAAAATACAATTAGATTATTATATTAAAATAATACTTTATAGATTAAGTTAAATTACTCATTTTTTTTTTGGTGTAACATCTCTGCTTGTTACAATACTTTATGTTCCATTTATTGATAATTAACATTGTGTTCTAGACATCTATAAAGAGATGTATCTACTTCTTTTGAATTATTAGGATATATTTTAATCTTGTTATACAATTTTTATCTATTTATTTAATGAAAATTTAACATTTTAGGTTTATGAATTTTATTCATTTTTGTAAATTTATAATTCTTTATTAGATTAGACATAAAATCTTTTTCTATTTGTGAATTAATTCTCTTTTTATTTAGTTTGATCATGTCTTAAATCTATAAGATTTAATAACATTTTTGAATTGCTTGGAAATATTAAATTATTCAATAAAGCTCTACCTTCAATAGGACTAGAGATAAGTTTTTAAGATGGTTAGTGATACATCAAATTAAATTCTGTAAAAATCTTCTAATGACGATGAACTTATTGTAATTTTTTGACCAATTGTTATTTTTTATTTTTGACAGATGTAATTTATTAATTCAATTAATTATATTTAGGAGAGAGATGCTCATAATCAGATTAGGTTTATTGTTGTATGTTTTATTCAGTTTATACTAATTAATTTTATTACATAAATAATTATGAACAAATTTGAAGATGAATTAAAATATGCATAAAAAGCAACAAGCAATGAATTTCTGTCTTGGTTACAGAATGTGAGTTATGAACTTATAAAATAAAAAGAATACTCATATGGCTAAGAATTTTTTAGATCTTAACAAAATTTATATGAACTTATATTCAAATAAAATGGTATTTTGAATAATAGTTTTCGTACAACTCAATAAAGATATGGCTCAATTGAAGATTCATTTTTCTTTATAAAATTGTTGAATATTCTTTCACCAGAAGAAATGTCATTTTATTCAGCTTTGCCATCAGAATTTCCTTATCATCCTGTTTCATTAGATATATTACCTGCACATTTACAATTATACTTCAAAGACCCATCTTTGGCAAATATGAATCAATAATTTTAAGCATTTTAAGATATATTTTAAGAGAATATATTAGTTGAAAAAAATTAACTAAAATTTTGTGTTAGTGCAAAAATGATGTTTTGGATTTATTTATTAAATGGTGCTATTAATTTTAAGGATAGTGCTTTATATGTAACAGATAATAGTCAAAAATTATTAGATTGTGCTTTAAATAAATGTAAAAGGAAATTTAATACAAAGGATCCCTTATTAAAATAACTTACTCTTAATCCATATATAGTTCTTGTTAGAAGAATTCTTGAATATATGTATACAAAAATCAAAGAAAATAATTAAATTCTAAGTCGTTAGAATAAGTAATTAACAATATTCACCTTTCAATAGATGATTATATTATTGTAAGAATATTCATTATATGAACATTTATATGTTTCTAAATTATTTGAATTAAATTTAACAATAGATTAATAGAAATTATTATACAAAATCAAACCAAGTAGTATTGTATTGGATACTCAAATGATGTTAGTTTATTTAACAATATATTTTAATTCATTATATGGAACTGATTTAGAAACAATTTATTAATAATTTAAACCATTTTTAAAAAATTCTGATATTTTTAATAAAAATAGTTAATTTATTTATTAAAATAGAAGTTTTTTTTTTGAATGTGGAAGATAGAAACAATAAATCACTTATTAGTAAGGCTTATTTAAATTTTTTGAAAATTCTTTTGAAGTCTATTCTAATGAGAGGTAATGTAATTAGATTACTTTATATTCACACATAGCAGCTTATGTTATCTTTTTAAAATGGCAATTTATTAATAAAGAATAAAGTATTTATAATTAAGCTTTAATATTTGATCAAGCTCTTTAATCTTGTATTGCATCATAGAACTAAATTATGGGACAACTCTAAAAAAAAAGAGAGAATTCTTATAAAGGTAACAATCCATTAACTAAATTTATTGTAAATGAATTGTATCCTCTTTATTAAGTTTGTAAAAATAAATTTGGAGATAGTCCTTAAGCAATTTTATTTAAGGATTTCAAACCACATATGATTGAATAAAGATTTAGTTAATTTTAATTTAAATTAGATTCTCATATAAGAGAATTAGATCCATAAAGGAATTTAATGAAAAATTCTATTAGACTCTATTATCCTTTTTATACAAAATAGCTTATTACTATTTTTAAATGTTTAAATAATTTAAATTATATTAATGATTCAGAATATTAAGGATTTATTCATCTATTTAACTTTTTATATTCTAATGATTAAAATTCATTCTTTTGTGATTCATTAAAATTTCTTAATTAAAAACCCTTTTAAATCCCAGCATATTCAGAAGTTAAGAATTTTTGTGAATTGTATGTGAAAAATAGTAATGAAGAGGAATTCCTTATTAAATAAAATGAAAATATTCAAAGCTATGTGTATTAAGCAATTTAGTTATTGATGTCATATTAATAAAGATTAGGTCTTAAAAATGATAGAATAGTAGAATAATTGGCTTCTTAATTTAATATTTAAACAACAAAAATTAATGTGAATCCAATCAAAAATATGAGTCCATACAAAAGTCTTGGTAGATTATCTAAATCTAGAATGTAAATATCAAATTTATATAGTTAGTGTTATCAATGAATGGAAAGCCCCCTTGAGAGATTTCGAAATTTATGTTTTTTTTATTATTATGTGGTATGTTAGTTTAGGATTGGATAAACTAAAAGGGATACCTTAAAATGAATTCCCATAAACTCAATGGCCCAGGAGATTTGCTTCACCGATTAATTTATTTATAGTGTCCATAATCATTTATGGTCTTTTAAAAATCGTTTTCATGTTCATTTGATAAATATTGATATCGTTTATAATTTAATTGGTTAATCATATTACCCTATTAATGGGATTTAACTGTCTTGAAGACAGCAAAATTATCGGTGATATTGAAAATAAATAAAACATTATCATCATTAAGTTCTATCCATAGTCTATTATTGTAACTAGCTTTTAAATCCATTCAATATTATAACCATGTTATCTATCATCCCAATCACATACTGACATTATTCCAACTTTTTCATTATGTCTACAAATTCTTCTTCTGATAAAGGTCTATTTTTTTATTTTCTCTTGTTGTCAAGTTTCTTAGCCTTTGAAGTTTTCTTTGAAGGACCTTTTAATTATTCTTAAGAATTTCCATTTTTTTCTTCTGTGTGAAATTTAAATTCCCCTAAAGCAATTTCATATGATTAATCGTTTCCATTGGTTAAACAATCTCCTTGAATAGAAGGTTCAGGACTTTAAATTCTAAATAGGGATTTATTGTAATTCAATTTAGATATGAATTGAGGACATTCATCTTAGAATTCCTCTTGATTTTCTAATAATTATGGTAAATTGTCATATAGGTATCCGCTTATGTCCATTTAAGAGTTTATTAAACAATATTATAATTATTTCAAAAAGATATTTAATATTTGTTCTTGAGAAAACTTTTTAAGTTCAAAATTATGATATGATAATAATTTGTATAATAAAAATAGATGTTAAAAAAAGAAAAGTAAAAATATATTTTGAAATTCATAATTAATGATTTGAACCTATTGAATAATGATTTTCAAGAACTCACATTGTTAGATTTAGTAAATAAAAATAATTTATATGAAGCCTTTCCGATTTAATGTTTATAAAACGTGTAATCTGGTAATATAATGACGTCATTATTTAATTATAATAACTCTAATTTGATCTAAATAAAATGAATTAATGATAATTGAGAAAAGTATTTATTAGAAAAGTAATTATTCACGATTCGAAGTAAAAACATTAATAAAATCATTAGAAAGTATTTTATTGAAAAAAAGAATTTTATTCTAAATTTATTAAATTTTATTCCATTTTTTTCATTATTAAAACAAATAATTAGAGAAAAATGTTCTTTAAATATGTATAAATTTTTTATTAAAACATAAATTAAATTTACAGCACTTATGAATTCGAAGAAATGTATAATAAGAGAGTCTAAATAAATTACTTGTATTATTTTACCACATAAATATATATTACTTTAATTTTTGAGATTAGTACTGATGGTAATTAAAGTAAAAACTTAAAAAGATATAAATATGATTAGAAAGATATATAAATTAAATGAAAAAGGAATAAGATCAATTTTCCTAATTTATCTACTTTTGATACTAGCCCAAAATTTTATATTTGATTGTGGAAAGGATTCCTTCAAGATTGTCAATAAGTAACTTCATTTATTTACAATAATGAATTTATTTTGAAGTATTATCTTCTGAAAGATTAACATAAGAAATAAAGTCATTAAGTGCTTTATTTATTGAAGATTGATTCTTATTTTTTTTAATTGAGGTTCCTTTATGAATTTTTTGAATTCTCTTTTTGATGGTAGTTTAATTAGTTTGAGAAAGTTAATTAAATTGACTTTAATCATCATCTAATGTATCAGTATGATATTAGAGATGAATGAGAGAAAGTTCGTCTTCATCATTGAACTTTTTAATTTAAGGATGCCCAAGCAAAAGAGGTGAGGGACAAATCATTTAATCAGAGTATTCATCCCATGTGTTGTTATTGAATTGTTCATCTTCAAGAAAGTTAGAGTCCATAAATTGTATTAATTATTAAAATATCTTTGATGGCAATTAAATTTTTAAATAGCAAAAATATTAATCAATATGAATATAACAATTAAAAGGAAGCATATGAATTTGGATTCGTTTTTTTGGTATTGTTTTATATATCAAATAACAAATTAATTAAATTTAATGATAATTGCATTAATAATTAAAGGAATATTGGCACCTTTCATTATAGTGTTGTTGTATTCAAATTCAAAGGCATTACAAAATTAGGAATAATAAATAAGAAACTTTTGGGAAAATATCTTTGGAGAAGTATATTAGATTCGAAAATAAACTTTTGTTAAGAATTCAGCATTTAAGCCTGAATATAATGTAAATCAACATTTTGTAATACTTAGCAATCACGTTACAATGTAGCTGAATCTCCTGTGTATTGTAAAAAGAGTGATTCATACAAAATGGCTCATCCTGATATAGTATTGTAAGATTACTATGTATGGAGAGACTATCCACCTTCAAATTTACCAAAAAAGATAACCTTAGATAGAACATATGCTGTATTAGATAAAGTAAGTCCATCTAAAATTGCCTCATATAAATATGAAAATTAATTGCCACTTTAACTTGGATTCATTTATACAACTGTCTCTACCTTATTCAACAATTATGTTTGGGGTAAGGGATTAGGATGTGTATTATAAAAATATAGTCATATACCAGGAAAGAGTTCTGTAGCAATGAAAAACTAATTGATTGATAATTTTATGAGATATATTAGAGATTTTGAAAAAAAGAATATTACAAATCCAGAATGTAAAAGGAATGCATCATTTATACCTGAGACATATAGATTAAATGATGAAGATGATTGCAAAGCATTTTTTGAAACATTCAAAACAACTGATTATTAGAAGAGATTCAAAAAGTATGGGCCATAATATATATTGAAAACTAATTAACATAGAGGAGAAGGAATTACAGTTTTATTTGAAAATGAAACAATGGAATTATTAGAAGAATATGATCATGGATAAGAATGTGGAAATATTTCAAAGTAAGTAATTGCTCAAAGATATATATCTAATCCATTTTTATATAAAGGACATAAGATTGAGTTTAGAATATATTATACAATTGTATCAACTAAACCAGTTATTGCATATTCATATTCAAGGTAATTATTATTCTTATTCTTACATAAGAGCTTTAATTAAAAGATGTGCAAAACCATTTAGTGTTCATTCTACTGAAAAAGGGGCTCATGTTTGTAATACAGCAATTGTCAAAAACTTAGTGAAAACAGATAAAGATGATGATGAAATTGAAGATGAAGAATTCTTTATTGATTGGTATTTAGAGGGACTAGAAGATTTATTAATTAAATAGGGTAGAGCTAAGAAAGGATGGCTCTAATCTTATCTTTATCCTAAAATTCATAGATCTTTAATTCATATGACCAAAGCTACTTATCATTCATTTGCAAGAGATAGCACGTATTAACTATTTCTTAATATAGATTTGGTGAATTCTTTGCTGTTGATTTTTTACTTGATGATAATCTAGATGTCTGGGTCTTAGAGGTCAATTATAATCCATAAATTCTAAGTGTTACTCCAGACAGAATTAAAAGAAATTATAAGATGTTAGAAGATCATTTTGAATTGCAATATGCTTTTATTAAGAGTAAACTATATAGATTATCCTAACTTGGTAAAGCACTTATTAAGAAAGATACAAAATCCATTATTAATCAATCTAAATAAGTTGAAGAATTGTTGAGAGATAAACTAGAACCCCAATTTGAACTTAGCAAAGAAAATTTATATATTAAAATTATGGATGAAGGTTTGCCAGGAACTTAAGCATACACAAATCTTATATCTAAAGAGTGTCTTAAATGACTTTATAGTGTGTCTATAAATATCATATTATATTAAATAAAGATTACAAAATTATTAAATTAAAATAGCATTTAATACAAAATATATCTAAATCTAAGTGCTCTTTATTATATTCTAGAATAATTGATACCATTATCCTTAATAAAATTATTTAAACAATCTCATAACTAATATTCTTAAGGAAAGCTTTTAACACCTTATAATTTACTTATGAAATTTAAAAGGACATAATTATACATTACATTTATTCAATTTTTATATCAAAACTAAAAATAGAAAATAAATTGTAAAATAAAAAATAATACTTTATGTATAAATAATTAAACCTTTTTTCTAGAATAATCTCCACTTTTTATTAATTAACTCCTTATAATATTGTTTTGATATGAAATTCAAATTTAATATTATAAATATTCTTCATTTTTTAGTAATCATTGATAATTAGAATCAAGTATTTTGAATTAAGTGCAATATATTATCCTAAATGATGTCATGTTGTAAATTGATATAAGTACAAGATATTATAATTGAAATGATAAATATTTATAGGCATCATTATAAACAAATCAATATATATATCTAAATAAAAGTTAAATATAAAAAAGAGAGGTTGATCTAATTTAATTAATAATTATATTTGATGATATAATTAAATTAAGAAACTAATAGAAAAGTGAATAAAATTAATCCATAAATAATTTGCAATTAGATATTTCATGTATAAATATATGATATAATTAATATAAAACATAAATAAGAATAAATTCTGAAGTGTAAATAAAAAAGATGAAATATAATTTATGTCTGATGAAATAAATATTAATTATTTGGCCTTGATTCTTTTTAAAATACTTTATAATTATGAATATATTTGATATTTAATCATAAACATCGTAATGCTATCACAGACCTAATTAGATATATCGTAAAAGAACTTACAAACAAGTAGGCTAATATAAAATCTATTCTCTCTCCAGAACTTCTTCTAAAGTGAATCCAAGTCCATCTTTTAAAGAAATGAAACCAATTATCTCTGAGGATAAAGCACTTAATTCAAGTTGCTATTGTAGTGATTGTGGAGGTAAGATTTCAAAGAAATTGCTTACAAAATATGATAAGGATCAACATCAGCTTGACAACAAATTCAAGAATTTAGATTTGGATAAAATTCCTAAAAATTTGGATAGTCATATATTATCTAGTGCAAATCCTTCTATGTAAATATAATTCATTTATTCAGACATATAGCTAGTAATGGGAGTAAAAAAAAGATAAAATATAAGCCATTTAATCATCTTCTTTAAATGGTACATGTGAAAAGTGTTTTATCAAAATTAGTAAATTCTAAACCAATCAAATAATAATAATAAGTATTTTAATCATCACCACAGACTATATCTGAATTTACTTAGAAGACATAGAATTTAAAGACTTCTATATCAAAAGATATACAAAGTCCTTTGATTGGATAAAGATTGAAAACTGAACCCATTATTTAACACTAACAGTAGCTATCACCAATTGATACAAAGAAATTTTATTATCCAAGAATATCTAGAATAAGTTAAATTGCAGCTACAGGTCTTCTAAATCTAAATTTATCAGAGAGAACTGAAATAAAACCTGTAAATCATAAACTAATAGTTTTAACTAGTAGATATAAATCACCAGATATTCAATAGGTTAGAACTTTGTCTTAAAGAATTTAAAGTACTTATTTAAAAAAATCTGATTTAAAACTTAAAGACAACAATAAGAGACAAAATTGATTTTTATTATTAAATTATGAAAAAATAAAGAGTATAGTAATAATCAAGGTTTCCTATGACAACAAGACCTTTATAAACATTTGATTTAGAAACTGAAGAATAAATAGAATAGAGATTTAATGAATTTTTAAATGAAGCTTAAAATGAAACAATAAAATTAGTAACAGTTGAGAAAGGTAAATAAAGAAGATTGGCATTAAATCAATATAAAAAGAAAACAATAAAGGAGAGTCAAATGATAGAATAATCTTCATATGATGGAGAGAATCAATCTCGTGTTGATGAAATAATTGAATTAGAAACCAAACCATAAAAGAAAATAAGTCAAAAACATGAAGAATTTTATAAATTTTTTGTGGATCGATATTTCCATAAATAAGAAGTGAAATAATCTGCTTCTTAATAAACTTTAACTAATGATGTAAACTTTTTAGTCAATAGATATGGAGATGTATACTTAATAATGTAATTTAGTTTTTATAAAATTCACTTATGTCTAGTTTAATTATTGATACCTTAAAACACAAATTTTAGAATTAAGTTCCTATGTATGATCATTTTGGAACTGCTTAAAAGATTTTGTAATCATTTAATGTATCAGCTGTTACTTTATGTAATATGAAAACAGCAGAAGAACGATAAACTTATTTAATTAATAGTTTTTAATAGAAATGTGATTAATTAATGAATGAATGGATTCTTAAAATTGCAAAAAAAGATAAATAATTATAATTGATAGATAAATAATTTACACTTACTAGAATGAAAAATAGAAAAGAATAAAATGATTTATTTAAATGGTTAACTTTAAAAAGTAAATATTAGGTACTCTAAAAAAAATTAAGAGAAATGCTTATGGAAAAAATAAATGAATATGAAAATCAAATTAAAATTGCTGAAGCTATAAGTTAAAATAAAAAAGTTAATTTAATAGGTATAGAGACTATATAAACTTCATAAATAGTAAAAAATAATAATTTTTATTCTTAAAATAATTAGGATATATTTTAATGGAATCCTGTATTAGAAGCTAAATTTCAAAAAGAAAGATTAAAAGCTTAATATACATATAATTCAGCAATTAATTCAAGTAATTACAATCAAGTAGCTTTTATGCAGATTTTTGATTAAGTTAAAATAGAAGATCCTGTTTATTTATAAAGAGAAGTAAAAATGTAAAAATATATGAATGGAGATTGGTTAACACCATAAGAAATGAAATTTCTTGCTAATACATCAGAATTATTGAATAAATGTGTAGATTAAAAATAAGTCAAAAAAGTAGTTATGCATATTAAAGAAAAATAACTTTATGATTTAGAAAATTATCTAGCATAATAAATTATTTAAAATCATTAATCTCTTAATTGTTAAATTTAATAAGCAAGATCATTATGGTTAAAAGAATAAATAAAATAAAGAAAATAATAAATCAAATCACATGATTAATAAATCTAAGAATCAATTAAACATAATAAAATATTAAAAGATCATGATAAAAAAGTAAAGAAACTTCAAAGAATTTGTAAAAAATTAGAAGAAAATATCTCAATTAAAGATTAAGTATATAGAAACTTCTTTGCTTTAATTTTTGTAAGAAAAATAATATAAAAAATTGAATATCTTAGATTTATTAAATTAGAAAAAAGTAATATGTTTGTTAAAGAAACACTGGCTGAATAAGAAAAACTTAGACTTCATAAACAAAGATTAAAAGAACTATCAATACCATATAATCATGAAGAAGATAAACGTAGAAAATATCATCCTTCTTCTAAAGTTGGATTTGTTCCTACTCATGGAATGACTGCTGATGATTGGGAAAGCATAGAAGGTTAAAAATTAGCTGAAAGACTTAAAATACAAAAACAAAAAGAAATTTAATATAGATTAGGAGTATTATCAATAGATAATAATAAAAAAGAAAATTTTATCAAGTTTTATTCATCTGGACCTAATAAAGCTATTAGATAAGATCCAATTTTTGATCCTCTAAATCCTAATGATCCACCTAAATTATCTCAAAAAGAATTAAATTCAATTATTATGATTCAGAGGGCTATTCGTAAAAGAATAGCATTTAAAAAGATAAAAAATTATAAAGAGTTATTTTTTTAAAAGAAAATTAGAATATATCATGAAAAATTATCTAGACTTAATTCAGAAAAAGAATTCTAAAGTAATGTTAAGGAAATCACATTATAATTAATTAATTAACCTTAAATCAGAATTAAAACATCATCAAATAGAGTTAAATCTGAAATTTCATTAACAAAGTCTATGAGAACTAAATTAAAAACTGAAGAGACTGCAGAACCATCATCTATTGGATTTGGAAGATAAGGTAGATTAGTTACAACTTAAAATTTATCTAAAGTGAAAGTACTTCTTGTAAAACATGAAAGACTTCTTAGATATTCAAAGTTGAATTAACCTAATCATATTCTAAAATCAGGATTTTATTATACATAAGATGATATAGATGTAATGGATTAAGATGGAAATACAGCTTTATATTATGCTTCAATGCATGGAAACAATATTCTAATTGATTTTATGTTAAAACATGGAGCTAATCCAAATGTATTATGTAGTGATGGAACACCTATGCATATGGCAGTAAAATCAAATAGAATAGATGTAATTTAATTTATGTATTTTAGGTGATTTATTTATTATTAAATAATGGTGGAAGTTTAAATATTGTTAATTAATTTAATTGTACACCTTTAGTATATGCAAATGATAAAATTTTAAAATAATTAGGCATGAAATAAAAAGGAATTGTTTCTGTTACCAAACAATTTACAGAAATCAAAAATGATGAAATACTTTATTCTAAAGATGTAGCTCTTTAATGTGATTGATGTTTTTTTGATTTGTTCATCATATTATTATTTTTTTTAAGCATTTATTTGCTCAAAATTATATTACTGAAATTTAATACTTCTCAAATATAAATTTATTTAAATAAATAATATATTATTAGTAAAAAATTACAAATAAACTAATAATAAAATCTTAATAAAAACTATATTATAATGGCAGATGTATTGCTATCTATTATTTCAACTAGCCTATCAAAATTGTAATGTGCATTCTTTGTTGTCCATAGTGGTTCAGTTACTACTCATTTTTACATAATTGTGCTAGAACATGTGATATAACATCAAAAAGTATCAGTTTTTTTAATCTTTTTTAGTCTTTAAAGGCATAGGAAGTACACTTTGGAAAGTTTTATTCGTTTTATTCATGGCATTTTGTGGATTTGAACTTGTAAATTGTGTACTTTGCATAGTAGGATGTGTCCATTGTTTTGGAGCTCCCTTTTAGGTTTGATTTTATATAATTTATCAAGGCATATTAAGGAGGCAGTACTTGGGTAGATTCTTTCCATAAAATGGTCTTAGAACCTAGTTGTGATTTTGAAGGGAAAATAAGTGACATTCTAGGGAAAATGTTTAAACATTGATTATGATTATTGCAAAATGCATAATTATCAAAATTTCCATTTTCATAAATCTTTTATTTATAATCTAAAATGGATTTAACAAATATGTATAGTAAAACACAAAATAAAGATATTTTTGAAGACTTTCTAATTTAAAGCAGGTCCAATATTATAAAAATTATTGTATTAATTATATATCTTGAAAAGATGAAACAAGATTGAAGACTAGAAATTTTGTTTAATAAAATTTTCAAATATTATTAAATGAGTTATGAAGAACAAAATATTGATAAAATAAATACAAATTAAAGTTTAAGATAATAAATAAATTACACATTATTAAATCTTCATTTCATATTTATGTACGAATAGTATTTTAAATTATTAACTAAATAGATATTTATCATTGAAAATTTTAAAAGCTACATATATAAACTGATATATACACCTATAAGAAAGTTACTCTAAAAATTAAAGACTTTATTTGTTTAATGAATACTTAAATATTTAATTAGGGATTTCTTAATTTACACCATATTTGATTATGGATTAAAATGATGGTTAAATAATTTATCTTATAAATATAAATTTCTTTATTTTATATATAATATAGTTTATATTTGACAATTTTAGATTAAAATGCAAAAAGTTTGAATAATAGAATTAAAGATAATTGAAAAAGTTATCTTTGTTAAGAGTATAAATATATTTGTTTAGATCATAAATAAAATAACTTAAAATGATTAGACAAAAGTTTAGACATGTAAAATGAACATATAATTAATTTTAATTATAAATTATTGTTCCAATTATGTAAAATTATGAATCAGACAAAATAAATGATCTATAAAATAAAACTATAATATAAATGGCTCTAAGATTGAATGTAAATAAAATTCATAATTATAATTGTAATAATGTTAAGAATACAAAAATATTGAAATAAATGATTGAAAATGAATAAATTAAGATATAATAAGATAGCAAATAAGGCAAACTTATGTTTAATGATTAAAAATAATTTACATAGAATAACATCATAGAGATTTTACCATGTTATAAAAATTTTTTGGAAGATATTTATTTTTTGGAAATGCTTGATTTACTAATTAAAAAGCTACAAATATCTAATAATAATGAATCTAAAATAAAAGAAAATAAATTTGCATTTATAGAGATACCTAATGCTAATGAAAAAAATAAATATCAATCTGTAAGTAATTTTTTAATTTAAGGCAACATCGTGGATACAAAATATGTCTCCAAATTAATCAGAGTTCCTTGATTTCTATTTATAAATTTATGAAGTCTATAAAGGTTTAGAATAAATTTTAGGGTTGGAACAGAAATAAGAAGATTAAATGAGAAATTATAAGAATATAATTTTATTGCATTAAAATAAAAATAAATACTGTGAGAGATTATTGCATGTTGGTTCCTTTGTTTAAAATCTTTTATAACAAAATTTTAGATAACAAAAATTGAATTGCTATCGTACATTATACATAAATTTTACAGGAGAAAACTAATAATAACATATTGATTTTTGGAGTTTATGTCATCATGATAATAAAGAAATATCAAAATTTATTTCATTTTATCCCTTAAAATATGATAGTCAAAAATAATATATAATTTCTTAAAAATAAGAATAAGAATAAGAATAAGAATAAGAATAAGAAAATGAAGAATATTATTCTAAATCTGAAATACCTTTGAAAAATAATACAAATCAACAAAAAATCTTTCCTATTTTATATGATTCAATATTAATATTACAACAGATTTAAATCATATATTCTACATTAATATTACCAATGATAGCATCTTTTAAACCAAAGTTTATTTATTTAGATCTGTAGATTTCAAATAAATTTTAAATTGAATTTGAGGGGATAGAGTATTTATTAAGATAATTATAAAAAAAAGCAAATTTAATTGTTTATCCATGTTTCAAATTTGATACTTAAAAAATGGATGAATAAAATTAATAATAATTTATGTAAAATCATAAATTATATGATTCATATTTAAATGCAGTTGTATCAGGTATATCTGGATTTAAAATGATAAAAACAAAAATTTTTAATGATGAAACTCCTTTTATGATCTTTAGATGGAGTAATATAATGTAGAAATACTATTATTAATAAAACATTTTTCTATAAAAACAAATTCAATTTTTAAATTCTTAAAACTAATAATACAATAATATAATATAGTATTAGTAGATCTATCAATTTGCTATTAGAATATAGGATGATATTATTATATGGGTTATTCCATTAGACTGCTATCTTTCAAATATAAAGTTTATTAATTATTATTGTTTTTATGATTAAGATATAATTTTGCTTTTTAATTAGATGAATTAATCAATTTATTCCTAAGAAATTTCAAATTTACCTCATAATATTTAATTTACTCAAATCAAATAAAAATTGTAATATTATTTTAATATTTTATTTAGTAATACTTTATAAGTACCAAAAAATTTAATTGAACCAAGCATATTGATTTTAGACAATTACTTAATTATTATATATGGTCATGAATAATTAGAAAATGAACCTGAATTTTTTGATGGAATTCTTTTATTTGATTTAAAGCAACTTGAAGAATTTTAACAATACAATCGAGTATATGATGATAGATCAAAGGAACTCTTGGCCATTATTAAAAATAGAAGATGTCCATAAATTTGTTAAAATAATGGATACAAATCTGACAATAAATGCTTATCTTTCTTTCTAATTGGTGGTGAATTCATGAAGTAATTTATATATTTAACTAGATCTGATCATATTTAAAACTTTATTGAAGTAGTTTATGTTAATTTGAAAACTTAAACATTTCATTCATATCCTATCAAATTTGAAATGATATATTCTTAAGCTACTTTAAAACCATGGCCCTATTAATTAGTTTTAGAATATAATTATGAAAATATTAATCTCTATTTGATTTAAGCAGGAAATTATCAATTAAAACTCAACAAATTTTAATTCCCAATAGATCCAAATTACCATAATTTTTCATAGCTTTTAGTTTAAAAACATAATACATTTGAATTATACGATATAAGAGTTAAAAGATAAGATCAATATTATTTTAAAATAGAATAACTCTATAATAATTCTAGGAATTGGATACTCGAAAGAAATCAATGTTCAAATTCATAAATAGTTTGGAAGGCATATATAACAAGAATAGTTAAATTGAAAAATCCACTTAATTGTAAAATCTTAAGACCTTTTTAATAATAGTTTGAAAATATAGACTTTAATACTTCATTTTTTATTTGCATAGAACTAACAAATTAATTGTTAATTCCAAACAACCATTTAGATTTTAAAAATTACACTGTTGAATTGAATTATCGAATAATGTCTTTGTAAAAAATTAACAAATGATGCAAATATATAATTATATTTATGAATATATAAAATAATAGAAGAATTTCTTATCATAAAAAAGAAGGATAGATGAAAAAGACAACAGCCTTAACATTTTTTTCTATAATAGCATTTTCACTTACTGCTTTTGTTTTCCTTATTAAAGGTAGCATTGATATATATGATTAATCTAATCTTTCCAAAAGTGAATGTCCTCAAAATTATACTGATCTTAAAGGAACTCATAAACTCTTAGCAAGAATAAATAGAGACAATACTAAGAATCCCTAATATACATAAGTAATGTAAATTTTAGATTATTAGGGATTATTGTTTGTAAATCAGACAACACTTCTAGAATCCTCAGGATAATATGGAAAAAGCTCAATACATTATTTAAATTTGGATGATATCAATAACTTGATTTTTAATTATTAATTACCATCGAATTAATTTGGAGAAGGATGCGATATTATAAATAACAAAGTTTATTAATTAACATGGTTAGAAAGAAAAATGTAATAATTATATTATAATTATAAGAAATGTTTTTAATGCTGATGATTTAAGTTTTATAAATGAGATGAAATTAGATGATAAAGTGGCAGCAGGATGGGGATTAACTCATAGAATATTTAATGGAGAATTATAAGTATTGATAACTGATGGTTCTAATTAAGTTCATATAGCTGATGAAAATTTTAATGTATAATAATCTATTTCAATTTTTGATGATAAAAAGAAACCAGTCAATAATTTAAATGAATTAGAATATGTTAATGGAACTTTATTTGCCAATATCTATTTAACAACTAAAATAGTAGCCATAGATTTAGAAAATAAGAAAATTATAGCAACATATGATTTCTAAGAATTGGTTAAAGATGCAAATAGGAAAAAGAGAGATGAATGTTTGAATGGAATAGCATATAATTAATATACTGATTCATTTTGGATTACAGGAAAAAATTGGGGATTTATTTAAGAAGTTAAATTGCTATGAACTTTATATTTTACATATGTAAAATTAAAATATACATAATATTTATTGTAAAAATATTATTAAATATAAAATTAATCATTCTCTCTATATGAAAATATATATAATCTTTATATATAATTAAAAAATTCTTAAGAATTAATAATTAATTATTAGTTAATATTAAAAAACAATAGAAATATCTTAAGATTGTATATTATAGAAATATAAAAGACAAATAGAAGATTTGATTATTTTATTTTTTGAGAATAAATTTGTAAACATTAGATTTAGTTTTAAATTCTTTAAATTTTAACTTAAATAAAAGATTTTTATGAAAATGATTAAAGATTATTTGAATAGGATGTGGAATTGAATAAAAAAGAAAGGAAAATGGAATAGATTATGATTTTAAAAAATAAATTAAAAATTAAAATAATGGGAAACGCTGTTTTATGTTAGGAACAAAAGAAAAAACCTACAAGAGGTAAACAAAACGATAGAACTCCAAAAAAAATAGAAATAAGCGAAAGTGCCCCTTAATCTCAAAGAATTTAACAATAACAATAAGTTAGAACTCCAAAACTATAATAAGTTGATAGTTATAATTGTTAAGTTCACTCTGATGAACCAATCAAAGCTGTTTGTATGTGTGAAGAATGTTAACACAATAATAAAATTTTATGTGTAGAATGCTTGATAGATTATCCTTGTAGCAAAAAACTTCGAATTTCAGATTATTTAAGACATTTACGAAGTTGTTTATCAAAAGATGCATAAGAAGCATTTATGGAATTATTTGATGAGAAAAATCAAGTTAAGTCTGATTTGAATAGATAAATTACAGCTGTTATTGAGATGGTATTAACAAAATTGTCTTCTATTGGATAAGAATATGTTCCAATTTTGATTACAAATTATTATTGGGCTTCTTAGAAACTACCATTAAAATTGAAAGAATAGACAATACATTAACTTGAGCTTATTTTAGAGAGTATATTAACTTTTATATAATATGATTATTTTAGATAAGGCAAATGAAGCTCATTCAGAAACTCTAGATTTTGCAATTTATTTAATTTAGAATAGAGGAGTATTAGAGACAATGTGTGAATAAATAGAGAGGAAGAAAAATAAAATTACAGAATTTTCAAATGACTTTGTATTTAAGTTTAATTAAGTAATAAATAAATATTTGACAGCAATAGAAGTAATTGATTAAATTTTATTATAGTTCTTATTTCATTTATTAACTACTCCAATGGAATATCTATTAGATGATGATTAAAAGCCATAATTAATGAATAAGAGAATAGTTTAGAATAAGGATTAATCTAATATATAAAGTAGAATTAAATAGAATGAAGATAAATAAAATATTACATCTCCTAAAGAGATTAAACAAATAAATAATTAATAATAAGAGAAAATAAATTTTAAATGTTTGGCTCATAATTAAGAAGTAAAATATAAATAAAATTAGATAGGTGTTAGCTATTTGTGTAAAATTGGATTGTTAACATAAAGATAGAAAAATGTGTGCAGATTGTTTAATAGATACAAAATGTGTAGATAGAATGAAGATGAGTGAATTTAGTGCAAGAGTAGGTAGAATTTTGAATAAAGAAATAATTGAACAACTTGCTATTCCTTGGGATGACTTAAGTATTCATAAAGGGATTGAAAAGTTATTTAGTACTGCTGGAGATAATATTAGAAATATATTAACAGAATAAACTATTGCTATTAAAGATATGTTCGTTAAATATCATTTAATAGAAGAATCTATTCCTAAAGAGTTGAAAGGATAATTTACAAAGGAATATTTTGATCAATTTATTCATATGATGACTGTATAGTATATTATTTAAATTATTATTTTAGAAAAATAGCATCAAATAATCCTGCTGTTATATTAGGAATCAAATTCATTAACAATAAATAATTGATAGATAATATGTTAAGTGCAATTGTTAAGACTGAACAAGTATTACCTAAAAAGGCTGATAAATTATAACATAAACTTGTAAGTATTAGTTAATTGTTTTTGGAAAAGATATAAAATCTAATGGATCTTTATAAATAACATGGTGAAATAGATGCTATCTAAAAATAATATCATTTATTAAATAGTGAACCATTTTGTTTAGAAGAAAGTATATATAAAATTAAATCTGATGGTAAAAGTTTGAGTGAATGGGAACCTTTTCACTTTTTTAAACCATCTGATAAAAATATAATAGATGTTTGTTTTGTTAATGAAAATTTAGCAGCCATAGCAATTATTGATGGAACTATTATCATTTATAATGTAAATCTAAAAAAACCAACTCAAATTTTAAAACATGGCATATTTGTATTTTCTTTGAGAGCCTTCTAATTTAATGGATAATCAGTTTTACTATCTAGTGGATATTCTCCATAAACAGGTAATTCATTATGTAGTTGGGATTTAAAAAGTCTAAAACCAACATTTATTGTATCTTAAGCTCATAATAATTCTATTAGAAAAATAAAATATTTACATATTAATCCTCAATTCTCATAAAACTTCTTTACTAATAATACAACAACAGCTTAATTAAGTAGTTAAGTATCTTAGACTGGAAGCATGAATAGTATATTTCTAGATATTGATGAATAAATAATATCCTGTTCTGATGATGGTATTATTAAATTGTGGAAAATTGATACTAATTTAAAACTTGTTGAAGAATAAATATTAAAATAAGGATAATAAGTATTGGATTTTACTTTATTAAATGGATGTATATTAGTTTCTGCAAATAATGATAAAACTGTATCAATATCATTACCATTTTCTAATATTAATCCATTTTAATACATTAATGATGATTGTCTTGTTTATGCTGTTTCACCTATTGATTAATTAATTTCAAAAAAGAAATAGTCAATCTAATAAAAATTTATAACAGGTAATGAAAAGGGTATTGCTAAAATATTCTAATGGTAAAATGGAAGAGCAGTAATTATGAAATAACTTAATTTACATGAAGATAAGATTACTAAAATTTCTATGTATTGCTTTATAATACATTAGGTTATAACCAGGATTTATAGCAAGTGTAAGCAACGATAAATCAATAAGTTTAACATTAATACAATAAGCTAAGGTTCTTACTAAAATAGAGAAACATGAATATGGAATAGTCTCATTTGCTTACCTCAAAGCTAATGGATTTATGATAACAGCTGATTAGGGTGGAAATGCTATACTTTGGAGATGAATATTAATTATTAAAATATATAAATTGTTCTACTAAAACTTTGATAAATTATAATTCAAATAAATCAAAAATATTTTATCTTATTTTTTATTTATTTAATCATATTCACTTAAATTTGTATAATTTATAAAATGTGTTCCATTTAATCATTTTTTATACATATAAAATTTAAGAAAAATATAAACCTAATCAGATATTTATTTTGAATAATAATAAAGTAATGAGTTATTTTTCCCTTATTTTTGTTGATATTTACTTTAATTTATTAAAATTTATTTGTTTAATAACTTAAATGAGTGACTAATTAAATTTTAATCTTAAACTTTTTAGAGAAAGAATAACTGATAAATATTAAAGAAACTCATCAAATACAAGGATAGGATAAGATAATTAATTAAGTAGTCAAAGAAAATCATTCAAAAAAAAGTAATTTTTTATTTAATGGAAGTGCTCCAACTCTTGATTTATTATCTAGTAAATTATAAAATTATAGTCTTAATAAGTTCAAAACAGATTCCAGAGTTTGTTCTCCTAAACATTTATCATCTCCTGTCACTATTAATGGTATGCAATAGAAGTAAAAATAAAATTTATTTTAGAATAAAATCTATAACAACTTCACCATAAAGATTTATTAATAATCATTTTGGACATCCTCTAAAAAGTCCTAAATCTACAATTACATAATTTTAAGGTTTTTATTAATCTCCTAGAGCATACACAGATAGAAATGAGTATTAAGAAATTAGAAGATATAACTCAAATAATGATATTACTGAGATGATACCTTTGCATGATTTAGTTAATATGAGGAACAAATTAGAAAATTATGATATTAATGCTGCACATATATCACCTACATATCTTAGTGAAATAGTGAAATTAGCACATGTTATCAATACATAATTATAGAAAAAATGATAATGTTTAATATATTTTTTAAATTGTATTATTAAATATAGTTAAAGAATTCCTTCTCATAAATATAAATCACCATATATTACTGTTAACCAGAACTTAATAAATATAATAAATGATAAATTTTTTTCTGTTTTATTTACTAAATTTAATAGTACATAACATATAATTAATGATCTGAAAATTAGATTAGAATCTATATTCATTTTTTATTCTCTTATTTATTTTAAGAATTTGATAAAAACAAAATATTTATTATTGTTAGATTCTTGAAACTTGGTAATAAAAATATTTTTATAAAAATCCTTAAAATTTAAATTCTAATTTCTTTTTCTTAAAGTAAAATAGTAGCAATAAAAAAATGAAGCTTACTTAGTATTGTAAATTTTAATTATAATCATTATCTTTATTATCATTATCCTTATAGAGATGTTTAATAAAAGTCAGAAGAGTTTAAATAACTAGATTATTTATTGATGCAAATAATCAAAATAGATAGTATTTATTGAATGCTTAATTATAAGTTGTTATTATAACAATTATTTTTTATATTCTAATAAATAATTTTATTTCATTTTAAACAAGAACTTGTATTGATAAATAAATAGAATCTAAGTTATCAAAATTAAAGCTCTTCTTTTGAAGTTTTAAAGTCCTTTGATTTTTGTAAACTAAAATTTATGATAATTTATTAATAACTTTGCTGACATAATCAAATTTTTATTATTATTATTATTCACATATATGTGTCACTAAATTCTTAAGAAACTCTTTGCCACTACGTTTATAAACTTTTTTCTCTTGCTTTATATGTTTATTGCCTACGATATGATGTAACTGGCTTTCGTTTTCCTTTTTCATTTTTTGGAATAATCCTCGCATTAATCATCTAATAGGTCTTTATTTTAAACTCAAATGGATTATAAAACTTAGATTCCAAAGTTTATATATTTTTATTTTTTGGGGTACTCTTTTTTAACATAAAATCTAATTGCTGAATCAATGGATCAAATCTAATTTATCTTGAAATTTCATCTTCACTTGTATATTAAGATAAAGACAATGACTTATAATTTTATCTCCGAGCAGTTAAACAACTACTTCTGATTTAAGACTGAATTTATGATTGACAAAAAGTTTACATTAACTTTAAATTATAAAATTTATTATATTCATTTGATACTTAATTGTAAGTGCTAACCTAATGATTATAGCAATTAATTATAAATTAATCATAACTTACTTAAATTTAAGATCACAGTATATGAAAATGTTAAATTAAATTTTTTAATTATTGAAATTCACTTAACAGATTATTATATTCTTATTTTTTATTATTTAATGTTTTTTGATGCTGAATATTTACTATTTAAACTATTAAATATATTATTAAAGTTATAATTAATTATTAGCTCAAATATGTTATTTTTTATTTACCCAATATTCTATGAATACTTCTATAATTATTATAAATAAATATTTGATATAGTCTAAGTTTTTTTATTTAGATTAAATCTTTAGATCTTTTTATGATATTTCTTAAAGTCAGAAATTTCAAATAGATAAAGAAAAATTAAGAATTCAATCAAGAACCTTTGCAATTCTTATATAGTTCTCTTTAATTTTAGAATTACTTTAATAAAATATTTCAATCATTTTATATTATCCTTTAGTTAAAAGAAAAGTATCATATCCTATTTGAATGATAAAATTATAATAACATTTTATAAAATAATACATCCATATTAATTATAATAAATCATTCAATTTAAATGATTTAGTATATCATTAAAATAATATATTAATAATATTTACTTTTACCTAATTAATAGAAATATAAGTTTATATATGGTTAGTAATTAAATCAAAAATTAAATTATTTCAAAAAGAATAATATGAAGAAGAAATGAAATAATTTGTTTATTAATTAAAAAAAATAATTAAATATAATTAATTATAAATCAAAAATAAATCCATTTATTTTTAATTGTAAATAAGAATTAATTTCATAAATAAAAATTAATAATAACTATCTGTTAATGAACATAAACTATTGCAGTCCTAATTTCTAATTTGAGAATCGAACTCCTCTCAAAGATTATACTTCTAATGTTGACAATATTAAATAAGCTAAAAATAGGATAGCTGAATTACAACATATAATCCATGAGTTAAATAAATCTAATGGAAAAAAGTCTGTCTCACCTTTAGCAAAAAGTCCTGTTAAGGTCAATGTTCCAATTGAGTACCATGGTACATCCAAAAAGTAAAGTCCAAGATTTTAGACTCCAGAAACTAAATAAAGAGAAATAAGAATAGTAAGTGAAAATGTCAAAATGCAAACTGAAAACATTTTTGAGCAAGGAATCCTTCAAGGTGTATTACCTGATAATTTACTTGAAAAATCAATTGAAAATTATATTTTATCAAAAGTACTTGGATTAGGTTCATATGCTATTGTAAGATTGGCATAAAAGGGATCATTATTTTGTGCTATAAAAACATATGAAAAGGCTAAAATTAATGATCAACAAAAACGTAAAAATGTTTGTAGAGAAGTGAAGATATTATCAAAATTAAGACATCCAAATATTATAAAATTGGTTGGAGCTTGTGAAACTCAAGTATAATTACATGTCATTATGGAATATTATAGTGCAACTTCATTAAATTCTTTCATTAAATAATAACCATAAAAGAAGCTTGATGAAAATGAAGCTAAATAAATTTTTATCTAAATTGTAGATGCTTTAAAATACTGTCATCATAAGAGTGTTGTTCATAGAGATTTAAAATTAGAAAATATTCTTATTGATCCATTGAATAATTAAATTAAAATTATTGATTTTGGGTAAAATAATTCTTATTCTTTCAATAGATTTTCAATTGCTATTGATCCTTCAAGTAGACTTAACATATTTTGTGGAACACCATCATATATGGCACCAGAAATAGTTAATAAATAAACTTATAGTTTTCCTGCTGATGTTTGGGCATTGGGCATATTACTTTTTAAAATGACAACAGGATAATTTCCATTTAAAGGTAGTGATGATAAGGATTTATATAAATCAATCAATAGTGGAAAAATTGAATATCCGTAAAATATGTCTTTCCAATTAAAAAATTTAATTAAGAAAATCTTGAATACTAACTAGAATGAACGACCTCCACTTAAAGAGATAGCTTAAGATGAATGGCTTTAATGATTTTAAAATACTTATTATTATTTAATATATTCTATTTCATTTTTATAAAGAATTTATTATAAATCTAATCATATCTATTTTCAAAAAAATATATATATGCAAAAATATCTTATAAATTAACATTAAAATAGTTGCATCTTTAATGTAAATATTAAAGTCTCTTGTTAATATAATGAATAAAATTAATATTTTTTGTTTCTATGAATTCAAAAATTATTCTATTTTCATCTAACACTTATCATAACAATTGACTTTTTAGGAATTTCATATAAGATTGGGTTAATTTGAGTCCATATTCTATATTAGGTTAATTCTAACACTAAAATATTGATTCTATATAAATCTTCTAAAGAATTTCTAGATTAAATTCAAAGGAAGTATCATCATAATTATTTGAGGGAACAAAATGATTCTTTTTTTAACAGAAAACAAAAATGGTTTTAAATCTTGGTTTATTATTTTTTATTCATCTTTTTGTTAAGAACTTATCAGTTCTACGGTTTTTTGGCATCTATAAAAATAGAATGAATTAGTTAAATTAACAATATTTTTATTTACATCAAATATTATTTTATGGGAAAGGCTCACAAACAAAAAGGATATAGATTAGAAAATGCAATATCCAAAAAAGGGTTTGTTGAATTAAGAAAATTGCTAGGAATGCCATAATTTGAATTGCCGCATGAAAATAATAATATTATGAAAATCTAAACATTATAATTAAATATTGATAATGATGATAAATGGATCAATACATATGTAATTTTATAAGCTTATTTTATTAGAAACCAACACCTGAAGTTAAATTATAAAAATATCTCTTACAATGTAAGAATAGCGATTAATCGATTATTTCTTCTTTAAATAAGGTTGATCGTTTTCTTAATCAATAAGGAAGACATAAAAATATTGGATAAAGCAAGGAAGAAGATATATAAAGAAAATAAAATAGTTTAAGTACTGAAGTTTAGTTTTCTAATAAAATTGCATGAATTGATTATTTGTAATATTTATAATTGTATCTAAATAATGCTTAAATCTTATATTTATAAGTATAACCTTTTACTTACATATTTATTTCCAGTTTAAAAATGGTTGACATTCAAAATAAAAAGCTTTCTTAATTTAGTATAAGAGTGCTTTGAATGATGTAAATTTATGAAATTATTATCCAAATCAAAAATTTGAATAAAATGCATAACCCAACTTAAAATATATTTCATCAATATTAAATTAGATCCTTTATAAGAATAGATTTTCTATAATAATTAAAAAATTTTAAGTATATATATATATATTTTTATCCATATTAATAGGGTAAGACATTTTTGATAACATAATTTTTTTGTATAAATTTTTTATATGAATCAAAAATCCTAAGAATTTAATTAATTATTGGAACTTTTTTATTTTGTTAAAAATAGTGAAAATTAGATTATTTAATGAAAAAATACAAAGAACTATTATACTTTTTATTAAGGATTGATTTATAAAAATTATGATTCAACCATAAGTGATATAAAGATAGAAATTACTTATTAATTGTAATTATTTCTATTATTTACTTTTCTATTATAAGATTTGTTCTTTTATAATAACTATTTCTTGTTGTTTATATCTTTTATAAGTTAAGATTATTTATCTCATTTTAAAGTTTAGCATATAATCATTGTTTAAATAGAAAAATAAATTAATACTTTAATAAAAATGAAATAATTAATGCTTAACATGGTTAAAACATATAAATAAATGAACAAACCTGATGATAAACAAAATGTTAAAAAATATAGCAATATACAATATCCAGAATGCAATTTAGGAGGAAATCATAGTGGAGAAATATTGAGTTTAATATGTTTAGAGAAAGAGTGTTAATAAAATTAAATATTATGTTGTTGTATTTGTTAAGAGGAACTTCATAAAGGACATTAATTAAAACCACTAAAACTTCTTTTATGTGAATATGATTAAAAATAAAAGTAATGTAATTTCAAAATATTTAGAGAATTTTAAAGTATCACCTTAAAATAAAGTGAAAAAGATCTTCTTGTAAATAAGATTAATGAATAAGAAATTAAATCTTTAGAATAAACTCAAGATCTCTAGTAGTAAATTGTTTAAAAATTGAATAAAATTTAAGATCATTAAAAATAATTTTTTGAAAATTTACGAAAATTAGTGAAATTAAGAGAAATAGATGATGGAAATACAAGTAAATTAAAAATAATGATATTTTAAAGCTTTGGTAATTGAAAATATTATGAATAATTAAAAGAATAGTTAATAATTTAGAAAATTTGTAAAAGAGCTATTAGATGCATTAATAATTTAAGATTTACCAGATTAAGATCTAGGTTATGAGGAATTAAATAAAGCATTTGATTTCCATATTTAAGATTAAAGTGATCATATAAAGTAACTAGAGAAATATATGTTTACTGGTGTATAATAATAGATAGAATTTCTAATATAAAAGACATCAAAATCTGTATTCTAATAGTCCTATAATTTTTAATTTTTGCCTAATAATAAACATCCATAGGTAGAAATAATTGAATAAAAAATTGTTAAAGGTATATTGATTATAAATATATATATTTTAAGCAAGTAATTCTACTCATGGTTACAAATTTGCTGTTATGAATCCAAGCTTGGATAAAAATTAGGTTACAGTGTTTGGATTCAAATTGAATGTATATATAATTTAAATAAAAAGAATGTTCATACAAGTAATTGGTTGGCTGTTGGAGCTTGTCATTTATCAATTGTTTAGAGTAAATAATTTGGATTTGCATTTCAATCATTAGGACATGGAGGATATTTAGTATCATCTAATGGTGGTGCTTGGTCAAGTACAACTGCAAATTAAAATAATGTTGTTAAGTGTTTCAAGTTTGGTAAAGGTGATGTTGTAGTTTGTACTTATGATCCTAAAAATGAAATAATGATTTTTACAAAATAGAAAGTAAATTTTTTATTTATTTATTTATTTAGACTAAAACAACATTCAAATTAGATATACCAAAATCAGATAATGATCTATTTCCTTGTGTTCTATTTTATTACGCCTTAGATGAAGTTGAATTCATATCATCTGATGCAATAAATAAATTATGAGTATTATTTGGATTTTATTATTTATATTTAAAATTATGGATAAACTTTACGCATAAGAAATAAGATAGAGATATCATTCTTCTATGACTTACTAAGAATATTTGGACACTTATGATAAACCTCCACCTACACCTTAAATTAGGTAATCTGTTAAATTATTATTAATTTAAGACCTAAAGAAACTCCTTAATTATTAGAACCATTAATCTTAGAAGGACATAGAGGTCCTAAAATATATTAATAAAAATTGACTGTCTATTCTCCTGATGATGTAATATTTGAAGAATCTGAAACTGATGAGTAACCAAAGGCACTAACTCATATATCATGTTAAAGAGCATTAAAAGAATATGTATTTAAATAATAAACTTAAGAATGTTAGAATAAGAAGTTAGAGTGAGAATTTAGGATTTTCAGTATTTAGATTTTTGTAATAAAAGAAAAATAAATTCACATGATTCATGAATTTTTATACATTGATTTCTTTTCAACACTTCTCTAAAATTGGTTGTCTACTAACAACATTATTTTTTAGCAATCTTAATAAATTATTCACTTCAAATTTTTGATATTTTAATGATTCTTTGAAATCTATAAATATATAAGGATAACGATTATCTTTATATTATAATTGTTTCTCTAATTTTTGAAATATTAAAAAATATGTACAATAAATATTTTATTCATTTAATCATTTTATATTTCATCTTTCTAATTTAGACGTTTATTATATTCATGAATTTTACAATTATATTTTATTCCATGTTTTCTTAAATAGAATTATAATATTAAAAGTTTCAAAGTATCAAGAGATAGTGTTAATTTTATATTTATATTTAAAATTAGAAATTGATAATTAAATACTAAATTAATATAAATTTCATTTTATTTTTAATTTTAAATAGAGACTCTTTATTTTTTTATTTAAATCATATCAATCTCCTTCATTTTCTGAATCTTCTCCTAAGACTCTTTCAAGTTCTGATTTAACTTTCTTTAATTGATGATTTTAAGGAATGAAAGAATTTACTCTTGCAAGCTTTTTCTCTTTATCTTTCTCATTATCATTCTTTTCTAATTTTTAATTAATTAAATCATTATTATTGATTAATTAAACTATTATGTTTATAAATGTTATAGTTAAACCACTACATGAATAAAATATTTTGCTTATTTGTTTATTTAATCCAAATAATTTTAATCTTCTTAACAACATCACAATTCTAAGAGAAGTTACTATAAAATTTAATTATTTAATTCTTCTTTTCTATCTACTATTAATTAAACTATTAGCACATTATACTGCAATTGTATCTTCATAAATTAATTTATCAGGTATTTCTTTTATTTCTTTTACTAATTCCATTTCTTTATCATAAATTATCTTATAATAAAAAAATGATTTTAATAATTTTAATAAAGCTTTTGCTAATGAAAATGAATCTTTATATCCCTTTATAGTTGATTTTGCTTTTAAAGATACAATTTCACTATAAATATAATTACATTTCTTACTTCAAAACACCAATATTAATACCCCAAATAATGTGATCCATTATATAATAAAAGAAATTACATATATGCATAATAGATGTTGTGATTTTATAATATTTAGGTTTATTTTTTGAATGAATATTACTTAAACATCTGATAGAATCAAAGAATTTTAGAAATTTAAATATCTTTCTTCCATTTTTCATTGACTCTCTAATACGTGAAGCTATTTTTTTAGAAAACATATCTGATGAAGCAGCTTAAATTTCAGGAATATTTGAAAATTTAATGCAAGCTTCATATAAATCTGCTAAATATTAAATCAAACAACAAATCTTATCCCTCCATTTTGTTGATTACATAAATAAGGAAACTATTGAAACCTTTTCTAATTAGTTTTTAATATCACTACTTTTCTTGCAACGTATTATCCAGCAACAATTGTATTGCTTGCTCTCTACTAAATTGCCACATTAAAATAATCAGCTAAATCCTTAACAGAAGCAATGATTCTTTTCATATAATTATTAATTTAATATAATTATTTTTAAATTCTAATTGTATTCTATTTTTTCCAATTTTAGTATACAGATTAATTAATAATAATTATTATTTAAATCTAATTAATAATCAAATAGATATTACTTATCTTTTTCTAAATAATTATTAATTCTATATAAATATAATTATTAGTTTAAATATATTAATCATCTAATCAGTTTTGTTATTTTAACATTGGAATTATTCTAATATAAAGAATAATAAAACTATTATATTAATTATATATAAAATTAATTATAAATTATGTTCAAAAAAATTAGAAAATTAATCTTCAAATAAATATTAACTAAGCTTTAATTACTTAATATTTTGAGATCAATTATAACAAATATGTTTTTAATAATCTTTTAGTTATAAATAACTCTCTTAATCATGCAATTATTAATGAAAAGATAATAAAAAATATGTAGCGTAATTTTACAAAATAAAATAAATTGATAAATGCACTAATTGGGAAAATCTGAGAAATCTATTAATTTTAAAGACTATTCAATTCTCAAAAAAGTGCAATCTTTATCTAGACATGATGATGCAGATAAAGACAAAATTTTTATGCTTAAATAGAAAAGTTTTGATTTAACTACTAGAAGAAATAGCTCAAATTTAACCTAGGATTTTGCAAATGAATCAATATTAATTCATAGAATCACAAATATTCAAAAGTATTTTTATATATTTATACTCTTAGTCCAAATAAATATATAGGAATGAATTTATTATAATAAAAGATCTGGGAGAGGATATAGAAATTTTAATAAAAATATATTGTATTAAATTTATTTCAATGTTTTAGGATGATTAAAGTAATTTAATAATTATTGTATTGAAGCCAGATTAAGAATATGAGTTTATGTACAACATATCTAAATTATCATGTTTTTCCAAAATTAAATATTTAACAAATAGTTTAACTAATCATTTTTATGAACTTACTAAGATTTGTAAATTTGTTAATTATTAAGTTATAGAATTATAAGACCCATATTTATCAATGTTAATAGGAAAGATAAAAACATAAAAATTAGATAATGATATGAGATTATTTGAGTTGTTAAATATCATAATGAATGGTAAAAGACAATTAGTCTTATAAAGCCATATGTATAATTAAGTTTGAATAATAATTTTTTTTTTATTACTTTAAATTGATAAGTTTATTGAATTAATATATAAAGTCTTTAAATTACAAAAATCAGAATTCTTCATCATCAGTTTCTTAATTAGAATCATAACTTAATGTTTCATTTTCCCATGGGTCAATTTTCTGTTATTTAATCTAAATAAATTAAGATCTAGTGTGAACAGTCATTACTACAGAATTTTGGTCATAATTATAATCACTTTCAAGATTAAAGTATTTCTCAAAATCACAATCTATTTATTCTATTTATTTAGGAATTTCATCATCACTTTCATCATCAATTACCTAATCATCTTTTTCTAAATTTTCAGTTTCTATTTCCATAGTATTTTATTTTAAAATTTAACTCTACTTTATGAGTTATCTCAAGTAACCCATTTTACAATCATATAATTCTTCAATTGGTTTGATTTCTTATGCTTTTCTAAATATTAAATTACACTTTACTTTATTAATTAATGATAGTCTTCTAAAGTTTTTTTAGGAATCCCCACTTCTTCTGCTGCTTATTAGAGGGTTAGCTTTTTTAAATTTCCTTAGCTATCTTGCTTTCCATTTTAAAATAAATGTCTCCATTCCTTCACTTTTTCAACAGCCATCTAAACTGAACGCTCTTTTACTCTTTTAAACCCAGACGAGCAATTATATTATTTCATTTTAAATTAATTATTAATCTAAATTTTTTGTTTGCCTCTTAAAGCATATTATTAAATATAAAAGTAATTCTATTAAATTATGCTCTTTTACTCTCGAATTATTCATAATATGAATAATATTTTAAATTATTTAAATAGTTTCTTCATTTTTATTTTGAAAATTAAAAAAAATTAATACAAAGGTGATGAGATCGAAAGTAACAGAATAATTGGTTAATAAATTCTAAATAGAACAAAAATTTTAATAAAATAATTAATTAATGGCCTCATTTCTAAATTCTAATTTATGAGGAAATTAAAAAAAAATAATAATTTAATTTATAATTAAAACATTTATATGTTTATACATTATTAAATAGATACAAAATCCTAATAAATATATAGAAGATTGAAATAATTTCTATTTACAAAATTTACATACTTATAGTAAACATCATTTTTCAACATTTTTATCATCTTCTGATCTTAAATATTCTCCTAAATCTGCTTAATTAAAAACCACAACGGTAGTGGGATCTAAATCTTTACATTATAATGTTGATCTTGATGCTACACCAAAACCTAATGGATTCTCTTATAATGAAAATAAGATGACATTTGCATACTATGGTATATTTTCAGACATTTTTGCTAAATGTGCTAAAAGAATAATATTGTAATATACCCTTAATCACATGATTTCCGTATAGATAAGATTGTTCTCCATTAGATTTTAACCAAACTTTATGTTTAGCATATTTTGCCAAAATCTCTAAACAAGTGATGTTTAATCTAAATTTTTTAGTTTTTGTGAATTTTCCAAAATATGTGCCAACACTTAAATAATTTTAATTTAATACTGTAATAATTAATCTTTTCCAACATTGGTTGCCCAATTAGCAATTTACAATGACATATAATAAACTTTATTCTTGATCAATCTAAAAACATGAGGATCATCTTCATTTTCAATTAATAGTTTGATATTTGCTCCTATATATTCTCCCAATTTTTCATAAAATATTTTAGTTTCTTCTTCATTTAATTACCTCATAATAAATAATTTAATAAATTAATAATACAAATAATATATAAAATATTTTAGAATATCTGCAATTTTTTGAATCAAATATTTCAAAAAAAGTGAAAATAATTTAAATAATAATTATTGTAAAGTATGTATTATTATAGTATAGATTTATTATTAGATAATAATAAATTTATGAAATCAAGGAATCTTTAATAAAGATTTTCATATTTTGAATTCATTAAAAAGTTTATCTAATTCGTAAAAATGTCTCTTTATTAAATGCAACGATTATCTATATCTTCCCATATATAATTATTAGTTTAAAGAATCATATTAAATACATTTCTCTACACATTTTTGATCTTAATCTAAATGCTCATAAATATATTCTAATTAATTAAATGATTATAATTACATTTATATTAATATTGAACACTTAATATCTAGTTATTATCATTCTTACTTATTGGTATAATATTCTTTATTTCTTTAGTTATTTCTTCAATCTAAAATTTCACAGTTTCATAATCTTATTCTAATCCCTTTTATAAATTTCTTACTATTTCTAATTTATTTAAAACATTAGTATATCTCATATCCTTTTCCTTCTTCTTTCTTTCCAATTCATCAATTTCTATCTATAAATCATCTTAATTTTTCAATTATTATTCTAATTTTATTTATAGTCTTGAATATTGTAGTTAATAATCCTATAATGCATTTCTTCTTAATTCTGGTGAGAAGTTCAAACCATTGAAATATACTTCTGTTGGATTCTTATATTATTTAATGTTTTAATCTAAAACATTTACAAGATCATATAATTATTCATTATGTATTTCTACTTATTTTGTACCAGCTGGTTTAAATAATTGTCTAAGTTTTTTTGCTTAATCTTAATCTTTTCTATAATATTCACTTAAATCTTCATCTTCTTCAAGAGATTTTTGATAGTTGATTTTATCATTCATATCTTTCAACTCTTTATTGGACTAATCGATCATATATTTCAACTTATTTAAATTGAATATTTTCTTATTTAACATCTTTTAATCTTACTCATTTATTTAATATTCAATTATCAATGATTTAAGCATTCTTTCTTCATTATAAAGATTCTCTAAATTATTTTTCTTTTCTAGATATAGTTCATGCAATTTATTTCTTTTATTCAACAAATTATTCATATAATCAACTATTGAACTATCATTATTGGTGGTTGAATTAAATTTATTTAGAAATATTTTGAGATCTTGATTTAATGACAATTAGAGACATTAATCTACTTAAATCTATAATTCATTATGTTATTAAATAAGGTTATCTAACTTTAACCTCGAAAAATAATCTAATGCTAAATTTAGTTATGCTAGTTCAGATTGGATGGGTAACCAATTTTATACAGTTTCTATGCCAAATTAATCAGTGTCATTGTAGAGAATATCATTCTCTATAAAGTATTTAATTTCTTATTCAGTCACACTTACTTCAAAAATTTCGAAAGTATTATTCTCGATTGTATTATTTGGAGGAATTAGTGCAATTAATAGACAAATCATCAGAAATATAATAAGGCTATTTGTCTTATTGATTGAAGAGTCAGTTCTTTGCATTTTTAAATTTAATATTATATTATAGTTGTTTATTGTAATTTAGAGGCTTTGATGGTAACAAAGTACTTTAAAATTTGGATTTATCCGTTAATTGAATTTATAAATTTATTTAAAAAATAAATAGAATTTCAATGCAAATTTAATTTCTCATAAAAATCTGTTTATATAAGCAGTTGTAACATAATCACAAAATAATCTTGCTTAATTAGATATCTAAGTTAAACTTACTAAAGGATCTTTGAATCTATATTTATCAATTTATTTATTTGTTAATGATAACTAAATAATTGCATAAGTTTTGCTTTTGTGAACTATAGGATAAATGAAAATAGGTGCTATTGAATACATATCAATTATTTCATTGTAATTAAGTTCCTTAGAGATATTTGCATAATATGCTGGTTATTAATTGATAGCCACTTATCCACATATTCTAGCTATGTTATCTAATTTTTTAATATTTTAATTGTAGTATTTCCATAAACAATTATCTTCAACAAAGACTATTTCACTTGTTGATAATTATAAGATTTTATTTTGCATAACTTTTACTTATTCACAAAAATGAAATTTATCATTTGCCTTCATTAATTTTAAAAATTCACTCTATAACATATCTATTTATTTTAATAAGAATTTTTAATGAATATCTTCATCTATTTTTTAGATTGTCAATTTAACAAATAAACCTAAGATGGATGCAAAATATTAAATATCACTATAATTATTACTATGAGTAGGATGAGAAAATTCTATTACACCAGCAGGTAATGCTTAATCAGTAATAACAGGAAAGATGTAAGTATTATCTTAGAATAAATCTTCTCCTTTATCAGTTTAATACATCATATGTTTATGTGCTGTTAATTTATTGACTGCTTCTCTTGATTCAAGACTATCTCTAAATGCTCCTTTAGTACACATAATTTTTCTTTATTTTCCATCACTTTCATTAATGAAAAATCCAGTCTAAAAATCTCTTAGCCATAGATACATATGAGAAACTTTAAAAAAACTGGAAAGTGTTGTTATAAAATTATACATTTCATTAAAATTAGTTAATTATATTAATTAACCTAATTTTACAATAAAATTATTTTATGTTAAACTGAATTCTCTATAATTTACCATATGATTAAATAACCATGTTAATTACATTTTTTTACTTTCTTAATTTAATGAATTAATATGTTGAATAAAATCTTCAGTTGAAAATTCCAATGCTGATTATATAAATTCTATTTATAATTATTTATATAAATTACATTTACATTCCTAATTTTAAAATACATGACGAAATAAAAAATTTTTTGGAATTTCTGTGAATGTTATAACCATTTTCTCTTAATCTATAAATTCTTCTTCATTCTATGTTTTTCCACTTATATAAAATCTATTATTTAATCTTTATAATTTTTAATTTAATGCATTATTTGTCATCTAAAGTCTTTACTATTATGTTATTTTTATTACTTTTAATAATCTTTCTATTTTTAAATTGCATCTTTTTTTATATGTTCATTTTCAGATAATGCTTCAATTAAATTATTTTTCAATTAATCTTTTTGTAAAGTTATATTTGACTCTAAAATAATTTAAACCCTTTATTCTGATCTCTTTAATTTCTTTGCTATATAATTTCAATATACATCTTACAAGTTTCTTCATTTAATTTTTATTCAGCTAAAAGCTTTTTATTCAAATTATTAATATCAATCTCTTGCTATTTAATCTTCTCCAATAGTACTGTATTTTCTTTTTACATTTTTTATATAAGTGAATTAAATTTAAACAATTAAGCTTTCAAATAAGATTGATCATTTTTTAACTTCTCATTTTCTCTAACTAATTAATTGTACATTATCTCATTATATGAAACCTTTTACAAAGTACTAACCATGTCTTGTAATGACAAACTAATTGATGATATATCTTTTGTTGTGAGAGAGGCTGATTGAAGCTATCTAATTTTGTTACTCAATTATTCATCAAGTCCAACCATACTATTAATTCTAGCATGTAGAGTCTATAATATATTTATAATATCTTACTTGATTTAATTCATCTACACTTTTTTAACTTATTCTTCGATACTATGATCTATCTGTTAAAGGAGGAGCTTCTATTCTTTTTCTAGACATAAAAAGTTCTTTTATTTTTATATTAAATATATTATTATTTCAAACTCTTTATATTAATATATAGGTTCTATTTTTAATATTATTTATTAATATTAAGAATATTTTATCAGATTTGTTGTCTGTTGTTAAACAGCTATATTTTTTAAATTTAAATAATTTTGTTTATTTTATTTAGAGAAAAAGATATAATTAAACATTTATTGATTACTTTATTAGAATGAATTAATATATCAATTTATTTTAATGAATAAAGTTCTATAAAATATAAAGAATTTAAGTCATAAATAATTCTTGTGAAATTAGATGACTACAATTTTAATATAAATTTAGATTGATAAAAAATGACCATATAGAAGATAAAATTGATTATTATTTTTGTACATAAAAATATAAAAGGTTTTATGTTTGAATAATTTTATTATCATAATATTACATTAAATCCGTTTTATTGAATGGAGAAGTCTGAAAGACGATCATTAGGAGGGACAGTCACAACATTGAGATCATCTAGAGGTGCTGTATTAGTGAACTAGGATGGATCATACGCATATGGTTTCAAGAATGTTTATTTTAGTTTGTCCAATGAAAAATGAATCAATAGTATAAAGTGAAAAGGTAATTTAAGAGCCACAATAAATCATGTTACCAGTTTTTGGAGATGATGAACTAGCTTTTTATATCAATCCTTAAGACTTACCAGAATTGGTTGATGAAGTTTTGGACACTTATTTAACACATTCAAGAGTTTTTCTGGTTTTTATGTGTGTTTAGATGATAGTGGAAATCATCTTTGATTCAATGGTTTGGATAAATTAAGACAGAATTGAAAAACTAGTAAGTCTATGAGAATTTACATAAGCTAGCTCTAATTTACAACAAGGTGCCATTAGATGATATCCATCAAATGATAATTTTATGCTCATGCATAAATATTATATTTTAATGCATATATTATGCATCAGGAATTTCTGGTGCATGGCGTAAATCTTACAAAACACTTAATGTCTTTGGAAATTTATCAATTTTAGGAATGTTTTTACAAATATTTCTATCTTACACTTATCAGTAATTTTAATATTCAAATATAGATTCAATATATTGGTATTTGCATTTAGAGTGTTGTCATGTATTTATGCAAAGTTCTTGAGTCACTTGATCCTCAGTTTGATCTTGTTACCTCATTGAAATTTATTATTAATATAATATGCGCTAATAATAAGAAGTATTTAAATTTATAATCTATAAAGATGAATTCAATAAATAATATATATAATTAATATATTTGATTTTGATAAAATCAATTATATTTATTATCTATTGAATATTAGAAATCTTTTATAAAGATCTTTAAATATATATAATTATGAAATATTAAATATAATAAAATTTATTAATATAGTGAAATTCAAAAATAATAGATCATTGAGATTCTTCAAATTATTCCAATCCTGCAAGATGTATGTTCTCATCAATACTTATAGCATCTACTAATTATAAGATATTATTATTATAAATCTCTTTCAAAACTAATTAACCATCTTCTTAAGGCATCTCAAAAACTTTTGTACTTGGACATTCTTTATCATCAACAGTAATTTTAAATAAACTAATATGAATATATTTAATTTTTACTCATCTTCATAAAATACCTCAATGTAATATGATTTATCATTTATTATTTTATTTGATTTATAAAGCATAATTTTTCTGGATGGTTAATTATTTGGTGTGTAATTAGTTTAAGTAGGTAAACAACCCATAAAACTACTCTCTTTTATGATATTTTATATTTACTTGATAGATCAATGCTTTTTTATTTATATGAACTTTACATCCTAGACCTTTTAAGTGGATATTCAGCTATTTATTAGACTAATTATTATTATTTTTAGGTTTGCTTCAAAATAATTTTTGTATTATAATTAGGTTTTTTAGTAACTAATCTGTTCATTAATCTTTAATTTTCAATTGTAATTCTGACTAACTCTTTTTTTCTTTTTTCTTTATTGAGTGATTATTTCCTATGAACTGATTATGATTAATTAAAATTTGAGGCTGTCATATTATTATTTTACCAATTAGAAGTGGCTCTTTTGCGTTCATTATCTAATTAGAGATTAGAATATTACTCATAATATTTTGAATCTTTTCTAATAATATACGATTTTCTCTTTCAATTTCAGTAAATCTCTCTTCTTATAATTAGAGTTTCTTATTTTAGTTTTATGATAACCTTTCCATTTAGGTTCTAACTGTTAATTGTTTTTAAGTAAAATACTTAAAGGTTGTGCTATCTAAAGATTGTGTTTATGAATTTATCTTAATCGTTCTTTTTCATAATTATAACATAATTTATTTCCTTTTATAAGATCTCTATCCATTTAATATTTAATATTTAATAAATAAATTATTTTTTGTCACATTATTTTACAAGAACAACATTTTGAGTGTTATTAATCAATTACTTGAAACTGTTCATGTATTCGATATTCTACTTTAATAATAGATTACCTTTCATTTTAGAATTATTATAAAACTCTTTAGAATTATTATCAATACTAAAATATTCAGATTCTTTGAAACTTTAAGTACGTTTTGTAAGAGTAGGTGGTCTTTATATTTATTAAAACTCATCATTTGGCTAATTAATTTGAGCTTTAGTATTTATAGGAGGCCAAAAATTAGTTAGATTTGGATGTTGACCTCCATATTTGATTTCTATTTCTTCAGCTGGAATTAATTCCTATAATTTATAAAAATCTGTAGCTTTTAGAAAATTGATTTTTGCAGCAGTTTCAGGGTGAATAATTTCTATTATAAAAATTGGAAATACTTTCAATTAATTTCCATGATGAATTAAAAAAGAAGGAAGGATTCAAAATAAACATTTTATGCAATGAACTAGTGAAATTGATTGAAAAGAATTCATTAATCATATTGAGAGTGGAGAATGGAAAATCAAATAATCCACTACCACCACTATCCAATATGACTATCCAATTTTCAACATAACCACGAGTATACATAAATTTAGTTACCATATTTCCAATAGCAGTTGCTGCATTTAAAAGAGTGGGTACATGAAGTTTGTTTTTTGAAATCAAATGTAATTATATATATACAACTGGTCGGTATTATGGATCTCTTCCAAATTAATAAATGTAGCCTTATTTCTAGATTGAATATTTATTAATTTAAAACTAAATATTATTCAGCCTCTGGAGATAAGACTTGATAATTTTCATCATTAATCCATTCCAAATGTTTTTGTAACCTTTAAATACATTTACTAATTTCAAAACCTCCTGAATAACAATATTTAAGAGTCAACTCTTAACACCAACTAAAGCTTTAAAATAATATTACTCAGGAGGTAATGTTAATTTATGTTATTGGATACTTTCTGTCAACTCTTTTATTTTTTATTTTTCATATTCATCAAATTCTTAATGAAAAAATATTTTTCTAACATGACTTTTCCCCTCTCCATGTTTTATATAGTATGCTATATATAATATAAGATAATATACAATCATGTTTGATTTAATATACATCAGCTGGAGGTCGCAGATAACTAAAATCAATCATAATATGTTAATTTTTTTATATAAAATAAATTCTTAACATTATATCAAAATGCATATGGTTTGTTTTTCTTCTATTTTTTTACCCTTTATTTACCTTACAATTTTAAAATATCCTTATCAAAATTGCTATTGTATATTTTAGAAAGTTCTTTCATATCTAAATTACTAAAATTTTGTTAATCTTCTATTTCTTTTTCATCCTAACTTGAAGGAAGGTCATGATCAAACAATATTGTAGTCCAACCCTTTGATTTAATTTATCCTGGTCTAACATAATGACCACGAAAAGTTCTTAATTTTTATTTTTCTGTCGGAGTTATTCTTGCATGTGCCATTTTATTACATACTTTATGTACAGATTTTGAAACAACATCATATCCTTACAAAACATTTTCATTTTCAATATTTTATTCTACATCTTATAAATTATCTTATATTTCTTTATTTGTTTGATCTTTTTACTTTTTTGATGCCTTCTTTATTAACATAGAATATTCTTAATTTTCTTGTAACCCTTGACATAAATTATATAATTAATATTTTGATTGCCAATCAGATTCTAATATAATCTTCTAATAAATTTCAGTCTTCTTATTCAACTCTATAGATTATTTCAATAAAGGATGTGCTAAAATGACCAATTCCTTATAATAACTGATACTTATTTATTTTAATTCATTAACATAATCCAAAAAAAACATTATTCTCCTAAATTACCATCTCCTTAATAAATTTTTATATATTTCATAATTCTCATAATTTTCCCTTTTATTGAATTCTTTGTGAATTTAAGCATGTAATAATAATAATTACTCTAATTTTATTGCACATTATTTTAATTCTTAGAATATTGGATCATCTCCAATATCATTTACATCAACTGCTCTCAACATTATATGGATTGAAACATAAGATAAACGATAATTATCCTCATCTAATCTTCTATATCTTGTCTTTTTATCATGAATATACATTTCCTAAAATAACTTTATTGCTCCTCTTAACCATTTTGATATTGTTTTTGTATATCTTCCTAAGTACATTCTAAAATATCCATAATTAATTTTACCTCACTCCTGTTTATTATGTAAAATTCTATAAACCACCTTTGTTATTTCCTCTACATTTTATTCCTGTTTCATATAGAATCTTTGCTTATTCCTCACTTAGATTTTCCTTATATCCTGTCAATGTTTCCCATCTCTTTCTCAATTTATATGTTTAGTTAACTTAAATCCCTGTTGTTTCAAAATAGACTCTTGCAACTTTTGTCCAATGTCTACAATTTTCTCCACCATGAGCATCAACTATTTATAAAAATTCTTTCTTGAACTGCTAATCTTCATGAAACCCTCTTGTCATTTTTATTTTTGATATATCATATTGCTAATGAATATATTGATCTCTTATAGAATCACATATATATTAATTAAAATAAGGAATTTGTTATATTACAAAGCTTTTAAATTAAATTTTAATATTAATAATGTCAGATTCAATTTTCTTCCTTTATTTAAAAATCTTCAACTTTAGTACTCTGTGATACGTTTTTGCGATTCTAATAAAACTATCTATTTAATCGAAAATTCAAATCAAGGTCAGTCTTATGTTATGCTACAAATGGCTTAACCCATTTAAATTAAGCGAAGAATAATCTACAAATTCTTCTTCCTTTCTTTGATTTAATCAATTACTATATAGAATTTCTATTGAATTTCTAACCATCCATTTTTAAAAACTTTTTTATATAAGGTTCTTAAATAATCTCATTATCCTCAGAAAACTCTTATAGAATAAAATTGGCTATCTTTTAGCCCATATTTTTATAGTAATTTTTGCTTTAACCAGGGTATAAGTAGTAGGAATTGCTACATTGAGTTACCTAATTTTTAAGATTATTCTGATTTATTTTTTAAGTTTCTTCTTATTCTATTATTTTCTCTTTTTCTTCATTCTCCTCTTGTTTTATTTAAATATCATTCATTATAGTAAATACATTCATCAATTAAACGTAATAAAGAATCTGATATGGAACAATAACATTAGTATTAAAGTTTCTATTTTATTTTTCAATTGCAATTTTCATTTTATAATAAATAAGTAATCAAAAATGAAATCCTATTAAAATCCTCCTTAACTCAACAGAAATTTGTTATTATTTTAACAAAAATTTTCAAAATTAATTTCTTGTAGTTGATTAATTTTTCATATTTCTTCCTATGAATATATAAATGTATTTACTTAGGAATTTCAATGATAAAAGTTTTACTCTAACTAAATTTTTGTAAACTATATTTTACTTAAATTTTAGTATAAAAAAATTTGATAGATTTTCCAATTAATTTAGTTTAAGCCTTAGATTATAATATATCATAATAAAAAGAAACTTAAGTAATTGNTATAAAAATTCTTTCTTGAACTGCTAATCTTCATGAAACCCTCTTGTCATTTTTATTTTTGATATATCATATTGCTAATGAATATATTGATCTCTTATAGAATCACATATATATTAATTAAAATAAGGAATTTGTTATATTACAAAGCTTTTAAATTAAATTTTAATATTAATAATGTCAGATTCAATTTTCTTCCTTTATTTAAAAATCTTCAACTTTAGTACTCTGTGATACGTTTTTGCGATTCTAATAAAACTATCTATTTAATCGAAAATTCAAATCAAGGTCAGTCTTATGTTATGCTACAAATGGCTTAACCCATTTAAATTAAGCGAAGAATAATCTACAAATTCTTCTTCCTTTCTTTGATTTAATCAATTACTATATAGAATTTCTATTGAATTTCTAACCATCCATTTTTAAAAACTTTTTTATATAAGGTTCTTAAATAATCTCATTATCCTCAGAAAACTCTTATAGAATAAAATTGGCTATCTTTTAGCCCATATTTTTATAGTAATTTTTGCTTTAACCAGGGTATAAGTAGTAGGAATTGCTACATTGAGTTACCTAATTTTTAAGATTATTCTGATTTATTTTTTAAGTTTCTTCTTATTCTATTATTTTCTCTTTTTCTTCATTCTCCTCTTGTTTTATTTAAATATCATTCATTATAGTAAATACATTCATCAATTAAACGTAATAAAGAATCTGATATGGAACAATAACATTAGTATTAAAGTTTCTATTTTATTTTTCAATTGCAATTTTCATTTTATAATAAATAAGTAATCAAAAATGAAATCCTATTAAAATCCTCCTTAACTCAACAGAAATTTGTTATTATTTTAACAAAAATTTTCAAAATTAATTTCTTGTAGTTGATTAATTTTTCATATTTCTTCCTATGAATATATAAATGTATTTACTTAGGAATTTCAATGATAAAAGTTTTACTCTAACTAAATTTTTGTAAACTATATTTTACTTAAATTTTAGTATAAAAAAATTTGATAGATTTTCCAATTAATTTAGTTTAAGCCTTAGATTATAATATATCATAATAAAAAGAAACTTAAGTAATTGTAAAGTTAATGATAAATAAAAAAATTATAATAATACTATATATATTTTATTAATAATAAAATTATATAATATTTACAAAAGATAATATTAAATTCTACTTGTTTTTATATTAACTTTAAGGGATGAAAAAGAGATAAAGTAAGATAAAATACAATATAATTCATGATTATAATTGTTCATTTAGAAAACTTAATTTAGTTGGATCAGGTTCAATATTATGATTTTTTAAGATATCTAATAATTCCTTTTTTTATCTTTCAAGTTCATAAATTCTTTTATTGAAATGTGTATTAATTTCAAACATATCTTAATACTTCTTCTCCAATATATCAAATTATACTTATACTTCTTTGACTCTATTTTACTATAATCATAATAAAATTACTTCATATATAACCTTATCTTTGTGTATAGTAATTTCCTTTTTCATATTATCAATTTCTTCTACATTCTATCTTTTAGCTTCTAGAACTTTGTTAATAATAGATTCCTTTTACTTTATAATTTCTTAGAGTTCTTTATTCTTTAATTATATTTTATATAAATACTTTCTATTTCGATCTTCCCAACATATCAACTAATTTTTATACTTAATCATCAGATTACTCTTTACTTTTTAAGGCTTTCTCTCTAATTTAACTTTCCATTTTGAACAATGAACTGTATGTATCAATATCTTTTTTAATTTGTAAGAACTCATCCAATAATTTAGTTGTCTATTACTCAATATCCTTTTATTTAGGGAAAAATATATTATTATATCTATGGTTTTCTTCTTCAACATCTTTTAGTTTTTCTCTAAGATTTTAGATTAAACTGAGACTTCCTTTAGAGTTAGCCATAAGTTCATCTATTTCTCTAGTTTTTCTTGATAAATTAACTTCTAATTCTTCAATAACTTATTATAATCTTTTTATTTCAACAAATTCATTAGATCTTTTAGTAAGTTTCAATTCATTTAATTATTTAGTTAATTTTTCATTTTCATCAACTAATATTTCAATTTATTATCTTAAACTTTAAACTTATTTTTAATTATTAGTAACCTATTTTAATGCAGCAGGATCCATTTATAAATTACAATAATTTAATAAACTTGTAATTAAATCATCATAAGTATCCTTTAATAAATTAAGAAATATTCCAATTGAATAACTTTCTTCTTTTGATTCTAATTAATACCTCCATACTCCTGGGATAGTTTCATTAATAAAATCAATTTCTTTGAATTCCAACTTTTCACTAATGATTTATCCTTTTGTTTATTTAGATTCAATATTATTTAACAAAGCTTTAATTTATGCATGAACAAAAGGTTCATTTCTTATATTCATATCTTTCCATAAGAGTAGTTTTCGATGTAATAATGCTTTAAAAAATTATATGATTAGATTATCTCTTAAATTTAAAGTTTTAAAGAGCAATTCAAAATAATTTGTTTCAGGCGTCAATTAATCCTTAATTGATTCTATAAACTTAACTTTTTAATAGAGAATCTTTTCCCAAAAAGAATCTGGATTTGAATTTTTATCTTTCAAACCCATTGTATTTCTAGCAATATTTAATAATTCAGTTAATTCATAATTCATTAAATCTAGGAATCTTAAAAAATATCTTTTTTATTCTTATAATTTTTCAGCTCCATCTTTTATTTGAATTGAGGATGGATTCATATTTTAGATATAATCTTATTAATTTCTAATTGCAGGCGCTAATTAATCAAATGCAACTTTCATTTTTTCTATATTCTCTGATATATTCTTCTTTTCATTAATACCTTATCTGGCATATGAAATTTATTATACAATTGGTTTTATTGATTACATTATATAAATTGTATAAATTTTAAAATAAATGTAAAATTAATAAAAAAAAGCACATACATTACTTTATACAGAAAGACATTAATCCACAAATGATTTGATCTCACCTAGAGGAGAAATTTAAAAATTATTATCAAAGTCTCCTTTATAAAAAGATAAATTAAATGAAAATAGAATTAGTAAAACATCATTGCATGAATTAAAACAGTTTTATTATATCTAATTAATTAGATCTCATAATATAGTTATGGAAATGCAAATGAAAAAATTAAATATTTAAAGAAGATTGGCTAAACTATTTAGAAAAGTGTATTTGATTACAATATTTCTATCTATAAATCAATAATATGATAAAAAGATAATCAATTTTAAATTCAATTAAAGAAAATATCACTACCTTATTTATCCAGTATTTATATATTAAGTATATAAGCCAAGAATGATGGTTTTAAAAAATTTTGGGATATTTTTATGTTATTCATTTTGATATATTCCTCCATTTATACACCATATGCAGTAGCTTTTGAAAATGATCTATTAGTACATGAAATAACTCAATATGTTTTTTCTGTTATTTTTAGTAAAAATATAAATCAATAAAAGGCACAGATTTAATAATATTAACTAGAATGTGTTATTATGATGAACATAATAATTTAGTGTAAGATTAAACTAAAATATTTTTTAATTATTTGAAAGGATGGTTTGTAATTGATGTTATTTCAATAATACCAATACCTTTATGTTAATTAATCAAAGTGATAAGAATTAAAAGAGTTTAAGAAATTATAAGTTCATCATCTTTAAATTAAAATAAAATGTATATTTTTATTCTAAATTATATAGTATAGAATTTTGGTTCAACTTTTTAGATCTAAAAAAAGCTACTTTATTTTAAATTTTATTTTTTAGTTTAATTGGATTTCATTATACAACATGTTTATGGGCCTTAACAATTCAATATTCTTAAAAAGTCATCCCTAATTATCTAGATGCTATGTATTGGGCAATGTAAACTTTATCAACAACTGGATATGGTGATTCAATACCTAATGGACCTCTTGAATATTTATGTGCAATAATTGGTACATTTAGTGGTGGTATTTTGATGAGTTTAATTATTGGGAATTCTAGAAAAATTCTAGATGATATGGATACTGAAAGTTAATTTAATAAAACTGTTAATTTATATAAGAATCTGTTTAACCAAATAATTATTTTTTCTAAATACAAGGATTAAATTAACAAATTCCTTATTATTAATCATAAATAAAACTTGTGTTGGACTTTAATTTAAGAAGAATGGTTTAATCTTATTCCAAAAGATCTTTAAAATAAAATATTACTTTTTGTGGCAAGGAAAGAATTATTAAAAATATCATTATTTAAAATATCTATTCCATTTTCATTGAAGATTATTCGCCATATTAGTTTGATGAAAGCAAAGGCAGGAGAATTTATATGGCTAAAAGGAGATCCTGTTGATGAGATATACTTTTTGATAGAAGGTTTAGTTTAATATAGAAATTAATATGGAAAACCATTATTATAGATTAAAAAAGGTGTAATATTTGGAGAGTAGGAATATTTTCTAAAAAAATAAATAATTCAAGTATAATAATAACGATAGCATTATGCTATGGCAATTTAAGATTGTTATTATTTGATCATAAATCAATAAAACTTTTTTGTTAATCTTAAGTAATTTTAAGCATTATAATAATATTTATCAATTCTAGCATTACATAGATTGGATGAGATGAATATTCAATAAAAATAATATGAAATTGAAGCTAATAAAGTAAGATTGAATTAACAAAGATTAGAACTAATAAAATAAGCAAATAGAATAGAAATAAGAAATTGTATATTAGTACCAACACACAATTAAAATATTATTTATGAAACTAGATAAAGTAATACAGAAGGAATTTTAGATAAATTATTAAATAACAAAAAATCTAAAATCTTAATGCTTATGGATAGATTTAGAAAAGTAGTTTAAATGATCATCTTTGCAAATAAAACTTTAGAAATGAAATTTAAAAAATAAAAGGCAATGTAATAATTAAAAAGGAAAGTTAAACCCCATTAAATTGTACCAATCAGTGTACTTATTAAAATAAGATAGAAATTCTTACATATATCACATATAAAGAAAATAGCCTTAGAAAAAAAGAATGAATTTAATAAAATAGTTTTAGCATTATCATAAAGTAAAATTTAGAATTAAGGTTGTTTTAAAAGATTAAGTAGTTCTAAAAGTGAAGAAACAAAGTATGCTCTTATTTTGAATCATAATCCATAGAAATTATTAAATGAATTTTTTAAATAAATGAGTGTATTAGAAAAAAGTTTAGCTTTATCATAATGGTTAGTAAAAGAAATATAGAAAGATATAAATAATGAATTGATAAACATAAATTAGGTATTTGAAAACAATGATTTAATAAAGAATTAATGATTTACTTATTTATAACTAATGTTAAATAATTATAAATTAATATTTTTAATTATTCTAAGAGAATGTTTAGAAAATTTATGAATATAATTACTATTCCTTTAATAAGATATAAGAAACCTATATTAGGTGCCAGCTTTATTAGTTTAACAACGTTCTATTGCATTGAAGATAAAAATATATTAGAAGCAAGGAAAAAAATAGAATAAGACATTTTAAAGATGAAATCTTAATTTGGATCTGAAGTTGATATATATCCAGAAGTTAAGTAATAAAATATTTTTAATGTATATATAGATATGGAATGAAAGGAAATAGATATTCTATCACATTTACAGCAGATTAAAGAAAGTGTGACATATTTGCACTATTAGTTAACATATTAAGTTAACTATAAAAATAGGATGGTAGTTTTAAAATAAAAGAAGTTATCTCAACATTTGAAAATTAAACATACAGTTTACAAATAGATTTTGAGGAAAGTGTAGGAAATCCAAATAATAAAATATTAACTTAAGGAACAATCTATATTTATGGTGAAATGACAAATGAAAAACCCTCAATTTAAATAATATTAGAAAAGACAGATTAATTTTCAAATGTAGATTTAGAAGCATTTATGGCTTGTTATGTAGAAGCAAATAAACCTAGATTTTTATCTCATTCTAAAACTATTAAAAATAATCAATAAGTCTAAACAGAAATGAAATAATAATAGGATATGAACTCTGAAAAATCATTATAAGAATTAGAGAAGGCTGGTGTAACTATATTTATGCCTGAAAATAAAGAGAGAAATTTAGATTGGAATTATTTAGCTGGTTATGAAAAGTAAAAAAGAGATATTGAAGATACAGTCTTATTGGCATTATAATATCCAGAAATTTATGAATCTCTAACAGCCTTAACTAGAGTAAAAAATGAACCCAATAGACCAAAAGCTATATTATTTGAAGGTCCTCCAGGAACAGGTAAAACAACAACAGCAAGAATTATGGCTTAATAAGTTTAAATACCTTTGGTTTATTTACCAATAGAAAGTTTTATGTCAAAATGGTATGGAGAGAGTGAAAGACAATTTGCAGATATTTGGAAGAGTTGTTAAAAATTAGGAAGAGTGATAATTTTTATTGATGAAATAGATGCTATAGCATAATAAAGAGGAGGAGAAATGCATGAAGTATCAAGAAGAATATTATCTACTCTTTTGAGAAAGATTGATTCATTTGAAAGCAATACAAATGTACTATTGATATGTGCAACCAATAGAAAATAAGATCTAGATGCTGCTATGTTAAGTAGAATAGATTTATCTGTTAAATTTGATTTGCCCGATTAAAAAGCAAGATAAGATATCTTTTAAAGATATGCCAAACATCTTACTGATAAAGAGAGAGATATACTTAGTTAATTAAGTAATGGGATGAGTGGAAGAAATATATCAGATATATGTAAAGATGCTGAAAGAAGATGGGCAGCAAAATTAATAAGAAAAGAAGTTACTGAGTAATTACCATCATTGGCATAATATAAAGAGACTTTAACTTAAAGATTAAATAACTTTGCTTGAGTGTTTGATATATAAATATATTTATTATTTTATAATGTCTTAAAACAATAATCGTTAATTGTAAGCAAGACCAAATAGAAAAACTGAACAAACTTTTGATTTCTTCAAAAACACTAAAGTTTTAACCTGCAGTTATATCAAAAGAAAAGGAGATGATTTCATTGCAGTTCCATTCTATTTTAAACCAAATTAAAGAAATCCAGATTATTTGAAGTATAACATATATTTGATTAAGCAAATCAATGTATTCAACATCAACCAATCATGATGCATATAACAATAAAAAAAGATGCTTTTCTAGTATGAGAAACAAACCTTTATCACCATATAATCCATTAGCTCATAGAAGTAGATTAGCAGATCAAAGTTTAAGGATATCTTCCAGCAATATGTGTTAAATAGAAATAGGAGATAGGTTATAAAAAATATTAATCTTAGAAATTAGAGAATGATTAAGCATTATGTAACTTAATATAAGAATCAGTTGGGTAATTTTGGAGAAACCACACCTTGTTCAAATCCTTAGATTATGGCAGAAAGAGCTAAATGGAATCATAGACTAAAGGATAAATGACTTCATATTAAATTTAACAAATATTTACTATAAACAGATTGATATCTCACCAAAACTTTTGTATTAAATATTTAATTAGAATAAACATGATTTCGTCATCAATATTTATATAGAGTTTTGTAAAAAAAACATTAGATAAATAATAAAACATAAATATCCAACAAAAATGAATTTTATTATATTAATATAATGCAAAACACTTAGAAAAATAGAGATGATAATAATTCATCTAGAAGTAGAAGTGAATCTCCTTTAAGTCAAGAAGAACAAGAAAGAAGAAAGAAATTACCAGTATATGAAAGGACGTTGGAAGAAAAAATAATGAGTAAAAAAATCAAAGCTGTTGAAAAGGATAGGTTAATTAAAGTGTTTAATGCACTAATATAATTAGAGCCTAAAAGAATAGAATAAGAAATGGATGGTAATAAGACTACAGAAGGGGATACTAAACTTGGAAAATAAAAAAAAAAGAAATCTAATGAACCCAAATTTTCAGCCAAAGCCATTTATGAAATGATGAAAAAATTAAATTACACACCAGGTAGAGATGAAGTAGAAAAGATGATTTGGGAAATAGATGAAGATTTGGATGAATAAATCAGTTGGTATGAATTTCAATTGATGTTCAAAAGATGTATTAAGGATATTTCTTATCTAGAACCAAGGTATTATATTGATAGAATTTAAGAGGTTTATTTAACTTTGTATAATTTTTAATGTATGCTTATGATAAAGAAGCTATAAAAAATACTATAACTGTCGAAGACACTTTGGAATTATTATATGTGAGATGTGGTAGATAAAATTTAGATGGAGAAATATTTAAAATATTTGGTTAAGATGAAAAAACAGCTGATGGATAAGAAAAAGAAATTACATATTCTGATTATTTAATTTAGATGAAAAAGAAAGACTTTAACAATTGGACTGAATTAGAAAATAAGAAAAAGAAATATGATCCTTCGAAAGAACAAATCCTTAATAAAAAGGATTGATATATTTATTATCTAGATATAACCATTCATTTCTTATAAAAATTATATTTATAAATTGGAAAAATCTAATTGATATTTTAATATTTCAAATCATATCATTTCTAATAAACTCTAATATTGCCCTAATGTGGTATCATCATTTATTTATCAATTTAACAGAGTTCTTACCATTGTCCATCCTTTTAAATAGCACTTTTGAATATCTTAGTAGACTTTTTTAAGTTTATTACACACAAATAACCATCCCCTGAATAACAAACTATCTATTTATTATTTAATGGTAACAATCTATTTAATCATAATTAATTTCTACCTATAAATTACATCTTCACTAACTTTATAATCCCTTGTTTTGGTCCCTTTCAAAATTTTTATGCTACCATCTCCCATTCCAAGAGCATACTTCCCCTATTTAATTTATCCTATACAAAATATTGGAATTTAGAACTAAGTTGATTTTCTTATTGTTTGACTTGCTAAATCAATCTAATTATTAATTATAATTATACAAAATTCATTTAACCATCTTAACCAACTGAGACCAATTCTTTATCTAATACAAAATCTGAAACAGGACCTTAATGAGCATTAAAAGACTTAAATTGTTTTCTTTCTTTCAAATCCCATAATTTTATAGTACCATCTTAAGAAGATGAAATCAAGTTTCTTAAAGAGTATGACTATAATTTAGATATTCTTTATGTATGACCATTAAGATTATAGATTTTTAATTTAGACTACAAGGAGAAAGCTGTTATAATACCCTATCCTCCAGCAAATAAATAATATTAATCTTATAATTTAGCTACTGCTAGAGCACTTAATCCTTCATTTGCCTTCATTCTAAAATCTAAAGAATAGTTTGGCTTTAACCACCCAACTATATTTCCTGTATCACTTCCAGATATTAAATGAGTAGGACTTTCGGTAATAGATACTATGGAAGCTTCAGATTCATGTCCTCCATTTAAAGATTTAAATCTATTTTATTTAATCTTATCCTCTATATCATATAAATATTCAGTGTTTGTCTTATTCAATGTTTTAGTTGCATCATCATATAATTATTGGACATCATATTCAAAATTTTATAATCTAAAATTTACCAATATTTATTATAAAACATTTTTATTTAATAGATGAAATTTATCAAAAACTTGCTTTATTTCATTTACTACTGTTTTATCAAAAGATTATTTCTCTTTAAGCATTGAAACAGCTGAATCATATTCTTATTTATTTAGATTAAGATTTTTCATATTAATTAATTATTAAGCCCAGCGATTTGATTAATTAGAATTTATAATTATTCCTTACTCTTATAATATAAATGCTAATTATTTTTGTTCCAAATCTAAAATGTGATGTTTAAACTTATTTTTGGCTTTGTCAAAAGACTCATCTATGTATTTCAATAATTTTGAATGTTCAGGAAAATAATGGCAGGTAGCTTTATGTAATTCAGGATTGAGAATATATGATAATTCATTTTGAAATTGTTTGATTTCCATTTTCATATTACATTTTTAATGTGTGAATTAACAATCACTACATAAGATTCTTGAAGAGTATTTACAAACATCTTCTAAACATACTCCAGATATTTATTTCTTATGTAAATCACAAACTTATTAACTTAAATTTCTAGTTAGTGTTTGTTGTGTCTGTTATTAAATATTCATTAAAGTATATTGAAATAAACAAAAAATAAAATATATTAAATTATTAAAGATAAAACTAAATTCTTTTAACTTGATAAATATAATTGAATTATAAACACATGTAGAATTTATCTTATTATCAAACATAATTGACTATTCCAATTAAAATTACATCTTAAAAAATTTAGTGAATTGATTAAAATCCTGTTTGAATTATAATATCAATTGCAAATATACAACTAATAATTAATTTCATCGATGATATTCTAACTATTTAATAATAAATTATACTTATTCATTAGACAATATCCTGCAAATATATGGGCAAATCCATATAATGATCTAACTTTTAAACTTAATGAAACAAATTATTAAAGATTTTTCATTCCTAATTAACGAACAGATCTGTCATAATGCAACTATGTCCAAGGGTCTGTCAATAACGATATTCCATATATTGCAATGTATATTCCAATCAGAAAAACTCCTAAACCTTTCATTCTTTATTAAGAAACTCTTAAAATATTAATATAATATTTAATAAATAATATAAATAAATATAATAAAGTAAAAAAAAAAATAATTAATAGATAAATTTGTAATCCTTTTCATAAAGTATGATTTCTGAAAATAATTCAAATTCTTTAATATAAATATAAATCTTAAATTATTCAATAGTATGATTAAGGTCTTTATTATTATTATTATTATTATGTATTTTAAGGTATATTTTATATTGGTTTTTTAGATAAATTTTTTGCGTCCAATACTTGATAATGTAGTTATTCATTTTCCCTTTTTAATTTCTCATTTTCTAATTTAAGTTCTGAAATTTATTTTTCCAAATAATTAATTTATACATTCAATGCCTTTACTTCCCCTTCACCTTATGCTCTAATGACTTGTCTATCTCCTTCTGCTTTTGCAATTTTTTCTCTTAAATTCATACATTCTTTATTCATATCATCATATTTTAATTAAAAGTGATAGAGTTTTTCTTCAGCTTACCTTCTTTACTTCTAACTATCTATTTATAAATGATATCAATACTTTATTCTTCCATCTTAGCTTATTCTAGATCTCTTTGTAACTATTCAACCTATTTGAGTGTTCTTTATAAATGGTAATCCTGTATTGCATTTGTATTTTCAACTCTATCCTCTTATTTTTTGAACTTTCTATAACTTTATGTTGTATATGTAGTTGAAGATGGATAATACATAAGAATCGTTAATTTTATTATAAAAATCAAATATATACAATTGAGATTGAAAATTATTATATGAATAATCTAATCAATTAATAAAAACAATTTATTCCATACAGTAATATTTCAGTTCGTATTATAAAAGTAAATTTATAGATTATAATATAATTCATTAATCTTTAATAATAATTATTATTTAAATAGTAAATTAATCTTACAAAAAGATATTATTATAGAATAATTATAAATATATTTATCATTTACAATTTTCATCAGGATAAGTAATTAAAAGTAGAATATTAATCATCTTCCTAAATAAAATCTTCTTCGTATATTTGTTCTTCAAATGTTGTTTTTTTTTCTATAACATTATTTTTATTATATTTTGATAATAGGTTAGAATATGGCAATGGTTTTTTAAGCTCATTTTTTAACAAATTAATTGCATCTAAATATTATTTTGTTTAGTTTTTGATTTTTTTGTTATTTTAAATGTAATTGATAATTTCTTTAGAATTTAGAAAATCTTCCCATGCTTTTCGAATTAACTAATAGTTTTTATTTTTTGATAGTCTTTAATGAAAAATTAATTTAAGATCTCCTAACTCAAACCTCTTCTGTTTTGAGCTTTTGGAATCTTTCAATTTCTATAAAGTATGAGTCACAATGATTAGATTATCATCATTTTTATCCTTAGACCACTTAAGGAATTGATTCATAAAGAATGGTGATATTTTTCTTGAAAAATCATGAGATATAATTGTATCATTAGCAGCCTTTTGAGATTAAATCGTTTCTACAAGCTTATTAAACAATTCAGTTTTTATTTTTATGAGGACTTCTGTTTCACATTCATCGATTACTTAAATACAATACATTAATTTTATTAATGAATTGAAAAAAATAGAGATTTTTGTTAAATTTTCATATTAATATTCAATTAATAAAAATCAAAAAAATTATTCTATAAGTTTTGCTTTGATGGATTCTCCCAAATTCCCAATTAAAAAAAATATATTATTAAAAATTATTAATAGTGTATTTTTTATATATAATAAAATCTTTTGTTTTAGTAGATTTAAAATTTAACTATTAAATTATGTAGGTGTTCAAATCAAAACTTTACAAATATCATTTACAACAATTTCTTTAGGTAGAGATAATTAAGATTGAAATACCTATCTAGAATACTAATTCCAACAAAATTTTGGGTATAAATCAGTTGTCCAATAGATTAATTGCTTGATGCCTTTTATGCATTTCTTTCATTTATAATATTAATTATATTGTATCTATATATTCATCAGAACATTTTTTTTATAAAATTTTATTTATGGAGATTAATAATATAATATAGTATTAATATTTTTATATTTAACAGATTACATAAAACTCTTCATTCTATTACATATAATGCCATCTTATATTCAGTTGTGTTGATTAGAGAGGTTTAGTTACCAATTCTTCGACCTCCTTAAGGATGATCCAACCACATACTAAATCTGTATGGATTTTCAGGATCTACATTATCTGCTAATTAAAGATTAACATTTTCATTTGGAGCAAATCCAATAGAAATTCTTGGAACAAAATACCAAAATAAATCTTCACTTGATCTACTTTTTCTTGCTTTTTCTCTATTTGATGTAACAGTGAAGATTTCAAATACATAATCGCAAGCCATTAAAGCAAAATGAGTAGGTTTTTAAGCTGAAATCCCTCCAAAACATGCTATTCCAGTTAAACTTACAGAAATAGACAAATTATAAATTTATTCATGGGTTAGAGATTTATTTAAATATTAATCTAAATATAATGTAAAACCTTGTAACAATGCTATTGGGTAATCTAATTAAATTTTTCCTAATAAATATCTTTAAGCATTAAAAAAATGTTTATTTAATAATATTCTATGATCTACATACTATTTCACTTCTTAAATGGTATTATTGAATTTAGAATTAATTTCATGATAATAATTATCAAATTTATCTATCAATACTTTATTATCTTAATTATAATTTAGCTCTTTTTTTTAATTTATTTGATTTATTTTTTATAAACCATTAAAATTAGAAATTTATATTTGAGTATTTGATACTTATTCTTTCAAATTATTCAATTCTTAAGAAAGCATAGTTATTGTTTGATTTTATAAAAGTATGATCTCTTTAAATTATTTCTATAATTCTAACATTTCTACTTTTAGTTTTTAATTGTATAATTTTAAATATTCTATTTCACTAGTTAATTTATCATCCATCATGTTTTTAATTTCTTCTATTTTAATTATATTTTCTTATTGGAAATCAGATAACTATTCCTTAATTAAATTTATATCTGATTCAATTAGAATAGACTCTTTAATCTATATTTATTTTTAATTTGTTTATGTTAAAATAGAGAATTAATTACTTATTAATATAAGTAGAGTAATAATAAGACTAAATTTAAAGAGTTTATTTGATGAATATGGATTTTCTAACTTTTTAAGTCTTTCTTCAGCTTATGTTATTTTCTCTTCTTAACTAATAGAATAATATAATTCATACTTTGTAAACATTTTTTAAAAATCAAGACCTTTTTTTGCTAAATTCGTTCTAATCTTATCAAAAAGTTACTTTTATTTATTAATTATATCATTATGAAATTTTTCATCATTCCTTACATAAAGCTCCATGATATATTTTTATGTTTAATTATTGTATGATTTTGCTTCATTCAATATTCTTTAATGAAAACCCAATTCATTTACAAACATTTGAATTTGATTATCAACTTCTGCTTTTGCTAATTTAATGAAGTTTTAATCATGAAAGGGGAATTTTTCAATTTTTTATATTTGCTCTTTTTGAAAATCAAAACATTTTTATTATGCCTCTTGAAGAAAAAGAAATCTTTCTTGATATTTTGATTCTAAATGATTTAAAATATCTTTTATTTCTGTAAAATCATCTAAATGACGAACAGTTTTAGTATTTTTAAATTTATTAATTCCTTTTGCATTTGTATGTTATGATGTTAAACATTTGTGGCATTGCAATTAATATCTTTTATTTTAAATACATTCTATATTTGTGCAAATAAAAGTCCTATTATGATGTGTTAATTTACACACCTCCTATTCCCCATCTTGATTTTACATTTCGAAGAAATAAAAATTTTATAAAGTATTATTAATAAATATATTTCAAAAATTCAAACAAAAGTTAGATTAAATAAAGTTATTTAAATAGTTTAATACACAATCAATAGAAATGATTTTAATAATAATAAATATAAATATATAATAAATTAATTTTAACTATTTTAATTATATATTTTATTGTAAAACTAATTAGAATAAATTTTCCTGGATAAATTCTCCTTGAAATAATGTGCTTTATTTTATTTAAGAATCACATCTACATATTATATGTACAGAAATTATTCTCTAGATGATAAATACAATTAAGAATTGTTAAATATTGTAGAAGCCTTTGGTGGAGCAAATTGCAAATATTGGACTTAAGTTGCAAGATTATTTTATGAAAGAACAGGACTTGCTGAAACTAAAAGTTATAATCTAAAGAAAAGGTTAAAATATAAGAATTTATATATATATAGATATTAAATATTGACAAACTATTGTGATAATATAAATTTGGAATAAGAACAAATCTTATATGAAACTGGAATCAAATGTAGAGGATTAACTAAGGCTGGTTTATAAGAATTCTAAAATAAAACTGGATGTAAGTAAGTGTACATATCAATTTCAGTTTGTATCTTGGGAGATACACATAAAAGATAGCCAGATTTCTATAAATAGGGATAAAAATAATTTCCTCTGCTTATATTCATTTGAAGAATATTAAGAAAAAGAGATTTGGATCTTAATTTCCTAGAATCTCATATGTGGATATTAATATAATGTTGAAGGCAGCTGATATAAAGGAGAAAATAGATGATCCAATTTTTATTGAATTATAGAATAGTGCCATCAAATTAGAATAATTATTTTATTAACATGTAAAATGTTATGATAAAAACATGGATGAGAGATATGATCATTATATGAAAGTGGCAAATAGATTATAATTTAAGAAATTAATGTTTTTTTTATATTTTTGTGGAGAATTAAAAAGAATAAGTTTGAACATTTTTGATAATAATAGTTGTTTTAATCATCCTTTGATAAAAAATGATATTGAACTAAATAAGTAATCTATTTATTATTAATTACTAATATCTTAAAATGATTGGAAGGAGAAGTATGATCTATTTTTTAATTGTACTAATCAATTTTAAACAAATGATTAATTTTCAATGTTAATTAAATAAGCCAAAAAAGATGAAATAGATGAATATGATCTAATACCTAGAAATTAAAAATAAATTTCAAATAAAGTAGCTAATGCATAAATAGAATGTATTGGCAAATAAAAGAAACTTAGATATTTTAGAGGACATTATGTTTAAAAAGGTTAAATAAAAACAACAGGTTAAACAACTATATATTTTGATCATGATGTAGACTCTGAAGAAATTGAGAATGAAGATTTCGAAAAAGAAATTTAAAGATAAAAAGAAAAAGAGGAATTAGAAAAATAACAAGAATAATTTATTAAAATTTATAATTAAATGTTTTCTAAGGAAGAATAAGCTGATTAATTTAAGGATTAAAAAGATACTCAAAATCATAAAAATAACAAATTAAAAAAAAAAACAAGAGTACTTTGAAATATATTTAATTAATTATTTATTTTAAGAAATAGTCTATTAATTAATTAATTTCATCCTCATTTTTAAAATATGATATTATTAAGATGAATTAAAATTAATAATCTTATTAAAAATCAAATTTATAATTAATATTCAATGAAAAATATTTGAGTGATTATAAATGATTTAAATATGTAATAGGTATTCTTTAAATTTTTATTAACNGATTTGGATCTTAATTTCCTAGAATCTCATATGTGGATATTAATATAATGTTGAAGGCAGCTGATATAAAGGAGAAAATAGATGATCCAATTTTTATTGAATTATAGAATAGTGCCATCAAATTAGAATAATTATTTTATTAACATGTAAAATGTTATGATAAAAACATGGATGAGAGATATGATCATTATATGAAAGTGGCAAATAGATTATAATTTAAGAAATTAATGTTTTTTTTATATTTTTGTGGAGAATTAAAAAGAATAAGTTTGAACATTTTTGATAATAATAGTTGTTTTAATCATCCTTTGATAAAAAATGATATTGAACTAAATAAGTAATCTATTTATTATTAATTACTAATATCTTAAAATGATTGGAAGGAGAAGTATGATCTATTTTTTAATTGTACTAATCAATTTTAAACAAATGATTAATTTTCAATGTTAATTAAATAAGCCAAAAAAGATGAAATAGATGAATATGATCTAATACCTAGAAATTAAAAATAAATTTCAAATAAAGTAGCTAATGCATAAATAGAATGTATTGGCAAATAAAAGAAACTTAGATATTTTAGAGGACATTATGTTTAAAAAGGTTAAATAAAAACAACAGGTTAAACAACTATATATTTTGATCATGATGTAGACTCTGAAGAAATTGAGAATGAAGATTTCGAAAAAGAAATTTAAAGATAAAAAGAAAAAGAGGAATTAGAAAAATAACAAGAATAATTTATTAAAATTTATAATTAAATGTTTTCTAAGGAAGAATAAGCTGATTAATTTAAGGATTAAAAAGATACTCAAAATCATAAAAATAACAAATTAAAAAAAAAAACAAGAGTACTTTGAAATATATTTAATTAATTATTTATTTTAAGAAATAGTCTATTAATTAATTAATTTCATCCTCATTTTTAAAATATGATATTATTAAGATGAATTAAAATTAATAATCTTATTAAAAATCAAATTTATAATTAATATTCAATGAAAAATATTTGAGTGATTATAAATGATTTAAATATGTAATAGGTATTCTTTAAATTTTTATTAACTACTATGAATCCCAGATACAATTATCCAAAGAGATCTGTTTCTAGTATGGATAGATAATAAATACTAAAAGCCTTAGGAAGTAATCCATCTGATAAAGATATTGAATATATGGCATAAGAATATGATCTTAAGTCACGTACAATTAAGTCTTGGTTAAAGCAAAAATATTAAAATTAAATCAAAACCTCTGAATCAGATGAAGATTTTTAAAGCAATAGAAAAAAAACTAAAGCAGATAAAGATCTTCTTGATTTCGAAAGAAATTTTAATTAAAACTCTGATGTTTATCACTATGAAATAACAAGCATGGACCTCTTAAAAAATGACAAAATCTTGTATTAATAAGAGTCAGAAAAACCTTAAGTTATTCCATAATAAAAGTTACATTCAACTCCTTAATAAATTGTTAAACCCTTAAGTAGTAATAATTTTTTTACCATGAAAATTGATAAACAATAATAATAATCATAAAAATTTTCACTATAAAATTTTGATGCTCTATTATTATTATTAGATTAAGATGATGAAATACATCATTTGGTATCCTTACTTAGAAATTAAGAGAAATAAATTGAAGAATTGAAAAAAACTCAATCAGAGATCCTAGAATACATGTGTTCACATTTGACAAAGAAACCTAAAAAAATTTGATTTAAATTTTATAAAAATAATAACAATTTTATTATTTGCCAAATAATCTTTTAATTAGATTGATACCTCAAAATTAAATAATACTAAAATACAGAAGGAATTACAAATTATCTTATAAGATATTCAATCATTATTATTATATTTTACTATATTATATTAGTTCAAAAGTATTTGAATATATTATCTATAATAATATTATAATGATTGGTAATAGTTAAAAAGATTTTATATCTCTAAACTGATTTAATATAAGTCCTAATGAATAGGAAATTTATGCCCAATTTAGATTTACTTTTGCCAAATATCTTCAACACAGATATATGATAATTTCTGTGTTGCTTTTTTATTGGCTTAATTATCTACATAATGGAAATAGAAAATTTAAACAAAAATAAACCAAGTGATTTGCAAATCATAAGCCCCCTTGTGTTTATAGGTTAGTATAACTAGCTTATATTTATTGGATGTCTTAAGAAAGTCAGGCCATTCTAATCAAATCTAGAAAACCATAAAAAAATTAGTCATTTAACTCAAATTTAAGAAATTTAACTTCACTCCTAGACATTCTTGTCTCCACAACAGTCTTAATCTGAGGAATGAACATTTCATTAAACATCAACTACACTCTCTTAATGTAGTCTGTTAAATTAACAAACTTAGTGGAATTCTTGATTCTCTTCTTAGGGCAACAAACAATTCTCAGACCAGCATATTATGCCGACACTTTCTGTCCCAAAAGAAAGGAGGACTTTAACCCCAGGGTTTGTTTATGTAATTGCTTACATTCGTGTATATGTGCCCCGATAACTAAGCAATTTGCAAAATCTTTTGTTTATTTTTATTTAAATTATTGAAAAATAATCACAAGTTAATTTAGTCAAATAATGTAGATATAAATATTTGAAAGCTTTTAAAATGATTGATAAGAAAATAATGATTGTTTTAAATATGTGATTATAATATAGATTTAAATAAATTTATTGGGTTGATTATATTTATAATTTTTTATCATAACAGACAAATATGTTTAAGGTTCTTATTGCACTTAAATCATAATAATAATTCAAGTGTACAGTAACTATGGGAGGAAAAACAAAAGTAATAACCTTACCTTAAACTGAAGGATTAACATTTAATGTAGAGTATTATAATTAATATATAATAAAGCTAATTAAGTACAATCTAGTTAAAATATAATGATGAAATATTTAGAATTTAAATTAATGAGGATATCACAGAGACAACTGGTGAATATAAATTTACAAATGTGAGTGGATAATATTATATTGTATTGATCCAAGATATTGAAAAACCTTCTAAATTAAATATAAAATAAAATGCATAAACATCAGAATCACCACTTAAGAAAAATGATACAGAAAGGAGTCTAACTGCTAGTACCAAGAAAATAAGCTTTAAGACACCTACAAATAAATAGAAATCTGAATCAAATTAAAAAATGATATAATCCTTTATTTTAGGAGATAATTTAATGGAATAATTAAAATAAGAAAATAAAGAACTTAAATAAAGAATAATTGAACTTGAAAATTAAGTAATAACATTATAAGAATAAAATGAATAAAGAAATGATAAAGTTGATTAATCAAAATAAGAAGTTTCAACAAATGATATAAAAAATGATTTTTAAAATCTTTTAAGATTATAACAAAGACAAGCTCAAGAAAATAAACAATTATTAAAATAATTAATTGATTTAGATAATAATTATTAAGAATTGTTAGAAAAAAAATCATTAGCTGATTAGGAAGTAACTAAATTGAAATAAACTATCAGCTAATTTGATTGTCAAATAACTTAATTAAAAAGTAGATTAACATAATTTGAAATAGATGGATTAAGTTAAAATATATAATTAAATTTATAAATTGCATAACCAATAGAGAATGATGAGATAATTGACAATTTAATTAAACTCATATTAAAAATGAGAGCAACTGGATCTTAATATATTCCTATAAAGGAAGATAAATTAGACTCTAAATTAGCATAAATAATTGCTAAAGATCATACTTAATAATATTAATTTATTAGATTAAAATAAGGTTTATATTTAATAGGAGAAGATTAATATTAATTATTTTTATAAGATAATAAAATTATGATAACAACTGAGGATGGTGTGTCATAACTTTAAGATTTTATTAAGAGTAGAAAAAGAGTAAAATCAATTAATATTCGTAAAGCTTGAGATTATTTATTTATATATATATATATATAATTTAATTGAAAAAACACATTAATTATTCAGTTTTATTTCAGAATTTTCATTTATTTATTTTTCTTTTAGTAAATTAATTTTGAATGCAAAAAATAACAGGATCTGGAGTGATGATCTTTATTAAACACAAAGAAGAGACCTTAGTTTTATTATTGTAAAACATTAGAAGAAAATAATTGGTGTTGATGGAACCTGGAGGGATTCAAGAAACAGGACTTTCATCTATGAGTAATGCATTAAAGGAACTCTATGAAGAAACATTTGCAGGATTATCAAAAGCTGATTTAGATGAGGAACATAAAGTACTTGTGAATTTCGAATACTTATGTTATACAGTCTATATTAAAATAGATGATTTAAAATTTTTTTAAGAAGTAATGGGAATGAATTAAAAAATATTAAAAATGTCAAATAATAGATCATTGCATTCATATAATGAGTGCAAAGGATTTAATTTAATAAATTTAAAGGACTTAGCAAATGTGAATTATGAGTATTATGAATAAGATAATAATAAAATACCACTTCATTAAAGAACCAAAGGAGCATTTAAGTAACTCTAAGATAAAAAAATAATTGAAAAGGATTTATCAATATAATTACCATTATTTTAATGTTCCTTAGATAAAATTAGAATAAAGAATCCGAAATCCCCTTTACATGTTTTAAATAATTAATATACATATGTTATACATTGATAAATTATTAATATAATTAAGATTATGAAAGTAACAAAGAATTAGAAATTAGTGTTAAATAATAGGTTTTTGAATTACAAAGCTAAAGAGGATTTAATAAATTTCTTAGAGTAACCATAAAAGGATGTTGAAATGAGTTAAGCTACTAGAATTAAAAAATCAACGATGATGAAAAAGATTATTGAAATGTTTGAAAAGAATACAGGGATTCTAGAATTGGAAGCAGAAGATGCCTTAATATCCAGATTGATTTCATCATATGAAGTATATAAGCGAAAGGGAATTCAACACATGAGTGAGATTTCTATAAGGAAAGAAGAAAACAAAGCGATTTTAAGAATAAAAGTTGTATTAAACCAATAATGATGATTATTAAAATAAGTTTTCATTCTTCAGCTTATACTTTGTCTATATAATAGCCCTAAATAATCCTATTACGATGTTCAATCTAATTAGCAAAAACATAGCTAAATTCTCCAGTGTAAGTTGCATCTAAGAATTTCATAGTATCCTCTGACACCATGATTCTACCAATTTATGAATTCTATTCCATTTTCTTTGCTAATGCAACATCTGATCCATAAATATCATATCTCACAATATCTGTTCCTACAATGCCACCAATTATATTTCCAGTATGTATTCCTATTCTCATATTGATATCAGGATATTGAATATTTTTCTTTAATAAATTAACAATATCTAGTAATTGAAAACCAAGATTGACTACATTATAAGCTTCTTCCTCTCTGATTCCATTATTAGCATCTAAAACTCCTAAGACAACATAACTATCTCCAATTGAATATAATTTATAAACATTATTCTCAGTACAAGCCACATCAAACTTATTAAAAAGTGAACTTAACATTTATAATACTTATTAAGCATCAACACTAGTAGAATATTTTGTAAAGCCAGCTATATCAGCATAAAGGATGGTAGCATTTTCAAATACATCAGGTATGGTATCTTATTCTTTAAAATATTATTATAAAATATGAGAGGGTAAAAGATGACTAATAATTTTATTTTATTCTTATTATTATTATAAAAGTTGATCATGAATATTATAATTCTAATAAAGTAGATCTTCATTTTGATTTCTTTAAAAAAGAATAAATATTTCTATTGTAAGAATAAAAATAATAGTTTCATTCCATTCATTAGAAAAGGAAAGTATGAATATTATATTTATATATTTCAATATAAATAGTAGTTTTCTATGACGAGAAGTGAAATAAGGTAAGGCTCTTAAAAAGTATCCCAAACATAAAGTATAAGCTAAGATTAGAGTGATATATGATCTTTCTATTGGATCATTAATAATGATTGTTATTATAGTAAATAAAATACAGATGAAATAACCTATGATCATACTTATTTAGAAGATATATTTATAAGCATCTCTTAGGCAAAAAGGAACAACTATACAACTCATTAAATAGAATGCAATCTTTAATCCTTCAATAGTGAGATTGACTCCCAAATATTACTTATATTCCATTAAAGCAAATAAGATAGGCAATTAAAATATCATCAAATAGATAAAGAGAATCAGACAATACTAAACAGTATCCTAAAACAATTTATGATTATAGATCCTTATCATTTCTTTATATTTGAATTGTCTAAAATATACTCTTCTAGCTTGATTGGTACCAAAGTCACATTTGACTCTAATCAATTCTTACATAATATCAGTTTCAATCTTCTCTTGATTACCAATCAGTTATTATAATTTTGGAATTTCAATCTTTTCTTCTTATTATAGTGTAGAATCAAATAAATGATTATTATTATTATTTTATAATGATTTCTAGCTTTTAACATTATTCTATGGACTTTTTGATAATAAATCATCAATATTTTTTTAAGAATCAGCTATTTTTAAATTATCAAATAGATCACCAAATTGATCACCTAATGGATCATCTTTCTTTTATTATTATTATTATTATTATTATTATTGTTATTATTATTATTAGATCTAATCATGTGATGACATCATTTAAGGATTCACTTCTTTAAATCTAGTGACTCTACTTTTTCTATGCATAGTTATACGTCTATTAGATATATCCTCTATTATTTAATATTAAATAATTACATAATAATTTATTAGCTGTGATTACATCTTATATTACTTTACCAAATTATTCAACAGGTAATTAATAAACAGATTTATTTCTAGACATTGATGATTTTCTTGCAATATCAAATTAGAAACCTGCAGGATTAACAGCATTTGTCATAAGATCATTAATCAGTGGTTTATCATTTGAATCTAATTTTTTAAATTAAATTGAACTAACCAATTTAATAATAGGTGATTTGTCAACTTTTGTTGCAAAAGTACTTTTTTTATTAATTACTAATGAATAGAGCACATAAATATTCTTTATATTGATTTCTTTAACTTAAAATTAATACTTCATTTGTCTTACTCTTATAAATGCACTTTCAGTTAATGAAATCCTACCTGGTTCACAGACTGTACATACTCTACTAGTAGTATTTACAGTGTCTCCTATCAATGAAAATTATGGTTTATGTTAACCAATAACTCCTGCCATCACATTTCCATAATTAATTCCAATCTTTATAATTATCTATTTATCTTAATATTTTAAATTATTTGTTGATTCCATCATTGCTATTGCACATTCAATCATTTTTTAAGTTGAATTTTTTGATTATTTATCTATTATATCATAGTCTTTTAATCCAGATGCACAAACATAAATCTATCCTACTGTCTCAATCTTTTAAATATTATACTGATTGCATATTGTATCGAAAGTTCTATAAATAGAATCCAGAAAACTTATTATTGAAACTTTTTCAGATTCAATAATATCATCAAAATCACAGATCTCACAAAATAAGATTGTGACAGGTCCTTAATCTTCCTGTATTTATATATATCCCCTAGCCATCCTTTCTTTAATAAATCTTGGCATCAATATTCCCAAAGCATCATTCAATTTCTTCTATTCCTTTTCCAATTATTCTTATAATAAAAAGTTTTGTCTCCTCAAATATTCATTAACATAACATAAATAATATCCACTTAAACTTGATAAACTACATATAATTATTAATGCTATAACAAACATTATCTATTTTTATGGGAAATATTCATATTTGGGTATTATGAATTTCAATACTACTCCCAAACTTATTAAACTTATAAGGATTATTGTACCTTTAAATTTTAGACTTAATTTTATTGAATAACCTAACAGAATTATCATAAATATAGATGTAAAAATTATTTAATTCATTATGTAATCTTAATCCAATAAGAATATTGTAATAAATTAAAATAAAAATCTACTTAAAATACTTATTAATTGTAAGTTTTATTAGATTTTACGAGGTGTTATTTCTAAATATTATAGAATATAAATTGTAATACTATAGAATAGTTACACACCCCATAGAATATAGATTGCTATATTCTTTTCAATATAGTTAATTTAAATCAATAGATTAACAAAGATAGTAGCTTCAAAGATGATATATAAGATTGAATTCTGACTCATAGATTCTTGATATCTAATTTCAAATTCTTTTTGATTGAAAGTCAAATTTTTCTTCAATTCTATTTATTCATCATTATTAATATTATTATTTAAAGCCTTATAAATTGAATCGTCCATCTAATTGTTATCTGCTAAAATAGATTTGATAAATTTTTTTCTTTATTAAATAGACAACTACAAACTTTATTTAGTTGTTCTCAATTTCTTTGTCTATTCAATACATTTAAAATTTGATTCATCAGTAATCAAAGTATCTTAAAACATCTCTAAATTGTACAATTATAATATAGAAGTGACTGCAAATTTAAATACAAATGCAAATATGTAAACAAATATTAAACTTCTTATTATATATCCAGGACTATAAAACAAATCTGAGTAAGATACTTTATAATCACTATAATCAGGAATAGTTAAAAATGTGACTAAAGCAACAATAAATACACTTAATAATAATAAACCTAAAAGCTATTTATATTATTATTCAAATATTTAGAAATATAATTATATTTTAACGATTAATTCTAAAGTAATTATAAAAGCAAATTATGATATTGGCAAATAATTGGAATCTCCATATAAATATTTTGTAGCATACAAAGGAATACTAACAATTGTTGCATCAATCACACCAACAAAAAATATCTTAATTAATGAATCTTTATTAAACAAAGCCTTTACTAAACATCTTTATGGTATTAATCCCTTATAATAAACTTCTGATGTTTTAAATCTTTTATTGTGAGATATTAATTGAATCATTACTGTAAATGTTTTACTTAATAGAAGGAGGATGTTACAACTTTAAGTTAAAAATTACCCTTAATTTATGAAATTGATTAACACAAATAGAATCATTTCGTAAAGCCAAAAGTATAGAATTTGTTAGGCCAGCAGAGATGAACTTATACATTAAGATATTAAAATAGATTCTGCACATCTTAAAGAGTTAACTAAATAACAAGGTTTGGATTATGTATAGCATTTTGGGTTTATGTCAATTGATATTTAACTCATATTATAAACTCTTTGAGTATTAGCACAACTTCCAATATATCCAATTTACATATTTAGTTTTTTAGCAATCTTAAATAATTTTACCTTTGAGATTTCCTAACTATCATATAAAGCTAATCCTCTACTAAACCAAACAATTATTGCAAAATGATTTAAAAGAAATTCATCTTTAATAATAGTTAATAAGGCTTCACAACTTAAGAGTATATACTTTTTATCAATGTCTTATGCTTCAAATATTCTTATATTTAATTATTAAATTTACCTTTATTACTTTATCAAATTTGAACAAGCACTTTAAATTACAAATTTCAATGTTCTTTCATCTCCAGAATTAAATTAATTTAAATCATTTTCATTTTCAATAAATTTTGCATCAAACAAAAACCTTAAAACTACAAATTAACTTTCAGCAGAAATTAACCATGTATTTAGCTAAAGATGATATTTTACTAAAAAAATACATTTGCTTATGAAAAAGCATCTATTGTTAGAAGTGCACTTTGATCTATTTTTGCATGAGATCCAATAATCATTAATAATTCAGCTTATGATTCCAATTGTAAATATAATAATTCTAATTAATCTTCATCTGCTGTATATGAATTCATAATATTCATTTTATTTAATAGGAATTACTTAGCTTCACTCTTTTTGAGTTATTTTTTTAAATAGAGAGTTGGTTATTACCCCTATTTCAACATATAATACAATGTTGAATTAATTTCTAATACATTGATATTCATATGAGTATTTTCATACATTTGAGATGTTTCAATTTTGATATATAGAAGTGCACCTTCATCTTCATTGAATTCTTCTGGGTCTTTTAATAGTACTGAATAGACTCCTATTCTATTTTTAGTTTATTTATTTTCACTTAAGATCTTATATTATTTTAATTTGCCTTAAATTTCAATGATTTTTAGTTAAGTTTTTAGATATATATCATAAATTTAACGTTCAGCTTCAATACTACATTTAAGTTTGTATTCTAAGAGATTGCAAAATTCAATTAAAATATAATCTTATGGATTTTTACAATAAGTTTCTATTGTTTTTTTTTATTCATTATATTTATTCTCTATTTCACATAATAGTAATAATGCAACAATTCTTTCATGATATTAATTATCAAAATCATCAAATAATTAAGTAATAAATTATTATTCATTTAATTATTGTTTTTATAATTAATTAATAGAAGAACTTTAATCACCTCCACTCTTAACAACTTTTGTTCTAAATGATATAGTTTTACCTAAAGAGTTCTTTAATTTTTTTTATTAAGAAGCATCAATAGTTTTTTTTGAAAGTGAAAATTATAAATTTGTACTAATTCCATAATTTTATCGTTCCTCTTGATTATGTGGAGAATAAGGATGTGAATTAATTAATTCACTATAATCTTTCTTATCTTCATCAAATATATCATTTTCTCTACCAGTATCTAATAAAGTTTTATAGTAATTATCTCCCAATTATATTTAATTATTATTCATTACAGCTACTAATTATTTATATTTAAATGTGTATTGTTTATCATCAATATAAATTGATTAGATTTTCCTTTTCTTTTGAAAATATTATTGATTCAATTCTAAACATACTAAATTCACTTTTGAACATTTCCAATACTATAATAATAATTAATATTTAGTTATTACATTTGTTTATTACATCATAATTGAAAAATCTTTAATGTTATCATATTTTGATAATTTATTTTATGAATAGATTTCAGTCATATTCTTTACTCTATTAAATTCAATCCAAATATGTTTATCATCTTAGACAACTTAAAATTTTATATAATTATTTACTGTCCTTCCCTTAATTATTTCCTTATTCTATTGCATTAATTGGATTCACTTTCTTCTAAATACTTGGTTATTTAATATAATTAAAAATCTAAACAAATTCTTTATAAAATATAGCATATAATGGAAGTAACATAGAATTAAAACATAAGTGGATACCATAATTTGATTTATAAATTAGATTACCAAGCTAAAATTACTATATCATATACCAAACTTATAACATATCCAAGAATAATCATGCCAATAAAAAATAATGACTTTTATCTTTTATGTTTGCTTGGCTTATAAATACGTAAACAATTATTTCCTGCTACTAAAACTATTCCTAATGCCCAATCTGTATTTAAAAGCTTTTCTCCACTAAAAATAATATTATCCTAATTAAATTTAAACACTTTTGGATCATTTTTTAATTTTATCATACCCATCAAACTGGATTTCTTACCAAATAAATAGGAATACTAAATTTATCCATTTAAAGTTAATTTGAATTCCACCAACAATCCTTTTGTATCTGATTTTGGTTATACTATGATAAAAATTTCATTTACTAAATGTAGATTAACAAGGAATTGTTATTTTAGGTGTTGAAATACCAAATTCATTTTAATCTATATGTACCATCTGTTGACTTGATTCTAGAAGCAAAACATCTGCAGGACATTCATGTGTTTTTTATAAGATAACAATATCACCAACTTTAATCTATTCTCTTAATACTTATTTTTATGGATAGAAATAAGTATTTATATCTTCAGATGAATCTGATGCCAAAGGTTCTTTGGAATGAATAAAGTTCTCTAATATAAAATATCTCTATTCATTCAATTATGATTCGATTATTCTAAAATTACGAAATTTAAGAAGACATTTTGTTACATAAAGACTGTAATCTAAAAGCAATACAATGCTTTGAAACAAAACAACTAAATTACTTTCGAATATTCAAATTTTATATACCTAGCAGCATCATCTTAAAGAACCCAACTAATAATAATGTAGACCATAATCATTAAGATTTCAAATCTCCATAGGAATGATAAGACTTCTAAAATATGTTATTTAAAAGTAAATGATTCAACTTTGTTGCCAATATAAGATTTTCCATAACCAGTAAGTGACTTTACTTCTCCATTCACAAGTTCAATCTTTATTAACAAATATATAAACTTACCTTCTTCATATTATTCTCTGTCTTTTATAGAATGAGTTTCTAGACCTTCGATGATTATTTCATGTATAGGTACATTATCAAAGAATTTAGCCATTTCATTATTTATTACAGAAAAAAAATAAATTTTTAAATCTCATTTGCCCTGCTTACGTAAACTGGGTGAACGAGCTCTTGGAGAAAGAGGAGGTGAAATTTTGGGTTCATCCATAGCAAACCCTGACTTTTTTGTTAATCTTAAAATTTGGACAGGACTTTTAGGACTTAATAGTGTACTTCTTCTTGGTGATTATTCAACAATCAAAAAACCTTTTCTCAAAAAGCTTTAGTAATTAGGATTTAAATATGGTTACTTATGCATAGCTATAATTTTATATATAGAATATACATACCACAATATAATGCTGCATTATAAACAGTTAAAGTGTCTTAATAATTTAAATATTAAGGTTCTTCATCTTATTCAATTTTCTTGCCAACTTTGAATTTAGGTAGCCAATCCTACTTTTAAATATTTGTAAAAAGATCATAGAATACAGTGAATTAAGGAGATCTAAAGAAAAATAATTTCTTTACCTTTTGACAACATTAAAATATATATGTGTTAACAAAGTCTCTAGTTTAACATGCAATGGTAAACTATATCTTGAGGATGAAGCAGCATCTGTTACTTCCCCTATAGGACCTGGACTTATATATTCTGCTAATCTAGCTAATGCTTCATAAAATTCTATTTAACTCATTCTAATATGACGATCTTAAGTTAATTCATCTGCTTAAGACATCATTGAAAAGTTAAAAATAATAACTATTAATTTTTCATTAATATAATCCATTAATCCCATTTATTTACAAAAATCTTTGAATTCTTTAATTGCAACCCATTTCATTTTAAAATACCATTTTCGATTATTTAAGTCAGTAACATAATCATAAAGTTTTTTTAGGAAAGGAATTTTAAATTGGATTAAACATTCACATTCTTTATTCCAATATCTTTCATCTCTCCATTTTTAACAAGTATCAAAGTTTTTGAAATGCTCTTTAAATTCTTTAATTAATCTATAAACAGCATCAGCATGATTTTTAACAATATTGGTTCTTACATATTTATCATTTGCTAATCGAAAAAACATTTCTATAAATTAAAATCTAATAAGAGCCTTCTCAGGATTATATATAAATTTTGGATCAATATTATTCTTAATAGAAGCTAAATCAATTTCTACATCTTATAATTTTACTGATTCATTATCTATTATACCAATTTATTATATCATTTTTATATATGATTAGAATGAAATTGAAAAGCATTCTGATATAAAATATCCATTACTAGAATAATATTTATAAATATCTTTAATTAATTGATAATTTTCTCTTAAATATTCTTTCAACTTCATTTATTCGTAATCATTTTTTACAAATCTATTTATTTTACTACAACTCCAATCAAATTAAAAACATTCATTCAAAATTTCTTCATTATCTGATTAAAATTATTATTTGAATAAAGATTCTTCTATATTCCATTAATGATAATTTAACTATTTTCTCTTTAAATTATTACCCATTCTTCTTAAAACATATTTCTTTTCTGAAGAACGTGGAAATAATCTAATAAGTGGTTTATAATTATTTTTATCATCTATTATAAATTCTTATTTTGTGTAAAGATAATTCACAAAACCTATTTTTTTGAATTTCAAAACAGTTCCATCAGAAAAATAATGAAATTGATGTTTAGGATCTTTACCTTATAATGTTAGATTATCTTAAGGAGATGGTATATTATCTTAAGTGGGTTCTATAAAATAAGATTCAATTAATGGATTTGAAAAGAAATATAAAATTCTCTATTTAGGAGGACACATTTAATATGTTGAATAACAAAATTTCTACAATTCATCAAGTATTTCTTTTGATAAAATACTACTTTTTCTCTCTTAAACTTTAGGAACATTTAAATTAGTTTGATTTGTTTATTTTTATTACGTATCCTTTTTTAATAATTGTTCCTTCTATTACTCAATTAATTATGCTTTAAGTTCGGAACTTGATGTCATAGGTATTGGTTTATAACTAATTATTTATATTTAATATACTTCAAAAAGTCTAAATGAAGAAATATTGGAGTGTCTGGTTATTCAATATCTGGTGTGTATTAGAAACGATGTTCTACCCATCCTTAACAAATCCAGCAACAATTTTAAGTTGTTATTCTAGTCAATTCAGGTAAGTAATTAACACCATCAATTTAATATTTTATCTAACTGAACTCTTCATTTATTTATTAAAATTATATGAATCCATATGGATCAATATAACCTTCAAATTTATTACCTTCTAAATGGATTCCATAAAGAGAATTGTTTTTTAATAATGCGTCGTTAAGTTAACGTATTTATTTCTCTGATATTTAATTGTAAGATATATCTAAATGAACTAAACTTAATTAGGTATTTAATAATGCTTAACACCAAAATTATATACAATTTGATTTTTCATTTGATCCTATTCGATTGTAACTTAAATCTAATACTTTCAATACTCGATTAACTAATAAAGCCTTAGCTATAAATATCCCTGTAGTAGAGCCCAATTAATTCCAATTTATTGATAATACTTCTAATCCAGATGATTTAATTAATAAATCATATAAAGCTTATCCAACACCATCAGATAGATTATTTTCTGAAATGATTAATTTACTTAGAAGGACATTCTTATGTAGATTCTTAAAAAAGATATTAGCCCCGTTATCACCTATGAAATTGTTCGCAATATTAAGAATCTTGAGACTTTTAATAACAAATTCCATTACTTTTGAAATCGACTCAGATATTCTGCTAAAATATGAGCTCCTTTAGAACCAAGCTAATTGTCTTTTAGATTCAAGTCTTTCATAATTGGTGGGAAATGTTAGACTAAACTCAAAAACAATTTATCATTTATCTTATTTCCTTAGAATATGAGTTATTTTATATTTTATTGCTTTTATAATAGTATCTTAATGAGAGGGTAGTATTTCTCTCCAACACCCAAATTTGACAAATTTATCAATTTATCTTCTTTTAAATGACTAGCATCATCTATTCTTTTTGGAAATAAACTATCATTTTTACAATAAAAATGACCTGGATTTGAGAAATTCTATTCTAGATCTCCAAAATTCTCTGCAATATCTCTAAGTTTTTCTTTCTTTTTAATGAAACTAAAGAATGATTCATCCGCATTCAATTTATTATTGATTGACAACATAGCTTGTTTAATAGCTGAAATATCAAGATGAACTTCTTGTTAGGAATCAGGGGATTTAGGTGCTGAATCACTTTCTAAATTAATAGATTCTTCTTCTTTTATAATAATCTTTGGTTTTTAGTAAACTTATGGCATCACCTTCTTTAGATTGCAACTACGCTTTGTTGCTTTTTTAGGAATTATTATTTCAACTAAATCACCTTAATACTCAGTAAGCATCTAATTTTACTCAGTGCGGTTCTCAGCCTTTCTTGAATATGTTCTAGTTGATACACTTCTCTCAGGCAAAAAGAAGGTCTTCAACTTATCAAGGCGTGATTATGAACGATCAGTTAATTTTGGGAGAGGAGAATGAGTCTTGCCTTTAAAATAATACATTTATTTTATCATTATAAGAATTAAGTAATATTTGTCAATTAGTTTTTCTTTATTAATTTTAAAGTACATATTTACTTATTTTAGTAATTATAGTATCTCAAACTTAGTAAATTCACATATTTAAAATACAATTCAATACTAAATTAACATAGAAGGTTCTAAACAGAATTATTATTTCAAAAACAATTTAAATTTTTGTTAATTTTTAAACTGATTTTCTAAACTCGAATATTAGAATATTATGATATTATAATATATATGATATTTATTCATTTTTCAATTATTATTGAGTATTCATCTTATACATAAATACCTCCATCTTAATAACTCTTATTTTATAAATTCCATATTCTAGAATTTTTCATCTTATGTTTATCTAGCTTTTTAATAACAAAAAATATATTGTCATTTTACATATATCCTTAATAATTGTAATGTTTATCGATACAAAGATTTATTTAGTATGGATGAGCATAAAGATAATCTAATTGTCTAAAATTTATTTCATAATCACTTTACTCTTAATTTTCTTAATTATCTTCATCCAATTCATTTATAGTCAAGAATTAAGATGATGTTGATAAATAAACAGAATTTTATTTCTTCAAAGAAAAGTTTTGAAGTGAAGATTGATATCTATGTTTATTTTTTATTTATTATGTTTTTTTCTTAAGTAGGTTTTATGTACCTTATAATGATTATTTTTGAGCTTTTTTGATACTTATATTCTATTAGATTGAACTCTATTTTTCAAAATTAAACTCATCTTTACTTGATTAATTGATTTCTTGTGTTATTTATTTACTCTGTCTAGATTAAATTTGTTAATTATTTATTTATCCAGTTTATTATTAGTGTATATTCATAATTCTATTTTAAAGATCATTAAATTCTGTTATAGATCTTGTCTAAACATAGTCTTAAACTGATTCAATAACTTTATTATGTATTAATAATGAATTAATTTTATCACCAACTCTTTAATGTTTCATTCTTAACATCACTTAATTAATATTATTATCAGGTTTCATTACTATTTTAAATTTATTAGGTTAATATGTAATTAAAGGACATTCAATATTGGCATGATTATATAAGTTACAAAAATTACATTTCTTAAGAATTACTTAATAATTATTTAAAAATATAATGCTATCTTTGATATTATGAAACCTCTAAAAATCCTTATTACTAATTTAGGTAAATAATTTGATGAAGGAATTTCTGTGAATTCGATATAAAGTTGAATGGCCATGACTAATAGCTTATGTTTAAGTCTTGAATCCAGTAAAAAATTAATATTCTCCAAAACTCTCCCCAGTATTAATAATTTACAATAATTTATTGCTCCTATCTTCACATAAATAAACTTCTCCATCTTGTAAATAATATCTATAGAATTATATTTAATATGTTACAAATATTAATCATCTTAATCCCCATTGTTATATATAATTTCATCTGGGATACATTTAATTTATTCCATCTTTTGAGATAATTAATTTAGAATTTAAGATGAAAAATTATGATTTAATACTGATATTTTAGACATTATGCTCATCTATATACCTAATGTCAATTCTTATTTTAATTTAGAAGGTAAATGAGTTATTATTTCTTTAATTTCATCAAAATTCTCATTATTTTCTGTTAATAAATAATATTTTAAATAATTTCTGACTCTATTTTAAACAGTTTAAGACAATTATCCTTTCTTCATATAATTATTTATGAGGATTAAACTTCGCCTAATTTAAACTCAAATACATTTACTTAAACTTTTATTGACTGTCATAATTACTCTTCAATATCATACCTATACTATTAATAGAATATGCAAACATTCCACTACTAAGCAGCATCATAAAATTAACAAACATCATTTCATATTGATTTGTTGCTGTGATATCTCCATAACCTACAGTCACCATAGTAGTGATTGCCCAATATATTGAATAGTTATATTGTATCCAAAATGAAGAATCTGCTATCGAATACTTTAATAACCAAGAGTGACCAGTGAATATTGTTAAATAACCAACATAATACATAATGCATCCCATCAAATGCACAAAAGTAAGAATTGTAATTATAAGTGTAAATAAGTCTATAGCATAATTGAAACTACCTTTTAAGAACATAGTTTCTATACAATTAGAGTAATTTTTAGTCAATTTTTTTAATGAAATCAATATAATAATACCACAAATCAAGCTATTTATTAAATTATTGATATTAAAAAATTATATTACCCAACAACTCAAATCAATTATGTCTTCAATTAAAAAATATTAAATATAATTTGATAATATTCTTCTTTAATTAGTGATGGTTTCACCTTAAATATTAATTGGTCTATTTGTTTAGATAATAACTTCAATAATAATTTGAAACATGATTCCAATTTAAAACCATTTGAATATATCATCATCTAATGAAAAAGATACTATAAGTGGTGACATCCATAAACAGATTATTTTAATAATCAATGATAATAAATCTAAAATCAATGTAACTTTGCTGCCAGGTATTAAAAATATTTATTTGTCTTATTTTTCTGAATTAACTAAACATTAAACAATAATTATACATTCTACTCTTTTTGAACTATTTTATTCATATTTAAAATGATTCTAAATTACTCCTTTATATTCTTGACTCATCACATAAGATTTAATAAACAAATTTCTCTTAAATTATTTTACTAATCTATCCTTAGCTAAAGTTTTAAACACTTAATTGTCAACTAGTTTTTAATTATTTTCTTCTTTTTTACGTCGAGTTAACTCTAATCAATATCAATAAAATACCATTCTCTTTGTAACCCTATTATTTCTAGCTGTATTAATAGCATTTGGAGTGCAAACAACATCTACATAATTGTTTGATTATATATAGATAGAGCCTTTACATAAATCATCAGATTATTGCCTTTATAATTTATTAGAAAGTCTATGATCATCAAGCATAACTTTAGGTCCACTAAAATGTTACTCTGACTGTTCTTTAATGCTTATTTAGGACAATGGTTTCATAAATCTTAAATAATGATATTTTTATAATAAATTAACAAACTTTTATGTCTATCTTAATTTAATCTAAAGGATTGTCCATAAAAATTAGATTAATTTATTATCCACAAACCATTTTAATTTTAATTTAATAATTTTTAATCAAAATCTCGATTGATACAATAAACTAACAGCTGTAGTTGCTTATTTTGATAAATGAGCCATAGATGATGGTAAAATTGGTTATATTCTTTATCTCTTCATTTCTAACATTGCTGATGATTCATTCTTAAATTAATCCAAAACACAATTTCTATCACCTTATAGTAGTTAATCATGTTGCATTAACCAATAAGTATAAATATTTGGGTCTTTAAGAGTTGAACTAAAATAATATTAAATTAAAAACTCTTACTCTTTCCATTTTTCAGTATCTCTAGTTAATGTTATTTCAATCTCATAGACATCTCCTAATTATTTCATCAATTCTACTAGTTTCTCATCTATTATTTTAAAATTTATGCAATCACAAAATAACATCATTGTACATGATAATCGTTTCTTTCTGTAAAGCCAAAAGTTACCTATTTAAAACTCTTTATCAAGTTTAGCTTTCTGCCAAAGTTCAAAACTATTCAAATGACTTTTTATAATTAAATTTTATTCATTCAAAAGTGCATTCTTTAAGACTTACTCACCTATAAATTATTATATATTATATTCAAAAATATGTAATAATTCTGTCAAAAGAGCTATTCCATATTTAAATTCAATTTCACCATCAGGAAAATCAATATGTTATTGATTTAATACGTAGTTTAGATAATTCTTAGTTTTCTCAAAATCTATTATTAATAAATTGTAACTCAATAAATTGATCAAAATAGAAATCACTTTTAATTTTACAGTTAAACTTTTTTTAGGTAAATTCTCTGATTATTCTTCTATTTTAACAATATTTATTATTTTAAATAGATTTTAAAACCATATATGACTTTTAGATCCAAATAATTTAATAGAAATATCTGATTGACTTAAAAAATCAACATCAATTCTTTTATTAGAATGACAATCAAAAACAACATGTAATTCAACTTTCTCTTAAGATCCTTCCAATTAAAATTAAGCTGAAAATGTACACAAAGATTAATTTTTCTTTCCTTTAACCTTACCTATTTCTTAAAATAAATGATAAGCTTTCAAATATTCTTTGGCAGTCTCTTTTCTAAAACTTCCTCTATTTTTCATAAATAATACTGCATCCTCAACTTGATGTTCTGGTACTCCTACTGAAATAGCTATATTCTTAGCATGTAATGACATATGTCCTTTCTAAATACCTTCCACAGTTAATGCTCTTAAAGCAGCAAAGTTTTAGGCCAATCCTACACATGCCATAATTTCAGCTAACTTTTAGGAATCAGGATATTCTAAAATCTATAAGACTGCTTAATATAAAGGATTTTAAGAAATAACTCCTCCCTAAGTTCCTACAGATATAGGAATAGATAATTCCCCTATAAATTCATTCCCTTCAATCCAATATTTTGATAATGGCTTATATTTACCATTTAAACAAGCATATCCATGCAATGATGCATTCACTGCTCTACCATCTTAACCTGTAGCATTACAAACAGCCTCAATTCCATTCAAAATTCCTTTATTATGAGTAACTGCTCTAAAATAGTCTAATTCAGCAAATTTATATGCATTTAGAATCATTTAAGCTACTTATTATCCTGAATAATTCTTATAATTCATTTTTTCAATGTTCAATCTGAATAATGAAGTGACCTTTCTATTTAAACATAAATTTGTTAATATCTTTATGCCAACTTAATGTCCAGTAATTTCTTCAATCAAAGGAGATAAATGTTCTAATACTGTATTAACTATATTGGCACCCATACTATCACAAACATTAATAAATATATCTACAGAAGCTTGACCTTCTCCTAATTATCTTAATTTAACATCTTCAATTCCGCCTCCTCTTTTTACCATATTTCCACATGCTTAATTTCCTCTATTTATTATTGATATTTTATTTGAATCTATCAGACATTCTGCCTTTGAATAATTATCAACATTTAACAATTACATTTAACCCATCATAACTGGCCTAGTTGAATATGTTTCAAATCCATTTCCACATTCTGCAATAGTTTTTGCTGCTGCACTTGCTGCTGCTATTACAGATGGTTCTTCAATAGCCATAGGTATTATATAATATTGACCATTTATTAGAAAATTTAATCCTAATCCTAGGGGAATTCCTATTTTTCCAATGCAGTTTTCAACCATTAAATTAGCATTTTATAATGACAAACCTCCATCTTTGAAATGTTCAACATTAACATTCTAAATTTTATTCAATTAATCTAATCTTTATTGTAATGTCTTTTTATAAAATCCTGCCCATAATTATGCATACTCTTATTTTTAATCTTTATCATCAATTTCTTGAACAATTTATTATCTAATTTAACCAATTCTTTATTGAGCAGCTCTATTATCCATAATATATTAAAAAATTATTTATATAATATATTATATCATCATTCACAATCAATCAATACTAATTAATAGTATTGTACAATTTTTTTCCTTAATTAATCATCTTAATTGCTGCATCTTTTACAAAACTTGAAAAAGTATATTTTTATAAATATTCATAAATATTCCAAAATTTATTACTTCTCTTTTTTTAAGTTTTAATCCATAATTTTAATTAAGCTTCAATTTAATATTATGGCATGTAATATTATGACTTTAATGAAATTGAATCAATATTTAGAGAAGGTTTCAAGCCTTTTTAAAGTGTTGTCTCAATCTCTTCTATCATACTATATTGTTTAGGGATTAAAATTTCATCATTTGACTATACTATTCTGCGTTATGATTATTTTGTTTCTTGGACAAATGGTATTACCTTAAGATAAGACAATTCTAATTAAAGAATAATTTACTTTTTTGTCCTTTTCCTAAAGGATTCTAAGTTATTCTTCTCTAATTTTATCTTAAAGCTTGTTAATCTATATTTATATCTTTTTCACTTGTTATGTACTATTATGATGTAATTTATTGTTCCGATATGACAGATTTCTCATTTTATAATTCTTGATGAGATATTAGATCTTCATTTAATTAATTTTCTTCTTAAAATATTTTTAATGATTATTCTATCATTTAATTTTAAGCTAAAGTATTATTTTTCGATTTTCTTCTTGATCTGTATCGACTTATATTACATTCTTCTTTAAACGAATCTTTTTTTAATATACGTTCTAAATCTGGTTTAAATTGAATTAATGGACAATCGATTTCCTGATGAACATATCTATTACAAAAGTTACATTTGTGATCAAATAAAACGAAGTTCTATTTATAAATCATCTTGTCTTTTATATGATGAAAGATTTCTAAATCTTTTTGATTCTACCTTATTATATCTAGAAATTTCTTTCTACTTATTCTATAAAGTTAACTAGGTCCTTAACTGACTGCTGTTTCTTTTGGGGCAAATCCAGTAAAAAAAGAATAGTAACCTAAATATTAAGATGTTTTTAGATTTCTCAATTTGAGTTCAGTTTACATTTCGATTTAATTTACATCTCCTTATTAAATAAAATAACTAAATTTATAAATAGAAATTATACAGATTATCTTCATGAACATCTCCCTATTTATATATAATGTCTCCTGGCAAAAATGAAATCAATTCTAGATTTTTTGCCACTTATTATTATGCAAATTTTGAAAAATGATTAATTATTAATTTCATTTTTTTTAGAACTCTAGTTTATATATCATTATTTAAATCTTTTTACAAATTATTTGGTAATAAACTAATAATATTATCTATTTCGCTTTAATTTTCTACATTATCTGAAGTTGAATGGATTCTTATGTAATTTCTAATTCTGCCTTGAATGTTCTCATCTACTTGATTTTTATGCATATATTAAGTTATTTAAATCAAGTTCTTTCTGATTTATTTAATAATTGTTACTTATATGTTTATTTGGCATCATATAGATTTTTCAAAATAATTCCTATTGAACTCATAGTATAAGCAAAAGCATAACTAGAAAAAAACATGATAATTGATGATATAATCATTTCAACTTAATTTGAAGCAGATATATCACCATAACCAACAGTTGTCATTGTCATTGTTGCCCAATAAAATGATGCATTGTATTAATGCCAAGATGAATATTCTGTTAAATTATGTTCCATTAACCATGAAGTTCCCAAATATTTAGTTTTTTCTCCTGTATAATGCCATAAACATGCAATTATATGAGCAAAATAATATATTTAAATGATTAATTAAATTAAATCTAAAATAGCATTCTAACCTCCTTTCATATAGAAATATTGAAAATATTCTGCAAGATATCTTTAGATGTTCTAATATATTAGTATAATTTCTAATATTATAGTAATTTCCAGAATTTCATAGAATATTACTTCATGTTTTAAGCAAAACCAAATAAAAACTCTTAGGAAATCTACAAAGGCATTTGATTTTAAATACTCTTTGATTATTGACATTCTATTAGTAATTAGTATAGCAGATATAAATATTCCTCTGTTAAATTAAACTAAGAAATCAATTATTTGAAATATTAAGATAATTTATTAAATAATAGATATGATATCGTTTTGATAATTATTAAATGATCCTATAAAGGGAGTTAACCATAGCATTAAAAGATTGTTTAGAAACCCAAAAATATCCCAAACAATAATTGCATTTGTGGAAGGTAAAAATATTGGAATCCATGCTAAAGTGTCTTAAACTATAATTAATCATAAATTTATCTTACTATTTTCTTTTTTCTAAGAAGCTGAATTTTTTTCGAATAGTTAATCATTAATTATTTATTTCTATTAATTTCTTAAGATATATGAGTTTGTGAAGATATTATTGACGAATCGATGAACGTGCAACTACAATTTAAAATTCTGAATGAAATTTGATTATTTTTATGTTTGAAGGGTCTTTAGAGTTCTTAATGGATATTGTCCTCGCCTCCGAAATTCAGACTTCAATAGTTACAATAATTACTTTACTTTCAAAACGAGACATATTCATATCAAAACTTTTGTTTTCATTCATTTCTCTTTAACTTTCCTACTAAATTTCATCTTCTAATATTATTTATGATGATGATTCCTATTTCGAACTGAGTTATTAAGTTAAAGAAGTTGGACCAATTCTTTATAATCTTAAATGTTATTCCATTTAACAAATTTTAATTCTTTACAAATTATACAGTATTATATTATGTAAAGAATTTTATCGCTTAGATAATTTCTATATCATATGATATATAAGTTTAATATAATAATATCAAATCATTGTTCATCTATTAAATTTTATGTAAATTTAAGTGGTACATCTAACATTGACGAATCAAAAATTAATTCAAATTTGTTTTCGAATGAATCATATATGAATTTTTTTGAATTATAAAATTAAGGAGGAGGATAAAGAGGGTCTAATACTAGTTTAAAGAGATCTTCAATTAATTAAGGAATTAATTTAGTTAAAAGAGGACCTGAACATTCCAAACAAGGATTTGTGTTAGTTTCAATCAACCAAACTTTAAATTTATCATCAATCATAAAATCTAATCCAAACAATTCGAAACTATTTTCTTTTCTGTTAGGATCTAATTTTCCATATGTTGCTTTAAATTGATCTAATGCTATATTCCTCATTTGTATATAAATTGTTTGATAAAAATCAATAGGTAAGAAATTATTAAATTCTTCAAATGAAACTTTATTTCCTTTTTCAAATCTACCATAATCTTCTGAATACTTTTAGACGGCATCATTAGTTAAATGAATCAACTTATTTGATAAATTCATCAAACTGAATTCTTAACTAGAGGTTCGAATATACCCATCTTTATACCAATAACCTTTATGTTATCCATTGACAGAAGTAAATAAGATATAACATCTAATATCAAATTTTCTTTAATTATATAATAATGGATTTTCAATATATTTTTAAACAATAAATGTTTTCTATGCTCCATTTTTATGATGATGGATACTTCTCAAATATTATTATACTTCATTAATTGTTTAAAATATATGAATTCCATGACCTCTATTAGTAAGTTCAGCTGGTTTAACAATCCAAATAGATTAATTATGGTTTTATTGTACAAAATTTTAAAGATCCTCTTTATTTTTTATATGATATGTTTAAGGTAAGAAATCAAAAACATTCAATCCTTATTATTCATAATACCTTTTCATATTATAAAAAAGATTCTTCTTACTACCTAAATGTGTATTATTTTATATATGATTATGCAATTTACTATTCCCATTAACTTCAAATAATCTCAAAGTCTAAGAAAATTTTAAAGCTTGATCATAGGAAATGATTTTAGAATTCTTTCCTACTTTTTTTCTCATTTTTTATAATTAAAAACTTAATTAATTAGGCAGTAAGTGAGAATATTATATATCTTAAATTATTAGGTTTTATTCCTAATTATTAAATTATTATTAAAGTATTTCTTAATTTGATTCAGGAATCGATTCAATATAAGAGTTATTCCTCAATTATTACCATAAAAAGTTTACTTATTCTTTTTCTTTATCAACAATCGACCACCACCATCTTCTTTTTAAAATCCATTATACTAATTGTCCATTATTACCTTTTCCAATATAAGCTTTATATGAGTTGATCATAGGTTAAACATATAAGTTATTAGATATATTTATTGAATTATAATATGTTCTTAAATTAGCATAGTTAAGTTGAAATTCTGGATCAGAAGAGTATCTTTCATCTTCAAAATAAATACCATTAAATTTTTATTTAACAATTTTCTTTTTCAAAGCCTTCAAAGGAAAAATGTCTGGTTGATACGAAATTTTCGGTTTTATAATCTTTTTTGGCATTTAATGCAATGTATTGCCTACTAACACACATTTTTCATCCTATTCCTGTTGTAATTTTTTCTCTTTAATTTTAAAATAAATTAAAGGTGGAAGAAGAGATTCACTTGATGAATCAGATATTAATTCAGTTTTATTCGAATTTTTTGTGCTTGAAACTACTAATCCATAACTAGAAGGTGGATATTCAAATTCAAATTTAGGTAATTTCATTTCTCTAGGACCAATATAATAATGATCTGAACTAGGACTATGAGATGTAAAACTTTTTTTCATTACTTTTTTAAAGTAAAATAATTCTAAATTATATATTAATCTTATAAATAGCAAACATTATAAGATAATTATCACTTATAATCTAAAATATCTCTTCTTATTTTATTTATCATCTTTAAGTAATTAAAAAAATATCTCTTATTAATTTAAACTCCATTACCGATCAAATAAATATATTTCTAGAAATAGAAATTGACAGAATAAAAAATTTTACTAATTCTTAAGACTATAATAGATTCAAAGAAAATTCTAGAAAAGCATTAAAATGTAGAAAAAAAGATAAAAGAACAACATTTTAAAATAAATTATAATAAAATGGCTAAACCTTAAGGAGCAGGATCTATATGGAACCCAAATAGTTGGCATTGGGAAGAAAAGAATTATACTACTATTGCAAAACAATTAATTGAATAGAAAATTAATTCAGTCAAGGTTTAATCAGGAGATGTCACATTAACTAATATAGAAATTAAATCAATAAGTGGAGATGTATTTATTTATTTACTAAATTAGGCTTAAGTAAATATTCGAAAAGGAAAATAAGTTCTAGTCTATGATTTCGATATAGAAGTAGAATGGAGAGGTAATTGACTTAAAATACAATATTAAAGGCTAAAATGAAAATGATGAAGCAGAAGGAACTTATAAAATTAAAGATTTAAATTCTTTAGATAATGATTTTGAATTGATTCATATCAACAGCAAGTCCAAAACAAAAATTTCTGATAAATGTAAGGACTTAGTTAAGAGAGATATGCGCTAAAAATTAAAAGAATGTTTCTAAACTTTAATGTAAGAAATAGGTCAATTTGAATCAGATCCTGAAAAATTGTAAATTATTATAAATAATTTGTAGAAAGAAAGATCAAGAAGCCAGGAAATATGTTGAGGAATAAATTAAATTAGCTAAAGAATAAAATGGAGAATAGAAGGAACGTATATTTTAAGAATAAAAACTTAAAGAAATGAAGATGAAATAAGAATTTCAATAAATTACGTCATGATAATTAAGATTATTCAATTTAAAATTATAGTGTATTTAAATTAGTTTAATCATTTCCATCGTTATTTAATTGATGAATGTTTATCTTAATAAACTTACTTTTTTGCTGGTTTAATTGACATTCCTCTAATATGAGATCTACTTGAGCAAGCACTAAAACTGTAATTATTTGTTCTTTTTTCCTTTTTTGTTATAAATTCTACTTCAATATTCTCCTTATTTTAACGGTTTTGATTATTAGTTTAAGGTGAATTATTAGATGTATGTTTACTTAATTTTTTATCTTTATCACATTTTTAATTTTCAGATGGACGTTCTTTGTAATTGTAACTTAATTAAGATTGCTTTAATTCTTCATTTAAATCTAGTTTTATTTTTGATGAATTAACAGACATTAAAATTGCACTTTCTTAAAACTTGAGAGTTTTTTATGAATGAAACATAAGTACTTCATCTAATCTACATATAATTTAATCTTCATTAATTCTTAATTTCGGATCCTCTTTAAGCATATCAATAACTACATTTTTGAGTAATTCTAAAAATTATATTAATACTTACATGAATAGATTCCTGTATTTATTTTATTGATATATTTTTGGAGATTTAATTATTGAAATGATGTGGTATCATAGATATTAAAATCAAAAGGTGTCAATTTAGTCATTATAAATAAACATACCAATCCTAAACTAAAAATTTAGGCTGTTATATTTGATTTGCATTTTCCAGTTAAAACTTCAGGAGCCAAATAATAATCTTGATGTTTGATATTTCCTTATCTTATTCTTTATACATCACTCTTTTATAAAAATAATTCTGGATCTAACATGATATATTCAGGTAATAAAATCTCTTTGGGGTGTATTTAAACTTTATTTTGATTCATATTTGAAAGGATTTATTTTATGATGCAAACTATTTATGTTTCTTTCAGTGTGAATTCTTAAGTTAATACAAATTGATTTAGTGTTATCTGATTGTAAGAGAAAAATGCTTTTATTTCATTTGGAGATCCACAGAATGTAATTTTATCAACTTCCTCAAAAGATTTTAAAATTGGAATTGATGTTAAAGATTACAAAAAGACATCCTTTGCATTAATATCATATTGGAGCCTTTTTTGACATAGATTGTCTCTTTCAATTATTTGGCCGTAATTATAATCAAACTTGCTCTGATCTGCACCCATTGATTTAACGAATAAATGCAATAAAATTATTAGTATAATATATTTGATAATCAAAATTCATGATTTTTATAAAGTTTAAAATTTTTCCCATTTGATAGGAGAAATATTAGGTAAAGGCAATTACTCTTTAGATTTATTTAAGAGTTGAGAATCTTCACTAGGTGAATAATGTATCTTTAGTTAATTCTTCTTTTTTTTAAAGCATTTAAATTTGTATCTGACTCAAATATAATCTCTTCCATTCTCCTTAATTCCTTTAAGAACCATTTATAAAGAGTCCTCTAGCATGATACTTTCCTCTAGCCAATAGCAAAAAAATATTTTATAGTTTATACAAAATTATAAACTCTACTCAAAAGAAAATACCAATTTCATACATTTTATTGTTCAAACATTTCTAAAATTTTACTTAAAAAATAACTTTTGCCATGTAATTAAAATAATGAAAATTTTTTGCAGTTCTAATTAGTTGACATATCATGGTTGATTTCAATTTTTTTAATCTTATCTAAGCTTTTCAAAAGTACTAATATAATTCCCACCATAAAAATATAAATAATTACCTGATAAAGTAAAAAAGTAAAGTAATTAAGTTTAAAATAAAAATATATAGAAAAATTATAATGTATTTTGATTTTTGATGTAATCCAAAGTGATTTTTAAATAATTAAGCGAGGCACTTGATTTTTATTGTAGAATTAAATTTTGTTTTATGTAAAGCCTTAATTAAAGTGTGTAGCATTTGTGTTTTAGCATAAATAGAGTTTAAAAAATTGGCATAATGTTCACTCTTCTTCTTGTTTAATGTTATCTTCAATTAAACTTTTGATTAGAATATTTGCACATTCTTGTGGACTTATCAGAGCACGTTCAGGAAGGGGCTCCGTAATTCTAATGGAGGTTCATAGCTCCATTATTATTTAATAGCTCTATTCATCTAACTGTTTCCTTATTTTTAATTCTTCTTGTGGTCATTTTGCTAATGACACTCCAAAATAAAATCTCCTTTATCATTTTAGAAGATTTTTACTTTATGGTTTTAGTCAAATTAAATTTAACTCTTATCTTATTAATGATTTGAATTTGTTTTTATTTTTTGTGTAAATCAAACCATTTTATTGATTAGATCTGGTCTAGATTGTGTTTTGAGGTAAACTAAAAATACGTATTTTTGGTCATTTTTTTTTTTGGAATATATTTTAAATTTAAGGTTCCTTTTTATCTGATTTAATTAAATGAGGATTTACATAGACCACACCCCACCCTTTTTTTAATTTCATTTTTTCTTGGGTTGCTGATTTCACTTCTGTCGTCTTAATACTTGAAAAATGACCTTTTTCATATTATGGAATACCGACTTCATCTGGCTTGAAAGTGATTACAATTTTCAATATCCCATTAATTTAAAGACAGATTTGAAAACTAGGTATTTGGTCTCAGTATTTTTCAGATGTTGGAAATGCTCTATAATTAACATTCCAAGTCACTCTGAAGTAACCCTTATTTCTCCTTCACCTTATATATATATCAATTAAGGAATTATTAATTTAATAACAAGTTTGTTTTTAATTTATTATTTTTTATGTCTTTATTTTATAAATTAGGTTGGTTTAATATTTAGAAGTTGAATGCAGCATTTATTAATAATTTTGTTTAGTTTATTGTTTGATGTATGGAAATTAAAATCTATTGTTATTAATCTTCAGAATATAAATAACAGTCAAGGATTTAAGCTCATAAGATTGAATTTTAACATTTATTATTTTTATAGTAATTTGTTTTGATTCTTTTGAGTAGTATTTTATTCTAGTTCATCTATCCGTTTTAATATTATAATTAATTATGAAATTAATAATCTTGATTCTTATATTCACTAGTGTTATGGGTGCAATATTCGAATAAGGATATGTGTCATCAAGCACAATTCCAGCCCATAAAATATACCGACAAGTATTTGAATATTGATTAAGCAAGGATATAAAATTTAATAATAATTTTACAGAAATTCCAAAAATCGTTTTGAGTGTGATTGGTTACCACTCTAACTACAATACTTTAGACTTCTTTTCAAGAGTAACTGACATTACAAATGAGGGTATTATACTTTGATTATGAATAAAGGTTTTTAATTGTAAGTTATAAGCGATTGTGAAATTAATGAAATCAGATTTAATTATTTAGCAACAGAACATAAAGATGTTTAAACTGTATGCAATAATATTGAAGTTTAAAAAGATTAAATAGATATTAAATTTATTGCCGCATTTGAAGAATAACCATAAGTAGCAGCCTTTTTAACAGGAATTCACAGAAAAAATTAAGATGATATAATTTTAGAGATAAAATCAATAGATAAACATCAAGTTCAACTAACTACCCAATCCAAAGCAGAAAGTTCTATTGGTTTATGTTTACTAATAGGACCTTAGGATGTATTTAATAGAAAAGAATTACCAATTATGTAAATATCTCAAGGATTACCAAATACTTGTTTTTATGGAATAACATCGTTATCTGGAATAACAGATAAAGGTGTATAATTGAGTTTAAATTAATAATATGTTGAAAACTCATATGAAATAGGATTAACACTGATAGAAATCAATCCAAAACATATTAGCAAATAAGAAGAGGTTAATGATAATAATACATTATCATTTGATGATTTAGTAGATAAGTTTAGTCCAGTTTAACAATAAATAAATACTGATATTTTTGAGACTGGAACCAAAACAAAAATAAATAGTATATAAATAACTTAGGAAGAATTAGATTCAGAATCTCAGATAAACTCTATATCTTTCATCTATCCAGAATAATAAGATCACTAATTGTATATTGAAGATGAAGAATAGAATCTTTAATCAAATCAAGAAGATGTCGAATAAATTATGACAATTAGTGAATCATGGTTGTAACATGACTTATCAGTAGTAGATTAATCTATAAACTAATCATAAGAATCTCTTGATAGCAATTAAGCTTAAATCAATGAAGGATAACAATTTTTAACAAATTTAATTAAACCTCAAGATTATAACACAAATTCAATAGAATATGAAGATTATTAATCACTTAATCGTTAACCTGAGAATATTGTTATTGTTGATAGTACTTAATAAATTGTTGATGAAAACGATAATAAAATAGAAAATAATTAAGATTTTGAATTTGATAACTCTAATTAAATGGATTCCTCAATTAAATATGATATTGAAAATGAGATAGAAAATTAAATTGAGGAATAAATAGATTCCTCATAATAATAAACTGTTGTTGAAGATTTACAAGAATAGATTGTTGAAATGCAAAAGGAAATGTAAAATTTGTAATAAAATTCTGAAAGTAATTTATCATCTGAATTTGATCCATTTAAAATAATTGAATAACAATAATTTATTGTTGAATAATAAAAATAATTGGTTGAATAATAAAAATAAATCATATTATAATATTAAAGATTATTTGAAGAATAAATTAAATAATTATCTGATAAATAACCAAATAGCTAAATTAATGTATAATAAGTAGATTAAGAATTAAAAGGAGATACTGAATTATAAGAAAATACAAATGAAGTTACAAAATAAGATTCATTAGAAAATACAGCAATCCAAAAAGAACACCTTCAAAAAAAATTAGAAACAGATTAAGAATAATAAAATTATGAAGATTCTTAAACTGAAGAAAAATTATAATAAAACACTTAAGATTAAAAGTATGTTTTGTAAGATATTCCAAATTTAAGTTTAGAATACAAGAATGACTTAGAAAAAGATTTAGAATCATTTGACAGGCTCAAATAAAAAAAAGACTAAATAGAGGAATAACAAGCAACTAAAATTTTAAAAGAAATAACTAAAGATCTATAATTTGATGATAAATTGGAAGATACAATAAATTAATTTGAAGATGGTCTTAATGAAGTATTATAAATTAAATAACGCAATGTTATAGAATCAAATTTAAATAATGAAATTACAAACATCACTTCAAATAAGAGAGTTGAATTTAGCAATGTCTTAAATAAAATTTCAAGTAATCACATTTTTTTATTTTTAGACCAAAACCTTTAAGATGTGAGTAATTAAGTTGAAAACATAAGTTTAGAAGAAATTAGTGAAGCAATATTCCCATAAGAATACGAAATGGAATAAGCATACATTGATTGGTCAATGAATTAAGGCTTCATAAAAAATAGAAATGATTAAACAATCAATTAAGAACTTGTTTAATAAACTATTATGCAAAACTAATAAAGCTAAGAAGAATTATAAAAATAAATTGAAGAATTCTTAGAATTAGATAATAATGATTCACATTTCAGTGATCCACTTTTTGATGATTTTCATTCATTCTTTTCTGTGAATTAATAAGTTAAAAACAATTTAAGGAAGAGAAAAGTATTAAATGTTTGAATGATAACATTATAATAAATAAAAAGGAAAAAAACAATTTCTTTATTTTTTTTTTTTTTAATTATAAATCTAATTATATATTTTTATTTTTAAATTCTCATAATTCAACAATTTTTATTTGATTCAGATTTAGTTAAATTGAATTACTCTTGATATTAATTTTAATACTCTAATTTAAATAATATCAAAAAATTAAAAAAAATCACTTTTTTTTCGAAGCCATCAGAGTATTAAATTAGAGAAATATTTCCTTAGAATCGCCATTTTGGTAAAAGGAAATCTTATAGATTGAGGATAAAGAAAAAATATAATTAGAATTGCCCAAAAATACATATCATAATGTTACAAATATAATAGAATTAATTTTAATACTTAAATTTAAGGTTTTCTATTCAAGAAGATCTATTCAAATAAAAGTAATTAAAAAAAAATCTAAAAATTATTATATTATTTTTTGCACAAAATATCAATTTTAGAAATTGAAATAAAATTTTAGAATATATTAATGAATTTGTAGTGATTTCATAATCTAAAATATGCTTCTAATTTGATCAAATTTATACGATCAGTTATCTCATTTCCATTTCTATTATAGATTCGAAAGCTTTAAATATGTTAATTTGAAAATTTTATTTTGATTATTCCTGTAGCAACAGTTGAATCAAAAATGACTTTCTCTTAATCTTTGAATGATGTATAGACAATCAGATTATATTGTCGGGCACCTCTATCCCATAGCCAAAACGTAAAAGTATTCAATTCATAAACTTAGATTAAGGTTATTATGATAGATTTATCAATATAACAGTAGGTAAATCCAGTGCTTGTGGTTACCATATATATTTAATCTCGAAATAAGAGTCCATTTTTCTGACCGCCTTCTAATGAATTACTCGATCTTGTTATTAAAAGGGGACCTTTTGATTATGATAGAACATTCTAATAATTGCCTCTTATAATTGATTTCAATTTGGATTTCTGACAACAATTCCCTAAAATGATTAGCAAGTTAAGGAAAAGTAATTTATAATAAACTTAATTTGTATTTAACATTAAAATTAAAGATTGTTATCAACATAATCCAAATTTGATTTTGAAATATTTATGCTATTGTTAAATATTAACTTCTTGTCACCATAATTAATAAATAAATAATGTAAATAATTATTTTTAAAGTAAAATAACTGTAGACTATTAAACATTCCTATAATTTGAATAATCAAAAATTTAAAGAATCTTAGTATATAATAATTTATTTTGGATACGTATATATAGAAATATTTTATTAATTTAAATTAAATATGCTATTATTTAATCTGAACATTAAAAAAAATTAATTTATAATTTATTTTTCTTTTTCTATTAAAATGAGTATAATAGTAGTGTCGACATAAAATACTTAGAAGGAAATCCCAGAAAAAGGAACTAACTTTGGAGATCTAATTGACGAATTCGAGCCCTCTGGAAAATTTGTGGACTATTAGTTTGCATACAATGGAATTATAGTACAAAATATTTCAAAAGGAACAAAACTAGCAGCTATATGTTAAGGCAAAGGAGGACGCATAGAGATCTAAGTATTATTCAAATATATAAAAGAGAAAATAATCAAACTAACAGTTTTCAAAAATTTAATCAAATAATCCACAACCAAATTAGCCATCACTTTTTACTTAGCAAACATATTAATAAATTACTCCTTCAATTAATCAATAAGATTAAACAAGCAGTTCAATTCAAAAAGGTGAATAATCTGCTAGTGTTTGGGATACTGTATAACAACCTAATCTGTAGAATCCTCAATAGATAGATAGTATTTTTATGAAACTTCCTGCTCAACTACCTGCTAGTCAAAATTCATTTACTCCCATACCTGCTAATGTTTCTGCTACTCCTGGTCCCTTTGTTCCATCAGCTGTTCCTACTCCTCCTGGTCCCTTCGTTCCATCAGCTGTTCCTACTCCTCCTGGTTCTTTCGTTCCATCAGCTGTTCCTCCTCCTGCTACTTTCGTTCCATCAGCTGTTACTACTCCTCCTGGTCCTTTCGTTCCATCAGCTGTTCCTACTAAAGCTCCACCTTTTTCTTAAATTTAACAAACAGCTCAAACAAATATCATATCCCCCCCAATACCTAAATTTGCTTAATCTCCAGTCATGAGTCAAACAATTTAGTAACCATAAACATAAACTCTAAGAAAAACAGTAATATATAAGGATTAAATTAATGACGAGTACAATATTATTTATACTTAGATAAAAAATTATAAATGATTATAAAATCAAGATCACAGAAAAAGGAAATAGAGTGGAACTAGAAAGTGAGAAATATGATTTGAAGGTTGTATTTTTAGAAGAAAATGCCAATGAAGTAATTTAAATAAATAAATAATAGAAAATATAATCAGAAATAAAAAAATAATTAACTAAAGATGCATATCCATAAGATATAAAACTTTTGGTTAAATGTCTAGTAGGGGAATAAAATTAGTCAACAAAAGTTATTTTTAAGAAAAATTTTGATGGGTTGGCAATTTAATGGGCAACTGGCTTAATTACATTGTTTGATTTTAAATTGGAATATTGAAATGACATATCAAAGAATAATAATGTTTAAAAATAATTTATATTATCTTATCTATATTATTTAGGATTCCAAAAAAATAATTATTTATCATATAAATTTAGAAACTAACATGCACATATATTCAAAACTTTATTAATAAGTATGCAAACAATAATGGAATTATTATTAACCAAAATTAAAAAAATAGGCTTTTTTATAATGATCTTCTATTCATTGTAAAAACAATCATAGGGTTGGAAGTCTTTTTAAATTTTTGAATACTTTTGTTAATCAAAATTAATCTTTAAATACAATTATTTTGAGATAGAATATTATTTTTTTAAGTTCTATCAATATTCAATAGACTAGGTAGTAAAAAGGATAACCTTTTTAATGATTTCCAATCTTTTTCAACCTCTAGACTTAAATACATAAATAATCCACTTTGATGTAAATATTTGGATAATTCGCTTTATGTATCACTTATTTATAATATGAATGGGTTTAAAACATCTTTAATTTATTAAATTAATGTTGAGATTTGATAAAAAGTATCGTTGTCTTTTAAATCTATATAGTCTTCTTCAAGAATTTTGGCAGTAGCAATAGGCAGAATATACTTAGTTTACTCTTCATTATTTAATTAAAATTCTGTTGGCTCTTTATTAGATAATTCGACAATATCTTCTGTCAATATTTAAGCAGTTATCTAACCTTTGATAATTTAAACCAATTGCAATTACGCCAAATATCCAATCTATTTATAAATGAATACCTTACATCTTAATTGTTTTTAGATTTTAAAGCAATAACAAATTTTTTAATATTAGCAAATATCTATTTCATTAATTCTTGATTTTTTAGAAAACTCTTTAATTACTCCTTCTCTAAAATAATTCTTTAATATTAATATGGTGTAATAACTTCTGTTGTATAAAGAATAATTAATTTTTCAGGTTAGTTATTAATTCCCTATTTATCTTGAAATTATTATTTTTCAGGATTAGAAGTGATATTCAAATGCCTTTTCAACTCATTAACTGTAGACTTAATAAGTAAATTTTCTTTCAAATTCTTAATCTCTATAGTGATGGTACCTCTAAAATTAAATAAATTTTTAAACCTGCATGTTGGACAACGTGGAATCTATTTAACTGCATTAGTGATACATTCTTTACAAAATGTATGTCCACAAGGTATAGTTATTGGATTAGTTAAGAAAGTCAAGCACAAGGAACATTCAAATTCTTACTAAAAGAACTTAGGTATAGGAGTTGAATCGATCATTTAAATTAATGTTTAAATATTTATGAATTATTCTCATATAAAAAAATAACTATTAGAATCTATTATTATATTGGATTACTCTTACTATTACCTTGTTTATAATAATATTGAAATATTTTTATATATATAAATATGAAAATATCTCAGAATAAAACATCCTTACTTTCAAAACCTACTAAGAATTACAGTTATCATTCAAATAATACAAAAAATATCTTTGAAAGTAATTATTTTCTATAATACTTAGCAAGTGTTCCTCCTGATTTACATTAAAAATTTGGTCCTTAATTTAATGAAAAAGGATTAATGAAACATTCAATCATAGGAAAGCCTGAATGGTTTCTGAAAGTTGCTAAATAAAGAGACTCATAATTGAGGTTTATAAATGATGATGATTCATTATTACATTAACGAAAAGTATTTCATAAATAAAGAAGTATTGAAAATTAATATTTCAAAGCAACTAACTAAAATGACTCTATAAGTAATGTATCATCTTCTTTAAGAACACGCAAATTTTCAGACTATAAAGAAAAAATATCAGATAGCACTAATATATGCAATGTTAATCCAATTAATTTTGATGTTGTTGAATAATTTAATCTTATATAATAAATGAAGAAAATTGGAGATTAAATCAAAGTAAACACTAAATATAATAGAAAATTAATTTATTTTATTATTTCTAAGAACATATATAATTTTGTATCAATATTCATAAAAAATTTAAACTAATAATTTGTGTTTGTTTTAACAATAATAAGAATAAATCATTAAAAATTTGAGTATATAAAAAAAGATTTAAGAAATGAAAAATTAGAATGCTATGAATCAATATCATAAATATAACATATAATGGTAAGAATTTAATGAAAAATTAAAAAGTAAAATTGCTTAAAGAACTAAATAAACAACTCTTCTTGACTAATAGTAATGTAATTCTATATTCTATTGATAGATTACTCTACAAAAGTTGAAACTTTAAATATGCTATAATCTATTTAAAATCAATTAACAGATGATGAAGAAGAATAAAAAAAGAAACTAAATCCTCTTGGAAATCTATTTCTGAAATAAAGAAAAATTTTAAAATTAAAAACAGAGCCTTAATCTATTAAAAATATGGTACATAATCTAATTGCTAAAGAAAAACTTTTTTATATGCCAAATTCTCAAAAGTTAAAAACAAGTATTTTAAGTAATGAGCCTTTAACAAGAGATAGATGTAAATCTGAATTTGATGAATTGAATGTATAAACAATAAATTTAATCAAGGTATCTGGAGCAAGTGTTTATGATAAAGAATTATAATCAATTAAATAAATGCCTGATAGGTAAAATTAAAGATACAAATTATTTAAACATAAACAAATTGAAAAGAGTTCTGAATTATGATGACATTTTTTATATATTACAATGAACTTACATTAAATAGATAACGAGAAATTGTAATTTTATCACTATTTTATTTACTCTAAATAATCATTAACATTCCTAAAAGGTTCATTATGATAATATGATATTGGCATCTTTCCAATTAAAACTCTTACTTTAATTTTTAATTATTTTTATTTTTTAAAATATTGTGTCCTTTTAATAACCTTTTAAATTACTTACAATACCTTTTTTTTCCATTAAAACCAATTTTTTTAGTTCAATAGTATTTTAACTATTATTGAATTGATTTGTTATTTAATTTTGATGCTATATTATAAGGAGATAATAAATCATTTTTAATTTAATTTAAATAATATAGTGGCATAATATTCAATCCTGTTTTCTTTTCTTTTGTTAAATTTATGAAGAATCTTCTAATTTTTAATCGCTACTTTCTTATTAACATTTCTCTATAGTATCTTATTTTTTATACACTTCATCTAATTCAATTGATGAATTACAAACTACACACTAAGGGAGTTTTTTTAATATATTTGCTTTTTGTATTAGATTTTATAATTATTGAGTAGATATTTTATGTCCGCATGGAGTTTCATACTCATCTTTTAACTCGATTTCTTGAATTTTTGGTTTCTATTTATATTATTATTCGTATTTTTATGAAGTTTCTATAAATGATTCTTTTGTTATTTATTATAGAGATTAAGCTACTGGTTTTTATTATTAATATTAAATTTAATTCTCATCTTAATGTCTATTTTACATTTATTAATCTTATATTTTGATTTCTGAGTTATTTTTGGCAAAAGATTTAAGTTATTCTAATCGCTATTCTAATTCATATTTTTCTCGATGTAATTATTGTTGAATTTTTATCAACCTCTTAACTTCTTTTTCTTTCTCCTCATTTTAATACTTTAAAAATTAATTCTCATTTTATAATTTTTATGTATTATCATTGTTATGCAATTATTTTTAGTTCTCTTATCTCTCAATCTATTTTTTTAAATCAATATTTTCCCTTTGTAATACCTCATATAATTTTTGTAATTCTTCATATTTATTTAATAAGTTATCTTTGGATGATTGTAATTGTTCTACACAAAATTAAAGATTATTGAACTTTGATTATAAACTATCATTTTCTTATTTTAATTATAATTATTCCTTGTTTATTTAACTTTAGAGAATAGATGCATAGTTTGAAGATAAAATGGTTTGGCTATTATCATTTATTTAATAATAAATTTTTCTTATGTTGTTTTATTAATTTATAAATTCCATTACATATGTATTCATATTACCTTTAAATAAGGTTGTTTTATTGCTATAAAATTATATTTCTTTTTCTTATCCATATCTGTTTTTTAGAAATATAATTAAATCTAACATCGTAGTTGTGTTTTAAATCTTATAACTTAATTCAGCTTAACTTTCATCTGAATAAAGATTATGTAAACAGATGAGAGTAGATTTGTGATCTGAAATCCTTATAATTGATAACATTTTTATTAATGTTATTTATAATTATTTGATATATTAATAGAAATTTAAATAAATTATCAAATACAAAAATAATTTGTCATATTAATTAATTCTATCCATAAATAACATCTTATAAATAATTTGATATTCATCTTCTCTTTGCAAATAATTATATTGGTAGATGCAATCCAAACTTCATGTATTTAATGTTAATTTATTTTAATTTTAGAATACATAATTTCCGTATTTTATATATTTTTAAGATTTATATTCTACTTACATAAATTTGGGCTTATTTAATTGAGTATTAAATCTAGAAACATCTAAAAAATCAATTAATTTTCCAAATTTTATAATTGAGATATATAAAATTGTAAATCTTAAATCATTCTATTTAAACATTAGATATAAGAAGATTGTCTAATTTAATAATTATAATAATTAAATTGATTAGAGGTTTAAGATAATATATTAACATTAATTTTAAAAATATAGCAATTTAATCATCTTGATCTCTGAATTTCTTTTTGCTATAATATTTAATATATTTTTAAACATCTAAATAATTCCAATGTCTATTCTTTATATATTAAATAATATTATTCATAATATCTATGATTGAAAGGAATCTTTTTCAATTTTACAATGTGAGTTCTTTTACAAACAGCAAAAAAAATTTAGATATATTTATTATTAATTTATTGAAATTTGTACATCTGAATTTTCAATCATCATTAACTTATTAATAAAAGAAAACAATTTAAGCATTGTGATATTTTTATTTTAACAATATAAAGTGTTAAATCTAATTAATTATAACAGCACTATCAATGATATTGATAAATTTATTTTTTTAAGATGTCAGATGCCTATTTAAAAGCTTCAACATCTTTTTAACCTTATAACAATTAGAAATAAGATACTTTTTCTGTAGATGTATCGATGGATCCTTTTCGATTGCATAGGCCCGTAATAAGAGTTTAAACATCTTTCGAAAAAATTATGTAATATTAGTCTACTGATAAACCTTTTTCACCAATTCCACATTGTAATAGACATTTGTTATTTTTTTAGAAATTCAATCTTCATTTGATGGATAAGAGATGTGTTACTTGATGAATAGCCAAAATAAATGTTCATTCAATAATTCATTAGATAGCAAATAATGGTTTCAAAGGCCATTAGACATTTAAAATTCATAATGTAAGTAATCTGTAAATATTCCACTCTAATTTGCTTCACCTAAAGCATCATAAGGAAATAAAAATGAAATAGCACAGTAGAAATAAAATCAATCTAGATCATAAAAAAAACATTTTTAAAAAGAATAACTTAAATTTTTTAAGGAAGATTCCGTCTAGAGTGAAGAAATAAATCATCAGGAAGAAAGCAGCATAGAATATAAACCAAAAAAAAAAAAATAAATAAAAAATAAGCGACAAAAGCATACAAGTGATAGTTCTGAATCTTTTAGGATATGTAGAAAAAAGAAGATATCTAAAGTCAATGATACTAAAAATATCACTAAAAATTATTCAAAAGCTATTATTTCATATATTTTCAATAATCCTCAAGTTGTTTAAAGACTTATGCAAAAACATAGATATGATGACTTAGTAAATTTCTTAAAAAACAAAAAAAATTCAATGACAAATATCAAATAATTAAGAGATTTATGGTTGGATGGGGGTAAAAATGCGGAATACAATAGAGTTTTTAGGATAATAAGGTAAATTTTAGAAATAATTTAGTTAATTATTCTTAAAAACATAAGCAGTCTCCTATGTATACAATTCTAGAATTTCAAATACGTAGTGGCATTTAAAATATAGATATAATCTACTAAGAGCTTTGAAAGAACCTGAAAATTTCAAATATATTAAAGATATTTGAATAAGACAAGTTAATTTTATTTTCAAAAAGCAATCAATATAATTATTTATTTCAATAATAATCAAAAATATTAATCATAGTCTTCTTATTAAGAGTCGAATGATATTTTTTCTGTTATCTAATTTTTCATCCTATAAATTTTAACATTAATCTAATAAGTTACTTAAAATTATCTTCATTTTCAATTTAAAAGAGTCATCAGACTGAATAACATTTCTTATAAATTCTTATGATATATTCATAATTAGAATCTCAGGGCATTCAATTTTATTTGTTAATTGCAAATCATATAATTTTAATCCAAATTTAAATTAGAGTTTAATTAATTCTTATTCAAAATATCCTCTATATTAATATAATGTGAAATTATTTAAGAAATCTCTAAATAATACTTCAAAATAAGGATTATTGATTTGATTATTTATTTTTTATTTAACTTATTGTCTAAAATTTTCATCATAATAAAATTTTTCTATTATAATATTTAAAGCATTTTCATTCTCTTCAAATTTTTATAAATTTTGACTGAATAATTTCTATAATAAGGCTTCATGTATAATAGATGCTTAATCTCTTTATTAAATCTTTTCAATGCAATGAACAAAGTTCATTACTAAATTAATACATAATCATACTTTTTTTAAAACTGGTAGAAGAATTTATGATTCCTTTCATTTTCTCATTGAATATATCTTAAAATTCCTTTTCGAATTGCTTATTTTTTATTTTTCTTAACATTTTAATAATTTCTGCAATTTCTTCAAAAAAATATAAGATTTCATTTTCAAATTGCATATCATTTGGAATTTCTTCTAGAATAGTTTTTATTAATTAAAATTTACTTTTCTAAAATTTATATAAAATTATAGAATACATATATTTCTTATTATGATCTTAATTACTCCTATCCTTAATTTTAAAAATACAAATACACAAAATAAGTTAAATTTTTATCATACTAAAGTAAAGAATTAATAATATTTATGTCTTCTGGTCTTAACACAATTTCTCCGAATAATTATAAAAGATTATCATTATCTTAATCAATAGAGAATTTTAATTTTCTTAAGATTATTGTCATATCTAAAGGTACAATTTTATAATCACAAAATTACACATATAACATAATATATGAAATCCAATCTGACTAAGATGCCTTTAGAATTGAATCCCTATCACCTAACAAAATTTTATTGATTTCATTTAAAATATCATTATCATATTATTTTAAATTCTCTTTAACTCGTTTAAGACTATCTTCCTATAGTTAAGATTGTGAATTTGGAAAAAAATTATGTTTTTTTATAGCTTCAAAAGTATTGCGGGATAAATTTTGTTCATATTTTTAGATGCATTCATTAACTTAACCATATCTTAATAAATCAACAGGAGATTTCGAATTACATACTTTATGTTGTTAAACCCATTACTTAAATCTATATCCCAAAAACTCTTAGTTATTTTTCCAAATTTTGATTAATAACAATATTAAATAACGGTCATTTTAACCATTTTATCTACAAGAAGTTATCATATCATCTAAATATTATTAATCAAACTTATTTTCATGTTTTTATGCAATTTAGATCAGATGAAGTAAACTTTAATTCATTATTTATTAACAATAATTAAATTATGATATTTATATAAATATCATTCTGGTTCTATGATAACTATATATTCTGCTATTTTTATGACTCTTCTTTTACATAAGGGTACAATTTAAGATTAAACACCAGATTTGCTTAATCTCATCCAAGTCCTAATTCAATATAAATTTATACCCGCTAGAAGTCTTTTAATCCTCTATACTCAGTCCTTCATTAGTGAATTCTAATAATGCATGATCAAATGCCATTGTCTGATCTCCAAATGTTTATAATCCTATCATTTTAGATTTTCCAATTGACAAAGTAAATTAAACAGATCCCATTTATGAAGCCAAGACAATATTGCATTCTTAAAAAAAATTAAATTTAAATATACATTAACCATTCTTTTAAAGTGTTTGTATAACTACTTCAGTTGCCCCCATTTATATTATATAGCCTTGCATTAATTAAGTTTTAGTTTCTAAGAGAAGAAATGTTCCTATTAAGCTTCCTCTATCTTATAAATAAAACTATTTTTCTTTAAAAGTGAGCTAAATTAATTAAAATGATTAAATTACCCATACATGAGTCCTACTAACGGATTCATGATTTAATTAAATATCATTTTCTGGATTTCTTCCTATAGTAGCATTTTTCTTTATTAGCCTTTTTTAGGTTGGTAATCCTTCTTTTTTTATTTTAATATTTAATTAATAGTTTTGTGTTTTAGGTGATTAAATTAGATAAAATTATTATTAATTATTATATTTTATATCTTAGTTATCTTTCTTATCTTATTTATCAAATTTAGGAGTGCCAAATTATGGTAAATGATAATCAGATTCTTATAATGATTATTATTATTCTTATTTCTATGGGCTTAAAATTATTGGCTTTTAAATTTATTACATGGATAATTCAGCAAATATATTCTAATAATATAATATATGCTCACTTTTTTATTGCTTTATTACACTTATCTTACTAAGTCTTCTTCTGTTATTTTCTATTGAGACTTTGGAGTAGGTAAGATAAATTATTGTTTTTGTCTACCTCCAGGTGATGGAAGAGGTTCAATAGGAATCTATCCTAGCGTAGTTTTTTCTTCAATTTCAACATCATATTCATGTCTTGATTATAAAATTCTATCTTGAATCACTTTCAAAGGCAGCCTTTCTTATTATGGAATTTCAACTCTAGGAGATGAGATTTATTGAACTTCCATAAATGTTTAAACCATTTGTGGAGTAACTTCATTTCTTGTATGTGATTTGCAATAATTTGTAAATTCTTTCAAACCAATTTGAATCCCTGTATTAATTATATATGTTATTTACATTGTAAAAGTTTCTTTCTTTATAATGCGGAAGTGATACCGATATCTAATAAATCTTAATCTGTTAATATCTCTAAACAAGAACCATCAACGCATTCATTTACTTAAATTTAATTTCAATTAGTACCAAAATAACTATCCAATTAACAATATCCAATATATTTTAGCCATACTAGTACTTCTTGGGTACTCCATTTTTTGGGTGGTTTTGGTAATAAACGAAATAAATCATCATAATCCATTGATCGTTAAATTACAAAAAATTGAATATTATAAATACATAAAATATAAATTAACAAAACTAATAAGGTATAATTAAAAAAAATATATTTTTCAAATAAGTAACTGTTCCTCAAAGAGCTAAGTTACACTGAATATAATAATTTAAAGTTATTTTACATTCCTTTTACTTAATTATAATAAAAAAAGTAAGATAAATCATTAAAAGTTGAATAGCTAATTATAATTAATTAATCAAATTAGGATCTCACCTATTATCTTTTACAAACCTCTCTGCCAATTTTCTTGGTTAATCTCCTAATAAATAGCTATTTTTTTAATTATATTATTTTCAAGAGCAACATTAAAATACATAATTGTTTATTAAATTAATTTACTAATTTACTCTTGATAAAGTTATTATTCTATATATTTTCTTTTTTTCTAAAAACAAGTTCCTTAAGAAATTATTATTTGATTCAACTATTTTTCCACTCTTCCTTTTACCATTCTTTTGATAGCCTCTCTTTATTCGGGAAATGGAACTTATATATGAGACAATTAAGATTTATTGAATTCTGATTCTAAGTGTTTTTTTTTTTATTATTATAAGCAAGATAATTTAAATATAATTGATTAAATTACTTTGTTATTTTATCTTAATTCTAAATTATCATAGTACATCTTCAAAATCAACCAAATCATTGCTCTAATGTTTAGGAAATTAAATTTTGTAATTATTATTATACTTAGGAAGTAATTAGAAATCCACATGAAATCCTTGCATAGATAACAAAAAAGTTAATAAATTTTCGATAATATAAAATCTAATTCATTTGGACACTATAAGTTTCTGAATATTCTGAAAACATTATTATTTTAATTAGTATGATCGTAGGTTTAATATGGTCCAAACCCAAGATGATCAAAAGTTATTGCCAATTCATCAATTTTCAACAAACAAAGATCATTTTCTATTTCAAATTAAAGTCAATTTTGTTTAAATTATCATCTAAATGATCTAGAGTCCAAATTCTGGCATTTGTTATACTTTNGTACTCCATTTTTTGGGTGGTTTTGGTAATAAACGAAATAAATCATCATAATCCATTGATCGTTAAATTACAAAAAATTGAATATTATAAATACATAAAATATAAATTAACAAAACTAATAAGGTATAATTAAAAAAAATATATTTTTCAAATAAGTAACTGTTCCTCAAAGAGCTAAGTTACACTGAATATAATAATTTAAAGTTATTTTACATTCCTTTTACTTAATTATAATAAAAAAAGTAAGATAAATCATTAAAAGTTGAATAGCTAATTATAATTAATTAATCAAATTAGGATCTCACCTATTATCTTTTACAAACCTCTCTGCCAATTTTCTTGGTTAATCTCCTAATAAATAGCTATTTTTTTAATTATATTATTTTCAAGAGCAACATTAAAATACATAATTGTTTATTAAATTAATTTACTAATTTACTCTTGATAAAGTTATTATTCTATATATTTTCTTTTTTTCTAAAAACAAGTTCCTTAAGAAATTATTATTTGATTCAACTATTTTTCCACTCTTCCTTTTACCATTCTTTTGATAGCCTCTCTTTATTCGGGAAATGGAACTTATATATGAGACAATTAAGATTTATTGAATTCTGATTCTAAGTGTTTTTTTTTTTATTATTATAAGCAAGATAATTTAAATATAATTGATTAAATTACTTTGTTATTTTATCTTAATTCTAAATTATCATAGTACATCTTCAAAATCAACCAAATCATTGCTCTAATGTTTAGGAAATTAAATTTTGTAATTATTATTATACTTAGGAAGTAATTAGAAATCCACATGAAATCCTTGCATAGATAACAAAAAAGTTAATAAATTTTCGATAATATAAAATCTAATTCATTTGGACACTATAAGTTTCTGAATATTCTGAAAACATTATTATTTTAATTAGTATGATCGTAGGTTTAATATGGTCCAAACCCAAGATGATCAAAAGTTATTGCCAATTCATCAATTTTCAACAAACAAAGATCATTTTCTATTTCAAATTAAAGTCAATTTTGTTTAAATTATCATCTAAATGATCTAGAGTCCAAATTCTGGCATTTGTTATACTTTCAGACAATTATTTAACAAAATGTCTAACTAAATGTTTTTCTGATCTTTAAGTTTATGTTACAGTTTTTGGAGATGCAACAAGAATTTCTTAATAATTAAACTTAATTTTTTTTGGTTAAAAAGCTTCTTCAAATCGTCTATTGCTAATAGCTTCAACACATTCAGATGTATGTATTTAAGATATTCTAGTTGATTGTGGTTATAATTATAAAAATTAAGGTGTTAATAGGTTCCTTTCTATTTGGATAATCTTTCCCAAACATTTTATGAATTATTCTCTTTGTTACTTTTTCTGCTTGATGGCTTTATTTCTTTATTTTATGGAAGAAATGTCTAAGTTTATAATGATTTTGGTGACATGTAACGAGGAGAAGAGCCAAAAAATGCTCCGATTTATTTACTCTTATTACCAATCTAGGGCTAGAATGAACATTATTATAATTCTAACTATTAATAATTGACTTTTAATTATTCTTTCTTTTGTTAAAGTTCATTGTATTCATCATTTAATCTTAAGTGTATATTTGTTCTCCATTAAAGATGTTTTTGATCAGGTTTATTTGTTTGGGATTTGTGAATAAATTCTTCATATAGATCTTAATTTTTATATAGCTATGGTTTGAAGGATGATTAAGATTAAACAGTTTCCATTAGGTTTTGGTTAGTTTATAGGGGATATTTAATTTCTTCAATTGATTGATTTGTGAGTGGATTTATGTGATATATCACCTTTAGGTAATTTCATTGAATCGTTAATAATTTTATACTAGGAAATTTTATTAATAAATATAAATGATAATAATTTTATAGAATCGATTCATATTCTGAAATTTAATAAGAAAAAATAGAAATAAATATAACTGTTTATTTATATGTCAAACTATCTCACATCCTTAAGAATTTAATATCTTTCTAGTAATTTCATTTTATTCATCAATATTTAATTCTAATTAAAGTATATTTAAATAAAATTACTTTTCATATATTAATAATAGTTAGATGTATAAGTTTCTGGTGTATGTTTTGAATCTTCTCTTCTTGAAACTCTAAACACCTTTGTTAATAAAAAGTAAACTATCTTTTCACGAAATAGAATTGAGATAATAGTAAATGCACAACAAGTAGGTACGCCAGCATAAATTAACCATCCATATCTCCAGAATAACTTAATAAACAGATAGATTTTGATTGGAAAAAAGGATAGAGAATATATTTTTAATTAGTGTCGCATAAGTGATATAGTGAACTTTTTATCTATTGAATATAGATGAGTAATGCTATATCGATCAAATAGGTAAATATAACAATTAAATATAAAACTGATAATAGTTATTACTGGACATACATAAACCAAACATAAACCAACAGTTAAACTATACATTGCATTACAAACCCTGCTTCTTTAAGGGAAGGTTGGAGGTGTCATCAAATTATTTAATTAACCTTAAAAATACTCTTTGCAGTTTTTTTGGATTCTTCTTCTTAAGAAAACAAATCCCATATATCGAATATGTACAGTGTGAAATACATGCTTTGTGATAATCTTATTTTAAGTTAATGTCACTAAATCATAAACAGCTGCTGACATAGTCTTACCACTCCATAGTTCAAATGTAAATATATAAGGTAGAAAAGTTACAAGGAAATAATTAACAACTATAAGAACATGCATGAAACTTCTTTCTAAATGTGCAAATGTATTCTTTTTTGATTCTTTTTAATTTATTATTACTACTAAAATGGCAACTGTAGTAATTATTGGAACTGCCACAGTGAAAATATTTGTTAATACTCTTTAAGCAACAGATAATCTACCATTATTCTTTTCTACCTTATATTCTGGATCATTCTTATATAAATATATGAATTCATATGCAGTCATTAAGGCAGCACAAGCAATTAACATAGTTATTGCACTTTTTACTTTTGCAGCTATTCTTTCTTAAGATCTGAAACCTATATTTTCCCAATACAAGCCATTAATTCGAAATGATTTTTTTACTATTAATTTATCAATCAATTTAGGATTTGGAATCAAATTTAATTTTATTCTTAATTTATTAAACCAAGAAATTTAGAAATTCTATAAAATTAATTAACTTATATTTGGATCATTAAATCTAATAATAGCCTTTTGACTAAATTCTAAAGGTTCTAGTTTCATTTTGTTAATATCTTAATTATTCATAGGTATATTATTAATTTACAACCCTATTATTTATTTATTAATGTTATCATTCACATCTGAGAGCTATTTCATCAAATCACTTATTCTCTAAGATAAAAATTCTTTTGTATAAGCCTTATAAACCTTAACTTCAGTATCTTTATAAGTAATAATTTCTTTGCTGAGCTCTAGTTCTTTAATTTATTATGCTGTAATAACCAAATCTAATAGACAATTTTATCTTTTTTATTATAATGATTTTATTTCTTGAGTATTATAAATATAAACAATCTCTTCTATTTAAGCATTATCCAATAATCTATCATAAAAATCAATTAAATTATTACTTATTTTAAGAAGATATTATCTAGTTGTTGTTTCTTTACATGCTTTCTTTTATAAGATTTAAAATCTCTTTTTCTGTAAGTTTAGAACTCATTCCTCTGATATATATTGAAGTGATAGTCTCATTTTATTTATTATAAGGATCCCTATTCCAATACTTAAATGATCTTATGTATAATATGAATACTTACATATAAGTGATAAGTAGATCATAAAAAAATGGCAAATGAAGATTTATTAGAAATATTAAAAATGCTGATACTTAAAACCATTAGTAATTTGAACCTTTCTCTTAATGCAAATATTCCTGAATTGTCACAATATCAATAAACCCATATGAGTACTAAAATTCACAAGTTCTACACAAATCATTATTCTCTATATGACAATTTAATTAAGGGTTGGAATTGCATATTCGATGAATTTCACTAATGAAAAATACTCCATAGATACAAAACACTATTATGAAAATTATAAGTTAGAATTTGATAATAGTAAAATAAAGAGGTGCTGCTAAGCCATATTCGTCAACAGTTGCTTCATATAAATCTCCAAATACCCAATTAAAAGGTTATCGATGGAATTTTTTACTAATGATTAATAAACTATATATATTGTACTTGCAGCATTCGCAATACTCTTTTGGATAATTATTGAGTACATATTAATCTGGACAAAGATAATATGCTTATCGATGTATTTCAGCTTGTTCCAAATTTGGTGGATAATTGTAATAATCATACTCATTCAAATTTGTAGCGTTCAATATAGAATCACTAATTCTTGAAATTTCTTATTGTTATTCATTATTCTTAGACTGATCTACAAGTTGTCTTTCTTCACAATTAGATTCATCATTATTAGTTGCAATCTTATGATTATGCATCTAATTTATTAAGTTAAACCTTTTTTCTAAAAAAAAATAATATTAATTTTCTTGTAGTAATCATTCTAAATTGTTAATTTTCATTGTTACAATTATAATATATATTGAAGATTTATCATAGATTAAGTAATCTAAACTATATTTAAGTTTTAGATGGGTTCTTCATGCTCTCAATGTAACTGTGAAAAAAGAAATTATGAAAGAGATGTACAATCGTTTCAAATTGAAGAATGTATCACAATCCCAACATGCTAATCCAATCTAGATAAAACCTAGATTGTAAAGCATAAAATGGCAACAATAATTTAAAAATATTGGAGAGGTTACCTAATTCGACGAACATTTAAATAAGAAACATATACATAGCAATCATTTACGAAAACAGTAGTGAGCAGTGTTACTATTGTTAATGATAATTTAGATCTTATGCAAAAGCCTCCTTTTAAGTATGTTATCTAATGATAAGATTTGTAGGTGGAGCAGTCTATACAGGATAATGGAGAGGCAATTCTCGAGATGGTTATGGGATTTAAGTCTGGCCTGATGGAGCTCAGTATAAAGGAGAATGGAAATAAAATAAAGCTAATGGAAATGGTACTTTCATACATGCAAATGGTGATGTTTATGAAGGTGAATGGGAAAACGATATGGCTAATGGTTATGGAATATATTAACACATTGAGGGACCAAAATATGAAGGAAATTGGCTTAACGATAAATAACATGGTTTTGGTATTGAATGCTGGCCTGATGGTTCTTTTTATGAAGGAGATTATTACAATTCTTATAAGCAGGGAAAAGGAAAATACGTTTGGAACACAGGACAGATTTATACAGGGGATTGGGTTTAAAATTAAATATCTGGATATGGATGTATGATTTGGCCTGATGGTAGAAAGTATTAAGGAGAATTTCATAATGGTACAATGCATGGACGTGGACTTTATACTTGGCCAGATGGACGTAAATATTAAGGATAGTATTTTAGAGACTAAAAACATGTATAAATAACATAAAAATTATATAGGGTTATGGTTTGTATGATTGGGGAGATGGAAGAAAATTTGAAGGTGAATGGGAATTTGGAAAACAACATGGGAAGGGATGTATAAGCTTGAATGAATAAAATTTTATTGGTTAATGGAATAAAGGAAGGCGTATCAACTGAATTTACTCAATTAGATTATGAATTATATTATATTATAAAATATACAATTACTTCATGAAATATTAAAAGAATGGCCATCTTTTTGAAGATGGAACATATATTGAATTCAGTGTCAATAATAATAAATAAACATTTATTTACTAATAAATTCCAGATTAGGCTACAGCATAATTATACGATATCAGTTCAGATTTTAATTAGATTGATCAATTATCAGAATCTAAACTTTCACCTGAGATCAAATCTGTTTAAGATAAAAAATAAGAGAGCCAATGCCAGAAATTCTTATATATGATCCCAGTATTTCACCCAACTTCAAAGGGCTTGATAGCTTGGTAATTTATTATGGTCATCATTATATTTTTATACTTCTTCTATATACCATTAAAAGTAATGAATGTGGTTTATTTAGATAGCATTTACTGATGAAATAAATGGCCTAAACCCTGATTATACTAAGATGGTTGATACATTTCTTATATTTTCAATTATTGTTTTGGGTTTTGATTTGTTGGTTTCATTTAATACAGGATTTACATAAAATGGGTAAGTAATTTTGGATAGGCAATAGATTGTGAATCATTATTTAATAATCGTATATATGATTATCTATATTATTAGGAATTCGAATTAGATTTTATTGGAGTGTTGAGTCTGATCCTATCTTATATTTTTGATCTTGATTTTATTAGATTACTATTTTATTTGCGAGTTTATTACGTCATTAGATTTGACAATAAAATTGATCATTAATTATTACTCAAAAAAAGTATTGATATAATAAGCATCTTAAATTAGCATTTAAAGGGATCTACCTTCTTATAAAATTGATTATAGTGATGCTTTTTGTGGCACATATAATGGCTTGTATATTTTATGGAATTTCATATTCTGAATTAATGAAGGATGAAAACAGCCAGACACCTTACATTGATACATGGATTGTTTATAATGGGTATGCTATAGTTAATGACTAAATCATTTAATCTTCTTTGGTTGCTAGATATTTGGTATCATTTTATTGGGCCATAACTACAGTATCTACTAATGGTTATGGAGATATAACTCCTAAGAATAATTCTGAAATAGGATGGACTTTATTGACAATGAGTAAAATGGTAATAAATATTTTTAGTAATTGCTGGAATGGTATTTGCATTTAATATATCATCAATAAGGGAAACATTGATTGATTTGAATTAGGCTTAAATAATGGAACATAATTTTGAAACCATAATAAATCGTTATATGAAAATGAAGAATATTTCAATAAATACTTAATAAAAAGTGATTGATTATTTTTAATATATTTGGAAAGAAGAGAAAAATCGTAATAGAGAAATAGAGGATATGCTTATATCTAAATTAGAACCAGAATTAAAATTACAATTATAATATGAGACTTATATATAGTTTGTTAATTGTCGAATATTTTATATGATGTATTTTAGCACTGAATTTTTATACTAACTATCTTAATATATGGAAGAACACACATATGGTCCTAAAGAAGAATTATATTTTGAGGATAAACAAGGAGATTAATATTTGATGTACCTTTAAAAAGGGGAAGTATTAATTGTAAAAATATATATTAAAAATTTGAGTTTGTGGAAAATTACTATAATTTGGTTAATGTGAAAACTAGAATTGATTATATTGAATAAGGAAAATGTTTAGGATAACAATCTTTCTTTATGAATGAGCGATTCCCATTTAAAGCATAGACTTAAAAATGGTGCAATATTTATAGAGTATCAAGAATAAAGTTTATAAATGTTCTTCGACAATATCAAAAAGATTTTGAATTATTTCATTTAGTTATATCCAAAAGATATAGTGATCCCTATGAATTCTATACAAAATTGGATCTTAAATGTTTTACTTGTATGTCAGAATCACATTAAGCAGATACTTGTGATGTAACTCATTATTAAAAAAATAATTTGGTTTTCAAAATAAATGTAAAGGATGATAAATTGAAAAGAGAGTAATTCGAAAGAAAGCGTAAGAAACAATATAAATCAGTTTTGATTTAACATAAGATCAAACGAATTGCTTAAGATTGTATGATGAGAATAAAATCTACTAAATTTAGGAAACAAATTAATTCGGATAGCAGCTTTGAAGATTCAGAGGAAGATGATTTCTATTAATAATAATAATATTAGAATTAGATAGGTGAAATTAGATAGATGTTAGGAAACATTCTTAAAGAATTAGGAGAAGATGTCAATTTGTAATAAAAATAATAAGTTAAATTATTTATACCTGAACGTAATTAATAAATAAAATAATCTAGGTCCTCAATTTGATCCTTTTGAGAGATCATTTTGCATAGACGAAGTTAAGAACTATGAACATTTCTATCCAAAGCACAACTTGATTACTATAAAAAATAAAATATTTTGATTAATTAGATAATCTTTTTTGGATTAAAAGTATTCAATCGAATTTAACAATATAGTCTAAGTAAGTGAATCATAAATTTAATAAAAATATTCCATAAGTTCTAATTATAATATTCACAATCTATTTAATATTCCTTTTAAAATATTGATATTTTAGATATATATTTTATTGATAAGTGAGTAGAATCTATTTAAATACAAATATAAAAATAAGGGAATAAGAGTATATTGTTGGGTATTTCATTAAAATTATATAATTTTTCCCAATTTGGATTAGATCAATTTGGAGTCATTAGAACTTTAAAATGATTGTTTTCAAACACTTTTATATTCACTATCTTATTTCTTAATTAGTATCGGTGAAAAGATTGATCATTTATTACAATAAAGAAATAGTATCTCTGAAAAAGTTATTTTAGATTGTAATATAAATTACAAAGTATTGTAATTGATAATTGATTTTTTATTTAATTATTAATTTAATAGCTTGATTTGATGAATTTTAGAGTGAATTGAAGCAGTTATCAATCGTTATATGAAGATTAAAAACTTTTCTCTATCAACTCAAACCATAATTATTGATGATTATAGACATATTTAGTAGGAATAGAAGTATTTGATAAGCAATTATTCTAAGAAGATATATATTCAATGAATTAATAAATATAATTTAAAATTGTATAAGAAAACTAAGAATAATATAAAGAAAATATGCTGAAATTAAAAATCTGATAAACTAAATTATGAATAAAATTCATATCAACTAATAATAAAATAAGTACCTATTAATTTAATAGACTTTATTTCATACAGTAACTTTTCAAAACACAGAATTTATTCATTTTATAAAGTAGTTTTCAATTATATGTAATAGCTTTTATTAAACCTAAATTTGATATATCATTTGAATTAGATTCAATAAAAAGTTATCAATATTTTTATCTGTAATATAATCTTGAAAGTATCATCAAATAGTTATTCTGATTTTTTATTACTTAATTTTAATTACAAAAATCCATACTAACTCTATTGAATAATTTTTATTTATACTTATGTATTATTATATAAAATTTATCATTTATTTTTAAATTCAAAAAAAATGTCAATTGCAGATTTTGCTGAGAAAATTTATGTCGAACTAGACAAAATGGGATTGCATTCATCAAGTATACGAGTAGAGATATCTGAAATTATTGATTTTGCTTTTAGAATCTAAGTATGTGATATTATTCCTATAAATTAAGTATGAGAAGGAAGATATTGAAAAAAAACTATAAACAGAGATTGATAGATTGTTAATTCAATTATCATAAAAATAAACATGTTTAGTACATTAAACAAGTATTTATTTATATTTACAGAAGAATAGGTGATCTTTGATTTTGAGAAGATAGAACTTCTTCTATATGAAAAAAATGAATATAAATTGTTGCATGATTGTATTGATTTTATTAAGGCATGCAAATTGAACTTTTAAAAACGAAATATACAGAATTGGGATTCAGAATAAATTTCAGATGATGGTACTATTTCTATGATTAAATTATAGCATTTTTATGTTCAAATTCATTAAATATGCAAAAAACTATATTATTTGCTTAAGAGAATAAAAAATTATAGGAAATTATTTAAAATATCAATAAGAGTTCAATTTCATTAAGTTAAAAAGAACAATTAGTATACAACATCATTAAATCATAAACAAAAACATAATCTCCTAAATAACATGTAATTCTAGATGTAATTTAATTTAAATGATATTAGGATGTACTTAATATTAGTTATTAACCTAATAATAAAAAAGGAAATATTAGTATTTTATCAAGTATTTAATTTCCTGATTAAATAAATACAAAATTAAATAAATTAGGAGACAAGATCTTACTCCTTACAAATGAAGGATTTAAAGATTGTGCTTCACCAAAGTTCTAATTCTCTTCATTAAGTCCTATCAAACCACTCTAAGAAATTAAAGAAAAATCTATAAAATCACATAGATCTTCATTAATTTTAGGATCATTCTAAAATACAGAAAATAAGTCTTAATAACAATTTATTATACCAAGAATTTAAATTGAAAAACTTGATGATTTAAAAGAAAAAGATAATACAGATTATAAAGAGATCAATAAAAAATATGGAAACTTCAATTCATAAGATAATAATAAATCAACCAATATGCATACTAATAAGAAGAAAAACCCTAAATAATTATCGTTATTTGAAAAACAATCCTTCTACGATCGAAGCACTTTCATAAACATAGTTTCAAATATCCCAAGAAGTAAAGAAACTAAAGACACAGATAATAGAAGAAGTGATTCTTAAAAATCTAGAGAACGAAATCAAACATTTCATTGTGGACAACCTTAATAAAGTAAATTTCTTAAAGAATTAATGCAAAAAGTTTATTCTAGAAATAATCCAATCAAAAAACCCTACAAGATTAGTGAATTTGAAAAAAAATAATTAAGTCTTTTAAGTAATATATATTATAATATTAATAGTTGGAAAGGCTAAAAAATAAAAATCGTTGCATTGTTGAATAATTTTCATAATAGCTTATTTTCTTAAATTTTTTTTTTGTATAAATTTTTAAATATCATAAAAATATATTGATATGAAGATTTATGGAAAATAGATATTATTGGAAAATGGCTGAAATTTGTCAAAATTACTATTTCAGAATAAAGGAGTACTTCTAAAGAATAAAAATTGAAATACATAAGAAGAAAATGATTAAAAATTTAAACAAACCCATCAAATAATTTTTAGAATTTGCATCTCTTATTTTTCTAGTTCGTTTATTCTCAAATTTTTTGATTGAAATAGAAAATTAATATTTTCATTCTTGAAAATTAATTATTTCTTGAGATTAAACTTACTAAAAGCAATTTACATAATTTATTGTCATATTCTATAAAAAAAACAAAGATGTAACGGAAAATCTATAAATACCCAATAGCAATAAATTTTATTTAAAATATAACCAACCTTGAATGAGATCACAAAGTCTTTAGAAAACATCAGATACTTACAAATTTTCTGTTAATTTTGTCATTCCTATGAGAAAAAGACATGTTTTTTAGCTTTCAACAGGAAAAAATCTCTTAGGATTTACTCCAAATGAGGTGCAATAATCAAAAAGAGAAATTTTACAATAAAATCAATAAAGATAGTTAGAGAAGCAAAAGTTATTTGGAACCTCTAGTAACTATTATCGTAAGTAATAAATTGTATTGTTATTCACATATTCTTAGCATAATTTGATTATTTCAAATAATGTTTAAGACGATTATAATAAAAAAATATAAAATAGNTCTTAAAAATCTAGAGAACGAAATCAAACATTTCATTGTGGACAACCTTAATAAAGTAAATTTCTTAAAGAATTAATGCAAAAAGTTTATTCTAGAAATAATCCAATCAAAAAACCCTACAAGATTAGTGAATTTGAAAAAAAATAATTAAGTCTTTTAAGTAATATATATTATAATATTAATAGTTGGAAAGGCTAAAAAATAAAAATCGTTGCATTGTTGAATAATTTTCATAATAGCTTATTTTCTTAAATTTTTTTTTTGTATAAATTTTTAAATATCATAAAAATATATTGATATGAAGATTTATGGAAAATAGATATTATTGGAAAATGGCTGAAATTTGTCAAAATTACTATTTCAGAATAAAGGAGTACTTCTAAAGAATAAAAATTGAAATACATAAGAAGAAAATGATTAAAAATTTAAACAAACCCATCAAATAATTTTTAGAATTTGCATCTCTTATTTTTCTAGTTCGTTTATTCTCAAATTTTTTGATTGAAATAGAAAATTAATATTTTCATTCTTGAAAATTAATTATTTCTTGAGATTAAACTTACTAAAAGCAATTTACATAATTTATTGTCATATTCTATAAAAAAAACAAAGATGTAACGGAAAATCTATAAATACCCAATAGCAATAAATTTTATTTAAAATATAACCAACCTTGAATGAGATCACAAAGTCTTTAGAAAACATCAGATACTTACAAATTTTCTGTTAATTTTGTCATTCCTATGAGAAAAAGACATGTTTTTTAGCTTTCAACAGGAAAAAATCTCTTAGGATTTACTCCAAATGAGGTGCAATAATCAAAAAGAGAAATTTTACAATAAAATCAATAAAGATAGTTAGAGAAGCAAAAGTTATTTGGAACCTCTAGTAACTATTATCGTAAGTAATAAATTGTATTGTTATTCACATATTCTTAGCATAATTTGATTATTTCAAATAATGTTTAAGACGATTATAATAAAAAAATATAAAATAGAAAATAGATATTGTGTAGCAGGGGTAGGGCAAATTAAAAAAGAAAGTTTAAATAATTATAATAGTATAATATTTAAAGGTGGATATGATTAATAAGTAGAGATTAAAAGTTTGAACAATGAGAATGAAAATTTGAAGGAGATAATAAAAAAATGAAAAATAAATTAAAGCAATTTTTAGAGATTGGGAGATATTTTGGAATAGAATCTATTACTAAAAGAGAAAGTAGAAAGATGAGAAAAAGAATTAAAACAAGTAAATTAGTAGGAACAAAACTAGAAAATAGAAAATTAATGACTTATTTATATTTATTAATAATTTATTAACGAATATAAAGTTTTGCTTGCTAATGAAACCTATTAAAATAAAAAATAACGAAAATGTAAATCCATTACCTTAAAGATCTAAGATAAAAAGAATCAATGTATGATAATAATTTTAGTGTAGATTGCTATAGAATCATTTGAGAATCCTGCATAATTTAATATTTCTCCTTTAAGGTTGAAAGTAGAAAATGATGCATAAGAATATCTAGAAGCAATCAGTGCATTTTAAACAATTGAATTATAGAATCCAAAAGTAAAAGAAAGAGCTAAAAGTGTTAGTAATAAATTAGAAATTTATAATAGTGGAAGATACGGATTTTGGTGCATGGTAAGAGCAAAGATACATTTAACCAAATTATAATTAACATCGATATCCTTATAAAAAATAATAAAAGAGTTGTTAGTTTAAGATTAGACAGTAATCACCTAAAATTTAATAACAAAATAAAATAACTAATAAGATAATTCAATATCCATTGACAGGTTATTTAGAAAGGAATTAAAATCAATTATTATAAAGAGATAGATATTTTAAAATTATTCAGAATTTGACTGGAGAAACTCATAGAAAAAAAACAAAAAAAATAGTACCTATTAGCACTCAAACTAGTAGAGCATAATCATCATTATCATTTTAACTTTGAAAGTAATACTACATAATATTTTTTTATTTTCGTTAATAAAGCATTATATATACATCAATATAAAGTCAAGGGGCAACAGATTGTTTTCTCTTAAACCATTATAAAACTTCTTCATCATCATGAAATAATTTAATTCCCTTGAATTCATCACAATCGTCAAATTTATACAATTCAAAAGCTTAATCTATTAAATATTGCTTCTAAATTTCCTTTATTTAACACTGAGAATATTCGAAGGTAAGTTAAGGAAATTATTATTTCAACTACAATAGTAATACATTTGATTATTCATAAAATTAGAAGTAATCTTTCATTTCTTCTTTACTAAACAAAATCTTAATACATTATTCCTCCAAAACTTTTTATTTGATCTATAAAATATAATTATTTATTTACTATTTTCACTAATTCGTATTTATCATAATAAATTTGAATATCATAGTAAGATTAAATTAATTCAGCTACTTGAATCACAATTCTCTCCCAATGTTATTATTCTAAAATAACTAATCTTGGTTAGAAATTAATTCTTCTTTCATTCGCGTATAGATTTTTGATATCCAATAGTTTTCTCCAAGACAATTCAAGTACTGCATTATTAAAGTATAATCGATTTGTCAAAATTTTTGCTTTTAATTCTTTATGAGAATCTAAATAACTTTTAATGTAATCATCAACTATTTTCTAAAAATTAAATTACATTGTTATTTTTATTCTTCTGGTGTCATATCCTATTTATTTTCTTATTATTAAATGTCTTCCTTTGAATTAAAAAGTCCTTTTGCAAATTAAGTTGTAGCATTTTTTATTGAAGAAAAGAACTTTTTCATTAAATTAATATTTTAATTAAATATGAAAAATTTAATATTTATAGGATAATAATATTCAACTTAAAAATATATATAATAATATTTATCTTAAATCAAAATAATAATTATTCAAAAAATAAATGGCTATCTAAATTACTTCTTCATTCCATTAAAATTAGACATTTAAAATTTAAATTAATTCTTTTCATAATTATTCATATATTGATTGATAAGATATGAAAATAAATTAATTTAGTTTAATATCAAATGAAACTCATTATTGAATTTAGTTATTATATTTGTATTTTTTAAGTTGGAATTACTTTATTTAGTATAATTTGTTTTATGTTTAAATTTAATAATTATAAGATAATTTATTTGATTTATTTAACTCTATTAACACTTAAGCAATAAGTTAAGGATATTTAGTCATAAAAAGTAGATTTTATTGTGAATGAAAATAAAGATGTTTTTTTAAGTGCCAATATAAATGATAATAAATGTTTTATAATGAATTTAAATGAAATACTCATTTTTGTACTGTTTTCTTTCTATTAAGATCCTTTTAGCATAGATTAAATGGAATATTAAGGCAATCTTCACAAGAACATTATTCTCCACAAATTTATCCTCTCTTAAAGCATTCACAATACTTTTTTTAACATCCAGTAGTTTTACATTTACATCCATAACTCATTTATAATGATAGTAATTCATTTGCTGGAACCTTTTTATCACGATGGCATTTTTTATAAATATGATTTATGGCTTCATCTCTAATTTCAGCAAATTCTGCACAATTTTTACAATCTTTGCATTAACATTCATCTAAGCAAGTTCTACCACTATGAAAGCAAGCACAATATCTCTTAAGACAGTTACTCTAAGAACAATTACATGGTTAAATTTCTAAGTCTTTGTTATTGTCTACATTTCTTTTAAATTTATTTTAATCTTTTTGCTTTTTGTTCTATTATTTCTCTTAATTTTAATTTGGATGAGGCTTTTAGAATTGTTACTTAATGTTTGTCTATTTGAATTCTTGATCATCTTCTATTTTAATGGGTATTTCTGGGTTTTAAGTATAAGGTTTATGAATAAAATTAGAAAAGTTAGATATATAAGGGAAAAAAGGATCGTTTGGCATAACAGGATGACAAACAAACCAAGAATTTTAATGATCAGTTAGTATCTATTATAAATTCGATTGAATGGGTTAACTAATTTTGATAAGAAGTAATAATACTTATCCTGCTTAATATAGAAAATTGGGTAATATTATATTCGATCTTAGTTTGGAAGAGGAGGTAGAGAATATGGTTATTGTTAAGCTTCCTATTCTAGTTTTGGTTGTGAAGAAAATTATGATTTCATTTTGCAAACTAATTAAATCAATAGACTATCGAATCACTTGATGTTTATGATAAAATAATTGAAAACAAGAAATAGAAATAGAAAGACGATAAAAATTCAAAATTTTAAATGTTATTTGTACATTTATAAAAATATTCATAATTGTTCATTTCAATCTCTGTCAAATAATCTATCCAAAAAGCTCTTTGGTTTGTTCTATTATTGGGCAGGTTGATTAGGTCCCTAAGAATCATAATGGTATATTAAATTACTTATGTTTTATCCAATGGTTTAGCTGGAACAGTAGCTCCAGGACGTCTTGGGGATACAGTTTAACCCAATGGAAGAGTTGTAGTTGGAGCATAAACAGGAGCAACTTATGGACGAACAGTTTAAACAGGGATAGATTAGACCAAAGGTTATTAAACAATTGGTTATTAATAAACTTAGACTGGTTATGGTTAAACAACTTAGACTGGTTGTTAAACAACTTAGACTGGTTGTTAAACTACTTAAACAGATTGTTAGACAACTGGTTAAGCTACAACTTATTAGACTTATTAGACTGGTTGATGAACAACTTATCTTTCTACTGGATAATATTCAACTCTTTCTTGATATCTATCAACAGGTACATATTCTAAATTAGGAATATATAAAGACCTGTGTATTTCTCTTAGAATACTTATGGTACATATTCGGTTTGGTATTCCACTGCATAATAATCTGTAACATATTTTTCTCTTGGCACTTAAATTCTTTATCTGACTTCTTCATATTCTACAACAGTTTTTTCATATGGGACATATTCTATTCTGCTTTCTCCTTAGATTGTTTATGGTGCAACAACTGGTTGAGCAACGACTTGTTAAGTAACAACTGGTTGAGCAACAACAGATTATGTGACGATTGGTTGTTAGACAACTGGTTAAGCATAGACTGGTTATTGAACAACAGGTTAAGCATATACTGGTTGTTAAACAACTGGTTGAGCATATACTGGTTGTTAAACTGGTGCTTGATAAAGTGGTTGTGAATATCTCAATGGTGAGGAGGTAAGAGGGGGTCCATAAGTAACTGGAGCAGGAGCATATTATGGAGCGAAACCTGGTTAGAATGTTGGTTATTAGTATGGGCCAGGTTATGGAGCTTAAGGTGGATGTTGAGAGGGTGGAATATTGCTCATTTTTATTTTTCGATAAATAAATTTATTTTGAGATTAAAAAAGATATAATTTTTATGAATAAAAAATAAATAGCGTCACTTTTTATTTAATTAATAATTATCAATCATGAAGAAAATTATTTATTATATGCCCAATTCCTGATTTTGTACCTTTAATAAAATCCAACTTTAAAATAAAATCACTTATCTTAATTTCATCATTATGATGAAGTTCAATTTATTTTGATTCAATTTTTTAGTCTGATTCTTCTGCAGTTTATAAACTAATCCAAGTACCATTAGCGGAATCTCTATCTTAAAATCCATCATTTATTATCCATGCAGAAAATCTAATTTAAATAAATCTAATTACTTTTGAGAATATTTTATACGGCATTACTTTCTTGATATCGTATTGGAATTGATCTTAATATTGTTTTCAGCTCCTCTTCCTACAAAATAATCATTTGTATCCATCTAAATTTTTCCTACAAATAAGTTTATGGCTCTATTAATATCCACTCCTTGACCCAAAAATTTCACAATTAAAATAGGGATCTAATATTCCCTTAACTTTTAATAAAGGTCTTAAATTGAAAGACTCTTTATAGATTCAATAGGTTCAAAAATACTGGTTTAATTTAATTGTTCACTAAAATGAATTTCGTGGTTTTAAGGATGTTTCAAAGTAGATAAGTATTTGATTATACTATACCATTCTTCATCTATCTATTTTAATTTTAGATCCAATCTGTGATTAAAAACAATATTAAAAAAAGTGTCACTTCCTATACTAAATTTATGACCTTATTAAAGCAAAGAAGGTTCTTATCTAAAGACACGCAAATAGGTTCCACATATACTCCCAAGATCTTATATTTACACAATTTTAGGTTTTCTATACTAATAGATTAATAATCTACTCTAAAAATTAGCTAATTCTATATTTTATTTAGGCTGGGAGATTAATTAGTTTCAAAACTCTTAAATAAAGAGGATCTAATAATTAATTTTTTCTGAAGTAATCATTGCAGATAATCTTGCAATGAATTCGAGATATCACCCTATCTTCAGGTAAAACTATCCTAATAGAATAATAATATGTTACTTATGTCATTAGGAACAATATCCTAATTTTATCGATATAATCGACCTATTAGTATGTCTACAGAATTAGTGTTTTTTTGTGAATCTACAAGTCTATGATATTATTTAATTTGACATACCCAAATTCATTAATAAAATATTGATGATTTATGTTCGTATTTCTAAATTAAGTTATTTTGATATGAGGGAGTCTTGGATCAAAATGGTTGTTTTAAAATAGGATGGTACGCTTTTGAAGGTATTTCTAAATATTTTGGGGTTTTTCTCTAATTTCTTGAACACAAAAATACCTTGGTGATTGTCTATCTCTTCCTATTGAGGCTCTTGTCAAAGGGAAAAAAAATTAGTTTTCTTCCTCCTCAAAGAAAGTATCATTTCTAATCAAAGGAATATTATCCAAAAGTTAATTGAATTGTTCTATTCCTAATTATAAAAAGGACAAAATTTATCTATTAATAGGTATATCAAGTTCGATTGAGTTATCTTAAATTTGATTATCGAAATTGCTCATTAATTATATTAATAAAGTAGAAAATTATAATGAAAATTTATATTTAAATTATTTGCAGAGTTTAAAACCTAATGGAATTTGTAAATTATAAGATTTTATTCTATGAAATCAGCTTCTTCTCATTCTTCTATCTCTTTTTGGGGGATCTTAAGCTTTTCCAACACAATTATCATCTTAATATGTGTATAGATTTGGGAAGGGTTATTTTTCAGTGGCTTTTCTATTTTCTTCAGTCAAATCATCAGCGAATTTCTAAACTTTTATTATTAATATACAGTTAAATGTTTCCTAGCTTAATTGGCAGCAGTTTCTTCTTTTTTTTGTCCACTCAAATTAGTTGTTGGCAAACAAGCATCTCCAGATTTCATTGCTAAATTATGTCCAACAATTGATTTAGTATGTTTCAATCTATGATTTTTAGCTTAGATTGCTATAATGAAGATCAAGAGCAAAACAATTTTTTTTAACATTATTATAATAAAAACGAAATGTGTTTATACTTAATTAATTAATAAATTAATGCAACAACTATAAAATTGTCTGCTTGATAAAGACATGATTCTACAAAGTGATGGTACTCTATATATCGGTTCTTTTAATCAACAACATCTTGAAGGTTATAGTTTGGTAATCAACCCAGATGGATGTAATTTTGAGTTTAATAATTAGCATACTATTATGGATATTTTAAGAGATCAAAACCTAAAGATGTAGGTGTTTATAAACTGAAAAACTCATGTTTAAAGATAATGTGGGGAGATGATGATACAATAAAGAACGTAGAAGATATTGAAAATGTTGGCTTCATACAAAAAATTATTCCATTTAAGAATAATTGTTACGGCAATAAATTACTCATCAGAATCAATCCATTAAGTTATGGAATGGCTAAGAACTAAAAATATGATGGATTTACAGTTATGCATTATAAAAACGGGGATATTTACTATGGGAATGTGTATAAAGGAAAATAGAATGGAGAAGGCATTCATTTTAATAATTATTTATAAGAATGGCATTGGAACAAATATTCTCATGGAAAATTAATTTCACATTAACTTTATGGTAAAAATCTTGTACCTAGAGAATTGATTAGTAAGATTTTATAATTAATTAGGCAAACTATTTAATAAATTAAATTTTAAGCCTTCCTAAATAAGCATGGTCTCTCTATCCAATATACAATAATTAATAATAAATTAATTACTAATCAATAGTGAATAAAATCATTTATCTTTGGCATCTACTATTTAAAGTGCTCATCCTGCTCATCGAGATAATCTCTCATAAATTTTGATTGATTCAGAGGATATTAATCAAAATGATGAATTGGAAATATTACAAGATTCATAAATTATATCCAATGATTAAGAACTACAAATTTATAATCAAAATGATTAATAAGAAGAAATAGAAGCAAAATTATCAAAATGTTAAACAGAAGAGGCTTTATTAAAAATTGAGAAACAACGATAAAATAAATTTTTAACATAGCCTTCTCAATCAAAATCTCCTAAAAATAATAAATAATAACATACTCCATTAAATAAAATGTTATCAGCACCAAAAATTACTATATTTAAAAGGTCAGTTTCACCAGTTTTTACAACTATTCGTCATTTGTTTTCAGTAATCAGAATTTGATTTGATAATATNCATGATTCTACAAAGTGATGGTACTCTATATATCGGTTCTTTTAATCAACAACATCTTGAAGGTTATAGTTTGGTAATCAACCCAGATGGATGTAATTTTGAGTTTAATAATTAGCATACTATTATGGATATTTTAAGAGATCAAAACCTAAAGATGTAGGTGTTTATAAACTGAAAAACTCATGTTTAAAGATAATGTGGGGAGATGATGATACAATAAAGAACGTAGAAGATATTGAAAATGTTGGCTTCATACAAAAAATTATTCCATTTAAGAATAATTGTTACGGCAATAAATTACTCATCAGAATCAATCCATTAAGTTATGGAATGGCTAAGAACTAAAAATATGATGGATTTACAGTTATGCATTATAAAAACGGGGATATTTACTATGGGAATGTGTATAAAGGAAAATAGAATGGAGAAGGCATTCATTTTAATAATTATTTATAAGAATGGCATTGGAACAAATATTCTCATGGAAAATTAATTTCACATTAACTTTATGGTAAAAATCTTGTACCTAGAGAATTGATTAGTAAGATTTTATAATTAATTAGGCAAACTATTTAATAAATTAAATTTTAAGCCTTCCTAAATAAGCATGGTCTCTCTATCCAATATACAATAATTAATAATAAATTAATTACTAATCAATAGTGAATAAAATCATTTATCTTTGGCATCTACTATTTAAAGTGCTCATCCTGCTCATCGAGATAATCTCTCATAAATTTTGATTGATTCAGAGGATATTAATCAAAATGATGAATTGGAAATATTACAAGATTCATAAATTATATCCAATGATTAAGAACTACAAATTTATAATCAAAATGATTAATAAGAAGAAATAGAAGCAAAATTATCAAAATGTTAAACAGAAGAGGCTTTATTAAAAATTGAGAAACAACGATAAAATAAATTTTTAACATAGCCTTCTCAATCAAAATCTCCTAAAAATAATAAATAATAACATACTCCATTAAATAAAATGTTATCAGCACCAAAAATTACTATATTTAAAAGGTCAGTTTCACCAGTTTTTACAACTATTCGTCATTTGTTTTCAGTAATCAGAATTTGATTTGATAATATGGTTAAAATAGAACGATTCTTAAGAATTCAATATATATTTATTAAATTTATTAATTTTTTTAGTTTTATTAGAAAATAAAAGGAAAATACATAAAAAATTTTGTAAGAAATTTATATTTATTAAAAATATTTAATTAAATAATGGCTCAAGCTGATAGAAAAGCAGTTGTGAAAAATGCTGATATGTCTGAAGAAATGTAATAAGATGCCATCGATTGTGCTAATCAAGCATTAGAGAAATTTAATATTGAGAAGGATATTGCTGTAAAATAACTTTTTAGATTGAATAGGCATTTATCAAGAAAGAGTTTGACAAGAAATATAATCCAACTTGGCATTGTATTGTTGGCAGAAACTTTGGATCTTATGTTACACATGAAACCAAGCATTTCATCTATTTCTATATGGGATAGGTAGCAATTCTTTTGTTCAAGAGTGGATGAGATATAAAAAATTTAAATTATTATGGAAGATAATTAATGTTTAGCTTCTCTCTTTGCTGACATCTTATAAATTGTCAAGCCCTAATCAGCTGACATGTAACAGTTTAAGGAAGTCTCTAATGAAAGATTAAGAAAATGTATTCTTGAATTAGTTCGAGAACTCTCAACTCTTCTGTAGAATCTTAAGGAATAGTTAGAAGAATTTATTGACAACAAATATGAATAAGAGATCCAAAGACTCGAAAATACAATTCGATAACATATAAGAGTAGAATAATAATAAAGATTACATATAGAGGCACTCACTTAAAAACTAGAAGAAGAATAGTAGTAATATGTAGCAGAAGTCAAAAATTAAAATGAAAAAATTAAGTAATTAGAAAATGTCTGTTCTTAAATATCAATAAATAAAGTCTAAAATCTGAATTAAACTAATTTTATTATAGATCCTAATAAGAAATCACCAACAGCTTATGATAGATTGAATAAATTGGTAAGTGCCAAAACTAAATAATATACTTAATCTTCATCAACTATCAATTCATAATAGTTATTAAAAATTTATTCAAATCCACAACAATTATTAAAAAAAATGCAAGATAATAAAAATATTGAATAAATCAGAGTTGATACACAACAGTCTGATAAGGAATAAAGTTTATTGAAGCTTAGAAGATGTGTGGAAGATAATCAAAGTGGAATGTTTCAATCTTAGAGAATAGAATCCACTAGTATGGAAAAATATAATAGAAATTAAAAACTGATGAGATAATCATAGATTATGGGAAATAGTTTTGATCTTGTTTCGAAGACAATGTAACATTACAAGAAGTAGTAAAAAAGTATTAGTACTTTAAGATAATCATGGAAGAAATGATTATTATCTCCTTTTTAATTAAAATAATAAAATTATAATATGAGTTAATTAGTTTGCTCTTCTTGTTTACTTAATTTCCCAGAAGAACCTGCCTATAAGGAGCATTATAAGACAGATTTTCATAGATATAACATTGCTAGGAAAATGATTAACCTAGCCCCAGTCTCATTTGAAGCATATAAAGAAAGTAAAATAATACAATCAATTATTAGAATTTGATAAAATTTCAGAGTAAAAGATTATTACTCCAATTCAATCTTAAACATATAAATGTTGTAATAAAGAGTTTAAGTCAAGTTAAACTTATTAAAGTCATCTTGTTTCAAAAAGCCATTAATAAAATTAATTAAAATCCCCTATTACAACAAATAGAAGTTAAACAGGAAATTCTTTATTAAATAGTAATGTATGCTTATTTTGTGATGAATTATATGATAATATTGAAGATTGTTTAAAACATATGAGCAATCATGGATTTTTTATTCGTGAATAAAAGCATTGCATAAATATTGAAGGATTGTTAAAAGCATTATCAGAATAAATAAATAAAAATAATACTTGTTTACATTGTTTCTAAACATTCAAAAATAGTCATGCTGCAAAAGATCATATGTTAGACAAAGGACATTGTTTTATGCCTTAATAAGAATATAAGGTTTTATCAAAATATTATAATTTTGAAGAAAAATTATTAGGAATATTGGCAGAATAAAAGCAATAACAACTATAAATTGAAGCCAAAAAACAACAATTATAATTGAAATAAGAATAAAAAGAAGATGAAAATGATAAGAAAATTCAAAATTAAATTGAAGAGGAAGGTGATTGGGAAGATGATGAAGATATAGATATTGATTCTGATGATAATGATGATGATGATGAAGAGGATTTGAAATTAAAATTAAAATAAACTGATGATTTACAAACTGATGAACAATTAAGATAAAAAAGATTAAAATAATTATTAAAATAAATTAGTAAACATAAAGCTACATTAACAAAGACTGGTGAATTATTATTACCAGATGGAAAATTGTAATCATATTTAATTTTAAAATTAGATTGGGCCATAGAGATTATAGAAAATATTATAAATAAAATCATATTCCTTTTAAAGTTGAAGAAACTGAAAAAGTAGAACAATGTAAAAAATATATATTATAATATAGTGGATTTAGCTGATGAAAAATAATTAGCATTATTAAGTAATGAACTTATAGTTGGCCATTTGAGACATTTTTATTATCAAAAGACTAGAACATTTGTACATGGACAAACAAAAAATGGATAAAGAAACAACTTAATTTAAATGAGATGGTTAAGAAAATCTTGTTGATTATTGTTAGTATATATAATTTTAATCCAAATTTAATGTTAATATATAAATAATCATTTTATATATGATTACAAAATTCATTACTTTTAAATTGGATTTGTCAGAATTCCATTCCATCAAATAAATTGTATAGTTGACTAATGGATATACTATTTTAGGAGAATAATTAGTAGAATAAAAATTAAGTATGAAAAGTTACATATATTAGAATCTATGACAATTGCATTAAATAATTAATTGTTGTTACATTTTGAAATATAAAATGGATAATGCAAATTTGAATAGCCATATCAAATTGGATAAGGACTCTTTATTTTATCCAATATAGTTGCCAATGACAACTTTTTAATTGCATTAATTTCAAGGTAGGGAAATAGAAGCTTAATTTAAATCAATCCAAAAGAAAAAACTAATATGTTTCTAATTCCTAACCTTCCATATTAACAGTATCATATTAGTAATTAGATATTAATTAGATTGTGAATCTAAATTTTAACTGATTTCATTTAATGACAGCATTATATTAATAGAAATACACCAATCAGAACATTTATTAATGTTAGAAATTCTTAGTCATCCTAAAGCTTAAAAAACTTAAATGAAATGTAAAATAGGATAAAATATATAAATTTAAAAAATACATAATACTAATTAAATACTTATAGTTTTGGATGAGGATCTTCATATTTTTGATATATCTAATGATATTATTAAAATGAATAAATAAATGCCTACATAATTTAAGATTAAATTTGCATTAGAAATTTAAGATAAATAAATTCTAATTTTGAAAGATAGAGTTGATAAATTTTATAAATTTTGTGATTTTCGTTGTGATTCAGATTATTTTTTTACTTTAAAATGTAAAGAACTACTTAATGGATAAGTTAGTATTGAAACTGAAAAGAAATAATCTATAAATTTAGCTAAATTTAAAGGTGAATTTTATATCTGGATAAGTACAATTTATAATTGTAATGGTGAAGATTTTAAGATTCTTTATATTAATGCTTTTAAGTTGAACAATTAATTACAAGCATAATTTATTGAAAACTATAAATTTTGGAAGAGTTAAACAATAGAATTTATTTTTAAAGATGAATTCGTACATGAATATATATTCTTTAGAGATTAATAAACAATAAAAGGCTTATATATAAGTTGATAAAATAAAAACAATTATAAATTATATATATATATTTACTATATTAATTGACTATATTATCATTTGCTATTTTGCAATTTGACATTATCTTATTATTATTCTAGCTTTAAAAATCTTGTAGGTGGTATTTTTAATTCGTGATTAATCTAATTTAAAAATATTGAGATACTTATAAATATTGATTGAGTAGATTTTTTAATTCTTCATTATGATTGTGAATTTATCCTGTTTCTTCTACTAATTTAGATCTTTTTAGAAGTAATTCATAATATTTGCTTAATTATTTATCTAATATTCTCCAAACTCTAAAAGTCTTTTCTGGGAGAACTTAAGTTAGTTTTTCCCAATACTTTTTGCCTTCCTTTGCTATACGCTCTTTTTTTTATCTTTCAGTTTCTTATTTAGCTGCTCTTCTTGATGACATTTTCTCAATTTATTTCTTTCTTTATTCATTAGTTTTCATCCAATGCATTAAAAAGTTGATAATACTATTTTAGTTTATGATAAATGTTTCATAATTAATTTTAGGTGCTTCATCAGGAACAGTTTAAGGTTATTCAATTTAAACTTTTTTAATAGCATCAGTAACAGCTTCTTATTATATTTATTCTTCTTAGACTTTCAATTCACAATTTTTAATTAATTCATCAATAAAAATAAGCATTTCATCTATTGAATCAATATTGAGACATTTCTTTATTACTCCTAATTTAACGCTAGTTATCTCTTATAATTCTGCTTTCTCTAATGTTTCTCTCATTTTATCATCAATTAAAAAATCAACTTCTTCTATTAATATTTCAACTATTTCTTCTAATTTTTCTTCACTTAAAGGTAATTGAACTTCTTCTTCAGCCATAATTTATGATTTTTCTATATTTTATAAATAGAAATACCTTAAGTTTCTTTTTAGTCTTATGGTTCTTCCCAATCTACTCCTAATTATTAAATGTGAATTGTTTTATCACATTTTAAAATTTTTGCTTTAAGTTTTCTAACTTCTAATTCATTCATTGAATGAATATCAGCATAAGCTTTTTAATCAGCCTTATCGAAATGTTTAAATTTTCTTTATAATTCTTTAAATTATCTAGTTATACGTTTGTATTCTTAAGTTAATTCTTTATTTGTTTATTTGAATTTAGAATCAAATTCATTATAATCTTTAATTAAACTTCTTAATCTATTATTTAAATTTTAATCTTTTCTTTTTAGATCATCATGTGTATGTGTATGTGATATTTATTTTTCTTTTAATACTTTAAGATTATAATCTAATTTTTCAGTATTTAATTGATAGAGTGCTTTCATATCTTCATAACACTTTTCTAAATTTTAGATTTCAGTTTCCATTGAGATTTTTAATTCAGCATAAGATTTTAATCCTTAAATTCTTAATTTTTCTATATCTTTTGTATATTCTTCTTCTTTTCTTTCTCTCTCATCAACAAATGACTTTTCCTTTTCTGTTCTTTTATCAAATAAATTTCTTATTTCTGTTTAATAATTATTCAATAAATTAGCTCTCTAATTTGATTATTATTATATATTATACTTCTTCTATATATTCATTTTCAATAGATTCAAGATCTTCATGTATGCATTCTCTTAATTAAAAAAATTGAGATCTCATTTTCTAAATTAATGTTTGAATATCAATAGCTTATTCTTTTATCATTTTGCCAAAATCATCATCTTTCTTATTCAATTCATCTAAAAATTATTTTATCAATTCATCTTTTGCATGCATTATTTATCCAAATTTATCTTTCTATTAATTTATCAATTTATTAAGTTCTTCACATTCATCTTTCTCTTATAAATTACACCATTCTTATTCTAATTCAGCATTTTTAGAATTAGCTTTTTTGCTTTCATCTTCTATTTTATTTGCCCTTTCAGCTCTTTTGAATTCTTCTTGTGTTCTTGTTTCCTTTTATTTTTAATCATTTTTCTATTTGATTGTATATAATTCCTCTTTTTTTGTACGAATCAACATATCAATATTGCCTCTACTCTTCTAAACTTATTCTGATCCTTTTGCTTATTTTTTCGAATCCATCAGTTATATAAATATTTATATTAATGTCAATTAGATAAAAAATCAATTAAAAATTACTTTGCTTTTTCTTTGTTTTTACATTCCATCTTTTAACTCTCTTATATTTTTTTCAAAATCTTAGCAAATGTTGGTCTTTATGAAGGATCTCTTTTAAGGCAATCCTATGCTAGAATGGCCAAAATAGGTGGATTACTAAATTGAGGGATCTCAACTTAAGTATGTCCCCATCCTACTGTACCAATAATTTATGTTATAGACAAATTCTCATAAGGTATTTTACCAGTAATAATTTCCCATAGAATCATTCCAAATGAATATACATCAGATTTCTCAGTATATGGTTCTCCTCTCATGATTTCAGGTGCCATCCAATGTGGTGTTCCAATCATACTTTTAGTTTTCTTACTCTTAATTCTTGAGAGTCCAAAATCACATAATTTTACATTCCAATTTTAATCAATTAAAACATTAGATGATTTTAAATCACAATGCATTATTCTTCTACCATGAAGATTATTCATTCCTAAAGTAATATCTTCAATAATTTATAAAAAATTAAGATTTTTAGTTTTCCTTTTATGAATATGATCATATAAACTCCCATTTTCCATATATCTAAAATTTATATCGTTAATTACTCAGTAATTAAGTAAAAATTATGTCTCTTTATACAAACACCCATATACAAAACTATATTAGGATGTCTTAAATTAGAGATAACTTAAACTTCTTTAAGAAAATCAGCCATTAATTACTTATGTTTTTGTTGATCTTTCTTTTTACAATAAGACTTAATTGCAACATCCTAACCAAGCCAATTTCCTTTGAATACAATTCCATAACTTCCCTTTCCTATTTAAGCACCTTATTTAATCTCCTAATAATTAATTAATAATTTCTCATTTATTCCTAAATCCTATAATAAACTCATTAGTTTCTCTTAATGTTTCTATTATAAATTCTTCTCTGATAATATGCAATGTTTGTTAGGTGAACTAGATTAATTAGATTCCAATTACTAATCCTATTATTTTTCATTAGAACTACAAGAACTCTCATTTGAAGATTCTGAGCCAGTTGCATTATTAATATTAAAATTGCTTACTACTTAATTAGATTCTTTTTTCAAACTTTATCCTTAATTCCCTTATTTTGGTGAGAACTTTGCAGTTTCTTATTATTAGTCTTTTTATTCAGGTGAAATGTACTTTTCTTCAGAATCTGATGACCTCTTACGTTTTGATTTCTTTTATTTTAGTACTTCCATTCCAGGACTTTCAATTGCAGGTTCAATCTTCTAAATAATTGAATATAATTAATCATATTTTGATGATTAATCGGCTGAATTTTCACTATCCATTCTATGTAGTTATCCTGCCATTTTTTTAATATAATATTTCTTATGCATATTTATTTACTAAAGTATGAGTTTTCTATGTCCTAATATATCTATTCCTAACTCTTCTTTCAATTCTACATCTGTTAGATCATGTAATGTATCTCCAATCATATGATTTTTAATAAAATTTTCCTTATATTATGATAATCCTAAACAATCTAACCAAGTACAAACTTCCTCTATATTCCAATCCTACACTATTAAATTAAAATATAATATAAGATTTAAATACTTTTCTTTTTCCCTTTTAAAGTTACTGTTTCATTCAATGCTTATAATGTATCGAATCCATGTGTTTCCTGCTAGATTTAATGTGATTCCTCGGGTTTATTATTGGGTAATGGTTGAGGATGTATTATATTATTATCTTTCACTAAAACAGCAGAAAACACATTTTCAAATTCACAAGGAACTTAATCAACTACTTTTTACTCTTTTAATTTATCATTATCATATAATTAATAAGTCAGCTCTCTCGTACTTTAATTGTAAAAATAGCCTGGACCATGCTTCTTATTGTCTTAAAATTCACCTACACACATATTTGTATATAATTACCTGAATAAATTGAGTTCTCTGCATAATAGATTGTTCCTCTTCCATGTTTACAATTATTGACCCATTGTCCAACATATCTATCACCATACACTCCAAAATGTTGTCCATGTCCATTCTTTTTGTTATGTTACCATTATCCTATATATAATTCTCCACTATTGTAAAAATATTTTCCAGTTCCATGTTTTTGATTAAATAACCATTCTCCTTCATAACGATTGCCATTTGCAAACTTATAAACTCCTTTGCCATGCTTCATATTGTCTTTCATCTCACCTTAAGAATTTTATCAAAGTAAATACCATGATATTCATCATTATTTGAGTAAATAATATGATGTTCATTATTTGTTTGTCTCTATAAAAAACCAAACAATTTCATTTCTTAAATTTATATTATTAATATTATCATCAATCTTTTCATTGAATTCATCTATAAATATTCAATCATATATCTTTTTAATTCAACATATTTCTGATATCTCCTAATATTATAAAATTAGTTTAATTTGCATCTTTGATCTTTAATCATTTCTTCTGAATTCCTAAAATCAATTGTATTCTTTATGATATGATAATCTAATTTATTCTCTTAAACTTCAAATATTTTAATTCTGATCAATTATTCTCTCTTTTTTTTTTAATTCAAAATTATCAAATTTCAAAATCATTTAAAATTCATCATTAGATAACTCCATCATTTCTACAGTTGATTTTTTAATTCTTAATTTCCTTAGCAATAATTTATAACAAAAATATTAAGTGATGAATATTAAAGAACTTAATTAGTTTATACTTGATTATGAACTTAAACCTTCTTAAAAACTAATTAAATACCTTGTAATCATTGGAATTTCAGCTATGAAAAGTAAAACCTAAGACATTTCCATTGAAACAATCAAACTAATTGCAAGTTATAATTTCAAATTTTCATTATTTTTAGGCTCTTGTAAATAACAAAAACTAAGAGATGGAATGGCAGAACTTAAAGAAAAAGTTATTAATATATAATAATCTTTATCTCCAAAAAATGGAAACTTTAATTTTAATGAACTTAAAAAATCTGTTTAAAATTCTAAAGATCAATTAATGAATTCACAATTTTCACCAATTCTTAAAAAAAAGGATGATTTATAAAATAGATCTAAAAAGGATCAAATAAACTAAGATATTGAATTGAATCTGAAATCGTTAAATTTCAATAAAAAAGAAAATAATTAACTAACCTATCAATTTTAATAGCAAACTAAACCATACTAATAAATCTAATAATCTAACAATTATTTTACATAAAAAAAGGTTAGTCTTGATTAAATTGCAAATAATTTTCTTAGTTCCCCTTTAGTAAAAAATCCTGTGTCAGCTAGAAATATTACTTAAAAAGAAAGCGAACTTAAATGTAATTATATATTATTTATGTTTAATAGATTTCTTTTAGAATTCATGGAAATTAATTTGAACTTAGGTGATTTAATGTTTAATTTATATACACTGAGTGATTATTTTATTTTTGAACTTCTTAAATTTCTATTTCACTTTTGGATTTCATAATGTTGATGAATCTCTTTAAATTATAAATAATTATTTATCTTATATGAAATAAACTAAATTGATTATTAAAATTACTACACAAAGTTTATTCAGATTTCAAGAACTATTTTATTAATATTATCATTTATAAATGTAAAACCATAATTAAAGAATTTTATTTACAAAATTGAAACAGAATATGAGTATATTATATAAAAATTTATATCAATTCATAATATTTATTATAATATTAAAGATAAATTATAAGTTTTATATTTTAACTTATTATAAATTGAGAAATATATAAAGTTTAATTGTTAGATCAATCTATTTATAAATTGAATTTAGAAATCATGATAGCATATTTCAAAAGTAGAATTTGTAATTTTATTTAATGTGTAATCAATTATTAATAGATAATCAAAAATTATATTAGTTTAATATTTTGATTTTTATAACCATTAATTTAACTATAAAATAGGTTAATTTATATGTAGAATAATAAACCCTTTATGGATGTAGTTAACATCAAATATAAAGAAATATTCCATGTAGATTTACTACAATATTATTTAAGAATATAGAATGATTACGTTTTCTTTATGAAATGCCATTACTTTATAAATGATATAAGAATATTAATTATTATGTTTAATATAAATATCTTCTATAAACAGTTACCTATTTACATAATTCTAGTATTAATAAATTTAATATATTTAATAACAAAAATTGTATATAGTTAATGCAAACTTCCAAGCATTAGACAATAAAATAATCTAGCTATTTTGATTATGTTTTTGACTCATGGAATAAATCAAATGAAACATCAAGAATATTAGAACCCTAATCAACAACATTAAAAAAAACAAATCGAAGAAAAAATCATTTAAAATATAATACTATATTAAACTAGAATATTGAATATGAACATGATTAAATAAGTACAACTAAATCTCAAGTACATTAAAAATATTAAAATGTTTCTCTAAATTCATATATAAATAATCTCGATGGATATAAAGAAGAGCAATATGATGTACAAATTTTATCTATAAAGAGAATTATCAAAAATAAAGTTAGAGTTCAAAAAATAAATCTTCAAAAAGGTATTATTCGCAAAATAAGAAAAATTTAAATGAAGAATATGAGATGAAATCTGAATGTATTGCTAACTATTCAACTATTTTTTCTTAGCCGATTAAATATAGTTAACCTAATTCATTGAATTATTCTTAAAATTAAAAATTAACTCTTCCAAAAATTAAATAGATACAAACTTATAAAATATTAACAAGAAAATTCAAAGTTATTTGTAAAGTTATTGGTAAATTTATTTTATTATTCTATTAAATATTACCTAATTAAAGCCCAAAGAAACTTCTTTATAATAATAAATTAAAAATAGTATAGAATCTCAAGAAAATTTTTAAATTTGATAGAAATATAAATGAATCTTTATCAAAATCTTTTAAATAATGGATATAACCATCATTATAAAAAATCTTTTTCTATTTATAAAATACATTCCCTAAAATTTCTCAAGAAAATATATTTGATTAAAGATAAATTCAAGATTAAGAATTACTTTGGACTTTAAATTTTGCAAAATTTTTATTTTAAAATTTAGAATTAATTACTAGAAAAGGAAATATACCAAATGAAATAATAAATGCTATGTCAAAATCTATATTTAAAGAAAATAATTAATTTGTATAGTTGTTTGTTGCATAAAGAACTCGATTTTATTAAAAACCTTTTACTATTTTAGAAATCTAATTAATATGTTGCGAATATATTTTGTTTAATACAATAGTGATATAATTATTTGAATTAGTCAATACTTTAAAATATTAATCATTTAATCATAATCTAAATTGCAAAATGTAAATATTAAAATTGGTAAGTATTCTAAATCTATCCTACATAAAAGCCTTTAAAGATATGCCATAAATACATTGGGATTATTAAGAAGAACAATTATATACAAGAAGAATACATATCACTCCTGATTAAGATTAACATTTATACTTATTAGATACAAAAGAGAGAAATAACATGGAAACTATGATTTTAGGATTAAAATATGAATAATAAATTTAAAGGGTACTTTAATAAAAAGTGAAATAGAACTAATAACTAGAATTACTATTTAAATAATTTATACATAATTTGTGTTCTTAAGTATAGATTTTTTGACTGATGTAATTATTTTCATCTCGTATAAACTATAACTGAACAACAAACAATTAAAAAATTAATTATTGTATCTGAATCAAATATTATTATTTTTTGATAAATTTATTTATGCATAGATTAATGTTTTATGTATTAAATAATATTTTAAATTGTTTGTCTCTTGTATTGAAATTATTATTATATAATTCTATTCAATATTAATATTTTAGAAATATTCAATGCTCTAATTATAAAAAAGGATTCTGGATTTCAATATGAACCCTAATAAACCTTTATTTTTAGGATAAAATCATCGTTCTTATTTGCTTTAACCTTAAGAAGTTTAACCTAGAAGCTATAGTGTTTAAATATAAAATAATCGATATTCTATAGAAAACGATTTAAAACATAGTCATTTAGCACAATCTCATTTAGAACATTAGGAAAGATTATAATAATTTATGGCTGCATAGAACCAGTAATTGAAATAGCAATTAATAGAAATTGAAAATAGGTAATTAAAACTACAAAATGAACTTCTTTCATAATAAGTTTAAAAAATTTAATTTGATTTAGAAAATACCTTAAAATTAATCTCTAAAAAAAAAAAAAATCCATCTATTCAATAAAACTTAGCCAAATTATCTTAAAGTTCAAATTTTAGTTCAAAATACTAAAAATAACAAAGTTTATCAATTGCATCTAGTGATACAAAAGAAGAGGAGACATAAAGATTTAATGATAAAAATACAAGTAAAAATGAAGCAATTGAATTTCAAATATCAGAGAATTTTGAAAATTTAAATCATAAATAATTTAATAACGGTAATCGATAATCTTATAAAATATAAAAAAGTTAAAGGAGAAAAAAAAGATTAAAAAAGTATGTGATAGTTGTATTAGCATGTATTAGATTGTTATGGAAATAAAGAATAAAAATTAAAGAGAATAGATTAAAGTTAAAAAAGATAAAAGAGAAATTTGAAATAGCAAAATAGAAATTATTAGCAATCCCAGAAGAAAATATTAGAAATCTTCTTTCTACATGGGTAAATGATCTTTTAGAAGAAATCATTTAAATTCTAAATAGTGAATAATTTTATGCTCATTGTGATACACCAAATTATAATGCTAATAAAGAAGAAAATATTGTATATAGATAAGAATTAATAATCAAATTAACATAAAATTTCTTTGATCGTTTAGAATATATGACTAGAGATAATATTCTACCATCATTAATTATAGATCTAATGTATTTATCATTATTTTATTCATAAAATCCAAAAGTATCTTTATTTGTAGCAAAAAGAACAAATTTTTATGTGAAAAATACTATAAAATTATCAAATCAATAAGAAATGTTAATTATATCAGAATATATTTTTTTTCGATTAATTATTTAGTATATGTTGAAGATATTTAATTAACTTAAATATAAAAATGATACTCATGAAAAATTATGCAAATTTTTTGTTACTATTATTGCTAGTTTCATTCAAATTTTATATATAGACTTTTTTGAAGATATGAAATTTGTTAAATAAATAAATGTTCAACTCTATTAAAGAAAAATAGTTCTAGATGAAAAATTAAAGGCTTATCTTCTAGAAGATGATAAAATTGATGAAGGAGAGAATTTGATTTTAGGATTACATGATAGATCATAATTTGAATAATTATTTCAATAATAGATGGATTGGATAACTCAAATGGGCAAAACGTTTTATTAAATACTTTTAAATCTTCATAATCAAATATGACTTTAATTTTGTAAATATTATTTTTAATTTTTAATAAAAAAGATCAATCTTATTAAAAAATAAAGATATAATATGATTTTAAATTTAATAAAATATTTTTATGTTTACATTTGTTATTTATTGATATTTTCATAATCTGGCTTTGATATTTTTTAGCTGATTGATAATTGGTTTAAAGTCTGTTTTATTTAATGAATTATCATTAATAGCTGAATAATAGGTTTTTTCATATGGTTAACCGTCAGAACAACCAATTGTACTTCTTAAAGAGGCGTCATTATACCTAAAGGCTTCAACTAAGCCAATAGCCTAGATATAATTGAGATAATACTTCAGGCTTAATTAATGCCAATTATTAGACATAAAATTCTCTTATCAATTTAATAGATTCCACATTAATAACACCAGTTTCTATTAATACATTTGATCCATCCAATAATATGCTAGCAGCAAATAAATCAGCTAAATCTCTCAAAACTCTTTTTGTGTTGATATTATCAGCCTAATCAATAGTTTATAAGAAACTAAGATATTTATAATATTCAATAAAATTATTGGCTGAATTCCATAGATCAGTTCCAACTTTATAATCCCATACAGATTTAGGATCTAATCCATTTTATATATGAGACATCATTTTATCATTTGTAAATTGAATTGAATGTATTACATTTGATTCTAATAATTGAAGTATTTATTCCCTTGTAAATTAAGTACATCTATAATCTAAAATTGATTAAAGCTAAAGAAATATAATATTATTTAATTACTCTATTAAATAATCCAAAATATGTTTCATTAATTTTCTTAGATGCTTATTTAGCTTAATTATATATTTTAAGTAAATATCTAGCTAATTATAAATACATTATTTGATTTTCTCCTTCTAATGTAATATTAGGACAATTATCTTAATATATGGCAGGTAATCCAGAATAATGAGCATAACCATGTCCTCCACAAGATAATCTACACCATTCAGCACAATTTGAAACAAAATATGTAAAATTTGCTTTGGTTCCACAAATAATTGCATGACATATAGCCATTAAAGAAAAATCTCCTTTTTGAACCTGATTGAAATTTAGATCAACCAATTAACCTACTTTTAACCCTGTAAATATAATAGAATAAAGATTAGCTAATAAAGGTAATAATTTATGTTATTAGGTTTAATATTCCAATACTGAATTTTCTTATCCTTAATCATTAGTAAATTATTATCTAGCAATTGAATATCTGATAGCTATTGTTAATGATGTTGCTGCTGTTCTTGGATAAACTGTTATAATTAATTTCCTCATTATCATCATAGCTGAATAAGAAACTTTAGGATCACCTTGTCTAATTACTTATCCATCTCTTGTAACCTTAATATACTTAGCCAACATATTAAATCTAGGAATTCTGCAATGAGTAAATTTCAAATAACCATTATCTTTTGATGTATAACCTATTTTTGGACCTATGTCTCCTACTTCAATTCCTGGTAATGGCTTATGAGTATTTAAGTCTCTAATAGGAACCATAAAGGCTTGAACACCATGTGATTTATTATTTACTATTAACTTTGCATACACTAAAGCCCAATTTGCTAAGAATCCCAATTCTCCTGGCCAGACTTATATAATTATAATTATAGTACATTTTACTGCCTCAACAGTAGGTGTATGAATAATGAATTCATCAGTATTTTAATCATATGTAGCTGTTGTTTATAGACTTTAGACATCCGAACCATGTGCCAATTCAGTTTATGCATAACAACCTGCAATTTTTAAATTAAGGCAATCTTTGTACCAACTATATTTTCAAAATACAATTTATACGCATTTATTTATTCATCTGTTCCCAATACTTTTATTGCAGGTACAACCATCCCATAATATACACCATAATAATTCGTTGTTGCTGAATATATAATTGTACCTAAATATAGAGGAATTTCATCTAATCTAAAATCAAGTAATTTTTGGAAAGCAAGAGCCTGATCACCTTTACTTAGAAATTGAATTCCTCTATTCCAATTATAATAATCAGGACTAGTTTAAACTTCTGGAATAGTCTTGCATTTCTCTAAAAATTATTTTATATATCTAAATATGGCTAAAAAATACTCTGCTTATTCTTTTGATCCATATAGCAAAGGAGTAACTGAGTCTACATCAAAAGAAACCTATTATCTTGCTTATTCAAGTAAATTCATAGAAATATCTATATATATATATTTATATCAGAAAATCTTTCATTTCTCTTTTTTTAAATTGTTTTTTAAACATTAGTGCGTATTTTCTTCCTTAATAATATTATATATTATTTAATTAGTTTTATAAAAATTTATTTATTAGTTAAATAATATTTACTAAAATAGGTTTAAATAATTATTCTGTAAAAATTGATATTTCGAAGCAATACCTTTATCCTTTAAAGAAATTCTATATTATGAATTTATGATAATTTCCTTTATTATGCTTTATTTGACACTAATAATTTGCAATAAATTTAATTAAATTTACCTAAACATAATGAAGGATTTGCTTATAATAGTGCCAATAGGTATAATAATTGGTATAATTTTTATATACCTTAAATATTAAAGAACAAACTCTGAGAATGTTAAAGTCAATCAAAGAATCTCAAATAAAACAAAATATTAAATAACCTCATAATCATTATCTACTTCATAATCTGTTTATCATAAAATAGAGAATAATAAACTTCAAAATGAAAAATAAATCTAAGATAGATAATCACCCCAAAAAGTAGACAATTTTAATTCGAAATAAAATCATAAAGCGAAATCTCGTATATTATCCTTAGATCAAAGATAGAATTAAGGGAGGATCAATTAATAGGATTCACAAGGATCAAGAGTCAAATTTAGAGATGATATGAGAGATTTATAATTATAATAACTTAATTAAAAAATAGAATACGTACCTTATAGAAATGAACCTCAATAAAATAAAAAAGAAGAATAATAAATTTTAAAATTAAGACAGTCTTAAGAAAGATAAATAGAAGATTAAAAAGCTGTTATTCAAAATTAAAATCAATCTGCACTTACTAATAGTGCCATTGTTTAATAAAAAATATTCAATTTATACAATATATCATGTAGAGTTAGAAATTATGATACTAAATTTTTGGGTCCTGAAATAATATCATAAAACTATGATGATCTATTTATTGATAAGAATACAAAATAATAACTTAATTTATTTTTAAAAGGCTATAGATAAGTTAGAGGAGATGGAAATTGTTATTTTACAGCTATAGCATTTTAATATTTTGAAATATTGCTTAATAAATTTAGTAATTTGGAATTTAAGGAATTTATGTCATAAATTCTCTTGATGTCATTTTAAATCTAATATCATGATTATTTTATAGAGGATCCATTGTAGAATATGTGTGCTTAAAGACTAGTTTAATTATTATCGAAATTGAGAGATAAACCTTAAAATTTAGAATCTATGATGGCAGATCCAAATTAAGAGTTTTATGGGCTTGCTATTATATTTTTTCGGAATTTAGCTTAATATCTCTATATATAATATAATAGTCAAATAATAGATGAATACAAACCAGATTTAAGTAATGAATTATTGACATGGGAATTTCAATGTAATGATTCAGAGATGATTAATTCATCATTGGCAAAGTATTTAAATATGTATGTAAATTCATATTAATGTAGAATAATTAATGTATATTTAATTGATTAAAAAAAAAGCGAAGTAACTTAATTGAATTATGGTAAATAATCAAAAAACTAAATTCATTTAATATATATTCCAGGCCATTATGATATTGGAATACCTATTTGATTTTATTTGATATTATTTTGATGTGACATCCTGACATAAATTTATTTAAAATTATTTAAGAGGGAATGTCACAACCTAGTATGTCGTTCTTTCAAACTCGTTAACGGGCTATTTATTCAGAAGTAATTAACCCTGAAAACTCAGTATTGTACTAAGTAATTTTGAAATATTATTACAGGACTTGTCATATCTGCCAGATATAACTTTGAATACGACTATGAAATAAAGAGTACCTAAAGCATATTCATTAAAGAAAACTTCAAATACATCTAGATTATCTGGGGCACATTCAATTTAGAAGAGTAATGGAATCAATAATTAATTAAGTCTCTGAGGAATTGGTGGTGGAGCCTAAAGTGCTTGAACCATATGAGCCAATTGGAGATAACATTCCAAGAAAAGTAGCAATCAATAGAAAACAGAAGCTATATGCATCATTCAATATACTGCAGTTATTAGATTAAGAGGTATAGATATCAATATAAAATTTATAGGGTATTGATTTAAATATGACTAATCCATAAGTGTAATGGTTACCACTTGAATTATTTGATGATAATTCAAATGATGATTATCCAAATGAAGATTGGATAAAAAGAAAAATAGATGAGGAAGGGAGAAATAGAAAACTATATGCAACTTGTTTATTAAAAGAAGATGGTATTTATGAAGCAAGAAGATGTGAAATTTTGGAATATAAGGATGGATAATTTTATGGGAAAATGAAGGAAAAAGATTGTAGAGATATTAAGGCTCATAGATTATATATTTGTTTTTATGCTGAAGATCCTCGTAAATTTGTAAAAAGATTGGGAACAGCATTAAAAAATAGAGAACATGCTGATAGCAGAGTTAGATATAATTATTTTATTGATGGAATGCCAATATAAGATTTAAGTGAATTAGATACAGAATAAAAAAGAAGATTAGAATAATTAGCAAAAACAAAGAAATTAGAAAATTTAGATACTACAGCTTTGATTGCAGAAGTTAATTATGATTATATGAGAACAATGAATAAAATTATTTTTGATAGATATTTAGAATATGAAGATGAAGAATTAAATTTATAAATAGATGAAGATATAACTAAATAAGTACCATATTATGGAATGTTTCCAGTTAGTAAAGAGAAATAATTAGAAATGTATAATCCAAGAGAAATAACTTAAATTGATCCTAAGAATTTTAGAGAAACCTTTAAAGATTTTTGTTTTAGCACTTTATTTATTAAAACTGAAGTGATTAGAGCATTATAAGAGATTAGATATGAATGTAATAAGATGTAAGAATTTGAAATCTTCAATTATCAAATAGACAAAGTAATGGTTTTAGAAGAATTCAAACATGTACAAGAAAGTTCAATCTCATAAATGCTTTATTCTTTAAGAGGATCCTGGATTTAAGATTTATTAAAAATAATGAAAACTTACTTTTCAGGAGTGGGTAAAGGATGGTTTAATATGAAGGAATCAAATAAAATAACTTATGATTTTGGTAAATTGAAAAGATTCTTAACTGTTGTAAGATTAATGATGTAAGATACTGTATAGAGTTTAGTTGAAAACAATTATAATAGATTTGTTAATTATTTGAAATCATTTATTCCTGATGAAGTTAATGTAGATGATCCATCAAATATCATCAATAAATTTAAAACAGCAGGAGTAAAACCAATATTTACTATTGATATGATTAAAACTAATGATGATAAAGAATTTCTGTATTCAACATCTCCTATGAATTTTGTTAATATGATCATACAATTATTTGATAAAACTCTTGATGAAATTACAAAAGTGCCAGATTTAGAACCTAAATTACTTACTGATCTTTATAAATAGAAAACAGATTCATTTATTAAAACTCCAGTGAAACCAAAAGAAAGACCTTAAACTCCAAATCCAAATGAAAGACCTAAGAAATATCCTGATGAAAATAAATGGATATGGTTGTTAGTTGAACATATTAAAGAAGAATTGCTTAGAGGAATTAAACCATTAGAAGATTATTTAAAAATATTTGAGAAATTTAAACCCATTTTATAAATGAATCCTGATGATGAAATTAGAAGAATAGAAATGGATGATAATCCTTGGGAAATAGATTAAATTAAAGAAGAAATATTTAAATATAATAGAATGGAAGAAGAACTTAAAACTTAAATTCCTGATATTGTAGAAGTTTCAATATTTTAAGTTTAATGTAGAGAAATAAAAATGTATTTGTGTGAGAAATATTCTATGATTAGCAAATTATTAGTTGATATGATAGCAAGAAAGGCAAGAAAAAAGACCATGGAGATCTTTTAAGATTATTAAAGAATATAGGGTAAAATTAAAGAAAATCCTAATAATATTGAAAAATTAACAGATATCAAAGAGTTTATGTAAAATTTACCTAATGAAGTTGATAAATTAAAAGTGGAAACTTAGAAATGCTTTGATATATATAAAATATTAGATGAATTTAGTTATAGAGGATTTTAAAAAGAAGATTTAGATAGAAAATGGTATGTATTTGGATGTCCCAAAGATACTTTTGATTTAGTTGCAAAAAGATAAAAAGATATGGAAAAAGAGAAAGTTAAATTTTAAGATGAAATGAAAGTTTCATAAGAAGAGTTTAAAGAAAGTATTGATAATTTGGAAAGAACAATTTAAAATTTTAGTTAACATTAAGCATTAAAAAGTCATGCTGAAATAGCATAAACTGCATAAGATGTTAATAAATACTTAGCAGAATTCTAAGAATAAGCACGTAAATTTAATTCTCGAGAAGCCTTATTTGATTAGGAATAAACTGATTACAATAAAATAACTCTTCTTTAAAGAGAATTTCTACCTTACAGTAATCTATGGATAACTACTAATTAATGGTTTACTAATTCTGAATCTTGGATGAAAGATGAATTACCAACAATTGATGCTGTTGCAGCTGAAAAATGGGTTGAAGAGGCTATTAGAATATTAACAGGAGTTTGCAGATTTTTTAAAGAAAAAGAACTCTAAGGTGTATTAAGAATTGCTACTTCAATTAAATAATAAATTGAAGAATTTAAACCAAAGGTTCCTTTATTGGTTGCACTTCGTAAACAAGGAATGAAGGAAAGACATTGGTTAGAATTGAAAAATAGGATTGGATTTGTTAAACCTTAACCAGAAAGTGAGTTTACATTTACAAAAGTTTTAGAAATGGGTTTAATGTAAAATGTTGATATTTGTGTTGAAGTTGGAGAAAAGGCATAAAAGGAATATATGATTGAAACAATGTTAGATTAAATGGAAACTATGTGGGAAGGAATCAATTTTCAAATGTTGCCTTACAAATCAATTACATTTATAATTAGAGGTTATGATGAAATTTAATAAGTACTTGATGAACATATAGTAAATACTTAAGCTATGTCTTTCTCTCCTTTCAAAGGTCCATTTGAGGATAGAATTAATAATTGGAATACTACACTTAAAATGACTTCTGATGTATTAGAAGAATGGTGTAAATGTTAAGGCTAATGGATGTATCTATAACCTATTTTTGATTCACCAGATATTGCAAAATAATTACCTGCTGAAACTAAAAAATTCAAAACAGTAGATTAAACTTGGAAGCATACTATGACATAAGCAAAAACTTATGCTCAAGTATTACGAGTTTGTACTTAAGAAGGTTTATTGGAAAGATTGTAAGAAGCAAATAAAAATTTAGAAATCATTTAAAAAGAACTCAATAATTATTTAGAAAAGAAAAGAGAAAAGTTTGCAAGATTCTATTTTCTTTCTAATGATGATTTACTAGAAATCTTATCATAAACAAAAGAACCAACAGCAGTTTAACCACATTTAAGAAAGGTATTTGAAAATATCAATTCAATTGAATTTGATGATGGAAAAAAGATTCATGCAATGTATTCAGCTGAAGGTGAAAAAGTAAATTTCGTTAAGGTTTTAGATCCAAATAAAAAAAATGTAGAAGATTGGATGGGAGAAGTTGAAGATATGATGAAATTAAGTGTTAGATAGGCATTAATCAATAGTGTTTCTGATTACCAAGTAAAACTAAGACATGAATGGGTATAATTACATCCTGGATAATGTGTTTTAAATGGTTCTCAAATTCTATGGACTAAAGAAGTTGAATAAGCTATTAAAAGTAATAGTGTTATGGAATATTGGGAAAAAACATTGAAAGCTTAAATCAATAAATTGGTTGAATTAGTAAGGACCAAATTAACTAAGTAATAATAAACTACTATAAATGCATTAATTGTTATTGATGTACATGCTAAGGATGTTGTTGAAAAATTATTTAAAGAAAATGTTACTGATGTCAGTGCTTTTGAATGGATTAGTTAATTGAGATATTATTGGGAAAATGAAGATTGTTTTGTTAAATGTGTTTAAACTAATTTCCCATATGGTTATGAGTATTTAGGAAATACATTAAGATTAGTGATCACTCCTTTAACAGATAAATGTTATATGACTTTGATGGGTGCTTTAAAATTAAATTTAGGAGGTGCTCCTGCAGGACCAGCTGGTACTGGAAAAACAGAATCAACTAAGGATTTAGCTAAAGCTTTAGCAAAATAATGTGTAGTATTTAATTGTTCTGATTCTATGGATTATTTAATGGTTGGTAAATTCTTTAAAGGTTTAGCTAGTGCTGGTGCATGGTGTTGTTTTGATGAATTCAATAGAATTAATATTGAAGTACTATCAGTTATTGCATAATAATTATTGGTATTATTTGGAGAAAAAGCAAAAGGAACTCCATAAATAGAATTTGAAGGATCAATTATTAAAATCTAACCTACTTTTTCTGTATTTATTACAATGAATCCAGGATATGCTGGTAGAACTGAATTACCTGATAATTTAAAAGCTTTATTTAGGGGTGTAGCTATGATGGTACCAGATTATGCTTTAATTGGAGAAATTATGTTTTATTCATTTGGATTTGAATTAGGAAGAGAATTAGCTAAAAAGATGGTTGCAACA